TAAATGAAACGGGAAAAAAAAAAAAAAAACCATTAAGTAAAGTATAAACACCACCACCATTTAAACCCCCAATTGCCATCCAGCAGCATAAATAAGAACAAAAAAAAAAATCAAGAGCAAAGAAATAAACAAAGAGAGAGAAAAACGTAGAATCCCCCTTAAAACCACCACAAAAACACCAAAACACCTCTCCCAATCAGCCCACAACCCATAACATCACCTCCCCCCATTATCACCCCCTTCTCCCCCATCCCTCTTTTGATCCCCAACCCCAAGAGACTCCATAACCCGATCAACCTCCCCCCTACACCCCGGAACCGCACTCCTCACCTCCCTCGCCAACACATCCCTAAAATTCGCAAACGCCTCTCTCTTCCCCTTCAAATCCTGATTCCCCCTCTGCACAAGCTCCACAAACTCTCTCGTATAGATATCCGGATTGCGCGCCGCGTCCACATAGTCGATTATCTCCGGGGGAAGTTGTATCGAAGCCAAATTAGGATCTTTGGGATTCCCGATCGAGATTTCTGGGTTTGTGATCTGGTTTGGGTCGTTTGGGTCCGGGAGGTTGGTGGTATTTTTTTGAAGGGTGGAGAGGGTTTGGGTTAGGGATTTTCTGTTGTTTTTTTTTTTAATTTTTATGTCCTTCGTTAGTTGGTTGGTTCATTGGTTTCTTTTTTGGGGGGTGGTGTTTCTTGTTGGTGATGGAAGAGGGGGGGGGCTTGAGTACATTTTTCGGACGAGTTCTTGTTGTGTTTCGGGGCCTAGGTAGCCGTGGACTGCGGATTGGATTTCGAAGAGGTGTTGGATTGCTTCTTTTAGGTCGTCTGTTTTTTTTTTTTTATTTGTTTTAGGTTGATTTTGTTCGTTGGATTGTGTTTGGGGGGTTGGAGCGGTTGGGTTTGGGTGTTTGCTTACTGTCGACTTGGCTGAGGGTTATGGGTGCCATTTTGGGGATTTGTTGAGGTGAGGTTTGATTGATTGATTGATTGATTGATTACTGGAACTTGGAAGATAAAATGAGAGTGGGATGGATTTAAATGAATCTAGACTTGTTTGAGCCGCAGTGGGGACTCTGGGGTGAACTAAACCTGTTTGGGTAATTGATTATGACCTCACTATGTATACTATTTATTTCTATTTATTTATTTATTTCTTTTTTTTTTTTTATTTATCTACGATAGTATTCAATTATATCGATTGTGTAATATGGAACCATGCTGGATTAAAGCAAATGCTTGCAATGCATGTCTAGTATTGACAATATATACGTATAGAACAAGATTAGTCCACTGTCTATAGATCCATACACACACCCCCACTTAAATCAATAATAATTACACTTCCTTCGTCCGGAGAGGGATATTGGGTATCTCAATCTCCGTCTCCATCTCTAGTCCCGACAGGCTGGGGAACCGTCGGCTGAAATTGGCCTCCCAATCCTCACTTGGCGTAGTAGGTGTGGCCTGGCTGCGCTCGTTGATCACCTCCGATCCCTTCACGCGCAGGCTCTTGGGCTTGGGAGGTGCTGCGGGCCGAGACGACCCCGTGCGCTGCGATTGCGCATAGCCACTATTTGCCGTCTCTTGACTGGGTATACCTGGCGTCTCCCACCGGTCCTTGACAGGCGACGCTTGTCCCTGCGATCCGTATAGGTGCCCCGCCGCGCGGGTGTTGATCCGCGGTTCGGGAAGAGGGTCGTTCTGCTTTGCCGGCAAAGCAGGGTTCATCTCCTCCGTGAACCGGCCATAGCCCGTTGCCGTCTTGGGGGGAGGCGCTGACTTGTTACTTTCCTCTAAGAATGACTGCACCCGGTTCTGGATCGACGACCGTGTATCGGGCCCGGGTCGGAAGCCCCCCTCCCCTCGTTCCGTTACCTGTCGGCGATACTCGGCAGCCGCGTTGGCGACGCGCTTCTCCTCCTGGGAAAGACGTCGGCGCTCCAGCTCCCGACGCATCTCCGGAGAGATGTCGTCGTTCTCGGCGTCACTCATTTCGGCGGGCACCTCTACCAATTCGGACGAAGTGATCATGACCTGCTTCGGCTCTTCGGTGGCGGGAGACTGGGCTTTGGATTCTGGGTTGCTCTGCTCGAAGCGCCGGAATGCATCGCCAAACCGACCAGCAAACAGTGTCTTGGTCCCCGACAGCGATAACGTAGAAAGACTCGACCGCTTGGCGTGTTTGGCGCTGCCACTGTACCGCTTCTCTTTCTTCCGGCTGCTCTCTTCTTCCCTCGCCCGGAGATAGTCGATGTCGGACGAGATGTTGGCCCGGTCTGCCTCGGTTCGCGCATGTTGTAGCGGCGCGCCCATGTCGTACGAAGGTCTGGGGATATCGAGTGAGGAGCGTGCGCTCTCGGAGCCGCGGCCAAAGTCATACCTGGAAGCTGCCTGGACGGACAATGGGCGAGATTTGCTGTTGGCCGATTTGGATCGACTCGTGAGCTCTTCCAACTCCAAGTTCGATGGTCGCATGCCTTCCAAGGAAGGCCTTGATGAAGAGGTCGACAGCTCGGAGATGCGATCCGCAGAAGTTCTTGGGTCCGCGGAGGGCTTCGTAGGGGACGGAGGGTTGAGGGGCCGGGAAGCTTTCTTGTCGCCGTCCGCGGGCCATGGTTGACTGGAGGGCCGGCGTTGATGGTCTGACGAAGGAAATCGATAGATGGGGCGGCTAGGGGGCTTCAGCTCCGGCACCGACGGCGTCTGGGGTGGCGACGTCATCGTTCCTGTGGAGACCATGGTTGGTTTCTGCGGCACCGGTTGGTACAGGGGCACCTGCGACTGCTGGGGTTCCTCGCGGTGGTTGAAAGACTCGGAGGGTCGACTCTTGACGTGCGACGTGTGGGGTTGCTTCTTTACCGGTGGTTGGGGAGCCTGCTCATTCACCGCGGGAGAAGGACGTTTAGCGAAGGCCTCATCGGCCAAGGCGTTTGTGAGCCTTTGCGCAAGATCACCATCCTCTTGTTTCGCCTCGGCGAACGCGGGCTCAAAGTCGAACTTGCCACCCTTCTCGTGCAGGATATCAAATTGATCCAAGGAGGGGAACCGATTCGTGAACTCGTCCGTAGAGTCCCGCGATTTTTGGCCGCCATCCAAGACGGCGAAGGGGTCTGTGGAGCCACCACGGAACGGGGAGGGGCTTGGCTTTGCAGAAGTGTGCTGAGAACTGGTTGGTTTTGTCGGCCGCCCGCGCCGCATGGGAGCAATCTCTGGGATAATCTGAGTCTCCTGGATCGGTGGAGAGAACACTGCGCCGACTTGCGGTGTCTCCGTTGGGGATGGCGGGAGTTCCTGATAACGGCGGGCTTCCGACGTAGAGCGATTCGCGTAGATCTACACAAATTAGAAAACCAAGAACGAATCCAGTCATTGGGTAACTCACATCTCGGATTGGAACTTCTTTTCCTTGCATGCGGCAGACCTCTTGTACTACCTCATAGATATTTGGGCGCTTTTGCGGGTGCTCCTTCAACATCCATGCTAAAGTCGAAGTTAGTACCCCCCCACACGACCAACATTCAACTAAACTTACTGATGAGCATCCTGAGGCGGTCCGAGAAAACAGGGTAAGATGGAAATTTGTAGGTCGCATTCAGGATGGCCATTTGGCCCACCTCTTCGAACGGAGTTGTGTAGTAGCATAGCTTGTATAGAAGTACACCTAGCGCCCAAATATCGCTCTTCTCATCGATAGGTTGCTTGCGATAGACATCGATCATCTCCGGACTCCGGTACTGCAGCGTTGTATGCCTCTGCACATCGTCCTCGATCAGGCGGCCCTCCGCAGCTGAAGTCGCCGCTGGACGAGGGGGTGCCGCAGAGCCGAAATCGCACAGCTTATAGACACTCGAGGTCCCGTGTCGAGATATGAGAACATTCTCCACCTTCAAATCGCGGTGCAGCAACGGGGGTTTCAGATAGTGCATGCAGGCCACGCCCTCGGCCACGTCCGAGAAGATCTGGATAATCTCCGGTTCTGTCAACCGGTGCTGCAAGCGCGTGTTCATGAAGTCGATCAGGCCTCCGCCCGAACAGAACTCCATGAGCAGGAACACTTCGTAGCCGCCCCCACGGAGCTGAGACGCATGGGAATCGATATACTTCACAATGTGTCGGTGTCCCTTCAATTTCTTCATTGTCTCGACCTCGGTCCGCATGTTCGCGAGCGCCGCTTTGTCCGGCACCGCGACCCGCTTCAGCACCGCCCTATCTGAACCCTCGACGGGTTGTGGAAGACGCACGACGTAGACATGGGCAAATCCACCTTCGGAGAGGTACTTCTCGACGACCACGCGATGATTGCCGACCTGGACTTTGGTTCCTGGTAAGAAAGTGCCTGCCGGGGCGTTCACCGCGGCCAACGGATTATACGACGGAATCGGCCTATGAGAGGCCGCATGGCTCTGATAGGATTGGGGGTTCGAATGATAGGACATGGTGACTGGGGAAGCCCTCAAGGGGCGAGATTAAATTGCCGGTCGTAGGATAACTATCGTCGCAGCATAGAGAAAACGATCAGAGACGAAGAAAGGTCCGGAGTCGGAAGTCAAGAAGGGCGACTTATACAGAGGACAGTTGGCGGCGGGGAGGGAGATAGGAGGAGGCGGTGGTGATTTGGGGGCAAAGCGGTACCTGACTGATCTCCGGTGAAAGGAGGGCAGAGGTGAGTTGGCGGGAAAGAAAGGGGGGTAATAGGAGACAGGTGGACAGAGAATGAAGTTCTTCCAGATTGGAACCAACACAGCGTTTAACTGGAACTGGGAGAGGAAGAAAGAAGAGCTCCGACTGACCAGCAGTTTGACTTCGTAGTTTGAGAACGATCTTGGCTTTGGTTGGTTGGCATTCAGTCACGGGCATTTCCCCGAGCGCTGACTCAGCCGAGAAGGATCTCCAGGTTTTTTTTTCCCCCATGTTACAGATTCTGGACGTCTCTCTTATTATATCTCTTCTATGTTATAATTGATAGAGACCTTTTTCGTCGCATTATCCATTGTTCTTGTTTCGATTACAACTTCTCAATATTCTACAGGATCATCGTGATTCTTTCCCCCGGATCATCAGGAACAATGCATGACCTCGGGTCACGAGAACCCTGGGAATGCCGACGCTTCGGCCATGGAAACCATGTCGGCATAATAATCAGCCAGCGAACGGCATTAGTACGCTAGATAACGTCCTCGATGCTCGCTGGAGTATGTGTGAACCATGCTGCCTCTGGGTAGGTATGTAGTTTATTTCAATATTTCCTCATAAGCACGTCTGAAATGGGGCCATAAGCAAGTCCGGGCCAATTCATTCGCCATCCCGAGGTTCAAAGCAAGGCATTCCGTCAAATACCTCCAAGAGTAGTCATATACTTTTGGTCATCCGACCATCCATTCCAAAAGTCACATCTTCACACAGAACTGTCATCCCCGAGGCCAAGTCCCTGGCAGCGATCAAGGCAGCCGTCCCGACCAACAATGACGTGCCTGCCCAGATCTGCGCCGGCAAATAATTTCCTCCGGCGTTCGCAATCAATTGTCTTGGCTATTAACGGCCCTGTGCGAGGCCCGATACTGGTCAGGGTCAATACTATGCCCATACTAGTACTTGTCTTGCTGATGTCCTTGGTCAATGACGGCACGGTATTGGTAAACTTTGGAGGTGGAAGCCGAGTACGCAAAAAGCACATTGATCATAATAACCATACAGAGGACAATAAATCTCATGTAGTGCACAGCCCACGGAAACCCTGAGGTACAGCGTCAATACAGCATGCCCACACTCGGAAGAAAGGAACCAACCTATCTCCGGGGTCAAATGCTTACACTTGAAGGAAATATCTTTCCACCCATGCTTTGTTCCCGTAGCTGCAGTTGTCACAACGAATACTCACTTTTAGCGGAATATGTGGATATCACAATTACACCCGATGCACAGGCCCTGTGTGAGAAAGAGTTGCCATGATTTGACCGCTAAGCTGGTCATAAACGTGCCCTTTCAGAGTTGACTTTTAGTTTTATACCTCTATCTGATATACCAATAAGTAGATCAACATAATTAAGTACATTAAAGTTTAATTCTCCATTGTCTTATTATCCATAGACAATAACAGGGCCAAGACATAGAAGCGCGGCAGTTCTCAAGACCTGCTTCAATAGAAGATAAGATCTCTATTCAACATATAAACACAAAGTATCTACTGTTAAAAAGGGAAAGTTAGTCAGACAGAGCTTAAGAAAAGAAGAGACACTGCCCAATTTATAATCAACCTCATCTTCGTTGACCCGGTTTTAAATACAAATATTAAAATAAGAAAGCTTTTTAAACACCCATCTATTCAATCCACCAAGGTATAATTTCTAGTGGCCCCAGAATAGAATGGGCCTCTCTAATATTAGCTAAATCAGCGGCATCAGTAGATATAATTTCGGCTTTCTTAACACTGTATCATTCATAGCAACGGCGCAGTGCAGACACAGAGGTTTAATTACTCACTTGTCAATACAATAACTACTTTCGAACCTACCAGCACACTCCCAATTCACTGTCCAGGCTCCTGTTTCATTGTCCATACTATCTCCTGACCACAAAAGCCCTCGACCTAATAATCCTGTCGCTGACTATCAAAGACTTCAAGCTTCTACTGCTATCTGTTTTACAAAGTACCAACACACAGTCATCCATATCCACGCTCTCACTAACATAATGACTGATGAGATTCGAGAGGTTGTAAGCCAATGAGGGAATCGATGCGCTGCTGCTTTCCGAACAGCTCGTTGTTCACCTCCTTTAGTTGCTGCCTTAGCATGGCGATTTCTGCGTCTTTCCTACCCCCTTTCCTCCACGTTGCCATCCTATTCGGTTTGTATTCCTCTTCGCCAGGACTGGAGGGTTTCCTGCCCACGTCTCACGGTTATCATTATGGCCCTTCATCCTGCGGATTACCTTCCGAAATCCCTCTCCAAATAAGGAGGTTATGAAGGAAAGAATTGAATATGATGTAGGGAGCAAAGAAAAATGTATAGAGAGAAAGGATCAGGAGAAAAGGTTGGCTCTTTAATATAGGGTAGCAAAGGTAATGAATGAATGAATGAATGAATGAATGAAAAGTTCGATCAAGACAGAGGAATATCACCAAAGAGAAACTGCTAATGATAGTGTTTCATGCAGTACATTTGAATGAATTCCATGGTGGTGAACAATCGACTGCTCTATCTTGAGGGATTTCAGGAGTAAAGGGGAATGACAGCTGGGCCCAGTTCAATACTTTTTCCATCATCTGTTGGATAATACAAGGACATGCCAAACAACCATCATCATTCATCGATGTTTGACCTTACAAGACAGAGCAATAGTGGGAATTGATAAAACCTCCAGCATGTATTGAACTGTGTTTCTTCAGTGAATTTCAATGTTTTTCCATCGTCTTCTAGTCAGGCACCATCAGATATATTGGCAATTCACAAATATTAGGGGGCGCCGGATGATTTTAGCTGAAAACTAGACTAGAAAGTCAAGAAGCACGGTGAACCTGGCAGACGTGTTAGTTGTAACGATATATTACGACACAAATGATTGAATATGTGAGATAGAAGTTGGGACCACAAGAGTATAGAAAGAAGTATGGCACCTTTGGCACGTGATAGGGCTGTCAGCGCCTTGATTGATAAGCAAACTTTGATCTGATCTTTGTTAGTGGGCAACCATCATGCTAAATGTCGTGTAGATAAAGGCAGCTTTGTGTAAAAATAGCTTGTTAATGTATGAACGTCTGTACTGCATTATGTACAACTAGAAATACGTGAACCACAATAAATCGTCAACATCATAAGCAATCAACAACAGGGGGAATCTCTGTACAAATGAAGGTCTAGCCAAAATGACACTATGCAAGGCTGGATCTTGAAACAACATCTCGCTATGAGCGGTGAGGTGAATGATATATACCGTGTAGGCACTTAAGTTGGACCGTTGGAAAACACTTAAGCTAATCAAATGTATCCAAGGTTCCCGAGTATCGAGCGGCCCTCATTGACCGACATGTTCGTCACTCCCAGAGATCGTACTAGCGCCCCCTTTCGAAGCCGCTGCAGCCCGATGCCCACCTTCCAGCCTTCTGTCTCTTCCAAGACGAAAAGATATTTTCGACCCTCCTGGTCACGAACGCTGGCTCGCAACACATGGAGTCTCTGTACCTCGGACTGAGACCCTGGCGACGCAAGGCGACAGGTATTCTTGCACACTTTCAGTAGATTGAGCAGGTATGCATCAGACTCCGCCGATGAAGGCCCTTCGTCCCGTCGACCAAAGAACGAACTCTGCTTCGGAGGATTATGCTTCTGGGAGGCATATTGCGGGCACCACACCTCGACCAACTTCATCGTCCACGCCTTGACGTCCCATTCTCGCTGACCCACTCCCCGGATATCGTCATCAATGAACAGACCTTCGGTAGTGATGCGCAGAACTAGTCCGTCCGTTACCATTCCCTGTCCAGAGACCAGCTGAGCCGCTGGGCTTTTAACAAATGCATTGTTGAACTGAAAAACACCCTTGATAACAATCTTATCAGGATCTTTAGTTTCATACCGTCCCCTATTTGACGGTGGAGGTGATGTTCGAGCTGTCGATTGTGAAGGAGCGTAGGATGATTCAGAGTATGCTGACGAGCTTGATGTGCCCCCATATGGCCGTCGAGGTCTGTCGTACGGTCGAAAGGAATATGCATCGTCTTGCTCGGCAGACATTGTAGTTCGTGCTCCAGATGGAGGAGGCTTCTTCGGTGATGGACTTCGGGGAGGGACTGATGCGCTCCCTGATTTCTCCTTGGCAGCCTTCGCCGCGGCGTCTTTCGCTGCTGCTGCCTCCTTGGCCGCTGCCTCTTGGGCATCTTTGGCCTTCTTCTCGGCATACTTTTTTGCTGCCGCCTCCTTGAGGGCTGCAAACTTGGCATCCGCCTCCTTCTTTGCAGCCGCTTTTGCAGCCGCTTCCTTCTCGGCAGCTTCTTTCTCCGCCTTAGCTTTTGCTTCAGCGGCCTCCCTTTCAGCCTTTGCTCGGGCCTCCGCAGCATCGCGTTCGGCCTTTGCCCGAGCTTCGGCTGCTTCCTTCTCGGCGCGCTCCCGTGCCTCCTTTGCCGCTGCTTCTCTGGCAGCGGCCATCTCTTTCTCGAACTGCTCCCTCCGCTCACGCATTTCTTTCTCCATCGCCTCGCGCTCCTGCTGTCTTTGTTTTTCTTGCTTCTCAGCCTCCCTCTTCCGCTTGAACTCTTCCATTTTCCGTCGAAGCTCCTCCTTCCGTCTTGCCTCTTCGCGTGCCTTTTCTTCCCGTTCTCTTTCTGCGCGCGCTTTCTCTTCACGAGCCTTTTCCTCACGGGCTCTCTCCTCTCGAGCCCTTTCCTCACGGGCTCTTTCCTCCCGGGCCTTTTGCTCCCGGGCTTTTTCTTCTCGAGCCCTCTCCTCGCGGGCTCTCTCTTCCCGAGCTCTTTCCTCTCGAGCCCTCTCCTCGCGGGCTCTCTCCTCTCGCGCCCTTTCTTCCCGGGCCCTTTCTTCTCGCGCTCTCTCCTCGCGGGCCTTTTCTTCCGCTCGGGCCTTCTCTTTGGCCTTGGCCGACTCGGGTTTATTTGGTCCTGGGCCAGCGTTAGGGGGAGGCGTCTGAGGCGGAGTGCCGGCACCATACTGATTTCCAGAGTACTGGCTCCCTGGTGGAGATCCATAATTTCCGCCATAGTTCCCTTGCTGTCCGCCAGCATTACCCGACCCTCTCGCATATTCTCCTCCAGCACCGGCCTGGCCAGTATTGGCTCTGGCACTTCCAGGCCCTTTTCTTCCAAACCCAGCTTGATACACGCCGAACCCCCATCCCGCAATCCCAACCCCAATCCCTAAGAGTCCCACACCCATCCCTCCACCGCCGCCGCCGCCACTTGCGGCAGCAGCTATATACCATGTCTTGAAAATGGGCGATATAAAAGACCACACAAGGACAACGAACAAGGTGCAGACCGAGCCAGCGATGAAACTATTCCGCTGACATTGCAGCGAGGGGAGATAGAGGAAGCCCGACCCGGACGAATGTGGCGGAATAATGAAGATATCGTAGTTCCCTTCGGGCAGGTCCGACGCCTTCCGGTATTCTTGGCCGCCGGTGGTGTTCGGTTTCTCGCCGTGAGGGGGAGGAGGGGGTGGACCGTCCATTATGAGGTGATTCGGTCAGTTTGAAAACGGACTGGTTGTCTGGGATTGTCGTCTGCGGGCTTTCGGGTAGTTTTCCCCCCGCTGATTTTGTAATGGGCTATAGATATATTGATAGTGTCTGGCGCGTGGACTGCGATATATAGAGCATATTTTCAAAATGACATTAAATCGGCGCTGAGGTACCGGCTCTCAGCGCTGGCCTGGAGGAGATCTGGTGTGAGTGATTGGAGTGGAGTGAACGAACGGTATTTCCGGAACCGTACCTAATCTCAATATTTCAAAGTAAAGAAGAACAAAAAAGAAAATACACAACAAGCAAAAGCGAGACCAATTAAATTAAACTCCCAGGTAAAGGCAGCGAAGTGAGAAGCGGGATGGAAGTGAAAACAAAACAAGCGGCAAAGGGAAAGCCGAGAGAGGGTGTGATGATTGACCCGGCTTTTCGTTTTAAATGAGCGGCACAGTCGCCGTCCGCTGAACCTTGCAGACAAATTGTTACCCCGAGCGGCAAGTCGATTGACGGTCAGAAGAAGAAGTTATGTTGTGTAACATGAATTGTCTTTTGCTATTCTTCTACTAAATATCTATAGAGTAATCGAGAATGACAAAGTGTTGCTATTGTGATTGAGTTTGTTTATCATAGAAACTGTTAGTACTATAGGTATGGGCACTGACTCGTATTAAATGTACATCCATCGCAGCCTTGCGTTACTGGCAACATAGTTGGGTTTTAAGGTGTTTCCTGTTTCTTGATTATAAGCTTCATACTTCATACCTCATGTCTGCCAGTTTATTTACGTTTGGCTTTTCAACATTCCAGTGGAATGAGCCTAGATGCAATTCAGTTCCACCCTGAATCTGTTACCCGCACGTAAATATTTGGCTCGAACATCACGGTTCATTTTCCCGGGCCACTCTATTGGATATTAGTTGAATAAAGAGGAATGGTTTAATTTCTAGTCTGATAGTTACGATTATATGACAGCAATGGTTGAGGTTGTCGGTCGAATACTACTACACTTGAGATAGTCAGTGTCCATACATTCATTTCTCCTCCATAGATACAACTCCACTTTTGTTTGTTTTGATTTTCCTGCTTAAGTGTTAGCGTGGGTGTAGTCAATGCGGGGTTGCCATTGGTCAGTGCTATCAGATACTGTCGATCTCCTTATGTAAGATCGTCGGAGGGAAAAAAGTAATTTTCTGGGTTCTCGGTTGGAGTAAAAATAGATCACATCACATACACCAGCCATGCCTTCAAGTAAAAGTGTAGGTTTTTTTTACTTGCCATATGGCTTCAATTGATAAGTCAACTTTCATCTACAATACTGACGGGAATACTGTACTGCTTTTGACGGACAGGGGGAGCTCCTCAGTATTCTATATGGAACGATAGTTCTCATCTGAAGACCTTTTTCAACTCGTCAGCCACTTTGTAGAGATATTGCCGGGCCATCTTTTGCTAATAGCCGTCGGTGTCCCTTATTACCCATCTGTTTTCCTCTCATACGATCCTAGTAATAAGCAGGCTAACCGGTCCGTTACTAGTTGAATTCATCCAATTGAGGTCGTATACCTGGACTTCTTCATGACCCGCAAAATCCCTGGATCAATACTTACTATAAAGCAGCAGTAGCACGAAGAATAACTTGCAGATGGAGCAAATGTTCACGCCCGCAAGATGGCTTTATGACCTGTGACGAGAGTGTACGGTTAGGTGAGGGCCATTTGGCATAAAGCTGCTACTCGGTAGTGGTAAGCTGTAAAATATATTGTATACAATACTAGTAGTTGCTCACTGCACCACGAAGGAATATATTCGCGACCGAACAGCTCCATGAACGTTTTTCTAAGATAAACAGTGTTTTAGTATAAACTATAGTACATCGTTTATACTATCTATACACTTGTGACGCCAACTATGTAGGGATTGATCATATTACTTGTATTGGTTGTTGGTGGCAAACAAAGAGATAGCAGCTGGGGGAGATCGGCACTACTATAAGAAAGAGGCCTACAAGATTGGTTCGATGATTAACGAATCGCATGCATTTAAAGGACTCGTCAAACAGTTATACATTGACTAGTAGGGAGGGGTACACCGAAACCTGTCATAGGTTTCTGCCCTCAGGGGCACTGTTGAATGTGAGTGACCCAGCAGGTTGCACATGACAATAAAGCTATTCTGCTAATACCAACAGTTGGAGTCTACATGTAGTACGCAATAGATTGAACAAAATCATGATTCAAGTTCTGTAGGATCAACTACATAATTGAAGTCTAATTTCATGAGAATTCCATATTTTTGTGTGCTCATAAAAGGTTCATAATTGCATCCCCGCACATATTAACCAGCTTATTTCTTACCGGCCTTCTGGGCGGCCTTGGTGACCTTACCGGCACCGGCAGCAGCCTTCTCAACGCTCTTGATAACACCGACAGCGACGGTCTGACGCATGTCACGGACAGCGAAACGACCGAGAGGGGGGAAGTCGGTGAAGGACTCGACACACATGGGCTTGGAGGGAATCATCTTGACGATGGCAGCATCACCAGACTTGATGAACTTGGGGTTGTTCTCGATAGATTTACCGGAACGACGGTCAATCTTCTCAAGGAGCTCAGAGAACTTGCAAGCAATGTGAGCGGTGTGGCAGTCCAGGACGGGAGCGTAACCAGCGCCGACCTGACCGGGGTGGTTGAGGACGATAACCTGGGCGTTGAAGGAAGCGCAGCCCATGGGGGGGTCGTTCTTGGAGTCACCGGCAACGTTACCACGGCGGATATCCTTGACGGAAACGTTCTTGACGTTGAAACCAACGTTGTCACCAGGGTTACCCTGCTGGAGCTGCTGGTGGTGCATTTCAACGGACTTGACTTCAGTGGTCACGTTGGCAGGAGCGAAAGTGACGACCATACCGGGCTTGATGACACCAGTCTCGACACGGCCGACGGGCACTGTGCCAATACCACCGATCTTGTAGACATCCTGGAGGGGAAGACGGAGGGGCTTGTCGGTAGGACGGGTGGGAGGCTCGATAGCATCGATGGCCTCGAGCAGGGTCTTACCGGTGACCTTGGCACCAGCCTTGGTCTCCTTCTCCCAACCCTTGTACCAGGGGCAGTTGGTGGAGGGCTCAATCATGTTGTCACCGTTGAAACCGGAGATGGGGACGAAAGGAACGTTCTTGGGGTTGAATCCGACCTTCTTGATGAAGTTGGAGGTCTCCTTAACGATTTCCTTGTAACGGTCCTCGGACCACTTGTTGGTGTCCATCTTGTTGAGGGCAACAATGAGCTGACGGACACCAAGGGTGAAAGCGAGCAGAGCGTGCTCACGGGTCTGACCATCCTTGGAGATACCAGCCTCGAATTCACCAGTACCGGAGGCAATGATGAGGATAGCGCAGTCAGCCTGGGAAGTACCAGTGATCATGTTCTTGATGAAGTCACGGTGACCGGGGGCATCTATTGACCTCTGTTAGATGGCTGTAGAGAGCGAGGTTGTAACTCAAGATGCTTACCAATGACGGTGACCTCATACTTGGAGGTCTGGAACTTCCAGAGGGCGATATCGATGGTGATACCACGCTCACGCTCGGACTTGAGCTTGTCAAGAACCCAGGCGTACTTGAAGGAACCCTTACCGAGTTCAGCGGCTTCCTTCTCGAACTTCTCGATGGTACGCTGGTCGATACCACCACACTTGTAGATCAGGTGACCAGTGGTGGTGGACTTGCCGGAATCGACGTGGCCGATAACGACGATGTTGATGTGGGACTTCTCTTCCTTACTGCAAGAGGAAATCAGTCAGCCATGATCTGAGATGCAACCGGATACGGTAGTCAGGATTGACCTACCCCATTTTGAAGGTTTTGAGAACTTTGTAGTTCTTTGTAAGATACTAGAAAGATTCTGTGAAAAAGCTTGCTCAGATCCTACGGCTGATCGCGTAGAGGTACTGAGCAAAACAGATGTCAGTAAGGAAAGGGTTGATTGAAAGGAAGAGACTGAAAGGGAGGTAGGGGGGAAGGATATACGTACTGATGCGGACGAAGAGAGAAAGAGGAAAAAAGTTGTGGGAGGGGAAGGAGGGGGAATCCTTATATGGAGGGGCAAGCGAGAAGGCGAATTAGTGGGCGGGCTTAAGCCCTCGACCGCCGCCCTTATCATTGGACATGGAGGGGTAATGCCCCACCACGCATGTGCGGGACCGACGCAGAATCTGCACGGCGGAGTCTCTTCCAGACTGTCGACTTTTGGGCGATGACTCTTGTTGCTGCGGCCTTTTGGGTACACCAACCTCGTTGATCTTGTTTCCTTGGTTCTCTTTCGCTCGGAGACCCGACCATGACCCCACCATCGGTCACTATCCTGCCTCGATGATAAAAAATTTTCTCTCTGTGATTGTTGTGTTCCCACCTTTCCGGTGGGTTTTGGACAGACAAACTGGGCATCAACGCAGTTCTACTAGGTGGGCTACTTCGTTTGTTGCGTGTTTTACATATTTGCATTTGAACCCCGCGGTCGTCCGAGTCCTTAATTGGTCCGCTCCCGGTCAACACCCAAGCAGCTGTGGCCCGGCCGAGTGGCGCCTGTCTGATCCACCATGAAATCTTTTTCTCTCATCTTACGCCGTAGGATATCCCCTTACAGCCAGCGTAGGAGGCAAGAAACCAACCTAGGAAAATTTTTTTTCTTTTTAGTGTTTCTTTCACATATGATCGCTGCTGTGTGTGCCCCTCCTTTAGATCAATCCCTTACTGTCTCAGACTTTACTAGTTTACTTAGGTAAAGATCTGTTGCTGCCCCTCCTGAGCGGTGACAATCTAGTTTGTAGATGAAAATTTTTTTTCATATGGACAACGAACTAAAATAGAAAAGTTAAAAAAAAAAAATAAATTATCGAATAACACAAAACTCATCATATATACCATTAAAAAATTTCTGTTGGATAGCTGGTCCCGTGTTTGGTAACAACGCACAAGCTTACCATGGATGAAGGCGTTCCTCCAATCCCAAACAGGCGATTACCTGCCGCCGCTAAGAGAAAATTTTGTCTGTTGATCTGCTATACTAGCTACGTATCTGCATATAGTAGTAATCATAGTAATTGTTGAGGGGTATCGCTGAGCTAGTAAACCACCATACTCCTGGAAAACATACACAACCACCATCTAGAGTTGTAACCAAAAATTAATAATAACACCACTTTTATCTTTTCCCACCAATCCAAAACACTTTTCCCAGAAGAATTCTGGAATGTGATATTTTCTCTTTCTGGAACACCGGAAAGTGAAACTTCAGTTTTCTCTCCATCGGGCACCGCAACTGGTACACTGTTGCCCACCGAGTCAGTATGCGATCTATATGCAGGTCGTCCGCATGAACTAGTAAAGCCACCGACCTTCAAGAATGTAGTCATAGGTTCATCTGCACTTCGAATCTGCAGCTGGAAGAAGTATGCACGGTCGCCATTACAATTCTCTGCGGGGCACTGGGCTGTAGGTGAAAAGGAGAAAGCATATGTTAGCCTCAATCACGTCACTCACGAGAACTGACATCACTTACTAGCCATGCTATCGGCATTCGCAAACTCTTCCTTGCCGCCAAAGACATCCTCCACTTCTTTCTGCTTCATTTCTGTTTTCTCGAAATAACTCTGTTCCAGAACATATTGATAGGGGCAGGTCCGGCACTCAAATCGATTGACCCCAAGAGGGTGTCTTGGAGTCGGGTCCGCGCGCGAGATCGTTAGTGCATTACTGCAGTTAGGACAGACTGCAAAAAGAACATCCCGGGGTTAGCTATGGGCTGTAATGGATATGGTAGTCGGAGGGGGAGGAGGGATAAACTAACAGGTCAAGGGCATCTTGAACAGCTCTCGCTGGATACTCAAATGTCAATAGTCGGAAGAGAGCTATTTTCAGTCAATCAAGACGAGGCGGATCTGCTCTATTACGTAGCCTTCAATCACGACGCTTCGAATAAGCTGTCACTACTGCCACAGTTCCGCAGCAAGGGCTCATGCACATTGTAGACCCTTATCGGACAAGCTCGTCGTTTGGCGGAGAGAAATAATCTCACCGCCTTTGGACCTCTTGTGGTTTGGTTTGCGGCTCTGTTGCAGAAATTAGATAGCCTGAGGTACGCGCCAATTGGACGCGGGGCAGATTGAGTACGGCGGACCGGCACATCAATAATCCGAGCGGCTATCGCAGCGGGAGACATGCATTTACCCCGTAGCGCGGCGGGGAATCTGTCACGAGAATTGATATACGAACAAAGCCATAGACATTCTGGTAAGTAGCCTCCGATGGCTATTCAGTGAGCTCAAACGTTCGGGAAATATACATAGAATCTCCTGATCGTTGTTTCCCCGTATGCTAAATATAACTTTCCAGCTCTTAGTTTCCGGAATCTCCGCGTTAGCATACACCGCTTCCTTACAACCTCCGCTGTCGACCTAGCGCATCATTGTCAGAGCATTCTTAGCTACTGCCTTTATCACATCCACTGTTCTTCGAGCCACAAGTTGAAGCGGCTACAAATCTCTTTGTTTTACTAGGAATACCTCTAATTCAAGCAATCATGGAGGACGAAGTATGTTTTTTTGTTGACCATGCAACGTTCAATCCAGCCGCTTATCATTGATTGATTAGGGTGCATCGCCTCGTGAACTGGTCGTTGAGGCTTGTCGTCGAGACCAGCCTCATCTGATTGAACAAGTCCTAAAGGGTATGGAAGGGAAATCGAACGAAGAAGTGGCCGAGTTCTTCAACGGCGTTACAGACTCAATGGGGAACCACGCTCTTCATATTTGTGCTACATATGGCAGCGGTAAGTCGGTCAGATGGCGGACGGCCCCAAGTGCCACTCTTGGGTCATGGAAATCTGCAACCAAGGAATTCATTCTAACCGCACCCTACGACAGGTTACACGATGGATTGTCTCTTTGATATCCAATACTTTGAATGCGACCCTCTCACCCGCCTCGACAAAGATACTCCCCTACACACTGCTGTACGCTACGCCAACGAGAAGGATCGTGAACTCGGACTGGAGATGATCGAGATGATGTGCGAAGCTGGCTGTGACCCACGAGTCAAGAATAAGCATGGTCAAAAGCCCGCGGACCTTGTTTACAACAATCCAGAGATTAAGTCGATTCTTCAACAGACCGAATACGTTCTTGCAGAGGGTCTAAGAGATGCCCCGGACAATGGTTCTGTTCATGACAGCGCAAGTGATAGCGAATAAGGAATGGAAGGTCACTTATAGTGACGTTGCCTTCTTCCATTTATAGACGTACGACTGTGATGATATGCTACTTTTTACTTTCACCCATGGTTCAATAGATTGGTCAAAAAATATATGCCGCAGGCTTTGTACAGAGCGGAACCCGACCGTCCGGGTCCTGGTCATAGTGATTGACTTTCCGGCCTGCATCCCAATCTTGTCCTTCTGTACCCGAGGGGCTGATGTTGACTTTGAGGATAAATTACTATAGAAGTGAACGCATGCTGATTAGATTTTCGGGTTTAACACATTGGCTGCGAAAAGGTTATATTAAATCCCCGAGATTTTGGGCTTTGATAGCTACATACGGTCGGTAATAGTGCTAGTCAGTCTCGAGTTTCCAAAAAAAGTACGCTTGAGCATGTTAGCGCTTACGAGGTTGATGCGTAAGTTGAGCTGCCTATACTATCCTTCGGAAGGGCTGAAACGCCGAAGCCCGAATAACATCAGGCACGTCCATGACGACTAACTCGCAAAAATTCCTCATAAAGCGTGACTGTCACCGTCGGGGGAAAATGTGATACTTTTTTTGCGCTTCCAAAATACTGTGCTGCTGTTGAGTCTTGCCTTGAGATCTGATTCCCAGATCCTACTCTTGCCCATACAATTATTGATTTGCAACTTGAGGCCGAAACCGCAGAAAACATGGTAATAGCAGAGCGTCGGAACATTGTCGTTCTCGGTGGCTCCTATGCAGGCGTGTCTGCTGCTCACTACTTTCTCAAACATGTGGTGCCCAAGTTACCAGATGCAGAAGGATATCAGGTCATTTTGATTAGCGCATCCTCGCACGCCTTGTGCAGATCTGCTTGCCCCCGTGCACTGATCTCAGACGAGTTCTTTGACCAGGAGAAGCTTCTCGTCAGTATTTCTAAAGTTTTTGAGCAGTATCAAGACGACCGATCTCGCAACTTTCGCTTCCTCCACGGCACTGTAACCCAGCTAGACCATACCGGCCGGAATGTTACTGTGAGTTTTCCCGCGAACGACACTACAGACACGATCGATTTTCACGCGCTTGTGATTGCAACTGGTGCATCAACGCCTTCTCCCCTTCTTGGTCTGAATCGTGATGTCGGGGACCTACGGGAAAATTGGATTGCGTTCCGGAAAGCCCTGTCAACTGCCAAGAGTATCCTCATCTCTGGCGGCGGTCCGGCCGGAGTAGAGACAGCTGGTGAACTTGGCGAGCATTTGAATGGCCGCGCTTGGTGGTTTCGCTCCAAGTTGGCAAACCCTAAGGTACCGATCACGGTCGTCACTTCTGGGCCACAGATCCTCCCACTCTTGCGCCCTAGCCTCGCCAGCCTGGCAGAGCAGTACCTTGCCCAAGTAGGGGTGACCGTCATCAAGAGTGCGCGAGTCCAAAATGTGGCACCTAATGCCGACAGCAAAGATGCCTTGACTGCTAAGACGACGGTGACCCTTGAGGATGGGCAAGCTCTTGAAGCCGACCTGTACATTCCCGCAACTGGCACACGAGCGAACGCTGGATTTATTGACCCATCTCTCCTGACACCTGATGGCCGTGTTGACACCAATCCCTCGACTCTACGGGTTGATAAAGCCGGGCCCCGTGTTTACGCGATCGGTGATGTTTCATCATGGGCACGACCGACTGTTCACTTCATCGTCGAAGCTATCCCGGTCCTCTGCGCGAATATGAATCGCGACTTACTCCTTGCCGCTGGTGAGGATGAGGGCTCCGCGGGTGAGGATCGCTTGTTCAAGGAAGATACCCGCGAGACCCAGTTAGTCCCAATTGGCAAGAGCAAAGGTGTCGGGGCGGCTATGGGGTATCGATTGCCGAGTTTCCTGGTATGGTTAATGAAGGGACGAGATTACTGGCTGTGGACAACTGAGAAACTGTGGAGTGGGAGGCAGTGGAGTAAGAAGCTGTGATGGCGAAGCCTTTCCTGAGTTCGTAGCGCATGAGTCCATTCAGTACACATAACCTATGGTATAATGCTTTAACTCCATCACTATTAATTCATTACTCCGCGACGCCTATACGGTATGGGTACTTAGTACTTGATTGCCCTACTTCACAGAGTTAAGCAATGGGATATAAGAACATACCTCCCAAAAAACTATCTCAGCGAGCTCTGACATCCACGAAAACTCGTCCATTCGGGTCCAACAACCTTCTCTACCTCCGTTGCAGTTCTCCCCATCAGTCCCTTCCACAACTCGGACGTCCCAGCCGGAACCAGTTCCTCCACCTCAAGCGCGATCAAAGCACTGAAGACCCAATCCTGGCATCTTCTCACGCCATCCTTGGGGGCCGTCTCATCTCTGATCACACTGATCGCTTGCAGGCGCTGTGAGCCATCTAAATCTGCGATCTTCGCTAATCCTATGGCATCCACCAGAATGAGGTCCGAGTCCGAGCGATGTTCGAATTCGTACCACAAGCGGCCTAAATCAATGGGCCGCACGTGCAGAAGATCACCGATGACTTGTGCCGGCTGATGGATTGCGAATGCCCAGTGAGATCGATGCCTGGGGTCTTTGCCTTCGCCACTTATTACCATGGAGAGGTAATATGACATGGTTTGTTCCTTGCTCTTGCAATGACTTGTGGTGGTAGGAGATTGTGGGATGCCGTGTCTCCCCGCGTTTCGCCGGCTTTACTTCGGCAAAACTACGACCCTCTGGTCAATTAGGGCTCCCTTTCGACCATTGAGGTCTTTTCCATCCAAATTGGTGGATGCACCGTGCAGATCTCCTCCACATTCGTCCACCCCGCATGCTTGTCTTCCTCAATCTCGAGATTCAGATCAACCTTCTCCGTACTCGTTTTCGGTTCAACCACAGCCGAGAAGGAAGGGTGAGACCTCATTTCTTGACCGTTGATTTAACCGACTGAGCCGTATCTCATGGGACCATCTGGGAATGAAACCTGTTGAATGCACAATGGCCTGTTGAACAATTACGAGATGTCCCTAACATACAGGGCACTATGGCTGGAAGAGAAAACGTTGGTGTTTCACCCTTGTAGGGAAGATTCACTGCGTAACGGCATGGCCTCCTAGAGTATTTTCCTTTCCCTGGCCTTCAGACATACAGATCCCTATATAACCGTGAAGATGGATTGGGACATATACATTACACGGGAAGCGTCCCCGGTAGTTCGAGCCCTAGATGACTGTCACCCCGCAATCCGAGTGTGGAGGAAAACCGGCTTATCCGACGATGTCATTACGTCTAGTCTGAAATTCCCTCAGTGATCTGCGCATATTTAAGCCGTGAGGTGTCAAGGCAATGCATCAGCACTCCACAGTGGAAAACTGGCACGCTCGGCATCATGACTACACGTAGGAATTGGCTGGTAACGGGACTCATTGCCCTAGATTGGGTCAGCGCAGGCTATGCTAGCCCTCATGTCGCTGTGTCTTCTCAACCGACTTACTCTTCATTCACATACACCCAAGTGACTTCAGGTGCCTATGCCACGCCGCTATCGACATCTGTGTCTTTTCCCACACCAATTGCGCCACCATTCAGCAAGGCATCTACCTTGCTGCCTAGCGACCTTACCTATACTACGTACTCATACGACCCATCAGCAACGATCACGTCGGACGGCCAGTATGGTCAGAGTGCGTACGTCAATCTCTGGCAGAACTATTCGTTCGTGAGCTCCCCGCCGTTTACCACCACAGCGTCTGCCACTCCGGTTGCCAAAGCCGAACTTGTGCTACCCCCTGCGCTCTACAATGCGCCTCCGGATACAGGCTTGAAACTGCCAGCCGATTTTATCTGGGGTGTCTCCAGCAGTTCTTGGCAGATAGAGGGCGGTCTCCAACTGGAAGGTCGCGGTCCCAGTGTGCTAGACAGTATCGGCAATGCGTTGTCCCCGGAGACCGCTGATAGGAGCGACGCCAACGTAGCGAACATGCACTACTTCATGTACGAGCAAGACATTGCCAGATTAGCGGCTGCGGGAATACCATACTACTCGTTCTCGCTGTCTTGGCCGCGCATAGTACCCTTTGGTGTGGCTGGCTCACCCATCAACACCCAGGGCCTGGACCATTACGACGATCTCATCGACGCCTGCCTGAAGTATGGTGTCACACCGATCGTCACTTTGAACCATGTCGACGCGCCTACCGCCGTGCAGGCAGACCTGGACTCCCTGCCCGAGAATTTCCTCTACTACGCCAAAATAGTTATGACCCGATACGCGGACCGAGTCCCGTATTGGGTGACGTTCAACGAACCAAACATCGGCGTGGGAACTTTGTTTCAAAAGTACCAAGACCTGACAAATGTACTTATCGCCCATGCAGACGTGTACGACTGGTACAAGAACACACTGGGCGGAAAAGGCAAAATCACGATGAAATTCGCCAACAATCTAGCCATGCCCCTGGACACACAAAACTCCTCGCACATTGCCGCAGCATCCAGATACCAAGACATCCTGTTGGGGATAATGTCGAACCCACTTTTCCTCGGAAAACAGTACCCAGATGCAGCCCTAAACACAGTGGATATGATGGAACCGCTCACAGACGACCAAATCGAGCACATCCACGGCAAGATCGACTTCTGGTCCTTCGATCCCTACACAGCTCAATACGCATCTCCCCTGCCACAAGGCACGGAAGCCTGTGCCTCCAACTCCTCCGACCCCCTCTGGCCCACTTGCGTAACACTAAGCAACGTCCAAGCCAATGGTTGGCTGATGGGTCAAGCGTCAAATGCTTACGCGTACCTTGCGCCGCAGTACGTCCGCCAGCAACTGGGCTATATCTGGAATACGTTCCGCCCGTCGGGGATTCTGATCGCGGAATACGGGTTCAACCCGTTCCTAGAGTCGAATAGAACTCATGATGCGCAGCGATATGATCTGGAGCGGACGCTGTACTATCAGGATTTCCTTACGGAGACTTTGAAGGCCATCCACGAGGATAATGTTAATGTTATAGGAGCTTTGGCGTGGAGTATAGCTGACAACAATGAGTTTGGGAGCTATGAAGAGCAGTATGGGTTGCAAACTGTTAACCGGACGGATGGGAAGTTTACGAGGACGTATAAGCGGAGTCTCTTTGATTATGTCGATTTCTTTCATAGGCATGTCCAGCTTGCGTGAGATAGGGCATGTGCTGGTAGCAATGGGTGATTTTGGGCCAATTCGTTTTCTCAAGATGACACTATCTTGACACTCCGATATTGGCCTACTTTCCATGGCATAGTCAATGACTATTGACGCCACCTCCTTATTTGTACTAGAACTTCGTTGGCTTGGGTGGTCGATATTCCAGGAAATGGTCATTATTTCATCTCCGTATAGTTATTGTTAATGTCCAGATCTTGCAAATGAGCGAATCTACCAAAAGCATGGGCGAGTACAACAGGAAACGTACAAAAGTTCTGCGGCGCATGGTAAGTATCACAATTAGCTTCGTCTCGCCTTGTTATCGTGGCGACTGTGCCAAGTTTCAGGTACAGGAACGGTTCGCTGTTCGGCTGTAGATGCTTTCTGCCAAAATGAAAACCTGTCAGTGTATCTTTTGAACCCCACGAAAGCTAAAACATTGGCCACAGTGGAGATAGTGACAAAATCACAAAGAGGTGAACGATAGCTAATGGCGGCGGCCCTTTCTTGACATGAATGCCGACCTCACGACGCCTTGAGCGCATCGGAAGCCATATGTAAGTAGTCCATGCCCCTCTGTCAGCATGGGTTACATGCTTCTTGCATGCTACCATCATGTGGGAGTATTACTCAAGAAAAGTTTTGTTCATCACAGGTGCCTCGGGCTTTCTGGGAACGGCCCTGGTCTACCGCATCATCTCGCAAGCGCCTGTGGCTCATATATATTTGCTCTGCAGGGGTGGTTTGCCGTATGTATGATTGCAAATCTATAAGTATTGACCGTAAGCTTATGCTAAATCAGGCGTCTGGAAGAAGTATGGCGTCAATACCTACCCTCCAAGTATATCGAGTGCCTCTATGATACCGAGCTTGTCACTGCTATCAAAGGTGATATCCTCGAACCTAACCTTGGTATCGACGAGGGTCATCTTCAGGCCTTACACAAACGCGTCAACATCGTCATTCATACGGCTTCACCAATTAACCTCATGAGCTCCTTGGAGAAGTTAGCAAACCCAGTCATGCATGGGAGTGAGAATGTCGCCCACTTTGCCTTACAATGCCATCAGCTCGATCGCTTCGTATACGTTTCAACGGCATATGTAAACGCCTTCCTTTACCAGGAATCGGATGATAGTGACCCCTACGTAGAGGAGACAATTTACCCTCTGGGTCGCGGATGGATATCCGACGTACGGGACGAGTGGGAGCAAGTACAGCGAGAAGGCGACTCGCAGGAATACAAGGCGCACAATTTTCCCTGGCCCTACGGCTACGCCAAACATCTGACGGAGCGACTTGTTCTCAGCAAATTCAGCGCCACCGGTGAAGCAGGGAAGCTTCTCATTCTCCGGCCGTCGGTGATAGCACCCGCCCAAACCTTCCCATATCAGGGGTTCAGCGTACCGAAATCAACACCAACGACGGTGTTCGCGGCGGGTTTTACTCTCACTCCGGTCTTAGTCGCCCGTGTGGCAAGTCGGGCTAATGACCCTGACACAGAATCAACGATCGACGAGGTCCCCGTTGATGCTGTGGTGGATAGGCTGCTGGTTCACCTTGCGAAGGGAACAACGGGGCCTGTTCATGCAGTGGTTGGCACAAGAGCGCGATACTCATTCCAAACTTTCTGGGCGCAGGCGATGGCACTGCGGAAGTTTCCTTGGCCTCTATGGAAGGAGTGGTTGCATGTGGATTGGCGGTCGAGGTTGCTGCACCCGACTGCTCGCGTGTATGTCATATATGCGGCTTCGTATAGATTCTCCGAAGCGAAGACAGTTTCACTGTGGAAGAGCCTGAGTGAAAAGGAAAGGGCGGAGCTGCAGTTGTTCACATCAGGGTCCAGGAAGGGAGTGGACCTTGCAGCGAGGGAAGACCAGATCCGGTTCGTTGCGGGGCAGTTCGCCGCGAAGGGGTTTCTTAGACGGATCTTGTTTAGGATGTTTTATGCATCGGGTTTCTTCTAACGCCGATTGCCTGGTACGCTATGTTTCGCGAGGCTTGGATAATAGCCTCACGCCAGCATAGTCGGAAGCCAAATAACATCAGTCAACTGTTTGTGCATAGATATACTTATTGCAAAATAGGAAAGCATCTCTCTGTTAAACACTACAGATGATAATTAGCCCAATTCGAATTTAAACCCTCGTAGAACTAACCTGTCATTCAGCCCATAAGCAACAATACATAGGCCAACTCCGCAAACGGCACTCTAGTTTCACAGCAAGATCTAAGCGAAGACCCTTGGAACACTAGCGTCCATGGAGGTTGTGAGAACTAGTTCGATGTAACATTAAGGGAGTCCTCGTGGTGGAGATTCCCAACGGCCCCTGACGCTGTAGCCGAGTTGATCGGCACGTCTGCCAAATCATAGCGACGCTAATCTGGAACCCGAGGGAATTGCTTGTTTCAGCTTGATTACCGACAGGAACAAGATAATACTAGGGTTGCAATGGCATTTGATCGGTATTATCAATCATAACTTGTTGGGGGTGGTGTAGACGATGGTACAGTATCTTGCATGATTTTGGTGATTGTAACGATGGGGTTGGGGATTTGGGCGTATAAATAGGGATTGTTGGACGGGCGTGTAGTTGAAGAGGAGTGCTAGTAGAGCAGAGCTAATTGAGTATTCACACCTCACTTACCGATTTTATTCTGTTTCCATTTTCAAATTATCCCTGGTCGCTGGTCGATTGTACATTCATTATAACTGTGTGTTTCCTGTTATTCCTGGATGAGGTCGTGATCGCAAAGCGCGAAGGAAGCATACTGACAGCATTGCCCTAATTATTGCCAGTAGTCAACCCAATAATCCACCATTAACACCGTCACCATGAAGTCCATCTCCGCTCTGGCAGCCATCATTCCTCTCCTCCCCGTGACGGAAGCCCTTGTCGGTCTCGACTGGAGCGCCACCAACATCCCCTCGACAGGCCTGAGGGACATCACATTTCCCATCTCCATCGCCAACGCCCCGCGCGAAGAAGGCTTCTACTTCGCCCAGCAATTCAGCTTCAACGGTGTCTCCGACGTCGGCTACACAGGCCTCCAACCTCGCCCGGACGCCAACGGCGCAAGCATCATCCACGCCGTCTTCTCTAGCTTCGTCCCCGGCAGCACCAGCACCGACGAGAACTGCAGTGATGGCGCCGACGGTGGTGCCGGTGTCAGCTGTGCCGTCGAGATCCCGGCATCCTATGCGCCCATGTATCATCTCGTTATCAAGAATACCGAAGGAACAACCTGGACCGGAACGCTAGTGGACACCGTCAATAACAACGAAACTCATATCGGAGAGTACACACTTCCCTCTGGAACAGGAGGCATCAAGGAATCCCAGGTTGGGTTCGTCGAGTATTATCCTTGGAATGCTGTTCCTGAGCATACCTGTGATTCGTTGCCTTATACTAATGCTACCTTCTTGAACCCTACCTCCTCTGAGTCTGGTGTTACGGCTACTGTGGGGAGGCCATATGAGTATGGAGATTGTGAGAATCATGCTGGGTTTGATGTGCAGGAGGTTGAGGATGGATTTGAAGTTTCTGTTGGGTTTTAGATCCGGGTCTTTTGTTGGGTGGTTGGTAGGGTGTTTTTGTTAGTTGGTGTCTTGCTTGGTTGGGGAACTGGGTGTCTTACCATTCTCATGTGTATACTTGGAATCCCTTGATATATGACAATCTTTGCAAGAGCTGGTTTGGTATTATGGTTATTGTTCCATTGGAAGATTGGAGATCGGTGACTCACTTATGTTGATTCTTCTCCATTCAGTAGTGCAACTCGACCACACCAATATAATCCGGAAATGTCTCGTGGCTTCGTAATTATTGAGTTGATCCCAAGAATATCCATTGTCAGTGACCCATCTGTGACATACACATAATATAAAATGCCTGCCACTTACTAGCAACAAGAAGAAATGATCGTATATATCCCAGGCCCGTCCCTACCACCCTTCCAAGGCCGGGAGTTGTGATTGTTGTTAGTTGGTAGCTTGGTTAGTAGTGATAGCCCAGCCCCTTCCCAACCTACCCAGCCGAGGCGTGGGATATGGGGATATACGTACCTGATTTGAGAAAGTTGTAGATGTCGTTGTCACTGGCCCATCCGTACCACCCAACCAAGGCCAGGTTGCTGCTAGTCGATAGTCGATGGTAATGGTCGAGTTGAGAGGATCGATTTAGTCGAGTGTCGATTCCCTGGCCCATCCCATCCGCCCAACCAAGGCTATGTCGTCCTTACTATCCAGCCAAGGGTGGAATCGAGATTAGTATCTAAGGTTAGTGGGATAGCCCAGGCCCTTCCCAACCTGCCCAGCCGAGGCCTAGGTTATTTGGGAAGTTAATACTTACCTGATTTTTGTGAGAGTTGAACGTCGTGGACCCAGGCCCGTCCCAGCCACCCATCCATAGGCCGGGTCGGTCGTTAAAGTATGTGATATGTTTGTTGTCAGAAGAGACTAGTATGCGTTAGTGAAGATTGTATGCAAAACCATATCTGTGCCTTACCGTCAATGCTATCTCCATCCTTTGGCTTGAGTCCGTCTCAGGTCTGATATGATGGCCTGTTGGAAGCACCCAAAGTATCGAATGATCATTTTGTTGAGTGAGTGTTTGTCGTATCCCAAGCCCGTCCCAACCGCCCTCCCATGGGCTTGGTTAGTCGATATAAGAGAGTCATGTTAGCAGTATAACCCAGGCCCATCCCGACCACCCATCCAAAGCCAGGGTGATAGTTAGTAACTCAAGTGAGTAGGAAGGGGGTATACTTACCTGATCCTACGAAGATATGTAGTCCAGAGTGCAATCAACAAATGGCCACCATTCGCTCAACGCCTCATTTCGCTTAGGCAAGAATACACCCCAGCCAACTGAGTAGAAGAACACTAGGGACAAGCTCTAGGACCTGTTCCTAACTTGACAATTTCAACTGTGATTCACCAATGAAGCGAGGTGTGGGACGTCGTAGCTCGACAAGTTCGATGCTTGCCTTATAAACATCTCATCGGCTATATCGTGGATCCAGATAACGATCGATCATCTTGGAGGAGTGTAGTAGCCAAGTGATAATCAATTGTTATCCCCGAGTGGACCCCGATAATGATCTATCATCTGGAATATGTTGGAAGAGAGACGATATCCAGATGATAGTCAATTATCTTCAAGGGGGTCCAGATAATGATCGATCACCTGAGAGGAGTGGAGTATCCAGATGATCGTCAATTATCCTCGGGTGGATCCAGATAATCATCTATCACCTTGGAGGAGGAGGAGGAGGAGGAGGAGGAGGAGGCGGGAGATTATCCAGGTGATAGACAATCATCTCGAATCATGTCCAGATCGTGATCAATCGCCTGGAGTTGTATCCAGGTGATAGTCAACAATCATTGACTGTTCGGTATAGCCGATGAAGAGATGTTGTAAGGCAAGCGATAAACGTGGAAAGATAACATTCCATACCTTGCTTCTTTGGATGAATTGCAGTGAAATGCCATAGTAGAAACAAGTTATCGAGTTTATCCCTAGGTCCTTCATTCGTTGGACTGGGGTATAGGCTTGCCTCGCTCGATGAGGCGTCAGACAGATGGCCAGCGTCAGTTGATCGACGATTCCCTGGACCATGTCTACAAACTACAAGTCGAAGTCGATAGTTGGGTAGTTGTATCTATGTCAGTAGTAATAACCCAGGCCCATCCCAACCACCCATCCAAGGCCTGAGTTGATGGGACGAGTACATACCTGATGGTTTAAAGACGTTTTATCTGTCCCAGGCCCATCCCTACCACCCACCACGGGCAGGATTAGTTGGTGTAGTTGTATCTTGTTAGTAGTAACAACCCAGGCCCTTCCCAACCTGCCCAGCCGAGGCCTGGGTCGATGGGAGAAGTACATGCCTGATAGTTTAAAGACATCGTATTTGTCCCTGGCCCGTCCCTGCCACACATCCAAGGCCAAGTTGTAATTGACAGTCGACAGCCGACAGTTGAGATAGTGGAGTAGTTGATTAGCGGATGTTGTCGATTCCCAGGCCCATCCCATCCCACCCAACCATAGGCCAGGTTATATGATTGGATCCTAATGTTAGTAGCGAGTTGCCCAGGCCCTTCCCATCCTGCCCAGACGAGGCCTGGGTTGATGGGGATATACTTACCTGTTTGTGTGGAGACAGCGTGCCTTTCCCTGGCCCGTCCCATCCACCCGCCTAAGGCTAGGTTGTTATCGATGATGTTGATGTTTGTTGTGCCCACTGAGGTTGCTTCGTGTTGTATTGTCGATTGTCGAATGCCCACCCGCCTCTGCCCAAGGTGGTGTCAGGTCAAGCGACGCCTATTTGGCTAAGCCGATGTTATCCTGAAACCCGCGTTAGTTACCTGTATGAAAAGGATGAGACACACACCTCAGTAGATTGGTTATATTTGCTTGTTGCGTTCGATGGAAGCGTGTTGTTTGGTGTCTGTTGAGGAAGAAAAAGAAGGAGGAGGAGGAGGAGGAGGAGGAGCATGAGGAGGCCGGCAGACTCTGTGTCCGGGGGGGGGAAGGTTCTAGGAAAGAAGGAAGCGGACTTCAATTAGGAAGTTTCGGCGTGTATTTCGTCAATATTCTTCGCCTTCTCGATGGATTTCGTCCCTGTGGTCTTCCCAGCAGGAAGCTACGTCCTTTCATGATGGTCCTCTATGATGCAATGAGGATGTAGACTCTGAGACGTACTGTGAAAGGTATTCCGAAGGACACTGATACAGAGGCGGTACCATACAACGAAGAGTAGGCTTACTGATCAACAACAACGCAGGGCAACTACTGGCATCTATGCCTAAGATGCAATCTTGTCATGATGACCAGAGTCCCCAATTAAGATAAAAATTAAAATCATCCCTATTGGGATCCTTCGTATTAGGCTGCCCAATCCTACAAGAGATCCACACGATAGATGACGATCCATGGTGTACTGGTGTATGTTATATAGAGTATAAGGGATAGGATTGTACACGAATTTTCCACTCTTTGCACAAGTCATAGCTCAAATGAATGTATTTAATGAGCCAGTAATGCCTTCGACTAAGAGCCTTTAGGTATGTATGACATGATGGACCCCCTACGCTATGTCAGATTACTCCCGAACACACAAAATATGCTACTAAAGTAATACTTTGATTCTACACTCCCCTTTTAACTTTGAGCCACCGGCACGGATCCTAATCCCTGCAGCTTTTTCTCCGACCCGCTGGGTCACTAACCCCATTTTTTGTCATGAAGCTCGTAGGGCTACTAAGAGTTAACTCGCCTTCGAGGAGGGAAGGAGCTCCCAACATCGTGGTTGCTGATTTGCGATTGATGGATCTACTGCTGCCCCCGGATCTTCATCACTACTACTAGTAGTCCAACTAGTAGTTCTAGTACCGATATGCTTGCAAAATCCTTGCGGGGTGTATCGCAAAAACCCCAATCCGTCTAATTTCTACAAAACCATGGTTCCAATGCCGGTCAGGGTGGAGTATAAGCGGCTTACAATATCACACGAGAAATTGAATTCTGATCTTGCATACATATCCAGTACATGTGCCCTCCCATGCGCCGTGCCTGACTCCTCCTGGCTCCTAGATAATTTCAGAAAGGTCACTGAGGGTTGATGGCAGCATCGCCAGTCGTATCGGAAAGTCCGAAGTCAACCATCCCGGTGCTCGGATGGTCGGACCGGCAGAATCTGTTGAGATCATTGATTGATATAATAGGAACTAACTAGGTTAAATGAACACTTCCCCACAGATGGAAATAACACCTAACGTCTGGCACTCATTGTCCGTCTTCTTCTACCGGAGTGGGGAGTGAGTGTTTTTCTTAGGGCTCAACTTCAATAGTTCCCAACGCTGACCCACCAGATTTTTCGAGAACCAGCAAGAAAGGTAAGGCTAAGTAGTAGTACCTGGCTAATGACAATAGTTCTTGTCTTGACTTCCGCTTAGATAATAGACGCATCGTGGTTTTGTTGAGTCGCTTGCATGAAATGTGGGGACGCGGGGAATCTGTTAACCTTCCTTTTCCGCTTATATATCGATCGTCGCATGCCGGAGAAACTTTTTTTGGGGAGAATCGGACCTATCCGAAATGAAATCAATCACAGCCTACTAAATATGCTGTGTATTCGCGGGTTATACAGGATCTGACCGAAAGACTGAGCAGAGAGATTATGATGGACAGGCAACACTATTGTTTCAAAAGCTCGTCCAAACAGCAACGACCCACTAGTGAGCAACGATGGAGTCTCAGGAATTATGTAGACACGTCGTCTAGTTTGTTTTGCATATACGGAGTAGGAGGACTTTTTTTTTTTCTAGAACCTTACCGTAACAATCGAACTGTCGGCCTACTTTGTCCCGAAAGCCGGCTGGCTAGCATAAGAGAGTATGCGGAGTGCTTCAGACTGAGGGGATTTAATTTACTCGCTACCACAGTGAAGAAGTGAATATGACGCAAGTGCCGATGGGACACCCGCGAAACGGCCCAAGACACTAGTCTGAGGATCGGCAGTGATCGACATTCGTGGGATAAATGTTTAGGGACATCCGTGTGCTCTCCTACTGGTTATGAGGTGGCATATTGGAATGGGTTGTAATACAGCTCAATATCATTAACGTGATGTTCTGGGAATATCATATTCTCAATATACTGACTGGACGGGGGAAAACTTGGGGATTCTTACTGACAGGCAATTTAGGTTATTAAATTTAATGAAGCAATGACGCCAAATTCGTCAGGATCCTTAGACAGTTTAGACAGTGGAGATGCCGATCCCCGAATGGTTCGGAAAACCCGAGAATAATTGATATTCTCGTCGTTGAAAGGAGAATAGGAGGACCAGGAGGAGGTTTACGGAGTACATTGTGATCTGTACTGGTAACCGCCTATGGGCAGCGGAATTTCCGAATATGTCTGCTCCTGCGATGTGAGAGTATAAGTAGAATTGTCGAATGCCCTCACGGTTCCTGAAGAATGGACTCGAAAGGTGTATTGATGCCAAAGCCAACCTAAACACCGCCGACCACAATGAACCTCCTTCTCCTAGCTGGATTGTTGCCCCTTGCGGCTTCTCAATCTCTGTCGGATCTCTACCTCGAGAACGCCCCGTCCTCACCTCGGCCATACATCATCCCCCATTACGCCAACTCCCATGCAGTTACGATTGGCAGTCAACTCTACCGTTTCCCGGTCACCGGACCATCCTCAGACTATGCGTTTACGCTGATGAGCACCAATGCCCCCTACAGCGGCAGTCTCGGTGTGCTCCCGCATATCCACCGCAAGCATTACGAGAACTTCTTCAATTTCAAGGGTCGCTTCCAGCTCTGGGCGCAGTATGGCGAGGAGGAACAACAGGGACGCTTGTTGACACAGGGTGATTATGGGTCGGTGCCGAGGAATACCACGCACACCTTCCAGATCTTAGACCCGGACACAGAGATGGTTGGAGTGATCTCTCCGGGCGGGTTCGAGTGAGTCTAGAAGCCTTCGATGAGAGAAAAAGGACGACAAAAGAGAATGGGCTGATCAGGATATTTGTAGGGACCTCTTCTACAACCTCGGTACAAACTACACCTCCGCCACCAACACACCCTATGTACCACAGGCGACCAATGATTCTTCGGCTGCCGGACCGGATGCTGGCGGAATTTCCGGTCTCGAATCATTCGACGTCTATGCTCAGCTTTCTTTCGAGCCGCGTCGGGACTTCGCCAACGGCTCTGCGCCGTCGGATGAGGGCTGGCACACAGAGGACGCTGCCCTCGGCGAGCCGGGAAAGCCCTACTTCATCGCCAACAACTATGGCCCGAAGTACCTCAACTCCAAGCACGGAGCGTACCAGATTATCCAGCCGCTGGTTACCAATAGTCAGGCACAGGATACGAACTTTACCATGTCGACCATTATTTTGAGCCGGCAACGGGCGTCGAGTTCGGCACCGACGTGGTCCACAGCCGGCGCCACAGCGTTCGAGGTCCTGGAAGGATCCGTTCAAATTCAGATCGGCGACTATCCTGTTGCTCAGCTAGAGATGGGTGATGTGGCCTTCGTGCCTGCAACGGTGTCGTATAGCTATTGGACGCAAGGATCATATGCGAAGGTGTTGTCCGTCAATGCTGGTCAGGATGGACTTAACCAGCAATTGATTGGCGAGGGGAAGGATTGGGGATATCCGACTTTTCCACGTTATTAATCGACAGTTATGGAGTACCAATTAGCGATCTATGATTGGTGTGAAAACGATGTACTGTAGTGTATATAGTCCTGATATTTATCTTATGATTGAGTTTTTGGATTGTCTAGCCGAGGAAAAGCCGCCGGTCGCATTGGGTGGAAACGCGCCCGTTCAGAGTCTAATGATTCTAATCCCCCCCAGCTATCCCTGCCAGAGGGCGTAGGGAAGCTTTTAGTGCTCGGTAGTATTGTATAATTAGCATGGATGTCTGAATGCACATCGAGTCGTTGACCACTTCACCAGCTGCCAAGGAGCGGGGGTTGCTTGGCAAAGAGAAGGAGACTCGTCTCTGAAATGCACAAGGACGGGATAAAGTACAAATTTGAACTGAAATGACAAGGCGAAGGACGCCGTCAAAAGACCTGTATGCAAAGTAGAGCACGTCGCCCCACGTCCCACATTCATAGCTGGGAAAATAGCCGCCGCCTTGGCTGACTATCAGACCAGGATCTCATGCCATGTGCTGTCGTCATAGGCTGTTGAACTCGGCCGGGACAAGGGCTGCTCCATAAGATGGATTAATTTTAGAAGGAATATTTGAGTTATTATCGTATCCTTGCATGTATGCACCAGGGATCATCTAGGACATGAACGGATGCTGGAGAAGCGAACGACACGATGGTAACGGTGTGATAATGCAGCTTCACTGCAGTAGTTCAGTTTATATATAGAATTATGGATGTATTTTAATTACTAAAAAAACAAAAAGACAGCAGGGGAGGACGTGGGAGTTAACTGTCTATCAGACTCCACAGTGGTTGAAAGGCGAACAGGAGGGATACTTTTATTAGGGCTATCCTTGCACGGGACTGACTGCATATGCGAGAGGATCACACCTCCACCATACATAGGATAGTACTATCTCGAAGATTGAATATCGCATTACAGGACCTTGATTTACACGGAGTTTTGCATTTGATAGATTAAATTCAGGAGAAAGGATCCAACCAATCTTCTCGAAACGACTCCGGCATCAGATCGGAGTGGTGGCCTTTCGTTGCCGGCCCACGCAAGGGGCGATCAAACAGGAAAAATCTCCCTTGTTCCAGGCCAAAATTCTGAATAAGATGGTGGTTGCAACCGAGCGAAAATGCACAGAGGCATTGATCATCGAGCGCGACTTGCCGGGGTGATGCTGCCAAGAAACCACTCAACATTCTCATCTTATTAATCGGTGGAGCATCTGAAGCCATCCGACTAGTGACATTCTATTACCAAGCATCGCGAGCCGAGACCTTGTGTATATGTCAGGCCACTATGGTTTGGTTTATGGTTGCACTTCTTCGAGCTTCGCGATCATGACACCCAATCCAGTGGGAGGCTGGGGATTTGTGATATCACTCTGGAAAAAGCTTTCCCTCATACCAATAATTGGATTTTTTTCAGGATTCTGGCTTGCGCGCGTCTCCACCCTACCATGTCCGATTATGCCGATTATGCATTTATCTCCTTTATTCGATTCGCCAAGAATGGATCTGCCAATCCTCCCGACGAATGGGCGTTTGAGACTGCATCACTGTTGCTGTTTTGTCAACAAAAAGTCCCTTTTTCATTGCCATACTAGAGAGAAGACCCAGTAGCCTAAGACAGCTCCACACGTATCACATCGCTTTTTCTAGGCTTTCATGTTAGAGTAAGCAAGATGTGCTTTTCCCAATTGGGGCTCGGACGGCGGTCTAGGAGTTGATACCTTACGTACCTTCCTGTCTTGGGATATGAATGGATTCCTTGGCTGCTTAATTAAAAGATCTGCATGTGCATATAAGTATTTGGCAAGAGTACCTGCAAGCCAGGCAGTTCTCCTTCCAAGTGCTGATCATCCTAGTACTGTGAATTGGTGAGTTCTATAAGTTCCTTGCTGTTTCCCATCCCCTTCCTACCCTTCATCCCTCTCACCAGAAAATCAATCCCTCTGGCTGCTGCTTATTTGTGTTGACACTTGACAGTTTGCAACACAATGCGCGCCCTCTCCCTTGCAAGCCTCATTGGCATTGCCAATGCGGCCTGTCCGTACATGACCGGTGAGCTTGCACGTCGCGACACAGGAACCGACGATGCGACCGCCGCTACAGAGGAGTTTTTGTCCCACTACTACATGGCCGACAATGACACATTCCTGACCTCCGACGTGGGCGGCCCTATTGAGGATCAGAACAGCCTTCAGGTCGGAGATCGCGGCCCGACTTTGCTGGAGGACTTCATTTTCCGACAGAAGATCCAGCGCTTTGACCACGAACGTGTATGGGAATACTATATGGAATGTGAATTGGGTTTGGCTGATCATCCGGTGACAGGTTCCTGAACGTGCAGTTCACGCTCGCGGTGTTGGTGCCCATGGTGTCTTCACCTCGTACGGCGACTACTCCAACATCACTGCTGCCTCGTTCCTTGGTGCTGAAGGCAAGGAGACTCCGGTTTTTGTCCGATTCTCGACCGTCGCAGGTAGCCGTGGTAGTTCGGACTTGGCTCGCGATGTTCACGGCTTTGCGACCCGCTTCTACACGGATGAGGGTAACTTCGGTATGTCTATCACAGAACGATCGTTTCCTTTCACACGAAATTTTTGTCTGACTGATTCGATTCGCAGATATTGTTGGCAATAACATTCCTGTCTTCTTCATCCAGGATGCTATTCTTTTCCCCGATCTGATCCACGCTGTCAAGCCTCGTGGTGACAATGAAATCCCTCAAGCTGCCACTGCCCATGACTCTGCTTGGGACTTCTTCAGCCAGCAACCCAGTTCCCTGCACACCCTTCTCTGGGCCATGTCCGGCCACGGTATCCCGCGTTCTCTTCGCCACGTCGATGGCTTCGGTATTCACACCTTCCGCTTCGTCACTGACAAGGGAGACTCCAAGCTCGTCAAGTTCCACTGGAAGTCCCTGCAGGGCAAGGCTAGTATGGTCTGGGAAGAAGCGCAGCAGGTATCTGGCAAGAACCCCGACTTCATGCGCCAGGATCTCTTCGAAGCGATCGAGGCGGGCAGATTCCCTGAGTGGGAGGTGAGTATTTTCGGCCCTCCTTTCCATCAGCATGCTAATTTCGTAGCTCGGTGTTCAAATCATGGACGAGGAAGACCAGCTGAGGTTTGGCTTCGACCTGTTTGATCCCACCAAGATCGTCCCCGAGGAATACGTGCCAATCACCAAGCTGGGCAAGATGACTCTCAACCGCAACCCTCGTAACTACTTCGCCGAGACTGAGCAGGTCATGGTATGGAGCCCTGAATACGTGTGATTGTGGTTCTTTGGCCAGTTACTTATGAATTTTTTGCAGTTCCAACCTGGCCACATCGTCCGCGGTGTTGATTTCACCGAGGATCCCCTTCTCCAGGGCCGTCTCTTTTCGTACCTCGACACCCAGTTGAACCGTCACGGCGGACCCAACTTTGAGCAGCTGCCCATCAACCAGCCTCGCGTGCCTGTGCACAACAACAACCGCGATGGAGCCGGTAAGACCTCTTCCAGGACGCGATTTATGTGCATATCGGTGTAGGATGCTAAACCCATTCAGGCCAGATGTTCATCCCCCTGAACCCCAATGCCTACACTCCCAACACCCTCAACAAGGGTTCTCCTAAGCAGGCCAACCAGACCGTGGGCAAGGGTTTCTTCACGGCTCCCGGACGCGAGTCCACCGGCCGTTTCACCCGTGCCGTCAGCCCGTCCTTCCAGGACGTCTGGTCGCAGCCGCGTTTGTTCTACAACTCGCTCACTCCCGCCGAACAGCAGTTCGTCGTCGATGCTATGCGTTTTGAGAACTCCAATGTCAAGAGCTCGGTCGTACGGAACAATGTCATCATCCAGTTGAACCGCGTGTCCAACGACCTGGCCCGCCGCGTCGCTCGCGCTATTGGCGTTGAGGAGCCTGAGGCCGACCCGACCTACTACCACAACAACAAGACCACTGATGTTGGCACCTTCGGACAGAAGCTGAAGAAGCTGGACGGACTGAAGGTTGGTTTCCTGGCTTCGGTTGAGACCCCTGCCTCGATCGAGGCAGCCTCGCAGCTCAGCAAGCAGCTTTCTGAGGACGGCGTTGATGTCGTTGTCGTTGCGGAGCGTCTCTCCGACGGCGTTGACCAGACCTACTCCGGATCGGATGCCATCCAGTTCGATGCTGTGGTCGTCGCGCCAGGTGCCGAGGGTCTCTTCTCTACTTTCTCCTTCACTGCACCTAGCAATGCCACTTCCTCGTCCACCCTGTTCCCGGCCGGACGACCCCTGCAGATCGTCATCGATGGATTCCGTTTCGGAAAGCCTGTTGGTGCCCTCGGCAACGCCGCTACTGCGCTCAGGAACGCCGGTATCCAGACTTCTCGCGACGGTGTGTACGTCGACCAGTCGGTGACCAGCGGATTCGTTGATGGTATCAAGGAAGGCCTTCGCACTTTCAAGTTCCTTGACCGTTTCAAGCTGGATCATTAAGCCGGCGTGTACTACTATTAGCCAGCGGAGGATTTCAGACTCTCTCGGGGCATTTTTTACGCAACCCTACCTGATCTGTGATTTGTTTCGTGGCGAGGCCACTATTTCTTCTATGTATATTTGACTCGTAACATATTCAAACAACATCTCGCAGATTATTATAATCAATACCTGTGTGAGCTGGTAGACAACTACATTGTTTTCCACGTCACTATATCTAAGATATCAGTTTTAGTCGGCTTGTTCCTAATGACTTTCCACATTATATCACTCAATTAATAGTTACATCATCCTTTCACATCCTCCCTGGTAACCAGCAGTTCCTCTACCTGAACGCTTAATTTTAGCTTAAAATAGGTGCATCTGATAAAATTCACTAGACAGAACAAGACCCACAATCGCACTAACGACAATGCCAGAAAGACAATTCTAGAAACAAAGATTTAATTAATATAGGTTTATGTTAAGTATATTAGTATGCATAATACCCCTTATATTAATATCTCCCTAACAAATAGGCTACAATAGTGGACATAGTGGGGAATAGTTAATCTTAACCTACTTTCCGACTAGTAGCAAGTTGGTACTACTATCGCTGACCGTCGCTCGCTATGCGAGTCGTTTTAGCCTCGGTATCTCTCTGCCAAGCTGAAATTGTCAGAAGTGGGTTTGTTTGGGTGATGCTGTTATTTGTTTGGGTTTTGGGGTGTGCGAAATGATAGTAGACTGGAACCTGGTGGAGGAATTATGCCAAGCAGAACAGATATTGCACTAACACTCCAAGCTCTTACACTCCTATGATCAGAGTAACAGAAGTCATGCATATGTGTCGTGGAGGAGGAAAAAATAATAAATAAAAATTCAGCTTATATTAGTCACACAGGATTAATGTATCAGGATCCTCACACCCTTCGAAGTGAGCTTCGGCATGGGTATCATAAAATCATGCACCGCAATCACATCCGTTTCATCCGTCTCGTACACCCCCAGCTTCAGCCCATTAGGACGGTAGAGAACAGCCAAGACAAGAGAGATCTCGGCCATGGCCAGACTATGTCCCCTTGCGTTAGTTATTCGTTTGCTGTGACAAGGCGAGGCGGATCATACTTTATTCCGAGACAGTTTCTTGAACCACGGGTGAAGGGAACGTAGTTCCGATGCATGGCCGGGTCAATGGCACCGAGCCAGCGTTCTGGGCGGAATATCATGGGCTCGGGGTAGACGGTTGGGACTGTGTGCATGAAATAAGCGGACATGCCGACGGGGGTCTGGGGAGGAATTGGCTTGTTAGCTTAGTTCTGATGGAGATAGGTATATGGTGTTATCACTCATATAGGAAAGTGACCTACCCCCACAGGGGATGGTAAAGTCCTTGTATTGAATTGGCAGGTCAGGAGAGATCCGAGGAAGACGGTGCATAATGCCATAGCTCAACCTGTGTAGACTTGGTCGTTAGCTCTTCATTTATTTATGTCCTTCAACTTTCGGCCTTTTGTAGGTGAGGGGAAAAGTAAAGTATACCGTAGAGACTCCTTAATAATGGCCTGAAGATACTGCAACCGCTCTAATTCCCTGAACGTGGGAACCTTTTCTGGCCAGCCGTCCATCACGTCCCTCAATTCCGCCTCTAATTTTGCCTTGATCTCCAATCTTGCAAGGATATAGTATGAGGCGAATGCAATCGTGTGGGTAGTGGTGACGACTGTACCCGCGGCCAGGAGAATCTTTGCTTCCTGGACCAGGCGCTTGGGGGGTCGTTCAGACTCGGGCATATCACTTTCGACGATATGGTGGAAGAGCGAGACATCACGGCGGGTATCCTTAAGTTGGGCGGTTTTTTTGGAGCTCATGACGTAGGTGATTCTCTGCAAGGCTACCTGCATGAATGTAGTTTTAGTTTCAGGCAGGTGCAGATTGAGCTAATATACTCATAACGGGGGAAGGGGGACGCACATTCTCCTGTCGATTTAGAGATTGGCCTTGAGGGAAGGCCTTGAGGAGGATGAACTCAGGGATGTAACTCGCAATCCTGTCTCACTGTATCAGCGTCCATTGAAGAACTGCGTATCACCTGAGGAAGACGAAGAAAACTACAACACAACTGACTTAGCAAGTAAAGGAAACCCAGAAAACACAGGGACATATTTTAAGATGCTGTGGATCATGTTGTACCTAATATATCTGTTTAGCTATCTCAGCCGCCAAAAGGTTGAGAAAGATAGTCACCAATCCGACAAAAAATCAGGCTGATCCATGAAAAGACCTCCGACATCATCATCCTTACCGAAACAGACCCGTCTTATGATATCGCTTGAGGAGGCAGAGAGAAAATATGGTTGAGTGTGATCACCGTACGCGTCCCCTCGTACTGGCGGAGTCGTGATTCAAGCTTCCGAGCCATCTCCACAAGGACTGGCTCCAGTCTAACAATTCCCGCCCGGGAGAAGAAAGGCTCTAGAGGTTTTCTTCGCTTGCGGTGGAGATTGTGATCAACTGTTAGGATGTGGCTTCCTACTCTCGCGTTGCTTAGTTACCCTTCCCACATGGATTGAAGTCTAATACCATCCAATTCAATCCCTTGAGCAAACGCGTCATAGTGGCTGGTGCGACGCTTGCTTTCTGTGACGTATATTTCATTATAGAAGTCCGGATCGTGGATGGATAGCTCGTGCGGGTTAATTCTCACGATGGGACCTTGACTCATGCCGAGTCCCGGTATTAATTCTGTTACCCCGAGGGATCATTCATGTACCGTAGACTTGATGCATGCGCTCAATCTCAAAAATGTATTTGCCACTTTTCCAATAGTCGAAGTAGAACTCATACCATCCCGTCGCGGCGGCCAATTTAGCGCCTGGGAATTTTGCTAGTGGGGAGAAATACAGGCGGTGAATAACAAGCCCTAAGCTGTACAAAACAATAAATGCATCTAGTAGGACAGTCAAGTTGATGGTGGCTTCCATTGCGACTCCCAGTATGTATGTAAGCGCAGACGTGAGGGAGGTTCTAAGTGTGAAACAGAATCTACGTCCCAAGCAATCATTTAAACGAGAACAACACGAGAATTGCTGCGTTGGCAATGGGATTTAACAAGAATATGAGGAGAAGGGACTGGCGCGTGATAAATTGTATTAGCGCCAGCCTTTGCAGCATACTTTCAAGCCACATTGTCATATATCTGGGATCGACCTGGCAGGCGATAGCGTAGATTGCTGAGTATTTCGGAAATGCAAGGTATAGGGTCATCTTTGTGGGTGAACACGGAAAGACAATTGGGATGGATGGTCATTGAGGGTGGGGTAAGTAACATGTGAGCATTGTTGCTAGACTTCTGTGATACCTAGATAACAGGCATAATCCTTCAGGAATTCCTTAGTTTAAGACACAGCCGCTAATGCAGCACACCCTTGTCACTGCTCGTTTCTATGGGAGCTGGCATAATCATAAGATACCACGGATGACAATGTAAGGGGAGTATTGCATTGAGCCGAAGCCTTCATCTTAAATTATAGGAGGACACCAGGTTCCTTCCAACGCTGCTCCCTTATTTCGGTATCTTTTGATTACTGTATCTCTTGATGTATGTAGTAACACTAAAATGTGACTGAGATATGTCTAATCCTTATATTCATACCTCTTCTGTCCGTTCAATATAGGAGCGATAAAATTTCGGCGGTGTGTTGCCCAGTACCCTGTGGTTTACGTTCATAACCAATAGTTCCCATTGGGGAGATGGCAGTTCAGCTGGCTCCTGAGATGGGGTGAGAAGAGGTCGTGTTGATCTTTGTGGAAGTGGTTCGCTTATTAAATTCGGTTCCCCACCTAGTTTTCTGCCAGGTTAAACGGAATAAGCGAATCTGACTGAAATTATTCAACCAAAATGAAAGCAAAACACCTGAAAGGGTCACGATATTCGAAGTTGTAAGATGCTGAAAGGCCTCAAATCCCAACCTTCTGAGGAAGCAGTAGGGGCGGTGAGGGTAGTCATATGACTTTTGCTACAGCGGGTCCTAGGGGCCCATTACACGATCTTTAGGCACCGCACTACCTATGGAATCGGCGGCGCTCTAATGTGGTTGGCTGAGCGCGGAAGCTTGCAAAGCATGTACCCCTCTTGGTTTGAACGTAGATGATACTCACTAGCTAGTGATACCTTTCAGCCAATCTCTAGAATGTGTGCAGAATATAGCTAACCAGAAATAAAGTGACCACGGTCACATTTGATTGAGATTCAATAAATCATTTGCTTAACTGGGGTTGAAAAGCTGAAAGATGAGTGGAGACTAGATCTAGGCGTACTACTGATTAGTCTCTACTGAGCTGAACTATGTATGTACTCCTCTGTCGATCTTCCCCTATTAAATCCAGTGTTACATGTTGTGCGGCTCCTAAATTATTTAAAGTGATCTTTCCACTGGTTTTGGAAGGTTTTCTAGGCATTCTACTCATTTTGAATACACTTACTTCACCAGCTCATCCGATATAATTTGCCCGGTCTTTTCCCCCAAGCTTATTGGAACTTCCCCATCAATCATGCCTAGTAAGATTTCTACCATCACCTAAGCACAAAGGTGTCAAAGGAGTCACCAAGGATGTAAGACCGACGTTCGTGGGGTCGTAAAGCTCATGCCTTCCCGCGTTACGATACTTGGGAAGTTATAGAGGTGGATGTTCACCAGACAATTGACATTGATTTTACTTCTTGTGGAACAAAATCCATCCCATTTAACCACCAAATAATATCTGGACACCACAAAGCATCTCTATAGGGTGATTTACGAGGTATTCTCAGGTTGACACATTTGATACCATTCCATTATCCATTTTGCAGGCATTCGATACTCAGTATATTTTATCAATCTTATCGTAGCTAAGGCTACAGGCAGCCTACTCGACGCTGATCCACCGTTGAATAACCGCACTTCATCAGTGGCCATGGCTCCTTGTCACACCACTCAAGTTGAGCGCAGCGTCATCTCAGCAACATGGGTAGAAAAGCTTGGCAGGTGCAGAATAGGGGTATGAGATATGGGGTGGGACGATAAAGTGGCAGCTGCCCGCTGAGAGTTGTGATGGCATGATAAAGCACTGCCTTGCAAATGGGAGTAAGAAGTTCAAAACCTAGAACGTCAAACCAAACCTGACCAATAACTTTGGCCTTGTCTTTAGTCACGAACACTCAGCCTGTGTCAGGTGTGACTTTTCGTGACCCAACGAAGGGGGGCGTTTGGGGTGGGTTAACATGATCCCAGGAACGCAGTCACTGGCTGGTTTGGTGAGATTCCGTCAATATTCTAATCAACTGATTATTGGTAAGTATTTATGGAGGTAGGGGGACTTTTGTGTCGCCTATAGGTCTCAGTTAGATGTCAATATGATTGGTGTGGGTATATTGGCTGTATGGTCGTGCTTGAAATCAAGATATCTTAGGTCGTACAGGCACCCATGTACACATGTTGGTACTGAATATCGAACAGACTGTGAGCAAGTAGAACGGTTTGAGGGTTCAGGGAGGGGTCAAAGACACATAGATGTCCACCTTCTGTGATTACCCATCATGCATCTGCGTAAGTTATAATCGCATATTGCTAGCAGGAGTATGGCGGGTAACATACAGTGCGTGTCTCAGAAGAGTAATTTCAAAAGAAGTGAAACCTCGGCAGAAGTGTATTTCCGGCTCCAGCTGAGGTGCAATGTAGCTGAGTCGTAAACACGAAAAGTCAAGCAACTCAACGATCAGAACGGCGAAGACAGCCGGAGTGAACACTCATACTGCTCTAGCATATCATTATAAAAACGAAAATCACTCACTATGCTCGGCATCTCCTATCCGTTTCAATGGCAGATATGGCATGCTCTTTGGTTCTTGCTATTGTCCATTGCTCAGGGTGTCAACTCACTCCTACCAGTACTTGGTTGGCCAGCTGCAGCAGAACCAAATTATGTGAGAGGGTTTCTGAAGCTGTCCCGTGAATTGGCACTTTTACTAACAACGTGAAGGAGGAAGTGTTGTCTCTAGATCTCGAGGAAAATGATTTTCTATATCGAATTCGGAGAAATTCACGGATTGTGTATGTTTCCATCCTCGATGGGGGTATTCTCCCACCCGATTATAGGACAGATGGTTATCTAGTTCTTGCAAAACTACAAAATATCCCGAAGTGGAATGACGAATGGAAGACCCTCACCGTACGAAATACCGCGCAGGGTGTTAAAAGCAGTATAGACGAGTTTTCACCACACAGGCTAGATCTCGGACAACTTGACCATCCTTTTGCTATCTTTGTCAACTTCTTAGATCTAACAACGATATCCAGAATCAGCTACCGTCTTTCTCGAGTAAGGTATGGTGATGAGATATGGGTGCTAAAAATAGCACGATTTAAACACGAGATCCCATCTCTACAACATGAAGTTTCTATATATTCCAAGCTAATGGCATCTGGCTACCCGCTTGCGCCGAAGTTTATCGCTTTCGTGTACGAGGAAACTAAGAATCGAACAGTGGGCTTTTTAATGGAGGAGGTTTCGGGTAGAATCCCGGGTACACAGGATTTTAATGATTGTGCGGAAACTGTTCGTCTGCTTCACGAACATGGAATTGTTCACGGGGACCTTAATAAGCACAATTTCTTGGTAACAGAAGAGGGCGTGAAGCTATTTGATTTTGAAGTTTCTGCCGCTAAGGAAGACGCGGATCCAGCAGCAACTGAGGAAGAACTGAAAGGACTTGTGGCTAGGTTGGAAGATGAATCGGGCATTGGCAGGCACTGAGCCTTATTCTAATCATTCATCGCAACCCATACAGCTAAAGAAGTACCCACCTGTTTTTAGTCTCTCAATCGCTTCTCAGACATTCCCTGCATTTGTGTGTTGACATCAGAACATCTACATATTGTATCTTGCTGCTCGAGCACCTGAGGTCTCCACTACCGGTGTGCTTTGCACACCTCACGAATTGTGCAGGCCTCGAATGACCGCAGGAAAAGCGTATAAGCTCCTGAGTACAAAACGGGTACGGCATCGGCCAGGTGTCTATTAGTCAAGTTAACTTCATTCTTTGTGACAATGATAGAAGCGTTACCATATATTAAGTTTGTGCTTTTAGCTCAAACAAGCCCGAGAGTCATGCATCCAGGAGACTGCTTTGGATTTATGGGTATAGGAGAGTTCTCAATTCTATCAGGGCCAGCAGTTAAACTCGTGTAAACTACTTGTAAAATCAGCTGCGAGGAGAAGTCGGAAAGATATCGGACAGAACCCCTGGTGTTTATGCATTGGTATCACTTGCGATCATTCCACAATATGCAATATTCCATTATCCAAAGACCAAATCTGTGTACGGAGTACACCTCTGTGTGCCACTGCATGGTGGCTTTCTAAATAAGACCAGTGCCTACTTCCGCTTTGGAAGGATGGCAGCCGATGGGGTCACACCCACACTATGTAGGCTCTTTACCTTCAAGACCAGCTAACTAGTATAACAGCTAAGAGATTTGTTACTTGGTCAATGGTCAAAATAGTTGTGATAGTTGAATCAACATCTGGACTATGATCATAGATGGGGTTTAAGGTGGCGCCATATTTGCCTCCGTTTTACTTATGACACTTTGGCTCCTACCACTACCAGCGCATCACGGTAAGGCATCACTGGCTATTTGATGAAAGCCGGCCCCGGACCAGTGGGTTTTGATTTTATTGGGTAACTCGAAAGATATGTTTAATCCGCCGTCTTGCTTCCACTCGTTTCGAACGCACGGGATCTTGCATATTCAATATTAAGATGAGGCCTACGACATGATACAACAGTAGGATTTCATGGCTTCTCCAAACCGGCAATGCTTTACAAGGAATGAGCCCCAAGCAGTATATATATTCAAGTTCCTCACTTCCCCAGTCTCTTATATGATTCAAGATTAGGTTGCGGGAGTATTAACCTTATATTTTAGGGCCTGGGTCCCACAGTAACACGAGCCCAGGCTGGTGCTCGTTTATACCCTATGCGGATTAGATTCTATAAAGCACTCTGTTATTGCTTGATCGATATTCCACCGTTCACGTCGTAACATGGAAGCGCACTTGACGCGATAAAATGGGCAGCATGCCACCGACTTTTCTTGGGCCATACTTTGACAGAATCCTCTAATGTACACCATTTATATATTAACTATATAAATATGACTCTACCATCTGAGGAAGTATTAAACTAGTATTAGCAAATTTATATTGGTGGATCGTATGGCGGAGGATAGATGTTCCGGGCCGGGTAAACTCGTGAGCGCCGACGTCGGCATACATTGATTTGAGCATTCCCGATGCTATATTGACCTTGCATATATATATCTCAAGATATTCACTTATACTAGCGAGAGCTAGGGCCTTCCACTAAGCTAGTTAAAGACCCTGTACACCTAGTTTAACTCCTGGTCCATGCAACTCAAGTGACACTTAACGGGTTTTAAATTCTCTTTACCTGAGTTATCTCTTCGCGCTAGAAAAATCCATTGCATTTGTCTCGCAGAGGAATTGCCAAAAACCAGTACCGCAAGGTCTTCATATTCAAAATGGCACAAAGAGAGTCAACCCTTCTACCACTAGACATTATGGAATCACAATTGTCCATGATAGACCTCCTTACAGCCATGTTCCCCTCACCAGGGGAAGTTGAAATCCCCGCATCCACGGCCCAATGCGTCGATAAGCTCCGGGACTGGTGCGAGGACCCGACAATTGAACCCTCTGGGATACCCTCAAGCTTACTACTCGCCGTCCATCTACCCATTGTAGAAGGGGAGAAAACGATTCAAGTCAACATCTCAATTCCACTGCAAGGCGAGGATCCAGAAATTGAACAGCCACCGCCATTGAGCTATACGCTTCGACAACCAGACTGGATGTCCAAAGCCGAGGTTGCGGGACTGTCCGCCGGAATGCCTCAAGATGATGTGCTCGAGGCATTTGAATATATTCGAGAAGAAGCTCTCCGTTTCCTTGAAACGAGACAGACTGCCATCTCTGAAGCTATCGCTGGTGATTCTGAACCGATCGTGAGAGTTTGGTTCTACTTCCCGTCTCTGTCAACTCGAGAAAAGAGGGATGATCTGGTTAACCATGCGCCTGGCTATTCTCTTACTGGTTTTGTGTTGGCGGGGAAACCGGGTGTCCTGTGTCTGGAGGGTGGGTCGACGGATATCGATGCTTATATGAAGTTTATTAAGACACATTCGTGGGGTGATATCCCCAGTCATCAGAAAAAGGTTAGCGAGAGGTTTCGGGAGACGGAAGGTGTTCAGAGGGTGTTCTCGGGGATGCAGGAAATTACAGATTCTCTTGGGGAACGGAGTGGGCAGAGGGCTAATAGGGGTGATATGCAGGCGTTAGAGGCATGGCTGCGGGATAGAGGGTTGCAAGAAGCATTTGAAAAGGTAATATTCTGAATGTTTTCAGAAGTTATGAACGATGATATGATTGAAGGTCCGCGAGTCCTTGTAAATTATGTTCTTATAACTGATAGACTTTATTCTAATTTATTTTTTTCTTTTCTCTTTTTATTTATTTATTTTTATTTTTATTTTTATTTTTATTTTTATTTTTATTTTTATTTTTATTAATTTTTTTTTCGAGCATAGTGTGTCGATGTACAGCGTAAACGATAAGTTATACTTGGCGTGGGCAACCTATTGGTGTATGGCTACTGAGGCTTCACGCTGGTTTAGGTTATGTGAACGTGTAAGTGCTCAGACGTGTATCTCCATCAGATTATAGACACCAGAATACGCGTTATTTGCAAACTATGGAGCAATCTCGGAGAATAGATTTGGATAATGCCAGATGACACGTCGTGAACTTTAATGACTCTATATGGCTTTATTGCCTTGGCACAGCAGCACTACTCCACATGGCCCTGTCCATATAAGACAGTCTTGTACTCACATGGCTGGCAAAGAGACAAAATCTCAACGACGCTTTTCACAGGTAACCACTGATTATACCATTTCACAATGCAAGGTACGCCCTCAAATCCACTCCACTGAACCACCATCATAATCCTGGGCAGGTGTTCGACAAAAGGTTAAGACCCTAATACCTCGCTCCTTTAGCAAACGGGCGCGAAAGGACGAGCCCTCATCCTTTGCTCGCTTGGAAGTAGATATCCCGTCGACAAGCCAGACGGATGATGAAAAAGAAAAGGTGGCACTCGACAACCCTTGCGTGACGGACTCCCGTGGTGTGCTGATTCTATAGATTGTAATAGATTCTCACTGGCCCGCTCGACTATCTACGAGAAAACCCCGGCAAGGACATTCGTGGCAAGCTCATTGACGCATTTAATGAATTCCTCGAGGTCCCGGAGGACAAATTAGTGGCGATCAAGCGGATCATCGACCTTCTACACAATGCTTCCTTGCTGTAAGTTTGAGCGCCTGGATATCTCAAATCAAAAGTTTCTCAGTCGGGATCTCGCTGACAGTTATCTAGTATTGACGATATCCAAGATTCATCGACGCTGCGGCGCGGTGTGCCAGTCGCCCATAGTATCTTTGGAATCCCACAAACGATCAACTCGGCCAACTATGCCTACTTTCTGGCACAACGCGAATTGATGTGTCTTACGAACCCGCTTTCATTTAACATCTACACTGAAGAGCTAATCTGCCTACACCGTGGCCAGGGCATGGAGCTGCATTGGCGCGATACGCTCCAGTGTCCGTCCGAGGAGGAATACATCCAGATGGCCTTGGACAAGACTGGGGGCCTCTTCCGGCTAGCGATCCGACTGATGCAGGCTGAAAGCACTACTGGTAGTGACTACGTCCCGCTGGTGGAGACCTTGGGACTTCTCTTCCAAATCAGGGACGATTACCAGAATCTGCAGAGCGACGCTTATTCCACAAACAAGGGATTCTGTGAGGACATCGGGGAGGGGAAGTTCTCGTACCCAATTATTCACAGCATTCGGTCTCGGCCGGGGGATAATCGCCTGCTGAGCATATTGAAGCAGCGTAGCGAGGATATCACCGTTAGAAAGTATGCGGTCGAGTATATTGATTCTACCGGAAGCTTTGACTACTGTGAATGGAAAATCGCCTCATTGCTGCAGGAGGCCAGGGAGCAGGTAAGGACGATACTGGATACCACACAGCGTGGATCACAAATCGAGAAGATTTTGAACATGTTGGAGATCAGCAAGAAATGATCGGTCGCAAGGAGCAATACTGATTTACCAGTAATTATGATTAGGTTCGCTGGTGTATATAATTAAGCTAAACTAGTCAGACCTTGAAAGATAGACAGCTAATGTTATTGAGTTATTGGAACGTGCTGAAGGATCTTCATGAACGTAGATCTTCGGTCCGGATTAAAATCATACTGGCTGGAAATCCAGTTCCGAAGCATTCAGCGGTGTGAGCCTGGTGAGGTTGAACGTCAAGCCCTAGTCCAGGAAAGCGACGAGGATCAGCAACAAACCCCCAAGATAAAAGTTTCTTGAAGTTTTTGCAGCCCAAGCGTAGGGATCACTAGCTGACTATTGAAGTTTAGGGTCCATTCTGGCTCGGCTAACCGATATCAAAGTGACACATACTCTGATCGGCGGTGCGCGTACTGTACCGAAGGCAGCGAAAGTAATACAGAACGGACATGCAACCTACAGGACCGTTAGCATGGAGAAGAACTAGTCAATATACATTTTATAGTATCCATTGTGTTAACTAAGATCTCGGCTTGCAAATTGCCCAGCGCATCCTGTGTCATAAGAGTAGAGGTAAGTTGGGGGTCTTCACGACATCATATTTGGAGATCACCTCAAATAGAGTTTTGGGCTGCCGTTCGAACTTTGTATGTATAAGTAGTCAAACTATAATCTGCACTATAGTATTGATACTGTTTGGAAGGCTATTAGTGTCTCCACACCGTGTATTCTGTAGCCGAAGCTCTGAGATTTGGAGAGAAAGGGAAAAATAAGCGCAAGGTTTGTAGGTTCTGCTACCAGGCCATTTTGTTACCGACTGAGAGAAAAGTCTATCTTCTATTACTCGTATGAACGAGTCTAAATGCCAAACTCCGTAACATTAAAAAAAAAAAAAAAAAAAAAACCTCATTCTTCCTTAGCGCCTCGAATATAGAAAAGGCTTACGTTGCTATTGAAACCTGAACACAGGATATCTCAATATTTCTTTGGGCTGACTAACGACAACGAAGCTCACTGACTTTAAGGAAGGACAACAGTTATCGTGGTTCATTTCATTCACGGACAAATATTTGACGGAGAGGAGTACTCCGAATGCTAAACACATTATTGTATGGCTTCGATCTCAAAAGTATCATCAAGTCGGCCACCTATGGCGCGTCAGCTGCGCCGCCATATTTGGTATCATGTGCAAGACCACCGTCTAGGCAGATATCCTGCAGAATCCGACTCGAGACAGAGTTTCCCGGACCTAGGTTTGATACCTAACAAATAAGTCTGCACACATTGTAGTTAATGCTCATTAAGCTCCATGAAAGCTTAGTACTTGTGGGGACCTCTACTGTCAGGCTCTCACCTCCTCCCATCCTGAGAACAAATAAGACACGGCCATCTCTAGTGGGCGTTCGGGAGAGATTAATCTCGCAGCTTCCAATGAGCTAAGCCCACACATTATGCAGAAGGTCTTGAGGATCCACTGCGACAGAAACAGTTATTATATGATTCCGTAATTACACTTGACCGAGAATTGGGACTCACCATGTAAGAAGCGTGATCCGCTTTCTTGTTCCGCATGGTCATAAACCTGTACGAGACAAGAACATGCAGCCCAGCCAGAAGCCAAGGAGCCAATTGAGCCATGTCATTGTACCACAAAGACATGTAACCGAATGGTATACAGCCAAAGGCAAATAGGAGTCTGGCATTGCCATCACCGAGAGCCATCGGAAGTGTCCAGCTTCCAGTCTCCTTATCGCCCTCAACATCTCGGAAACCCTGAGAATGGGCGACGAGCCCCACCCAAACCGCGATGGCAAGGAGGTGATTTGAGGTATTGGGTAGTGATGCCCCCATGGACTTCCGTGGTGCTGAGAGAAAGCCCCACGTCATAACTGACATGCAGATGGTATTTTTGACGAACCAATGCCGTCCAAGGTTATTCATTCCCAAGGTAATCGTGGCGATGATTAGGATGCATGTTTCGATAATCAAATCGGGGCGGTAAATCGCGAAGCCACACCAGGGTGCAGTCAATACCATCCCACGGCGTTTAGCACCACCTGGGGTAGTAATCTCGGCTGGGATGGGCCGATCTGGCTTGTTGATCCGGTCTTCTTCGACGCTCATATATTGTGTCCATGTATTGAAGAAGTATATGTAAATGGTCAGGTTGAGCACAGTTATGGCTGGATTGAAAATGGCCTCTTCGAAAGGCAAATATGTCAGGGAGCCGAGAATAAAGATGGTTCCAGGGATGGGAGTTGATAGCCAGTCCAGCAAGAGGTCAGTTAGTGGCGCCCGCTCTCGTCCTGATAGCAACCGACGAGGCCGCACTCTTCGACTGATGATCCTAAGTCTACCGCCGTCCTGTCTGCTCCCTCTCTCTGTGCGACTCAACTCCAGCCCCCTCGTTTATGGGAACTATCTGCACAAGCCTATAATTCCGCTCGCCTGTCTGACGGCCTCGTGCACTTCCTCCTCACCATGACAACCTGCAAGGCTCTCTACAGCTTCGACTATTATGCTGTCGCTTGGATCGCTGCTCTACCAATTGAGCGGGCTGCGGCAGAAGCGATCTCAAATCATCAGTTTGCTCTGCATAGCTCCCCACAACATATTCCATGGAAATGATCCAAGGGAACTTCTAAAGCAGAATGAAATCATAAAACAGATCAATTCCCTCAAACCTCCGTTCAGAAACATGCCTCTTTTCGAACTCACCCAAGCCAAAGCTCTCAGAAGCGTGCGGCGCAGCTGCGGCTCAAGCTGCGCTATTGATCATTGCCTGTAACGCTGCTGAACATCTTGACGAATTGCTTCGTTCCAAGCTAGAGAAAAAGGCTAGCCTCTAATTCCGTGTTCTGCGGCATACTGAAATCTGCCTTCTATGCTAGAGTCAAGGCCGTGTGATCTCATCACATCAACAGCGGATAGCTGGTCTGGCAAACTGTTAGTGAGGAACGCGTTCAAATACCCATGCAGATTTACCTCCAACCCTTATCCCCCCCGACCTACTTCCCATAGGAGGCGTCATTCCGTTGACACTTAACTTTACGTTCCGGAATACCCAGGAAGCGCTTTGAAGGAGGATCTGACCCAAATTTCTTCTGGGAGCTTGAGGAGTGTCTGACCCGGCTTGGGGAATGCGGGGCATTGCAGCTTTCCCTGCAGCTGTTGTCTGTTGCACGCCATCGATACGTTCTTAAATTAGTCACAGTTAGGATGTATACCACATTCGAATATCATTCGGTCTCGCGTATTTTCTGAACTGGATGGACTAAGAACAAGAACTAACCGGATTGAAGCACTTCCAGTGCCGTCTTGGTCTCTTCTACCTTCGCAACTGGCATGTACATCAGGAGCTCCTTGGCATACGCAGCGGCAGTCGCCGAGGCGTAGCGTTGCCATCGATCGTTCATATGAGAATCAGCGTAGTCGCAGATTCCTCGGATCACAATACAGGGAGTGTAATTCATTAGGCCAGCTGCCTCCATCTCAAAGCCGAGGCAATCCTCGCTGAGGTCGGCAGCAATCCGATCGCGAATAGCGGCGTCTTTGACAAGTTTATTTCCGGATGCGATGATCCCATAGTGGATATCGGGGTCGGTAGTGTCTCGGGGCTCGCGTTGAATCTCATCCGCCGTGTCGCAGCCCCGACAGTCCAGGCCGGGGACGTGGTCGCGTGAAGGTTTGAACAAGCGGTCGTTATCGAAACCCTGGTGAGCATAGCCAGGATTCTGCTTGGATCTCCTGCTCATCTTCGGATTCTTCTTCAACATCTCTTGAAGAAAGAAGGGAACCTTAGAGTTTTTCCGCTCATGATCGGCCTGGATTCTAGCAAGCGCATTAAGGAGGACCGTCGGAGGCCGTCCGAGGAAGCCATTGCGCTCACACTTATCACCAGACCTTGCCTTGACCAAGTCGTACAGGCAAACGCCGCCGGTGGTCTCATCGGGTTGACTCACGACAACGTCGCCAAGTCGAATATCACGGTCCGGTTGAGCGATGTCGCCGCCTATGCCGATCAAAAGGCCAAAACGGATGGCTGGCAGAGAGGCAAGCAGGCTCGAGGCTGTGGTCGCAGCCGAATTAGTTCCGTAGACTCCGGAGGCCAGAGAGGCAATAACGATGTTGTGCTCCCCCATGCGACCCCATGTGTACATATTCGTGTCGGTTTGGTGTCGAGTGAAGCCGGTCGGAGCTGTATGCTCCTCATCGAGCATCGCTTCTGCAGCGGCCAACTCGATGGGAAGGGCCGTGATCCAGGCAATCGCATAGGATTCGGGGCTGTCGAGGGTTTTCAGGGATGTCATGGTGCGGAGGGTAGCGCACGAGACTGTCAGATTGGCTGGTGGAACGATAGGGAAGTGTGGTTCGCCTCCGACAGTGCGGAAGCTTGAGTTGAATGGTGCGACTTGCCATGTCTCAGACAATAGGTCATGATCCTCTTGATCCTCATTCGAAAAGTATGGCCCATCAAGCGACGTGTCTAAGAATGATGAATCTTCTACGCTTTTAGATGGGTGACTTGAGGGCCTAACGTGGATACCACTAGGGGATTGATTTTCCGACTCAATGAAGGGCGCTTCCGACGCTGATGGTGACAATGGTCTATGACCTGCTGAAACTGTTTCAGGCTCAAATAGTTTTGCCATCACATCATCCAGGACGTCGGCAGCTGGGACGACCAAAGCGGATTGAGATTCTGTGTCGCCTGCAACAATGTGGCCATAGATCTTTCCTGTGCTGGCATCTTGGACTACCGAGCCACAGTCCCCAGGTTGAAGTGAGCCTTCAAATTGAACAAATAGGACGTCGACATACTTCGTGGCATTTGGCAATCGAACACATGAGGCATGGCTAGATAAGATACCCTTGAGGTAATTGCCTAAACCCGTAACAGCTGTCACATTGCAAGGTTTGTAATTGAGCTCGCCAATAATGTCCCGAGAGAGCACGGGTAGATCTGTTGAAAATTTCTCTCCGTCGACAATCTCTATGAGGCAGTAGTCTAGACTGTTAGAGCTCAGTCGAGGAAGCATAGCCGTTGAGAAAGCAAGGTGGGGGAGTGAGGACATTTCCATCTCATCGATAAAGAGACTTGCTCCGCCTCTGATCGTCGTAATGATCGGTGGCTGCTCGCTTCTCACATCGAAGCCCTGAATTGACTCTTCATCGGAAATTGTATTGATATCGCCAAGGTCCCAGTCTTCTTCTAAATCGTTAGATTTCGGGCTCTCGCTGTATCGGCTCATGAAGACAGATCCTTCTTGAGGGCCTGAGGAGCTTTCGTCGTCACTGTCGGAGTCGCCGAGGTCGCATTCACTGTCTTCGGAAGACAATTCCCCGCTGGCGATCATCTCTGCAGCAGCGTCCCCTTGAGAATCGAAGATATGTGCTGGTAGTAGGTAAAAGCGTTTCTCACGGATTTTGATGATGGTTCCAATTGTTGCCGTACATGGATGCTGGTCGTTTGCAGACTCATTTCGTGTGGTCAATCGCAACACTCTGTTTTTCCCTGACTTGAGGTCGACCACAGGGTAAACACTGCAATTGTATAAACCAATAGCCGCCTCATCTTTCCAATCAGATCCAATCACAATATCCGAGCCTACTGGAGATGACGCAAGCTTTCGTATATTTTTTATGTGTGGAGGATAGTCCCAGTCACCGATACGAACCCCCGGCGGACATTGGTCGAGAATTTTTGACTCTTTGATGGCGGCAACAGCAGCCTTTCGCGATTCGAGGTGCTTGCATGAGAACATAATGTATGGACTTGCAGCCGCCTGGGACTTGCCAATCATGAAAATGTCGAACTGAATGAAGCTGGAGCTGGGGACAGGGATTCCGGCGCTGCTGAGATGATCTTTGATCTGTCCTTTGATTTTTTTCAAATGCCTCTCTGGCAGGACCTCTGGCATCCCAGTAATGGTATTTGCCTTTCTTGATGCCCCGATATCTTTCTGTGGATAGCTCCGGCTCTGGCCAGCGGGCCTCACGCCTCGGGAGGATTGAAATGCTCGCGGGAAGAAGCCGCGAGTTCATAGTGGCAATGAGGATAGAACTGGGCTTCGGTAGACCCAGTACTTATTAACAATAAGAGGCCTCGAATTCTCCACATGAAGATTAGGCCAGCTGGGACTTCGAGTGTGACTTAAGTATAGAGTAGACGGGTAAGAAGGTGGAAGGGGACAAAGAGGCTGGACAATGCATCGAGGTAGCGGAAATTCCTGTTCAATGTAGCTAGGTGTTGTTTCTGGTTTTGACCGCAACTTATGGGCATCTATGACCGTGCCTCGTATTCTTCGCGCGGATTTAGGCAGCAACCACCCGTGGGCTGAGCTGTAAGCCAAACGTGAGTGCGGCTGTGCACTACACCCGGGTGTATGCAACAATCCCTGTCACACTGGCTGGGCAACAACGGTTGGAAGATAAATATGTCAGCCGCTTCAGGCCTCCAGCGAAGACTCAATGATTTCGAGTACTCAGAATGGGTACCCCATAATGGCATCCTAATATTGACCCCCTTGATGTTTCTTTTCTTGAATTTCCTATTCCTTCAGAGCGACAAGAAGATATTGTCTCCAAATTCTGGGGCAACAGCCAGAAATATCCAAAGTCGTATTTTCTTCCATGGATCCAATGTTATACTGAGCAATGCAGAATCGCATACCAGTCATACGGAAGCCATCTTGCCATCCGCACCCATCAACATATCGTGGACACTGCTAAGCGCATCCAAGAAAAACTCTCACGCTCTGAGGTTTATGATTTTGTCGGACAGTGCCAGTGGACCGGTGCTTCGACATCGAGAGACTCTATCAATGCCTCCATAGATCTCACTGCTCGACTCCTCTATATGCTTGATATTGGCGAGTTCCAAAATGGACACTCGGGGAGGAGACCATTACTTTGGGTCTATGGCTCTCTCCAGGACTTCGTTCGAGAGACACTGTGTGGAGCGGACTCTCTTCCTGACGACGGAATCAAATTCGACAAAACATTCAGTATCTGCCGCATGGTTGGCATCGCGGGCTTCAAAGTGGAACTAACGTCAAATTTGTCTGATCATCTTCGGTTCAGAGACTCCGATAAGACTGTCAAGGTTTTCCACCATGCATCGTTTCTGGAGGCTCACAAACAGTATGTGAGCAGCTATTCCTTTTTCCCCTTTCGTCTTCGATTCAACAGTGTGACAACTGATGTTGCATAGAACCTCGATGTACCCCTCAGGTCTTGTCGAGGAGACATTGGCTACACTGGCCCTCTTCTTTCCAAAAGGAGACAAAGAGATTGAGAGATGGTACAAGAAGCAGGATCATGCCGATGAGTTGGACGAGAACATACTGAGGTGCGCCAAGATTGACATAGGAATAAAAGAATACAGATATTGGCATGATCGTCTTGTGATTATCAAGACAGAATTTGACGAGTCTCGTCCATCAACGATCACACAATGGTGGAAAGACAGACGCGATGGTAGTCAGTGGTATCCATTGTGGGTTGCCATCTCCTTGGCCGTCTTGTTTGGTCTCGTTCAGAGCATAGAGGGCGCGTTACAGGTGTACAAAGCATTCAACCCTTAGTCTCGCGGATGGCTGATGCTGGTAAGCTGGAGGGACGGAAAGAGAGATATCCGCCACTAGGAAGAGAATAAGGATTATTTCAACTAGTACCTACTCAGGAGGATAAATACGGATACTAAATCTCATCAAGGAGTCTAACAATTGGATTATCGGCTTGTACATGAAACTTTCGTACCATACGAAGCAATAGGCCAACAGGTCTTGATCTCCGGATAGAAAGGTCGTCCCGAACTCAATAACCATTCACAAGATATTCATTTCTAGTTGGTCTCAACATCAAAGGACGTTCTCGCGGCAAACAATCTTTTGACGGCTCTCTCGTCGTTTATAACAGGGTGTAGAATTTATGGTGGAAAACTTTGGAGCGATATTTACTTGTCCATTCAGACCTAGTCATCAAAAAGCGATTCCTGCGATGCGGCAAACAATTATATATAAAGCGCCGTTCACTGTGCAACAGCCAACTGCGGCAGCATCTTCTGCTGGCAGATCACTGGTAGCTATGGAACGTCAAATGTAGGGCACACGGTTAGGGCCTCATTCCATCCAGGTCGCTCTGTTGATGCCTATTTTGCCATTTAAATATCTTTTGACTCCCTTTCCAGGCTTAGACCACTCCGTGGCAAACCGCCATCATAGAGGAGTCAGTGCATCACTTTTCAAATTACATACATCTTCGTAGCGCTTGTCCTTATCATGAAGGACGAGGGTGCCAATAGACGTGGTGTAATTTGTCGGCGCGAAACCGCTCTGACCGCTCTGACGAGGCGCTATTCTTGTGCTTTGCCCAGCCTCTTTTTCCGGAGTCAGTTCTGATCAGGGTCAGTTCAGGCCACCAAAAATTGGGGATTGGACACGAGCGCGGAGGGTTGGGAGAAAACGAAGCGGTCCGGTGTCATCAAATAAGGGAGGGCAGTGTGCGGCAGCAGGAATATTAAAATGCCGCCAAGGCTAGGGGTTCCGTGAGGTTCGACCAAGCTCCAGCTAATGGTTCGCGCAAGGCCTATAGAGGCCCACAACATCAACGAATCACAAAAAAGGGGTGAAGAAAGACATACAACAGGATGGATTTGCTGGTGGTCAGTCACCCAACCTCTATAATATTCTCTCTCAATGGGTCATTTAACGGCGATCTATTGGACATCACGTGGCTGTGACAGCTTAACAAAAGGTGGGTCTCTATTTATATATACACACTCACGCCCTCCATGCGTTCTACAGGTGGTGGTGGTGGTGGTGCATTCATACTCTGACCCTTCGCCGAAGCGATATGTTGGATACCACTATCTAATCCTTGTCTATATCTATTTACTGTAAACCATAACATCCAGATGAATCTTGAGCCTCGTCACGGCCGGTGGTGGCCTACATGCCTAGTGTTCCGTTCAGCGGCCCTGTGGCACGCGGCGTTGAAACCTCCGTGATGCCTCTGAAAAGTCCATTACTGCACCTAAGATGCTACCACCTTGTATACCATCCTCATTACCTTTCTTACCGTGAGATCCTCCCCCTAGTATACCTAATTTGTCGTTGAATGCGGCCCCAATTTTCTTCCATAGCGTTTGTCTTATGACCTCCAATTTTGGATGGTCGACCAGGACGTGAACCACTGTTTCCGTCGGTCCTCATTCACACTTGTCAGCTTGTCTAAAGCGATGTTGTATGCCATCCGTTGCCAGCTTACACCCAAGCATCCCATCTAACATGGCCAACAGTGCTTTTATCTTCTCAGCATAGGTAGAAAGCTTATCATAGACGCCACAAGGCATGGTTCGCTTGTTCGTTTCGTTAGTCATTCTTGCCAACCCAATTGTCGCGTGGAAATGTGGATAGTGGGGCGAGAGCCGCGGCTGGTGCCCTTTGTCGATCATGATATTGAAGCGAAAGAGGAGTTAACGTTCGACTACCGCTTTGAGTGAGCATACGCCACTGCTGCTGATAAGTATGGACCAACCGTATCTCCAGATCATTCTCCCAGGGCAGGGTCCACAAATGCCTATGTGGTTCGGCAGGCTGTCGCGGTATGCTTGAGAGCAGTAAACTGAAAGATAGCGAGTAGGAACCCTCAGGATCCTGGATTAGACTCAACAAAATGCCTTGATAGTGGTCTGTGCTAGGTGTCATCGCAGTACTATCACTGCCATCGAAACTAGGAGATATCCATGCTCTCAGCTTCGGCCAAGTAGTATTTCAAGACGATCTCGTCGACGTTGGAACTAGCGTCACTCTTGTCTTCGTCACGAGGTCCGATCACGGGGATTCGATGGGGATTCCGGGATGAAAGCTACATGGTGTGAACAGAAAGGTGGGGAGGTTATGTAAATGAAGGAGGGAGTAGGATAGAACACAGCCAGCGTTATGGAACTTGTGACTAAAATTGGGTTCAATTTTGCAAAAATAATAAGAAGGAAAAAGAATTTGAACATTAATTTAGCATACAGTCGGCTTTTCTCGTAACTCATCTTGCAAATATTCCTGATATTCACGCAAACTATCATGACTAGGAAGGATGTACGGCCGTAACTTCCTGCATCGAGCAACGAAATATGTGGTATCTGACAATTTTTGGCTTGCATGGTGACACAGAAAAACAGTAAATTCGCAGCTGACAATTTTCAAGCTTGAGAAATTATGAACTGGACATCTAGAACCTTTCTGGGAATATGATATGGCATGTGCGGTATAACAGGAGTTCCTTTTCCAAATGGCCAGTCTAGAAATAGTGGCGCTAGTCTAGGCCGTGCTGGTATGCATGCAATCTCTGAGTCATGGCTGGTTGAGCGCGGACTAGGCGAGTCCATGCGACCTTCCACTATTTAAGAAGCGGTGTTTACAATTTGTATTATCTCGTTGCTATTCATCTTGGCAGTGTAGCCTCTGTTCAGTTACCTTCACGATGAGTAGTCCTAAGATAAAAGAGATCTCTCGCCCAGAGATTGAGAACCTTGGCATGAATGCCGCATCGATCTCAGATGTCAGGCATCTGTTGTCTTATAACTGGATTGATGCATCCGTCCCCACCATTGCCGTCCCGGGAAGAAAACCCCACTCTGGTCTCCAACCAGTACTCACCAAAGGGTATTTAAATGAGTGTCAAACTACGTCCAGGAGTTCATTAGGGCATCGTGATTCTCTAGTGTTGTAGAATAAGGTCCAACAGGTGCCGTGAGAAACAAAATGATGTGTGCTGTGAGATTGGTGGGTACCTTATCTAGGAGACTGACGTCAGTTGATTGCGGTTTCCGGTAGAAGTATTTCCCTGTGGAATGAGGTTTCCGCTGGTGATGTTAGTTAATTCTAGTCCTGAAATACGAGTACCGTTATGCTGAAGCTTAAAGTGATTCTGATTGGTTTATATATGGGACCAAGAATATATATTATATATACCGCCATCATTATATCGATGATATACGATATGCTAATAATGAGACCAATACTACAGACAGGATCAAGCATAAGTGAAGCACGTTCCTCAGAAGACCATATAGAGATAGTTAAGAAATCATAAGATAGATATATGTATCCAAAATACAGATAGGACACAGATTTGAAAGTCTTGCACCTGTCACTGTATAGTATGAAGTATTAAGCAACGCAATGATTAGCCCACATCCATAAAAGTGCCGCCAATGAGACGAGAAAGCTCCCCACATTCCATGCTATGGCCCAATCACCATATATGAATTTAGCAGCGACTACCATTATGAAAAGTGCGGTTGTGCTCAGAGGTAAGAGTATGTGTTGCGGATCTAGTTCCCAACCTTCGCTGATCAGAAGCCCAGGAAACCTGAGCTCTCCCAGCTCCGGACAGTGCCATGTGTCAAGCTTGCGCAAGATATCCCTGTAATCCCAGTTAGGGTCGCCAAATTTAAATCGACGTTAGAAAGCATACAGTTGACTGAGAACAAGTTCCCTACTCAGTAGATCGAATAGTGCAGCAGAATGAGGTTGTGTGAAAGCAAACTTTAACTGTGAGCGTAGATTCAGGCGTGCCAAGTTTCTTTCTGCTTCAAAGAGCCTGTCTTCTGGGCATCTTGAATCCAAGTCACTCCATGATCTGCATTCGCCATTGCAATTTACCTCACCTATGGTAGGGTTGTAAGGGCATGGATATACTTGTGGCTGATAGCCATCAATATCCTGTTCTAGCCTTTGCTTTTTGGCACATAAATCTTGCTTCGTGAATTCACCAACATATATGTTTCTGAATTTAGGATTTTTAATGCTTCGCTGATCCTGTCCAGCAATAGAAAGCTTGCCACGTATATCAGCAATAGTAACTTTCTGCTCAGGCGCATTGATCAATTGCTCACCTCAACAATATCCGCTTCCTTGACTTTCAGAAGCGGTATACACTTTCTCCACCACCCTCTATGACTATACCACGCGCGATTGATCTCTTGCCAGATACCCTTTTCGTCATATGAGTTGATAATTTTGACCGGTAATATCAGAGAATTGATGCTGGTGCCCCAACACAGTAAGATCCAGGATGCATTCGCATCCTCCTCGTTAAGCATGACATGCAAGATCTCTTTGAGTTTCGTCTTCCGTGTCTCATGGCTGACTTTGCGGGGATCAACAGCCCGCGAGAATCTCAATTTTCTGCTTTTCTTAGGTGTAGTTGAACTGCCTGAGCTGCGGTTCGGGCTGGTCGTAGTACTTCTCGATGGCCCGGCTCGACTATACTGAACCCTTCGTGATCCTGTGATATGGGCAGTGATTACTGCTGATTGAAACCACTGATGATTTTGAGGATTGACAATAGGCAATGCAGATTGTTCCTGCCTGAGCAAAGACTGTATTTTAGCATAAAGCCAGGACTCTATTGAATGGATCCTTAGCCTTTGAGCATTCTGGCCCTGGTCATACTGCTCATCGACCTGAGGCCACTCATGACTAAGGTGTGAGACAGTGCTGCGTCGTACCACAGCCGATACGGGCTGAGTGACATAACTCATATCTTCTAAGTTTCGTAGATTGATCAGTATATAGATTGGAGAAAGACAAGATCTTCAGGACTAAACGAGATACAAGAAATCTACCGAACATAAGATATTGGCGGACCATAATCTTGATTTAGTAGGGCATCAATTAGTCTGTAACAAAAGGGTGACTTTATAGATTGTCAGTTAAAATTTTTATCAGCTAAATGCGATAAAGCCTGACCGCGCAAGGCTGAATCTTCATTGTTGTTGCAGCTGTATGGTAGGAATGCACTTTACTATCGGCATATCTGTACTTTTCAAGCTGCGGGTAGAGCTAGGTAAAAGTCAAACTACTGCCCTGCGTTGGCTGTAACGGGCAAATCCAACTGGTCCGGACTTGGTCGGAACATAGGATCTGAGACTGTCGTTGCCGCGAAGCCCCAACCAACAGTGACGCTAGTTTGTCCGATTTGCCTGAACCTCGGATGCTTTCCTCCCATTGGACCTTGCCGCAGCATTGGCCCTCATGTTGACAGGCAGGTCATGGCTGCCCAAAGCAGCCTTGGGTATCAGCCTGATCCCCCCTTTCACGAAGTAAATCTCACTTGATTGCTAAGAAAGCTCCTCTTTGTGGTTGTTCTTGTAGGGGGGTTAGCCTCCTGGGGAATAAAGCAAGGCGTACAACAGAGGTACTCCGCTACCGAATGACAGTGACAAAAGCGCATTCCCTGATGAAAGCCAGCATGGTGGGGACGGTGCAAGCAATGCAGGTGGATCGGGTGTCGGGAATGAGACAAGAGTTGTGATGGAGGCGGTGGCGATGACAGAGGGAACGATGTTTAGGAGTGCGTGCGATACAGCCACTAAGATCAAGGCAAGCAAAAGGAAAAAGAAGAGGAGCGGAAGGCTGAAGAGTAGAAGACAAGGCGACAGAAAAAGCGACTAAGGCAAATAGCGATGGCCTCAGATAGGGGAGACGATAGCAGTACATCTTCAAGTCAACCTGATCGGGGCTTGACATTCAATTCCTCTATTGGGCAGCAACCGACGGACCTTTAGACAGAAACACATAATTATCGGATATTCTTATAAGATTTTAAACCTCATGTGTATCCATGGAGCAGGGTGAGAAGACTTGAGTCAACATATATCTTTGAGAATGCCCAGATCTGATTAGAGTGGCACGGGTTTTGGGTCGGGTGCGGGGAGACCTATCAAAAACCCGACCCGCGTGCAACTCTAGATTTGATACTATAATTTTTAGTTAATCTACTGTCTAAAGTAGTCGGCTTAGCTGAGTAATTATATATTGGCTCCGGAATTGATCCCGGATCGCTCCGGCGTACTGGTTTAATACTCCGGGAGTACTCAGTATATATACTCCTGTCTACCCCCACACTCCGGGAGCAATCACTGAGCAAAAAGCAGCCCTGAGCTAGTACTGTTCCGGAAAGGGAAAGCCGCAAAGTTTCTAAACAAGAACCGTTCACAAGTAACCATGGTAGGGGCTGTGCGCAGTCGCGTCGTCAATATTCCGTCGAGTACGGAGTACAGGGATTTGACTGATGTCCATGGGAAGCTTATGTAGTTCCATTGGCTTCTTTCTTTCATTAAAACAGTATACTCATCTCTCCTACTTACCGCTGCTTGTGGAGCCTAATCAAGCCGCTATTCTAGGTCTTGAGAGGAGGGCCAGACAGTCTGCAATGTGTTCTTCATAGTTGGTTAGTGAAGATTTGAGTTTCTCGGACTGTAATATGCATGCAGTTATCACAACGCAAGGAACACATTCTCCTTACTGGGTTTCTGGACGGGGATCTCCAAGCGTTGTCTCAATGTTGACATAATCTGAAACGAAAATAGAATGATTATACCCATTTTCACTGTCCTTAAGAAAGAGAATGCTTGATGCTTTATGAGCCAATGCGTTAATACAAATATTGAAGGTGGGGAGACCATGGCGACGAGTACTTCCCTCGGTGAGGTTGGTATGGCTAAGTTTTGTCACCCGAGTCCAACCGAAGCGGAACTGGATGTTCCAAAGACACTTCTAGGCTACGAATCCGACTTACATTCAATTGATCTACACTCATAATTTTTGCAACACAGGCCTCGCAAGCTGAGCCATGCAATGTTTTCCATTTCCAGTTTATAATTGTGATGACGTGGGCCAGCTTGAGCAAACATGGGCGCAACACATCCCCACCACCCTATTATGCATGGCAGTGCGGGGTACTGGCTGAATATTTGGCTTCTGGGCACCGGCAAAGCGCGACACCAGCTCAGTAGGCACGGGGGGGGGGGGATGAGAATATTATAGCTTTAGTGTTAGACCTGTCTGGATCCATGGCTCATGAATGCTGAGACTTGCCCACCAGTTAGTAGTATGATTATTCGGGGGTCTACAAAGCAATCTCCCACGAAGCCCTCACGATTCTTTTAATATAGCGATCATGGCATTTCTTGGATCTCTCTCACAGAGCCATGGTCTGCCTTTCCTGATACCTTTTGTCATTTTCTGCTGGGTACCGCATTCGGTATGCATTCGCATGATCGCTTTGTCACTCTCCCGGTCCCACGAGATTCCGCCGAAGTAGTGGGTATTATTGTGGGATAAGTCTATCGACGACTATATTGGGTATTCTTCAGTGGTATAAAGGTGGACGAGCATCACTGGCCCCTCAAACCTTCAAGGAAAGGGTCGTAGCTGAGTTATCGCTCTTTATCTTCTTATATGTTTGAATGGCCCTACTGGAGGTAACACACACACTGCACAGTCTGTCCGGGGCAAATTAGCTCCTTCAATACTATCTTCCTATCTACTTCTAGGCCATAGCTGGCATGAGTGCCGCGAGAAGTGGGGTTTCAAACCTACCCTTTTTTGTCCAGGCATCGTTTCAAGTGACGATTGATCTGAAACCCGTCTGACAAGACAGTAGGCTGCCGTTCGCTCGCACGAAGGAATAATAATAAAAAGACAGAAGGCATGATAATATAATATAGATCAGATACTACTATTCATAAACGTCTCTCATGCAAACTTAATCGCTGAAATATAAAATGCAGCACGCAATTTATTTCTTCAGCTTCAAATCCGCCATCAATCCCACTCCACTCTCAAGTTCGGAATATCTAGTCAATCCACTGGACAGAGTGGCTAGAGTTACTGCGCAAGCTTTGTTAAAATAAGAAAGATGAATAATCATATGACATGTTTAATGATGGAAAAAGGAATCTGGTGCATTTTTTATCACCCTACATAACTACTCTCACTTAGATAGCAGGAAAGAGAAATAAAGGAGAGAAAAAGAAAGGAGACAAAAGAAAATAGACAAACCCAGGTTTGACTTTTGCTACTCGGTACTATCAATACATCTTTCGGACATTGGCAATCGTCCAACAGATACTCTATTCAATTCGCAGTTCAACTCTGCCCGTACTCCTACAGTGCCTTCTCAAAAGCCTTGACATATTCTTCGCAGTCGTTTCGTTTGCCTTGCCATTTGTTGCCGTTATTATCACTACTCTTGTTAGCTGAAAGGGACTTGTTAGCTTTCAACCTCATCCCTTCGCCTCAGAAATGAAAAGCTCTGGACAACCTACCGGCCGCGTTAGCGTGCTTGACCTTTTCTTCCCACTGTCCACTGACCTCCTTGAGGTGCAGAAGCTTCACTGTCTTTTCAGTAGGCTGGGGATCCTACTGTATTGCCTGCACCCAGGTTTTGTACCATGGCTTTTGGCCGCTACTCTGGAGGTCGGCACGCAAGTGGTAAAGTTTGCCATCAAAGTCCAACTGGAACTTTTTGTCTGTATTCACGACCTTACCAATGATAATACCAGTATGATCAAATCCATACTCCTGTTGCGTTTTCTTCATTTCTGTCTCGATCGACGACGCGGTCCCAGTCTTTGAGCCAGCCGCGCCCTCCGTCTAGGTGACCTGGAAGGAATAGGATTTACCCAGTTGAAACTTTTACTTTCCTAGATACTTCTGAGTATCCTTGGAGCGCTTTGTCTCCTCGTGGCCTGCGCACTTTTCGATGTCGATCGCAAGTTCAAGAGGGTCTTCCCTGAAGTTTGTAGGGACGTGCTAAATGTCGTTGGAAAGGATAGTAGGGAGGGCACTGACACCCACGGAGAGGGTGGCCAGAACGACAGAGAGGATCTTGGAGAACTTCATCTTGACTGTTGAAGACTGTGGTGCCTCTCAGATATGATCTTGTCTTGAGAAAGGTGAAGAAAGAATGGGGAGGAGAAGATGGATGTTGTGGTTGATGGTCCATTGACTTCAGTGCCATTGCACCTTCATATGATTATCAGAAAGATCTATACAAGTTCCTCGTGTGAAAGGCTAGACCATCAACAATTGGCAGGCATTGAGCCCATCCGGCCGATTGTTGTCGTCCCAATACTCACGGCGATGTTCCAAGCTGATGCTGTTTGATTAGTACTTCATGGGGGCGAAGCGCGTAGGGTCTTACATAACAGACAGATGCTAACATATATTACTCATTAATAGCCTATTCTTCCAGTTGAAAGAGCGAGACATGGCAGCATATAGGGACTTAGTAAGACGTTCCCCCCCCAAATTGAGAGCTCTAGACGATGAACCATGATCGCCAGGGTCTACGTCCTGACACATGGGGGTCACAAGTTGAATAACAACTGTTATAGAGTCAAGGTTGCAGCATACGTAAATATCAACAACAATAGCTGCCAGGATAACGCACCTCAAATGCTGTATAATCAGACAAGAAGCTGTTGTAAGCTTACCGAACACCTTTTCTCATTAAAGTGGTCTTGATAACCTAGACCTATAGAGCGTATTGATATAGACGGGAAAGTGGGAGTTGGAGTTAGGGCTTTCTGACCCCCCAACGCGGGTCGGATCGCGGCTCACGGATCAGGCAGAGACTAAATAAAGGGCTCATGGACGTGTCCTGTCAGCCTCTTTTCTTTCCTCGCCCCATCACTACTTATTCCTCACGACCTTTCTGTTTTGTTTTTCTCTCCTCTCACCGCACAACATGGACTACTCCATCGACATTGATAATCCCAATTACTACAAAAAGATCGACGAGCTGACGGCTCAGGGTCTCCTAGATCGCGATGCTATATTATACAGGTTGACCCGGAGAATCTGCAAGTTTGGCGTGATCAATTCAGAAAAAGAGTTGCCACACCTCCGCAGGACCTTTGACTCTCTGGCAGTGGAAGAAAATGGCACCAGGACACTCACAGAGTCTGCATTTCTCTCCTTCCTGGAGTCCACTGGCTTTCTTCCTCCATCCATGAGGGACGCAGGTACCCTCGTTTATCGCAGTCTTCTATACCTATCTCAATATTCATTTCATCAGCCAGTTCCCGATTTCCTCACCTACATGGGGCTTAGTCGTGCGCTAGGATGGACCATGGCCTGGCGGACGAGGCCGGTCCACGAAGGAAGCAAATGGAGTCGGACCCGATCACCGGCAGATACCAGAAGACAGCTTTTCCAGAGCTTTGCAACAGCCCGAGATGGCAAGTCTATCCCGTTTGATGCGGAATACGCCAAGGCCCAGGCACAGCGGAGAGCTTTTGACTTTGACTGTGCTAGTGCTGATCGCGATACCTGTAAATACCCTAAGACTAACTATAATGAGCACGGAGATGAGATGTTCCATGACATCCTTGATGCGTTGTTCAATATTCAGCCCCAAATCATTTGGCTGCTGACACCTCCTCGAGATTGTTTCCGGGCGACAGCGAGGAGGCTGGCCGGAGATGAACGCCTTCATGATCTAAGCATCCCCTCTGAAGTTGACCTTCTTGATGGTCAAATGGGACATAGTTTGCAATTCATGATTTGGAACTTCGCAGTTGAAGAGGTGCTTCACGTGGGCGAAGGCACTTCTAATAACAAGCTCAGATATACCCATAACTTGGGCTCCAAGGCTTTGAGTGTATATAGGGAGGCTGAAAGGCAAATGGATTCAGAAAACGCTGAGCGGATTATGGCTGCGGAATCTTGGGAGCCATACACACGAATTTATGTTGCCACATGCTTCTGGTCATTTGTTGAAGGGGCTCAGCTGGTAGGTCTTTAGAAATCAATGTCGTCCATGATCGACAACGACTGATTGTATTCGATACACTAATCGCACGTTTCTCAGTGGCCTGCTAGGTTCATCTGGAAAACGAGCCATATAACTCGGAATCTCCCGGCGAAGGGGTTGAGTTTGTGCTAGTTGCCATGAATCCCCTAACATTATTTTGATTAAGGGAAATAAGAAGCAGGCATTGACTATATATGTCTGATGCTGTAGATAGCTAAATGGGCCTCTCTGTCTCTGAGATGATCCACCGTATGAGTGGCTTATCGTTTTTCAGAACGGCCAGCTTCTTGGTCCTTTCAAAAGAAAGCTGACCACAACATCTGGAACATCCGCAACGTTACTCTAGAAGCGTTCCAATATTTGCTCAACATCAATACCTATAAGAGAATGGTTTGACTTTACGAATTTTTCGTAACAGGCATGGCATTTCATTGCACTACTGGCTAATGGTCTTGATCGATCACCTTGGAACCGTGGGACTACCAACGCCCAGTCCTACAAAAGGGGGGAGAGTTCACCAAAATGATACTCAATGCTGATCACCAGCGATAATCGCTCATACTAGGTGGCAGGTCCTCGATCCTTGTGCCCCATTTGCTCTCCTTCTCGTCCAGTGTAATTTCAAGTGTTCCGCCCTCGGTGAAAAAGTCATGGCCAATCCAGTTCCTTGTCCACGGTTTGCCGTCGCGGGTCACATTCTGTATATAGACCGACTTGTACTTCGGATCAAAATTGATGTTTCGAATGGTGGCAACGTTACCAGTGATCCTGTTTCGGATACTGATTTCCTTAAAGAAAGGCGCAGAAATAAGATAGACGTCCTGGCCGTGTACAGGATACAAGCCTAGCATACTGAAGACGGCAAAGGCGCCCATTGCTCCGCTGTCATCATTTCCAGGAAGGCCTCCAACACTGGTATTAAATAGGCGTGGGATATATGAGTGTGCGCGTTCTGTGGATAGGGCGGGTCGACCGGCGTAGTGGAATTGAAAGACTGGTAAGAAAGCTTGCTCATTTCCCATATTGAGGAGGCCGGAATCGTGAAAGAATGACAGACGATCAATGAATCTAGACCTCCCACCGAGAGCCGTAATCAACTTAGCCATATCGTGGGGCACGTAGCTATTATCAAGTGAGGTTAGTTATTGGGATCCAGTACAAGCTGGGGATGTGGTACGTACAATGTATAAAGCCAAGAACTACCTTCGTAAGTCTCTTTCGCATTCTCATCCATCAGGCACGAATCGGGTTGCAGGTATGGGCCACAGAACATGGGATCCTGATATGCCCAAGTCCCATCTGCATTCCGAGGCTGGAGAAATCCAGTATAATTAGAGCCACGCCAAGACGATGTCTGGTTCGGCTTGAAAAGATTTTCCCAGTTGGCGGCACGCTTCATATACTTTTTATAGTCGCCATCACGACCCATGGTCTTTGCCATCTGTGCAATGCAAAAATCGTCATATGCATATTCAACGGTTCTTGATATACTCCGAGTGCGAAGCCCCTTGGCAGTGGTGTTGGAATCATGGATTGGGACATATCCAAGTGTCTTCCAGCTCTGTAGGCTGCCACGACCTTCCACATTGAAATTCTCAGGCTCAACTTCAGCATCCTTCACTACAGCCTTGTAGGATGTGTTCCAATCCACGTCGGGAATGCCCTTGAGATAGGCCTCGGTAATGAGAACATCGGCATTTGATCCGCCCTGTGTTAGACCTTTACAGAAAGACATACGGCAGTCAGGTAGATATCCTTCGTGACGATAGATATCCACAAGGCTACGAAGCATTCGGGACTGTGAAATGGGGTCCACCAATGTGATCAATTGATGGATACCACGGAATGAATCCCAGATACTAGGCGGAGTCGTAAGTTTATTTTAGCCGGAGTCGCAGGGGAAGCCCTCACTCACCAGTAAAAACTATCATAATAAGGCTCGTCGCTTTTCCATAATGGGTTTTCCCCGGTATAGTCCTGCGGACTGATCATTGTGCGATATATACCACTCCAAAAAACGGTTTGGAGCTCAGTAGAAACACCAGAAGTGTCAAGACTGACGACATTCATCTTCTCCTTCCACGCAGCTTGTGCTGTTGCCACGGTATCTTCAAAGTCAAAGTTGGGTTGCTCCTTTTCCGCGTTGGAACAGGCTTGCTCAGCACTCATAAAACTGATTCCAACCCTTACATCAATAGTGCCATTCGCCTTGGGCGGAGTAAATCTAGCGAACGCTCCTCCTGAGCCACTAGCGTTGAGTGACACTGTGGTTTTACCCGGCCTGGCCTCATCATCCTGCCAAATTCCAGTATCTCGAAGACTAGGACCACTAAAGTCCGCGCAAAAGTGAACTCTGTATGTCCCAATGCCGTAGCTAGGTTCGAAGGTCGCACTCCCAGTAAATCGGCCGGTCTGTGGGTCTACCGAAGCCGTGCCGTTATGTCGTGAATGTTGAAGGTCAGCCATATCCACTAGGACAACCGGATTGAGAGAGTCGGGAGCAGCCTCTGGAAAGCTGAATCTATATAGAGCAGAATGGTTCGTCACAGTCATTTCCGCATGGACTCCGTTGCTCAATGAAATGTTAAAAACCCCTGGTTTGGCTTTAGTAGATTTTCGATCCCACTCAACAGCCCTATCTGATTCCTGCCAACTGCATCTCGTTAAGTTATCGTCCGGACAGCCGGGGTGGATAAAAATAGGGAAGTTTCCCATCGACCCGGGCTACAGATGATAGTTAGCAAACCAGTGGACAATGAACAGAGGACAATGATTATACTTACACCCCCTGTTCCGGAATCATGTGTATGTGAAAAGCCAGTGACATACGATGCGTCGGACGCGAAGCCTCCTTGGTTCGCACCGTCTGTGTCTGCTACGGCCTTGACCATGCCTAGAATCTCAGTTAGACGATATATAACATTATCCTATGGGCCGAGTCAACTCACCGAATGGCAATGTTGCACCAGGGAATGAATGTCCTAGAATGCAGTTAATTCTTGGTCCATTCAATTCCACAATAGGCTTGAGGATTTATACCTCCGTCTGATGTGCCAATAAATGGATCGATGTAATCGAAAACATCAAAGTTTGAGTTCCCATTTTCCCCTTTTCCATAGACAAGAAGAGGCCCAAGATACAGGAATGCGGAGACATTCAAGAGCCGCCTTGACAGAAGGTGATATTTCATATTTTACAAATAAATCCTGAGTGTTGCCAAATTGGCAGGTGAGGTGGGTCAGATGAAGAGGTCGAGGAAAGAAGAGAACGAAACCCGATTTATAGCCGGTCTCATCTTCCTTGATCCGTCTTCAAGTACACAATAGTACTTTTTCTTTTTCCCTTTTAATTTTCAATTTGACCCAGCAGGGCAGATTCTCTCGGTAGCCCGGAAGAGGAGGCGCTTCTTTGACATTAGCCAAGGCAGCGCCGTGAGTGGGTATGACTTGAGCTATTTTGACGCTGTGCCATTAATGGCAGCGGCGCAGTGCAGGTGCAGGTGCAGCAGGGGTTCGATTACCACACTTGTAGATCCTTTCTACGATGGGTAGAAATTATCAATATGGGGTAGGGCTTGTAAATTAGTACCAGTAGCTGAAGTATGACCGGCTCAATATCACAGTGGTTTTGCTATTCTTGATGAAGTGATTTGCGTGATTTTCCCTCACACCTCATGTTTGCCTCTCACCCATATTAAAAATGACAGGCCCATGATAGTGATATCGACTGCTTAGAGACGGACAGCTATGGATTGACGAGTGTGACTTAATGAAAGTGTAAAATTAGTACCGGTCATCAGCGCCCATAACCACTGCGGATGTGGCATTGCATGGACGATTGGCAAAATAACTCACCATAGACACAAGGCAGACCGAGTGTGTTTTGGCGTCGGTGTTTCAAACCCTTGTAGTCTATGCATAAGCGGCTGTCCCTGCAGCGCTAAAAGCCCTAAAGTAGAACGGCGGCAGCGGCGATTCGCAGCTTTTTAGTCAGAGACAATTCTCCATCAGGGACTGTAAGCGCCCACTTAATTATATCACATCATAACACCCATCCCCGTTCTTTTGTTAACTTGACAGGATGCTGCTCAATCTCAATACCTCGCAGAAAGCCCTGTTGTGGCTCTTCATCCAAGCGGCCTTTCTACCGCACACGATTGCTCGACAATGCTACTGGCCAAACGGCGCAAGTACACTGGATGAGCAACAGCCCTGTTTTCCCGATAAGGCAAATAGTCCCTGCTGCGCGACCAATAAACAAAACGGTGACCCAAACGATGTTTGCACTACAACGGGGCTTTGCGTTGCGCAGGTCGAGCCGTATACCGGCCTCGTTCTACAAAATGGCTGCACGGATTCGAGCTGGAAAAGTTCCGACTGCCTCAGCATTTGTCCGGGGTGTAAGGGATTAGCTTCTCCTGCGATATTCTGAGATATATTGAGACACCGGCTAACCAAAAATCCATCACCTATAGCAATGAAACCAGACTACGGCATCCACATCCTCCCCTGTCCGGATAAGAGTCTCAAGCACTGGTGTTGCAGCCTGAGTGGCTCTGATTGTTGCGACAGTGCATTTGAATTAGATATGGGTACATTGATACTTTCCTCGAACTCAACGAATTCAAGCAGCTCAGCTTCTGCATCCGCGACCGTAACAGCAACAAGTACGGCGACAGTCACAGCCGGTACCGGTAACGAACCACTCACTTGTAATGGCGACTGTCATGCAACGTCCACTACAGTGGCTGTTGGTGCTGGCGTGGGAGCTGGGTTAGGCGCATGTCTTGTGGCGACTTTGTGCCTGCTTGTTTTCCAAAGACGCGCATATCAGAAGAAAGTACAAGAGATGAAGATGCTACAATCGAGCGCTTACCCATACGTTCAACAGTATGGGCCTTTCGTGCCTAAGAATCCCGTGGAGCTGCCTCTGAATCAACGGCCTACGGTATTCGAGATTGATAGTGAGCGTCCGATGCGGCCGGAATGAGTTTAGAGTTTACTTTACTTTTACTTTTTTTTTTTTTTTTTTATTTATTTTATTTTTTCCCCTCGGTTGTATCTAGGGCTGTAAAAAGGTCTCATGTCATATGATATATTTCTAAAGAGAAATTGAGCTTTCGGCATGAACCGGAACACCTACAACTTGTAGTGAGATAAGCCCCTAGTTCGTGATTCTCTAGCTCTCGACCTAATATATTTCCCCTCTTTTCCTAACCAGGGTCTTTTCGCTAACAAGACAGTTATTTCCATTTCAGCCTTGTTGGCTCTAGCGCTACCCCTCCACAAGGCCTAAGTATCCACCCATGTAACCGCGCCTGTGGGGCGGCATCTCCAGTTCTCCGTGTTAGGGTCAGGGCGCTTATGCCCAAATTCTCATTGGTTTTATGGTTTCTCTCTGTAGCAGTTGCATATACGGCCAATGGTTGTTGATTCTTTAGAGACATACCAACGGAGTGGCAGTTCGAGATAAAGTACACGTTATCAAGGTAAAAGAAATAACTGTAGAGTATCTGCACCTTGCTCAGGAACGACCAACTTACAAATAGTTAATGTGGTTAAGCCAGACCCTGGTATCCACGCTAAAGATAGTGAGACGATAGATGTGTATCCCTGGCCACTGCCCCTGATGGCCCCGATATTTCTCTTTAAAAGCTTGGTTCTCAGTGTGGATTGAATGAGCCTCAACTTGTGAAAGGCTGACTAGGTCTTTGTGTTGTCTCTCCTACTATTGTTGTTGTGTCGGATGCCTGGCACGTCCCCAGTCGTAGTCCCAACCATGTTGAATGATGTGAAGTGTAGCAACAGGAGGATTATCAGAGTGAGATGTCTGATAGCTGCCATCATTCTAAGCACGTCCATCTTCTGGAAAGGAAGTCTGTATTATGGTTCGATGTTGAGCATCCCCCTTCGGGATGCTCAGACTCAGCTTTCGCTTCATCTTTATCCTTTGCTCGAAGAACACAGGCCTCAATGTTCTCCACCTACATTGCACGGCAACGCCGGGCTGCATAGATTCAATCCGATCGTCGGTACGCCGCAAGAAAACCACCTCGTTGATCCTGATGGCTTTGTAGAGCCAATGCAGGTAGCCCACGATAGCTTTGTCCAAGCTATTCGGCACACTCAGATCGAGCGAGCCTATATAAGGGGAACTAAAGGCATTGTGTCGTCAGCAGGTGGGAAGTATCTTCCTACTTTCATTATATTTCTGCGCCTGCTGCGGCGAACCGGCGCAAGGCTGCCGGTAGAGCTCTTCATGAAAGATTGGATTGAGTACGAACCGTACATATGTGAGGTAGTACTACCTTCACTAAATGGGAAATGCGTGGTGCTTTCCGAAGTATTCACAGGCCCGGATGGGGCAAAACCCGACCTTGAACATTTTCAACTAAAAGCATTCTCGATCCTATTTTCGTCGTTTCAGGATGTTATCTGGATGGATTCAGACTGTTTCTTCCTTTATGATCCTACCAATCTGTTGACCTCCAAGCCATTCACATCCACGGGTCTTGTTACCTGGCCCGACTTCTGGTCTTATACAGTGTCGCCAACGTACTACAACATCTCTCGTCAAGCCATAATCCCCACGACAGCCCGACAGTCCACCGAGGCCGGGATGTTTCTCATCTCAAAAAAGACTCATTTCAGGAGCCTTTTGCTCTCCGCCTACTATAACTATCATGCGTCCTATTTTTATACGATGATCTCCCAAGGCGCCCCAGGAGAGGGTGATAAGGATACATTCGTGCTAGCTGCAAGTGCCCTTGGGGAGAAGTTTCATACTGTCGGTGAAAAGGTGGCGGACTTAGGGCATCCTGCACCGGATGGGGGTGTGTTAGGGGCTGCCATGCTGCACGCGGATCCAATAGAGGACTACAAACTAACACGCCAGGGCCGATGGCGAGTGCGAGATGAGTCTGTTGCCAAAGCGCCTCGTGGATACTGGCTGCATGCATATAGCCCAAAGTTCAATGCTGGCGAGGACCTATTTAGTAAAAAGACACAGGACAAGGATGGTCACCCTGGTCGAGCGTATACGTCCAAAGAGGAGACGCTGAAACGGCTTGGGTATGACGCAGAACGAGATCTTTGGGAAGAGACTAAAACCGTTACATGTACCTTGGAGCATGCGTTTGACGCGTGGAAGACGAAGACTGGGTTATGTGAGACGGTTACTAAGCACTGGGATGCTGTGTTTGAAAGTCCGTTGACGCAGCTTTATACTTTCACAGAGGGTTGATCGAATTCCAAGAATAGCTACGCTAGCACCATGGGATTGTACAGTAACTATATAGATGATGTAGGAATATGATTATCCGTGTGAGGTTGAACCTTGGACTTCGTATATCGTATAATTATCTCCAGGCCGTTGGTATTCCCAGGCTTAAACCCCAATGCATATTACCCAGGTTTGTTCATGCATCCTCCCTCGAAACTCTGCTCTCCTTGCTGCTACCTGACGCTTTACCATTTGAGTCTCAAGCCATGGACACCCGCCATACCTCCTGAGTCCAAACATGTCCTTTGCACTGACGCAGGAGCCTTGAGCATGCCGATCGTAGCTTATAGGAGACTGAAAGGTGCCTAATTATAGCGAATCGTAGAAGGCGTGGTGGGCCTATCCAATATAGTAGAGAAACACTCGTACTTCAGGTTCTTCAGCTGAGCTCACAGCCCAGAAATATCAGGATTGTCACACCGCTCCTTGAAGCGCAGATACGAAGAAGGGGGTGAAAATCACTTCTAAAACGACTCCAAGCGAAGGCCAGTATGACATGCAAGGGGAAAAAGCGAATACGAGCAGGCAAATCCATATACGTGTCGAGCCTTCCTTGAGGGCCAAGAAACGGAATGAACTGTCGATTACAAATACGAAGAGTCATGCATTCCCGTTCAGGAATTGATATGACACTAGTGAAGATATCCGGTTTTGATGAGGCTCCTCGTATATGTCCCTGACGAGATCCACATCAGTAAAGTGTCCATTACATTGGGTGGATATATTTATAGACATGCAGAAAAGCATGTCGATCATAGTTTATCCCCGCGACTCGATGGATGAAATGTAACCCACTCGCAGATTGATTCTTAATCGTTCTTAGTGATGTGGGTCTCTTCGTGTCATACTTTCCGCCAATAATATTGTTTATACTGGATTCCATACATTCCTGTAGGACTCGTCGTTCGTATAGTTCAGTGATGGTACTCTTACAACTGAGTAATTCTGTGAAAGACTTGCCACACTCAAAGGTATAAATAGGGGTCAATACTCCCGGCTGTTGACAGGATATCATCAATTACAAAATCATCTGATCGTTTCATTGTCAGAGTTCGACTACATCTTTCTTCACCGCACCAATTCTGGTTCTTTCAAGGCCTTAAATATCATCCCACATTGTATGCAGCCTCCCTATCCCATCAGCTCATTGAATTATTAGCAAAAGCTAACCTTTCATGCATAAAGTAGTCAATACAACAGCAACATGCAAATCAAGTCCCTCTTCGTCGTCCTCACCGGCCTGATGGCCTTCGCCGCAGCTGCTCCCGCGGAAGCTGAAGCCAGAGACACCGCGAACGTTCAAGCCAGAAAGTCCTGGACTGCGGAAGGTGGCTGCAAGACAGATTGGGCCGGCCGTTGCAACGCACAATGTATCGGTGAGGGTGTGAGATCTCATGGATGCAAGAAGGGCGATATCAGCTCCGGCATTGAGTCGTCCCACTGTGTTATTGGCTGGAATATCTGCAAGTGCTCTTGCTAGACAGCTGTAGTGTCGTTTCTACAGTGATTGTATTTATGGTGAGGGCGAGGGGTGTTTGCTTGGTCCAGGCTTGCTTTGAGGATCCTAGGAATATCAGATGGAGGGGGTTGGGGAAATATGCTTATGTACATGGAGGTTTGGGGAGGATGGAGCGAAGTGTTTAAGATGTATCTAGGTTGTTGAGGCCTTCTAGGAATTGATGCACAAGTATTCTCTGGTCTTTCTATCTATGATATCTTTCTTCCCCTTTCGCGTGAAATGTGAGCTCCTCAGTGACTGGGGGCTTTCCCCGGCAAAATTGCCTTGACAGTTATACCCTATGTACCAGAACCGTTATCTCGACGCTCGCAAACGGGTGGTAGATACAATGATATGGATTCGTCAGGGGGTTTGACGGGACACGCTAAATGGTACTAATCCTCATATTCACAACACAGATGTTCAATTTCCTATTAAATAAACCTTTCCTAGACTTAAAATTATTGATTATACTCCATTGGAATTTCAGAGTAACTGAGTTTCATAGAACCAAATCCAATAGCTGTTAAAGACAAACGTGCATAACAACCCAACAGTGGTACGTGAACCCTGTGAAGTATAACAGCCTAAGATATATTACCCATTTTAGGAAGATGAATCATTTATCGCTCTGGGCGTCACAATCGCAAAAGCAGGGTCAGGTGTAGTGAGCAATGACACCAGCGTCTCCCAACATTTCACGTCGCCGGCCGTAGTAAGGCCATCAAGATCCTTTCGGCCTCCAGCAATCAGAGCAGCCAGATCCTTATGTGTCAGCCAAACTTCCAAAGACGCATCTGTCGTGTCCGACGGCTCCCGGTACTCGATTTCATGGCCAGTCAAGGCACCATTACTCAAGTTCAAATGCCATCCTCTCCTCATGTCCGTGATCATGAAGTCAATCGTGAATGACCGACCCCATGCTTTCGGCCCATCCACACGGATAGAAATACTATCGAACAATTGCTCTAGGTCAAGAGCCATCAATATCTCAGCCGACATAACTAGCTGGGAACCCTCAGGTTTGTTCTGGGGATGCAGTTCGCGCGCACCAGTAAGGTAGAAGTTACGCCAGACACCGTTTTCGGCGCCGTATCCCAGTTTGCGATAGACAGATGCGAGCTTATTTCTGGCCCGGTCATTGTTTTGGTCAGCATAGACAGCATGGTTCAGGAGTGTTGCAGCGAAGCGAAGGTCCTCCTCGTCCGTGAACTCGTTAGCCAGGTCGATCACTTTCTCTATCCCGCCCATGCATTTCACGTAGCGCTTTGCGGTTGCCACAGGTGGATGTTCCCACAGGTGAGCGGGGTTTCCGTCGAACCAGCCCATGTAGCGATTATAGATTGCCTTGACGTTGTGACTGATTGAACCGTAGTAGCCCCGTGCGCTCCAGGTGTTGTTCAAGGATGGTGGAAGATGAAAGTGTTCGGCAATTTCTATGCCTGTTTGGCCCGTGTTGAGAAGACGGAGAGTTTCATTATGCAGATAGGCGTACAGATCACGCTGCTTGTTCAGGAACTCATTGACGTTCTCGTTATCCCATGTCGGCCAGTGATGACTGGAGAATACAACATGGGCATCCTTCCCATATCGAACGATAGCCTCATCAAGGTACTTAGCCCAAACGCGAGCGTCGCGTACCAAAGCCCCGCGCAGGGTTTGAATGTTGTGAAGAGTATGAGTAGCATTTTCAGCCATGCAAAGAGCGTTGTACTGAGGGAAATACATGTTCATTTCAGCCGGCGCCTCAGTTCCTGGAGTTAACTGGCATTCAATTTCAAGGTCATCGTCGACGATGATCTTCTCCCCCGTACGTGTGATATTAGTAGTGGGCGGAATCAGTCCCGATACGCCGGTTGAAACAGTGAGACCCAGCCCGCAGCCGATTTGGCCATCTCGCTGCCGCGGCAGGGACTCGCCGTACATGTAGACCGCTCGACGGCCCATGGCGTTTCCAGCGTAGACGTTCTCGCTCACGGCATGTTCGAGGAATCCATTAGGCGCGTACACCTTCAGGCCGTCACCAGCAGCGTCTGCAATGGCTTTCGCTCCGCCGAAATGGTCCACATGAGAATGGGTGTAGATCAAAGCTTTGATAGTCCTATCCGGGAACTGGCCATGATACAGTCCAAGGGCCTTCTTGGCAGTCTCAACAGATGTGAGCGGGTCAATAACAGCCACTCCCTTCGTGTTCGGACACTCGATGAAAGTGATGTTGGAGAGATCTAGTCCGCGGACCTGGTAGATGCCAGGACGAACTCTGAAAAGGCCCTGCTTTTGGCAAAGTTGAGACTGTCTCCAGAGCGAAGGGTTTGCGAAATGAGGTGGGTACTCTTCTGCCAAAAAGTCGAAAGAGTCGTTATCCCAGATGGCTCGGGATGGGTCGGTGTCCGAGTAAACCACGCATGGCTCTAGACTGGTAATCAGTCCTCGCGTGGCATTTGTCATGTCGGTAGGGTCGTCGGGTGGATAGGATGTTGAAGTCATGATTACAAGCAGATATTACTGAAACTGAGTAGAGGTGTATGAAAGCTAGATACGACTCGAATGCTTGATGATATGAACTGACTGTTTGGGATACATCAGGCATTCCTGGCCTATCTTTATAGCATAGACTTCGTCATCGAGTCAGTTTTCTTCGACTTGAGATCCCTGTTAGAGGTGGTCCTTACGGTGAAGTGGCAGAGTGTGCGACGTGTCTAGCTGTAGGTAAGTCTCGGATATCACACAATCAGCAAATACGTATTTGGATGCTTGCAAGTCCAAATGCTTCCACTAGGCCCCGCATACCCCGCGCTGTAAAGATCTGTACGTATTTACTTTCAACCAACCATTCGGTTTGTGAACCAAAGAATGCATGGAGTGGTTTAGTCAGACTGTGAGGCAGGTGGAGCGTGACGTAGCATTGCCTTCCGCGCCAGCCCGGCATAACCACATAAACGGTGACTGTGGTTTACATTCGATAATGAGAAACAGGCACCACTATCGGTCGTTGAATGATTGTATATTGTGCTTATATCTTCTAGGTTACCGTTGTGCGCTCGTCAAATGAATATTCATACGGAGTCTCCCCCACCCACCTCGATCTGTCAATGATCCTAGAGCAAACACGGAAGTATCGTCCGGCAGATATCCTTAGTCAGAGGCTGTAACAATACATCTGCAAGTGTGGCCAGCCCAATGTGAAATCAAGATGCACTCTTGCTCCACATGCAGAAGCATTTCTTGGCCTAGCGTGCCACATTTTCCCGAAGCCGAGATAGATCGTTGACTTCCTCGTAAGTTTTCAATCCGAATCCATCCACCAATGACTGACTTTGATATGACCTTTCCCAGCCTATTTTCGAGCACACAGTCATGCCAGATCAATGTGGTGAGCCTTGATGTGTCGACATCAATTATGGGATCAACCCGAGGATGCCGTTAACAGGCGGGGTCGGGGTTAGTCTGCAGGGCCAACGCTTGCAGAGCCCAATCTCTGTCACGGAGTTTACAGGTCTATACAGGGAGTTGGATCATTGCCAACACTGACATGCTGCATCTAGTTGTCGAATAATCATTGGAGAAAGAGTAAGGACGATGTTACCTTGTATGTAGCTACTTCTCATGCTTCATGCAACGCCCCCTCTTTTATGTCACTTGGCACAGCTCCTTGGTGATTGGGTCATAAGTACCAATGTTTGTTTCACATGTACGAGGCTGAATCTTATGTCTCACTTGATTAAAGCGAAGGGTGTCAATGGCAACATCAAGAGAAGGAACTCGGAACAAATGGAAGAGTATTCGGCTGTGTGTAGTTTGAGCTCCCCATACATAGATGTATCAGCTGGATGGAGGGGAAATCACTTATAAAGGAATCCGATACATAATAACTACAATAGATAATACAGTATTTCCTCGCTATTGAGGTTCTGCGGTTCTACTATGCCCTGGAACAACGGTATACTCATTAAAAACTACCATCTTCAACACAAACTCGGCCCGAAGCGTCGGGAGATGACTCGATTCTACCATACTAAGTTCGGGTATAATGGTAAAGCACACACACTTTGTATATAACCTGTGCAAAAAAGTATCAGTTCTCCTTATCCTCCTCCATTGCATCATCAACACCATCCGGAAAGTCCACCCCCAAACTAGTCAAATACTCAACAACATCTCTCCTCTCCTCAGCACATTCCACAAGTATAGACGTATCAAGTCTCCCAACATCAGCACCAAACTCCACAAGTAGCTTTACCGTCTCCAGAGCCCCCTGGACAACAGCAATAGATAGCGGTGTCTCTCCATCGTCATCAACCGCTGATACATTGGCTCCATATTCAAGAAGAGTCCTCGCCGTTTCAGATTCATCTTCGATCCCAGCAGCAATATGTAATGCCGTCTGCCCATTACCTGATTTTGCCTCGATATCCTCCCCCTGTTGGAGTAGAGCCTTAACAAACGCACGTCCACCTACAATATGAGCAGCAACATGGAGCGGTCCATAACCACGCGGAAAATACGCCCAGCGCTGTTCAGTGCTTTCAAGCTCGTCATAGCTGTCATCATCCTGATATGGCCAGGCATCTGCTGCCTGAAGGTAGGTGTCAATTGAGCCACGGTGAGATGCGAATCGCAGGAAGTCGTCAAGAGCTTCCTGTTGGTGAGGTACCCTGGAGGTATAGAGTGATATCATCCGTGCAGCGAATGGGAGGAACGGATGGATTTGGAATCGCTTCTTTAGACTCGCTGATGAATTACAGGCTCCACTTTGGAAGTCCTCCTGTGATAGGTAAGACAGGGCAGCACGAAGCATTGTCCCTTTGATATTGCTTTTGGAAACTTCTTCGCGTAAATGGTTCTTGAGAAGAGAGGACCGGATTCGCATCGCTTGGGTGCGAGCGCTGAAAGAGACAAGGCGAGTACACATGTTTGCCACATCGGAGGAGGTGTAGTGAAGGTTCTCTTTCTTGTATATGCCGAGAAAAGGTAGGGAGTCCACAACCTGGGATATTGTCGGCTTATAGCCGATTTCTTCTAGTGTCGAGACTAGGTGGAGCATGTGAAGGGTATTTCGTCCGTGCTCTGCTTTTGCTAAAGGAGCTAATGCGAGCTGGCTAAGCGTGTTGGGCTTTGTCGAAGGTGGTTCATTATATAGGACTTGAGTTAGCTCATTCAATGTATCTGGAATGGTTCTGTGTTGAGGTAGTGGCGGGAAGCTTTCCTTGATATTAGCAATCGTGCTGTAAAGACGAGGGGAGGAAGACATACACGCCGTCCAACATCCGAATAATATCAGACACAGCCTTATGACCGGCTTTTAGTATGGGAGATAAGAGTTTTTCGCCTGATGTAGCTCCTACTTCGTGTACGATGTAATTCATGAGGTCATTGTCGCTTGCCCTCGTTACTATGGTTGGCAGTTCGTAGGTTCGGAGAAGTGAACGGGGTGACGGATAGCGACTGGTTATAAGAATGCGCAAACGAGCCTCCTGAACATCGTTACCTCCAAGGTAGACGAGCATATCCTTCAGTGCAGCTTCAGAAGCATTGACAGCATCGAATACCACGAAGATCGAGTCAAAAGACGAGATGATCAGGTTCCACAGTCCGGTAGGTTTACTTCCATCTAGAGAGCCAAAGGCAGCGTACCCTTCTGCTAGATTAATGATATCAGCAGAAGGGTCAGTAAGTTGAGCCACAAGCTGTCTAGATATTGAACGGAATGCAACACCAAAATCCGCAACATTATACTGCGGATGGCTGTCATCAAAATAGAATACTGCAATTCCTGATCGGCTCTCCTTTGAGCGGATATGATCAACAACAAGGGAGCTGATATATGTCTTCCCCGTTGCAGCTGATTGATTGTTAGCATTTTCATGCCCGACACAAATGTACCATACTTACCCGGTCCGTAAGCCCAGAGAAGCTGTAGACCAGAGCCGTTGATCCATTCTTGCGTTAGTCTGTCTTCCACAAACCAGCTTCCCAGCTTCCCTACTCGTTCACGGCTCAAGGTTTCTTGCCTCTCTGCTGTCGAGTCCCCGGGGCAGAGGTTACTCAGTATATGATTGTAATTATTGTGCGACATTGTTGTTAAAAGATGTTGACAAGCTTTGTCTCTTGGTCTATTTATCTCAAGTACCAGATACCGGTCCCCACTTTCTTGGCAAGATAGGCGCCGATCTCGCTGCCTAAATGATTTATAGCATCTCCATGAAAACAACCGCCACGAAAGAGTTTGAATAGCCACTCCAGCTCAGCTTGGGGAGCAAATATAGTGATTCACGTTCAAACAATGCCAAGAGAGAACTGAACAACCAATTAAAACAAGGCTTGGCATGCATATGGCATGTCAGCGAGCAAAAATAATCACTTCAGACAACCATTGACTGTACACGGAAATCCGGAAGATGGCGACCCAAAACGCGCAAGATATTGTCCTCTCGACATTCGAGCTTCTCGAGTTGATCTTACTACAGCTAGACAATCAAACCCTTCTCACGGCCCAGCGAACATGCCAGACCTGGTACCAGATAATTCAAGAATCAGTACCTGTTCAAAAAGCACTCTTTTTCATCCCAACGGACTCGTCATCTGCGAGTACCAAAGTGCAAAATCCCTTACTTGCAAAAATGTTTCCAAGCTTCTTCAAATCAAACACAACTTTGCTAGCCAGCGTGGATATGCTGCAGCGACCTGAGAAGCTTGAGGCGTATATTAGACCTGAAGCAAGCTGGCGTCGGATGCTTGTCCAGCAGCCTCCTATATTCAGAATTGGAATCCTCGTTTCCTGTTTTGCTATGAGTGAGAGTTATACTTTCCATGAAATCTCGGTACATATACCTTTCTGCTTTCCATGTAATACTTTCCTAGTGTTGACCCCAGTGCACAGACAAGAGAGAATGGCCTGCGGATGGAAGAATATTTCGAATCCTTTCTATTCCATCGTGACATGGTTAGGCTTGACAACCCGGTCGCCATCTGGTGGCGCAACACTGAATCTCCTGGATGGCGTGGTATAGAAGAGATGACGAGCAGGACGCTTGAGACAGACCTTGTGATTTACATTCTTGGTGGCTCGACATGTACAGACTATGATGACGATTGGGTAACCGAAGATGACATACTAGCGCATCGGATTCGGGGCGTATACCAAAAGTTGAATATCCAGCCTCCCATACCAGCACGCGAGGCGAGGCTGAACGAGTGGGAATACTCGCAGCCGTATTATTAACTTGCCTTCCAGGCTGGTGTTATGTTTCTCGGATGGACGTGATATGTAGAGGTGGTTTCATATCGGTGGCTGTATTTAGCTTGTTGGATCTATGAACCAGTGGAATAGCTAATGGCACTAGCGCTAATCTTTTAACTCCCTCAATATCTTTCTCTCCTTTCTCACGCCTTGTTGTGGATATGCATTGAAACCTTCGATTTTCAGCAAGGGATCGTCGACTTGCTCTGGATTGCAGTTCCCTCAGTTAGGCACCCGTGGAATGTGCGACCCCGACGTCATAAATAAGTAGGTGACTGAAGAATTAGCAGTAGGCACGTGGTAGCTAGTGTTGTATAGAAACAATAATTATCATAAGGAGATAGGAGGTAGAGGAATAAAATAGGCACAAGTGAGGCACAAATGAGCTATAGTTGACTTCAGTCTATTGCCTAGGACAGTGTGTGCGGAAGGTTAAAACCATAGACAATAACCAAAAGGTGCATCATTTTTTATTTGATTAATTATTTTTATTTTTATTTTTTATTTTTTTCCTTTTGCACTGGACAAATTCCATAGGCAGGTTTCTTATGGGAAGAACCTTCAGCTCTTCACCTTCTCTTACTCACTGTCAGGAAATGATTATTCCCTTCTGTTTCTTTTAAAAGACGCGTTGACCCACCCCGGGCTTCCTCTTCCCATCTCATTTGTCTCATCTCGCCTCTCTCTCTGTCACGCTGTGGCTATATGACCATCCGCACATCAGCACCGAGAAATGGCTTCCCTGGATGCTGTAATTTCTAGTATGATCATTAGTTCCGAATCGGGAACTTTTTGTTACTGCATTCTCCGGCACCAGAATTACGGGCATGAATATCCGAGAGTTGGAAGGGCGTGGATTCAAGCCCCACGCCGTGGTCTTCGACGAGGCGAGTTTCTTCAGGGATCCGGAGTTGTTGTTCCGCGCGTTTCGATCATGTCCAGCGTGAACAGGGTCCTCCATATCGCTGGATACCCGTCTGTCATGTTAGATATCCAATATCACTCCCATGAGCGTAAAGCACCTGTTTGACGGCACAGTGACTGTTGGGTGGGACAATTACACATGGCAAGGTTCGTGCACTACGCGGGCCAGACATCCTGCGACGCTTCCAAGTCGATCCTCAACCACGGAGAAGCAGAAATTGCCACCCGCTTAGTGAGAGTCATCGACCCATCATGCAGTACTGTCGAAATACTCTGATCGTCTCTCTCCGTACAAGGCGCAAGTGGCTATAGCCGCGCAGAAATGGGAAGAAACATACCCGGGAATGGAGACGAAGCCACGCATCCGAGGGGGGACATCGTAATCGTCATGCTCACGAAAAGCAGCGCATATCCGGACTTCCTGACCTCGCCGGGTCGCATCAACGCCATGGCATCCAGGGCAAAACACTGCGCCTATTCCATCGGAAACTGGGACTGGGTATCTGCACAGGTCATCCGCAAACACGCTCCTCAACTCCGGCAAGTGATGATGCAGACAGAAGATTAAATCATCACTCTCCTCCAGAGTCGAGTACCGTCATGCGATGACTATCGCAGCATTCAAATCCAGAGTGATTATATCATTATGGGCCAGGTCTAGTGCGCGATCCTGTCCAAATATGTGGAGTATTTCAGCTTTTGTACGACAAATTCCAGTCATTGGTAAGCAGAAACAACTTCATTTCGCAAAGTTCGAAGCTCTCTTAAAATAGATACAATTTGAGAATGGTTATGTACATGCGTCTATAGTAGATTCAGATACCCCCGAGTACCTCTATGCTCTATTGATGTACATCGTTCTACAACACCTCATCGGTCGCGGTCATCTATTTCGCGATCTCGACACCTCCAACCTAGTGAAAGGGGTCAGTAACACTCTATTCAGAATTTAGGGATAATAACTTACAGCGCCCATAGCCTTCTTGAGATCACCTACCGAAAAAAGAACATACGTTAGCCCTCACCCATCAATCCTATGCAAGTGATTTCAACCCTCCGATACTTACCGTAGATAGCGAACTGTCCAGCAGTCAAAGCACCAACCATGACGAGACGGGCGCCGATACCGCTAAAAGAACCACGCAGACCAAGCTCCTTAGCGATCTTAATCAGTCTACTAGTCGTGCCCTCGCCGGGGAGACCCTTGGTCTTGTTAATCTTGGAAAGCATAGTGTCGGCAGGCTGAGAAACAATCGCAGCGGCGAAACCGGCAATCAACCCAGAACCAAGGTTGATGGTAGTCTGCATGCCGTCGCTGGTCTTCTCCTTATCGAAGAAGTTGGTGTAGGCGAACTCGGCGACCTTTTCGTAGACAACGAACTTGGACATGGTGTATGGGACCCTACCATATGTGAGTCATGAGAGCCAAACCATCGAGGTTAGTTTTATGTATATACATACTGCTTGAAAAGAATAGGTCCAAAGCCAGAGTAAAAACCAGCAAGGCCCTCCTGGCGAGCAATCTTACCAAAGCCAGAGACAAGACCACTGGCAAAGGTAGGTTCCGACACCAAACGGATACGGGTAGCCTCAAGCGGACAGAGGGCAATATCGGCGAAGAACTCAGCAAAAGCAGACGAAACACAGTAGACAGCGATCCGGTTGTTTCTGGCATTCTCATAGCCGATAGTGTTGATGGACTGCTGTTTGAAGAATTCATAACCACCGAACTTCAGCGCGCCCTGCAGGAAGTAACCGGCAAAGGTAGGACCGGCACCGGTTAAAAGGGCGCCGGCGCCTTCATTCTGAATGACCTGGCGGAAGCCACCGATTAGGCCGCGGTTGTAGGTGACCGGGTCGAGCTGGATACGGGTCTTGACGCTGTTCAAGAGGTATATATGTGTCAGTCACCTTGTTGCGACGTTGTTTATCGAACTGATGTGGTTTTCGATCCTTCGCTAGAATTGGTCGCAACTTACACATCGACGGGAGTGAGACCTCCGTGAGTGACGGAACAGCAGACGGCACCGGCGAAAGCGAATCGCGAATAGAGGTTCAAGCCGGTCAGCTTCTGAGGCTCAGATTTGGTCCCAACGGGCACGGCTGTCGTAGCGCTCATCTTGCCGGTATGATATGAAAGGATAGTGGAGGGGTGGAGTAGTGGTTGGGGGGGGGAAAGGGGAATAATACACCTGAATGAAGCAGAAGCTTGTCGGAGAAGAAGGTGGAGGGAGAGTCGCAAAATGGTTTTTATTTTAATTAAATCCACGAACACCCCGGGCAAGACCGTCCCGAAAATAATCCGGAGACTGCTGACGCCAAGTCATCATTCATTTTGGGGGCCATGATCAATGATGTGATTTGATTGAAGTGACAGCCCATTAATTAACTTGGTCGATCCCTAACCCTAGCCCCATTAGGCAGAACTGGGGCTATCGGTCCATCGGCATCTCCCGTTTGGTGGATTCTCCCTATAGTTATAGTTACGTACTAATATCTAGGAGGATAGGTAGCAAGGGCCTTACTGCTGAGGCCAGTCTCTCTAGTAAAGACGACTTTTAAAAGACCGTCCATAGCAAGATGTCTCATAAGAGAGGAAAGTCCATTCCCTATTAGTAGTACTACAACCAATCACAAAGTAAAAGCAACCAAATCTACCTCCTCAGTCTCTCCAACAAAGCCCTATCCCGAACATTCATACCCCTCCGCTCCGTATTAGCAGCTGACTGAGACTGCGCACTTTCCTGACTCAAAATCACCCACTCCGCCACTGTGGCGCCTGCATCCTCTTGCTCACCACTGAGAGCCTGATTCCCGGCAATCAACAAAGTAGCATACCTCGATGGCTTCACAGTCTCCTTAAGCTGCGTAGTAGTCATATTCCCAACCGGAATGCGAACCTGGTTCGCCTCCTCGGCCGTGTAAATCGTGGAAGGCTCAATATCCGTCAAAGTCAGAACAATTCTATACTTCTCATCCTGGTCCTGGTCTTGGGTATCAAATGCAAACACAGACGCAGGATTCTCAATAACCTCCTCATGGAAAATCACCGACGCATTGACCGGGGGTGCCGAAGCCCAATCGAAATGGAAACCAGATACGGCATTCGCCAACTGCGTATCTGACAGCGTAACGGTAATGGAAGAGAGATTTGAAGAAGCAGGCTGCCACTTCGTGGACGTTGCGCCGTCGTTAGCCGAGATGGGGAACTGGCCTGCCGTGTACTCATCCGGAGACGTGATCGGCTGGCATTGGATCTGGTTTCCTTGCATGGTGGGGATACTGCCGATCTGACGGTTCTCAACAACCAGAGGTCTTCCGGTTGATTGGAGAGTGTAGGTTTCTTCTCCGTCGCTGCCAACATGGACGGGGATTGTGGCGTTGCGGAAGCGTTCGTCGGCTGTGGAGAGGGGAGCGGTCTTTGTGTCGCGGCGGATGGTGGTGTGGGTGTAGTTTGATTCGGCGGCGATGGGCCAGCCGCGCCAGTAGAAGGTTCGGTATTTGACGTAGGGGATTTGCGGGGGCAGGTTGGGGGTGATGTGGATTGCTTCATCGGGGAGGAGACGGAGGCCGAGGTATCCGAAGAGCACGACTTGGTTTGCGCCACCATGGCCGGTGAGGAAGGGGTAGGCTGGGTGGGTGCCGCCGTTGATGCTGGCGTTGTCGAGCATTTGTTCGGAGAGCTGGAAGAAGGGGCCTCTGGTGTAGGGGTCGTAGGAATATTGGTGGTAGGTCCAGGCGGAGCAGCCGGATGGGGAGACGTCGCTCGCTACGATGGAGAAAATGGCCCAGGTCATTGCGGGGCCGTCGGCGGATTGTTTGTTTGCGTACTTTTTTTTTTTGGTTATCAGTATTAGTATGCGAGGATGATGTGGGTTTGGAAAGTGAGGAGAGGGACGTACATAGTCGAGGTCGGAAAGACTCATCTCGGCCGTGTAGTTGGTCTCGTAAGCCAGTGGGTAGGTGACTAGGACGACATCTGCCTGTTTGACCACGGCCGTACCGTTCATCGAGGTGTACTCGAGGGTTACATTGTTCTGGCGCAGCAGCAGGACGTTCTCTGAGATCTCAGTCCAAGTGTCATTGGGTTCGAGGTTGAATTGCTCGCGGAACATGTTGGCATTTTCCAGGGTCTGAGCGATGAGGGGCATCGTAAAGCCACCCGCATCGACGTGGTTTGCATACTCATCCTAAAAGCTATTAGCAAAGTGCGTTGGGGTGGTTGGGGATGGCAGTAGCTACCGGGTCGGTCATGTTCGTCAAGGTCCAGCTAGATCCATTTCGCTCAACGAGGTTGGAATACAGCGTAGCCACCGAGTCGTAGACCGGGAAATGCTTCTCCTGGAAGTAGTCCGTATCGCCGCTAGCGACCCATTGATAGATCATGGAGAGTCCGATGTCACCGTTGAGATGATACTGGTAGTCAAAGCAGGCGCCAGTCGCCGTGCAGTTTCCGGCGCGCCCGCTCGTCCAAGGGTAGATGGCTGCTGAGGGGTCAAACCGAGTCTGGTTCTTTGAGCTGGTAAACGCCATCTTGACGTTTTCCTTTGCCTGCTGGTATTTAGCGACTCGGTAGTTGGTCACCCCTTGTGCAGCTTCGGGATGCGACGCCACAAGACCGGGTTGCATCCAGACGTCAGCGTCCCAGAAGACTTGGCCACCATAGGAATCGGAGGTGAGTCCGCCGACGGAGAAGCTGGTCTCATTGACAGTGGCGTTCGAGACGGCAGCGATGGCATTCTGGCTCACGGTGTTCTGCAGCAAGTAGTAAATGTTGGTGACGGCAATAACAGCCGAATCAATGACATGTTGGTCTTCAGGGAGCTTTCCAGTGGTCGGATCGGTGAAGCGGTCGACCGAATTCTCGTGCATAATATTAGCCCACTCGGAGGCGTGTGACTGCAGAGAGTTGGTGTAGCCCGCTGTCAGTGCCGCAGAAGCAGCTTCCTTGGCTGTCTGTTTGGGGTCGGCGAAAGCATCAGTCGAGGCTCCGCCGACGAACTTGGTGATGCGGACGGGTTCCTTCGCGGTGAATTTAACATTCACAGTCTGCGCGACGGATGACTCGTTGGTATTCACGTAGGGCTTCCCAGTCACGAGAGTGCGGGATGACAGGTCGACATTGGCCGATCCGGTCAGGTTAGCATAGATATATGCAGTGACGTTGGAGATACCCCAGGGTCGCACAGCCGAAAAGAGGGCACCGTCGTCTTGACCGGATTCAACAAAGTCGGTTCGTACCGCTGAGTACCCGTCGAGCACGTTCGCCACGGTCGCATCGGCATCGACTGACGGAATGATCTCCATATGCACCACGGCTTGCGTGATGTTCAACTTGTTGGCGAACAGTCGATAGGTGATCTGGAAAGAGCCTTTGTCCTCAGGAGACCAGGTGTACGACCATGATAAGACACCAGCCTTGAAATCGTAGGTGGATTGGAAATCAGTAATAGTGCTGCTATCCACAGTGGAGTCCAAATAGACATCATCGCCCAAGTCGAGGATCAGTCCACTCCAGTGAGGAACACCACTGATTGCCGTGTCCCATCCGTACTGGGATAGCCAAGGAAAGTTGGTACCGTTTGTGGTTGGTTGGGAGTCAAAGAAACCCGCGATGGTTGCGAATGATTGTCGTCGTGAAAAGAGCGGCCAGCCGTTGATGACATCGCCGTCTACTTCTTCGTCGAGCTCAAAGAAGGGGCCCACGCTGGCCACATTGATACCAAGGTAACCATTTGCTACGGAGCCACGCGACTGATAATGGCCCTGATCCAAGATAGTTGTCTTGAGGAGCCAATTCTCCTCATCCCACGTTACGCCGTCGAATTTAGTCTCATACACGTGGCTTGAGTTGGCGGCCTTCTGATTGGAGCCTTCGTGCCGCTTTAAGATCTTAGCCACACGGGGGTTGTGTTTGCTTTGAGTCCCCTGGCTTGGAAGGCCATGGACTGCTGTTAAAAGCAGCGCCCAGCGCGCGAGGTTCTAGTGTCCAATCAGTTTTTTCTTTTCTTTGCGGGGGGGCCGCGTTTGTTTGAAGCCCTAATGAGGGTCGAATGGGTAGGCAATTACGTACCCTGAGTTTCATTATCAGTGCCTCTCAAGCAGCACTAGAAAAATAAATTGAATGATTTCTTGTGAGCAAAATCAAGGACATTCCAAAGCACTTAAATAAAGCCAGAAGCTTAAGCCCTGGAGGAGTCTATCCTCCTCGTGGATTAAATCCCCACACTCGTATCCTGGACGGGGAAGATAAACGCAGATCCTGGAGCACCGGTGCGGAGTTTAACCAGCCGTACCAGCCGTTCGATTTGAAAAGCCACTACTCAAAACAGGTACTTAAACGGCACTCGGATCCACGTTTTGAGGTATTTTTTTCCCAAGAAAGGATTGTCGCACAGACTTGTCACCGTGACCCAAGGGTTGTATTGGCCAAGACGCAAATGAATGAATGGTTGAAGGCAATTTGCGGGGTTGAATCAGCCACAGCCGACTATACCGAGTCTTTCTCTGCAAAAAGATCGGGATTGGCCGAGTGGAAAGTTGAGCCGACCAGGACTTCATCCCGAGTCGATCATTGCCTCTTGAGACTGGGTTTTAGTGTGGCCGGTAATTGTCCGTTAAGGTTACATGGGGAAGCGAGACTTGACATCATCTTTTTCTTGGTCTTGTCTTGGCCATCTTATCATCCAGGGTACCGGTCAAACTATGGCACCATTTTCGCCTTAATAGTGACTAACATTTAATAGTATTAGAGTTGGAAGGATTTGAGGCTATTTCAATCATTGTGGCTTAGCATTTTAGTTTTTTGTGTCTTTTTCTTTCTTTTTCCTTCTTTTTTACGTGAAAGTCGTTGTGCCCTTGCCCTAACCAAAGTATGCCTGGAGACTCAGCAGACCAAGATGACATGCCATAATTTATTAAACCAGTGATACAGGTGACACAATGACATACCCAAAAGTATATCTGAGGAATCACTGAAAATTTAGATTTCTGATTGAGCGCTCGACGATCTAAAGTCTATCGCTGGTCATCGTACTAGCAAGGGGTAGTAGCATGATCTAATCCCTCGTGCTTAATCTATCACCTATAGGAATGTCGCTTGAGGAGCTTAATACAACTTTAAAATAGCATAAAATTAGCGTGTCCTATTGAGGACATGTCTACGATTGTCGGCTCCAATGGCCCAGGGCCAGGCAGCACAATGCATGCCTGGATAGGGTACATTCCACTGCCTGGTAGGCAACATTCACTACAGTTTCACAAAGAGATTCTATGATGACCTAGTCCTATGTCTTGGTCTCAGGATGCTCTCTACGTGGCATCTTTCCTCCATGCTTTTTATTATGATATACCTTTATCAGTAATAAGTATACTCAACTCAACATTCAGTATTAAGAATAGTTTGAAAATACTCCACATTCACATCACTCATAACTTCTTAACTCTCCTCTCCACAAAACAAAAACAATGCCCGCTCTCTACGTCGCAATCTACTACCCCCGCTATGGCAACTACCAACACTGGGCTCTCCACCTGCACACCACAACCGAAGATCTCATCTTCGAAGTCGACGGCGAACACCCCTCCTTCCAAAAGCTGACATCCCGCGGCAAGCCCTCCGATTCCGACTCCCTAATCATGTCACTGCTGGTCAGCGAGATCGGGGATCCTGATGTGCCCACCATCAAAGCGGCGGTAGAGGCCGCCCGCATTGACAATGAGACGCTTGAATGGGATTGTCAGGAATATGTGCTTGAGATTCTGGAAGCGTGTGAGCAGGAGGCGGTGTTGGATACGGATGATGAGCATTATGTGGAGGTTATGAAGTTTTTAAAATCGAAGCGGGGGCCAACACTTTGATAGTCGATGTTTGTTTCTACGGAGGTTGAATCTCGAGTTGGGGTTTAGGGTCCGGTATCAGTTCGGAAGCCAGGATCTATTCGTTACTAGGTCGCATGCGCGATGGCTATCAGGGATCTAGGTGCTCATTTCTGTGTTGTTAGAAATGGCCCATAGTTTACGGGTACTTGTTTGTTAGTGATCTTTCAGTAGTAAGTTCCTTAACGTTTAATCTACGTGGTTACATAACGCTCTCTGATAGCGTAGGCCATGAGCAACCCCCAGAATTGTAAGGTTTATTTATCCCATAGAACACAAACCATTAAGACTTCTACATAGCAAGGAACAGATACTTTACGTAGCAAACATATCGATACTGTTGACACAACCATAGGCAGTAAGATAACTGGCAGCTTTTAAAGCAGAACCCGAAGATTTCAAGACTTCAAAGCTCCCCTCAACACTCAACAACCCTTCCACGCCCAGATCATCCTTGGTCAAGATATCAATCAAACCAATCAATCAATCAAAATTCTATTAACCTATCAGAGCCTAGCTATTTAAATGTCTAGCCATGTAGGCGCCTCACCAGTAAGACAGAATTCTGGTCCTGAGTACCTACATCAAACACAAAATATATATACAAGATATATAAAAGAATTAAAAAGCTTCCCCGACAACTAATATACCTTCTACTGCACCTCTTCCAGTACTACTATCCTCTGTAACGACACCCATGGCTTTTTCGACAAGGTCAGTCAAGAATTAAGTATTCCATGGCGTGAAAAGGAAGCATGTGCACGAACGCCAGGGGAGATTGGCGATGGTAACATGCGTCGGAAAAGCCGGACACCTGGAAATGTCCAAGGCACTTTCCCCACATCTTGGCTTTAGGAGCTTAGCTCTGAGAATCCGGGGGCCCGTGTCCTGTACCCCGCAATTTCTGGGGTTTATAAAGGTGCGGCAAATCGCTTTTCCCTTAATGTGCAGGATTCATAATTGTTCATCGTCATTTAAGTGCCTGGGCGAGCTTCGAAATGCCCACGCAAAATCGCTTTGCCGCAATTTCCCACAAATGGGGTGACATTAGACTGCCATGAAAAAGGTATAAAAGAATGGAGTCGTCTTGTCAATCTGTACTTTCTTTCTCCTCCCAGATAATTTGAAAATCTTTCCGAGCTAATTTCATTAAATCACCATGCTAGCCCGAGTCTGCCTCGCGGCACTTCTTTCCGCTGTCCAAGTCTTTGCTGTCCCAGCTTCACGCTCCAGGACAGCGGAGACCGGACTTCTCGTCGAAACCTCTAGCGGGTTAATCGAAGGATTTTTTAACTCTTCAGCCCCGGATGTCCGTCAATTTCTTGGTGTTCCTTTCGCCGAGCCACCTGTGGGTGACCTTCGCTTCGCGCGCCCCCAGGAGGCCAAATCCAAAGGGAAGGTGAAGGCACAAAAGCTTCCGAACTCCTGTATGCAGCAATTTAGTAACAGCTCTACCATTTACACGGAGTATGAGACAGAGTTCTTGATCAATGGTGGAAACTCTGAAGATTGTCTATACCTTTCCATCTGGGCACCTCGAATTGAGAATATTCAATCCCAGCAACGTCCACTGCCAGTTCTCCTGTACATTCCCGGTGGTGGTTTTACTAGTGGAGGTCAGAATTCCCTTTATAAAATTCCGGATCAATGGGTCCAGCGGACACAATCACACATTGTGATCGTCATGAAGTGAGTCTCTCTCTCTCTCTCTCTCTCTACCTTCAATACCAAGGTATTCATATCGCTTCATGGATCTGACACTAAGTTCACCAGCTACCGTGTCAATATTTTCGGTTTTCCCAACGCGGCAGGGCTCGAGGACCAAAACCTTGGACTATTGGATCAAAGACTAGCGTATGAAATATCTCTTCATCGTACCCGGCTTTATCATTATCATACTAAGTGATATTTTAGCGTCGAGTGGGTCCACGCCAATGTTGGTAACTTTGGGGGTGATCCGGAGAGAATCACGCTCTGGGGCCAGTCAGCCGGTGCAGCCAGTTCCAGTGTCTACCCATACGGATACCCCGAAAACCCTCTCATAGCCGGTGTCATTGCAGACTCTGGAAGCCCAACCATTGTCACCAATTCTGACACAGCGCATACCAACTTCACTTTCATCGCTGGGTTGGTTGGCTGTGGTAATCTCAGTGCCGACAAGGAACTCAGCTGTGTTCGCAAGGTCCCTGGCCAGACGCTGGAGAACGCCCTGTCATATTATAGTAGTAATGGAACAAAGCCATCCGTCTCGTTTACCCCCATCGTGGACAACAAGACCGTCTTTGCAAATTACACGCAGCGGATTTTGGATGGCAAGATTTCAAAGACGGTTAGTGCATTCATTCCACAGACCCTCGCTATCCGCGGTATTCTTCCAAAGATAACTACTAACCCCCACAATTCCACCAGCCCTTGATTATTGGAAGCAACTCAAATGAAGGAGCTGGCTTTGTCTCATTCACCCCCGATGGACCCGGTGCCGAAGCGCTGGCGACAGCCACGAAAATTATCTCCTGCCCCGTCAACCAAGAAGTGAAAAATCGCAACATTGGAGGTCTCCCTACGTACCGCTACGAGTACGCTGGAAATTTCTCAAACATTTCTCCTTTGTCTTGGTTCAGTGCCTACCACAGTTCAGAGCTACCCTTGCTTTTCGGTACCCACAACGAATATCGGGGTCGCTCTACTAAGTTTGAGTGGGATGTTAGCTACGCGATGGAGGCACTTTGGCTGTCCTTCGCTGAGGATCCTACGCGTGGACCTGCACGCGTGGCAATTGGTGATGCCTCTGGTAATCCTAACAACGAGAGTTACTTTGCTTGGCCAGAATTCCAGCAGGGAAGCTCGAACATGTTGCTCTTTGCGAAGGATAATAAGCTTATGCAGCTGATTTCTTCAGAGAGCATTGATAAATCCTGTTGAGATTCAGTACAAAAGAAGCAGTTTTTTTCTTGTTCGTATCGGGGAAACGAAGTGTGAGCTTACTAGTTCTTATCGTCATCTGAAATGAATGGCCATCCCCTGATCGTAACCGTATATATCCCCAGTATAGTTTAAGATAGTGGTTTCATATTTTTCTTTTTCTTTTTTTTTTTTTTTTTTTTTTTTTGCTCGGCCCATGACAAAACACTTCTCCCATCGTGGGTTCTCCAGATCCCCAAGATCTGGTATCCCTGGCACAGATTTTACATAGCAAACCGAGTGAATTCCATACGATTATGTGATTTAGGTCTATAACTAGTTCTGCTTGGATATCTGTTTTATACACTAGGATAGGAATTTCAATTCAGACCAGACAGTCTTGGTTATCAATTTAAAACATACAATTATACTCATCAACTACATGCTCATATCACTCTACAATTTATATCTTCAATGTAGACAGAATAGGTAATTCCGATGTAATCCAAGTACATTCACCATAGAGAATAATCTAAATTCATTTTCCGTATGCACCATCAGGGTAATCTACATATTGCTTGCACAAGCCACGGCCTGGTGAAATACTTCTATCACAGAACATTGACAAGGGTCTACTGATGCAGGGCTGGCCATAGTCATATGAATATATAGACTATGGATCGGGTTGCAAAGTCCCCGTGTTCCCGGACGGATTTAATAAATATGCTCCGATCCGGGACTCGGAACACGGCGTTAAAGGAAAGATACTTATGCTGTGTATACTAGGTAGGTTAAATACTACGCTTGTGGAGTTAGTACTTGATGCGTCGTAGCTGATATCATATGCAAAATTTCATTTTGACAGAGTGGTCGATTTAGTTCACCGTTAAGGTGGCCTATATCGACCCATCTAGCCCCGAAAACTTCGAAATATACACTGTAATCTAATAGAACTTTTTTTATATCAGTGGCGTTGCATGGATACCGTTGTTCATATTATTTGTCCTTTTCCGCAGCTATAAAATCTACTTTCATAGTGGTGACTAGGTCGCATGCATAGCGAACAGGGATCAGGGTACATATTTCATAAAATCTATCCATAATGATTCGCTATTAATGCAATATTTTTTTCCTGGATTTTTTTTTTTTTTTGGCTAATCTGTATCAGCATGTCGATCGTTACAGCATAATCCATGTAATTGAAATAGAGTCAAACGGCATGCCAGAATAAAAAAAAAAAGCTACTGCACCCATACAGCTAGAAAGTTATTCACCATCTTAATCCTATCCGTCGCCACGCTTCCCTCCTCATCGCCGCCGCCGTATCCTGTGTTCTCACCACGGCCCCCTGATTCTCAACTGCCCGACGCAACAAGAAATGAAGACACTCCTCGGTAGTCCCCCATGCCAGACACTTGAAGACCTTGGGGAACACAGATGCCTCCACGGGGCTTTTCCCGCTCAGTGGCTTGTCGGACTCCGGTCGATACTCGGCCAATAATCCGCAGCTCACCTCATCCGCCATACCCTGCAATTGGCCCATCTCCAGGGGTATCGTAGGTAAACCGTTGAGAATTCGATGTCTCGAAATTGAGTATGCCCTCCGGACGCTCTCTGCATTATGTGTTGCGACGAAAAGCCTAGCATCCGGGAACTTCGTGTCCTGTAATTCTTGGAACGGGGATTGCCGCGAGAGCAGACTCTCTACAATGTGGTTGTAATTCCGATCTGTGTCAGCTTTGGTATCGTGAATCCTCTCCCGGATATCATGTTGGATGTACGCGCCCCGGACTAGCTTGATTCCTAGCGCCCAACCTTCCTTTCCGGCGAGAGTAAGATGGCGATGGATGTTTTCGGCGGACGATTTCAAATATGCCTGGACGGTGTTGATCACGACTACCCTGCCGTCGCGGTTGAATTGTCTCATGAGATCGATTGTCCAGGCATCAATGGCTGGTTGGAAGATTTGTTGCTCGGCATCGATCCAGAACCGGGAACCCTGGGCTGCAGTTGCTTCGCAGATTTCTGTAATAGCTTGCTTGATGCGTGGTGGTGGGACGAGATCACCGCGGGCGAGAGCTTCAACGGCTGCAGGGCCGGCGCCGGTGAATCTAATTCTGTCAGCATATCTTGCATATAACATTTCATGTTAGTCAGGCCATACTTGATATTCATGTAATCTCCTTTGCCGACCATTCTCAGTGTCCGTAAATTACCCTCTTTCCATTCGTCCACGGCACGGTCTTCCATGGCCTGTGCATCCTTCCATTCTTCCACGTGGGAGCCGGCTGCATCGATCTTTGCGACGGACTCCCGGGCATATCCGAGGATGACGCCCTTGAAGCCGAGATTTTTCATGTCCTGGACCGTTTTACGGACTTCTGTCTCATTGACACCCGCGCAGAAGTGGTTATAGATGGTTGCGCGGAGGATGTAGTTCATGATAGGGTTCTTAGAGGGACTAAGCAGCGGCGACTTAGACTCCACCACATATTTCAACACCGCGATGGATGGTTTCAAAAGCGGCGACGCCATTGCTGACGTCAGGAATAAAGACCGTAGCAGTGTCTTTGTCGGTAAGTTGGCGAGAGGTGCCTTCTTCTGCGCAGCTGATGAATGGAGGATCGCATTGTGAGCGGGCGGCGACGACGCCGCAGTATCGGCCAGCGATTTGGACGCAGAGTAGAACGATTCTGGCTTTCTGGGCCAGAATACCTTCGGCTTCATTTTGATCGAGTTTTGTCTGACAGGGACTTGTAATGATCTCATGCTGCACTATTTATCTTACGGTTTCCTCGCTCGTGGGAGGGGTATGCTTGCCATCCGCGCTTTTCCTCCGGGGTAAACGATAGGCGGCTTGAAGACCGATTGGTCTTTGGGCGAGGATCATCGTTAATCTGGGGTGATAAGTTGGCGTTGACCGAATAAGCTCTGAACAGATGGCTGTCGGAGGGGCATCCGCATCTTGGGGTTCGGTTAGGGTTTCCGCGCGGAGGTTACATGCGCTTTTTCTCCTTGCTTCGTCGTCGTCCACGTATACTACCTTTTCCAGGATGGAAGACACACCGACACGAGGATGGCTCGGTTACTTGGAAAGCTCATATTCATGTCTAATTTAATCATGTAATTCCCCACATTCACATACATACATACGTACGTACATACAACCAAGTCCTAACTTACTTAACCAATCTAGTTCTCTCCCCTCAAATGCTTAATCCCCCTAACCAACGCCTCAGCATACGCCCCCCGAACCCCATTCTTCTCTAGGGCATACAGACCCTGAATGGTACATCCCCTGGGCGAAGAAATACTCTCCCTCAAAACCGCCGGATGAACGCCCTCCCTCAACAACCCAGCCAACCCCTCCAACACTTGCGCCGACACCTCCATCGCATCCGGCCGTCGAAACCCCTCCATAACAGCCCCATCCATAATCCCATCAACAGCAAGAGTCATAAGCGCCATCGCCGCCCCAGAAACCATCGACCCAACATCCACCAAATCCGGCGCCACAAACTTCACCGTCCCAATCTGCTCAAAGATCCACTTCAGAATCTCTGCCCGGTCCTTCGAGAGCGCCGGATTCTCTTCAATAATAGTCATGGACTGACGCAATCGCGCCGCCACATTCGGCATGGCCGTTACAATCACCGGTCTGTTTGCTGTCTGGTTTGAGTTATCCCCATAGATATACTCCATGATCTCGGCTGGCGTCTTGCCTGCCATGACGCTGATCACGAATTTCCCGGCCAGCGCTTCCGCTACGCCCGGCTCCGAGAGAATACTCTGGGCAAGGAATGGCTTGCACGCTAGCAGGATGATGTCTGCTTGTTCCATAACTTTCACGTTGGACCCGCGCAAAACTACCACCCGTTCTGAATCTGCATGATATTTGTCCTTAAGCTTGTTGGCGGAGGCCGCGCTCTTGGTACCCGCTATGAAGTTGGTGATTTTGGAGTTTTGGGGCTCCGAGCGGGTGGCCTCTAGCAGGCCGTCTAGGATTGCGGAGCCCATGTTTCCTGGGTGTTTCTTGTTAGTGGGTTCTATCTAGGTAAGTACATGGTGGTTGAGGGCGTACCGCAGCCGATGAATCCGAGGGTTGCCATTTTGATTGTGAGTTGTTTTATTTGGTTTTGGAGCGGTGGTGGTGGTGGTTGGATCTTGGAGGTGCTGGTTTATTGTGGTTTGGAATATGAAGAAGGTGGTTGTGTTTAAACCGTCGGGGGCAGGTTCCGAGCTTGAGTCATTGATATGGTTATCTTCGGACGTCGTCGCCGCGCGGTCTTTTATGTGGTGTGTTGGTCCTTGGTAAAGATGGTTGGATAGTTGGTGGGCCACACAAGTGTCGTCTATTTGGCTTGCTCAAATAAAATTACACAGCCTAGGGTGGTATCTACTTGTCTAGGTCAACTAGATACTTAAAAGTGCGAAGGTGGACTTATGTACGGCATCCGCTATAAAAAGAGAGTGTGATATTCAACAATAAAAAGAATAATCATTTGTTAATGATCGGCCCGAGCCGCGGATCGAACGCGGGACCTCTCGCACAATAGTGTTGCTTGGGTTAACGCCCTAAGCGAGAATCATACCACTAGACCACCCGGGCAATTATGGAAAACTGTGTGAAAGTTTTGAACTTATGAAACTAGACAAAAATAAATTTCGAACCTTGAATATCCCGAACATCCAAGGTACTAGAATTGGACAGTTGTGGTGTATGTTGCGCAATGGCATGTATTTCATGGGAGTGTCGGGTGTATATCAAGGAGTTGAATAAGTATAGAACATCTGGAGCTATTTGCATTACGACTAGATGAATGTTATGGGGTTTTGCTTGTAGGTGGTTTTATGTATGGGTTGGGCTAATAGTTATATATAATCGTTACTACTGCATCTACGGTTAGGTACTCGATGAGTCAACTCGGAATAATTTTGTATCCCACTGGACTCCTCTTTGTATATACAATGAGATTTAAGAAATATACCAGATTCTAATACACCAATACCGAGTATACCAGCCAGGAGAGCTGTATCTAAAGTCCCAACTCACTCACATCTGCCCTCGGCTGCACACCCTCCACCATATCTGCCACGACCCTTCCAGTCCCCAATGACAAAGAGATCCCCCAAGGACCATGTCCAGCAGCCACAAAAACACCGCCGTGTCCAGTAGTCCTTACTCCATTCCCCAGCAAATCATCATCTACCTTGCACACAACAGGTGTTCCTCGATCGGAAACAGGACGGAAACACAACCCCTCACGAAGAACCTCCAGGTCATTCGTATTGCGTATCTCAGTGACTGCTGCACCTTCATCCATTATCCTACCCATTAACTGAACTGACACTGCCTCTAACCTCTTCATCTCATCCCGATCAATCGAACTGCGAGACTCCTCTGCCCGACCCGGCAGCGGCATATCCGGATCATTCAGACCAGCAATATAGATCTCGCCGCCCTGTCGCGAGAAGATCTCCGGGCTGAAGCCACAGGAGAAAGGGTTCTCGCTAAAGATAGCATGACACCGGCCTCTGTATGTCTGTTTCTCGTGTTCTAGGGTATGTCTCGGAGAACGAAGGACGAGAGAATATCCAGCCAACTGCGAGACGGGGATGGAGATCTGAGCGGAAGGAAAAAGCTCCCCGAAGACACGCGACGTCCAAGCCCCCGCACAGATAACAAGATGGGTACACGGGATCATGGACTCTTCTCGTGAGATGAGGTCAACGATTCTGACACCAGTAATAGTGCCGCTCTCGTCTGTGACGAGTGAAGTAGCCCTAGCCGGATGATGAAGCTTAACGCCACGAGATATAGCAGTATTCATGAGAAAACGACATAACTTCAACGGATCACTGGATAATCATTAGCCCACTAGTACCAAATATTTTGACAAAAGGTCAATAACCAACACCTGAGCAGTATCAACATCACTAATCCTCTCCACCTTGACACCAGACCGAACAGTCAACCAAGCTGGAGCCCCCATCCCAGTCCCTAGAGTCGACCCAGAAGCCGTCTCCGCTCGACTGGCTCCCCTATCCATCCAGTCATCACCGCGAGTACCATTCCCCCTTTTAATCGTCGCATCATAGCTCAATGCCGTTCCTTTCATATAGCCCCATATCTCCACCCCACCATATTCAACAGCCAAACTCTCATGCAGCCCAAACGAAAGCTCACCTAAAGAAGCAACGTCCTGCCCAAACCAATCCCTAGCCAAGAACCCAGCCGCATATCCAGACGCAGAGCTGAATAGTTCCGATGAAGATTCAATGATATGAATATCTTCTGCTGGATGGGTCTCAGATAGGTAATAGGCTGTTGCGGAGCCGATGATTCCCCCGCCGAGGATTACGGTTGGCATTTTGGGAGTATGTAGTATTTTATGTTTTGGGTTGGGATTGGGATTGGAATTGTGTTCCGGATTCTGATTAAAGTAGATCGGGACCTGATATATGATCAATGAGGGAGGGTTACATGGGGTTAGTTATCTTTATCTCGCGGGGTATTTAATTGGGGAAGTGCGGAGATTGGGCTTGAGGGGTGTGGATCTTTGATCTTATCCTTGTCTCCAGGGGAGATCTGGGATTTTGTGATAGTGGTTTCTTTAGGATTACCGGAGGATGAGGATGAGGGCACTGATAGTTGTGATTTATTTACTATAGAAATATGAGATGGATGATTTGAGTCTATTCCTCAGGCACCAAATGATGTCATGTTCAATCAACGATTGCCTAGTTTCTCAGGCGGCGGGCGAAGCATTCCGAGAATCTTCGGGGAATGTGACTTCGGTTCGGACGGGAGTCAGTTCATTTCAAGAAACTCAACCGCACATAGACTTTATGATTCGTTCATTGTCAAGGATGTGGAAGAGGAAGGGAAATGATAAATAGCGACATGGTCTCCTCCACAGGGGATTCAGATAGACGTCGTAGTAGTGACTCTAGACAAATGTATCAAGGTATACATACACTCGTCATTCTATAAACCAAGATGGTTGCAGACCCCAGACCACAAACACTAGCCGGCAAAGTCGCCATTGTCACAGGCGCAACGAGAGGAATCGGCGCCGGACTGGTTGAAGAATTAGCCCGTCGAGGAGCCAAAGTGAGCACACCCTGATCCCCCATTCATCCTACCATATCTAACAGCCCAATTCAGGTCTTGATAATATACACATCAGTGAGCAGCGAATCCGTCGCTGACCAAATGATCGAGAAAATCAAAAGCTTCAACAACGGCGCCACAGCAGCTAAAGTCCGCGCCGACCTGCGTGATATATCCGCTGGACAAACGATCGTCGAAGCCTCGATGCAAGCATTCGGCCCCCACATCGATATACTAGTTAACAACGCCGGCGTGGAGGTAGTAAAGCCCCTTTCTGATCTCACCGTGGAAGACTACAACCTCGTCTACGACCTGAACGTCCGCGGCGCTATCTTTCTAACCCAGGCTGTTCTCCCACATCTGCGCGCACCCGGTCGAATCATCAATATTAGTTCGGTCGGTGCACGGGCGGGATTCGCCAATCTGTCGATTTATTGCTCGTCCAAGGCTGCCTTGGAGGGCTTGACGCGTTGCTGGGCTGCAGAGTTGGGGGGTGCTGGACATACGGTGAATGCTGTCAACCCGGGGCCGGTGCAGACGGCTTTGCTGGAGAATATTCCGAAGGAATTGGTGGAGATGCAGAAGTCTGTTACCCCGGTTGAGCATCGGGTTGGGACTATTGATGATGTTGCGCAGGTGGTTGCTTGGCTTGCGTCCGAGGAGAGTCGGTGGGTTTCGGGACAGGCGATTTCTGCTTCTGGGGGGTTTGCGATGTATTGATTCTTGGGGGGGTTGGGTGTTGGAGGTGGTAGATTGAAGTCAAATGAACTGTATGCTATATTAATGGTTGAACTTTGTAGTTAACGTAAAGGAGAGACCATGTTGGTTGTTCCATTTAAATATAACAATTACTAATGGGAGATAAATACTGTACGGATAATGTATCTGCACGTTGTGTGCGAAGTATACTGTCTAGTTTTGATATGTACACGGCTTCCTATATGTGCGTGCCTCTGTACCCCTCCTAAATATTAGATGCTTGCGATTTGCGCAGCTTCGGGTTCGGTCACCATGTGAGTAGCATCAAAAGGCTGGTGTGTAATGATGCTGCAGTTTCTCGTAGTCTTCCAACCAGCGAAGCGCCCATCAATAAACGCTAACCACTCAGGGGAACTCGCAGTCAACACGTCGGAGTGATCCATTCCCGGATATAACCTGAGGTGGGCTTCGTTCCCGTAACGACAGGTGTCTTTGAAAGAGCTAACAGTGATCTGGGGCAAGACGGCTGTGTCATTCAAACCCTGGATGATCATCATAGGCTCTCCAGCCTTGTCACCATTGGCGGGAGCAACCATATCTTGCCACTCCTGGAAATCCGTATTATCCTTAATTGCCGAAGTAAAGAGGTCTGAAGGCTTTAGTCCATAAGCGAGGGACATGATACCGTAATTGCATGCTTGCGCCATGTTGGCAATCTTGGTTCGATTCTGGAGTGTTTCGGCAAACGGCGCACGGCTCATATCTGGGAAGACACGCTCAATGGCAAACGGTAGCCAGATTGTTTCATAGAGGATATCATACGATGCATAATTAGAGGTCTGAGATAGTGATTCAACACCCAGTAGAGTCATGTCATAAATCTTGGAGGCAGGTGCTAATGCGACAGTGCCCAGGTACTTTCCGGCGGCTCCAGTTTGAAGCAACTTGCTCTCTGAAAGCTTCCAGACAGAGCCACCTCCTTGAGAATGCCCAACACCCATCCATCCTTCTGTAAAAAGTCCAGGGAAGGCTTTCCGAGCGGCAACCATACCATAGTAGAGATCATTGGCATGCGCAGGGAAACTAAGGTATTTATGCTCCGTATAGTTGTTTCCGAGTCCAGCATAGTCAGGCGCGATTATGGCGTAGCCCTTCTCAATGAGGATGCTCCAGCTGGTGTAGTCGTAGAGAGTAGGGGTGGTAGATGGTGGGCATCCAGCAAAGACGCCGATGGTACCGTGGGCGTAGGCAATGGCCGGGTACTTTTTGTCCTTTCGGAACGATGTATAGGGTATTCCGATAAATCCGGTAGCCGGGACGAGAGACCCGTTTAGGTCTCGAGAAGTATATTGGAAGCGATAAGCAGACATTCCATTAATAACATCGAGGCTATCGGGGTCAATGGCTTCGAACTTCAACAGATCACCGGGCTGAGACCGGGAGAAATTGGCTGCCGTGCCATAAAAGCCGAATTCAAAATCAGTCCCGAACAGCGTCCGGTCTTCGGCCTGTGCATAGTCGAAAACTGCCTGGCAAGTAGCATCGCACCCGTAGGTCTCGAGGGTTGAAGTTGATAGGTTAAAGTTTGCAGCAGCTGTTGCAGCAGTCAAAGATGGGATGGCCAAGCCGAGAAGTATAGTCAATGCTGACATGGTTGATGGTACAAAACTATGAGAATTAGATCCGAGCTATGGAGAACGAGACATAACAGAAGTTCGCCGAGAAGATAGGGCGACTCTCATGTTTTATAGAGGCCTTAAACGACGACCAACGCATATGAATTCGTCATCTCAATGTAGAATAGGGTTTCGTTCTGACCCCGGATGCCACTATTCCACTTTGGGAAACAATATCGCGAAAGTGGGGAAACAAGCCCTTGAACAGGAACCTCGGGCAGTTAAATTCTGTATCAACTTCGTATCTGTCTTTGTCTTGTCTTTTTCCGAATGACTCATTAAAACTAGGTAAACTTGTCACTGGATGGCGGTCGGTAGTTGTCGAACTTGGTAGAATGCCCTGTGGTGCACATGATAGTCGCCGTCTCGGTCACCGGTGCGAACGCTGCCGGAGAGATCATATCAAAGTATGCAGGTGTATCCATACCCCCTGGACCTTTCATTCATGTTGATCCACTCAGTGTGACGGATCTCGGCCATGCCTTACTTGCAAGCGAAAGGGAGTGGAGTGCGCCTCGCCATGCGCATCGGGAACCACGTTGTCCATTGTTCAAAGCTATCCTTCCCTTGACCCACGGCCATGCAAGCCACTATCAACAGACAGGTCTGGGCACTATACCAATGCATTCTTCTTTGCTCTTGGGCTCTCACCAACATTTCTTACCATGTTTTCTATCAATGCAATGGCATCAATGATCCAGGAGAACAAGATACTACAAGATACAGTCTCGCTGTTGGGCGGTTTCTACGCCTCTCGTAACCCGAATTTGCTGACATTCTCGAAGAATGAGAAAAGAGGCCTAGTTGGTCAATGGCGCCAGCTGCAGAGGTCGGTTGCACTCGGCATCAAAGAGGTGGCCAGTGATGGCAAACCGGATGTCCTTCTAGCCTGTGCTCTCCTGCTAAGTTTCGTTCAGGTAATGAATATTTGGTCACCATAGTAAAGAATTTACGATTCTTGGCTTACAGACCCTAGATTCTAGATGACATTTCAGGGAGATCATGGTGTGCGTGGGTTTGCCAATTGCATGCCTTTGTCGGGGGAAATGGGAAATCTTCCGCACCATTGACACCTCTCCTGCGGTCGATGCGCAGGCTAGCTCGTATCATGAATGCCTTGAGGGCTCTTTGTCTAGAGCAAGACCTCGACTTTGCGCTATCCTTTCGTTCGCACGATTTGGGTTCAAGGGTGGACCATCTGCCTTCGCATGGGCAGGATACATCCGCATTGTCCGATGATCAGCTCCTGGACTACTTCTGTGAAGACCTTGAGATGTGGGCTAAGTTACAGTGGTTGTAAGCAGAATATCATTCTTCGGGTAGGCACGACAGTGAAATTAACAAATTGCAGGACGGCAGATTGGAAGACCAAGAGTGATAAGTTAGGTCTGCAGCTGGATCCCGCAAATCGCAAATTCCCCCGAAGGAAATTATCTGAACATGAATACCAGGGCATAGAATTGACCTGTATTGCGTCCCGATTCCAGCGGGATATCATTGACTCTCTGCTATGGTACACTAGGGAGAATGGCAGGAACCTTACGAACGTCATGTTAGCGTTTTACTACTGCGCTAACGTCGATATTTCGCTGATGTTTTGCGATTCGGTTTGGCTCTCGCTGAATTGTGAACTTCCAGTTATGACACACCAGATGAGTTATGAACAAGCCACGAATGCCCTGGAACATGCCGAAAATGGTCTTCACAATTCATACCTTGAGGCTATTTTCTACGCCCCGACTCTGTATACAGTCAGCATGACGAGGAGATACAAGTCTGAACGGAGTCGCATAGTGGATTTTATTAGTAAACTGAAGCAGAAAGGCTTTCTCATTGCTGATCAGTTCTTATCCGCGATTGAAGAAGCGTGGGCCGCTCGATGAGTGCAATTTTGTATGACACCTAAGCTAGAGCAGTAAGGTGTTGTGCTCGTCCGGAATTCGAGCATTATGAGTTTTGTATGTGACTCCTGAGGGTAGCTTTGGTTGATCCCTTTTTACGATGAGGTGGAGATAGTAATCCAATGCCATAATCAGCAGACAGCGAGTTTGATCTTAAGTGAGGTTGAGATATATATATATATATATATATCACTAGAGGAAGAGAGTTGCTTATCGATGCAGCACCCCACATGATTGTCAATGCCTGAGGTATCTGCCCCTCATCTGGTGCAGAAATTACATCACCGCCAATGGGAGCTCGTCACTTTTCCACATCTTCGACCTCGGTACCTTCGAAGTCAATCCAAACCAAACAACTTCTCCCCTCACTCATCCTAAAACCTGTTCTCATAAACCCGGCCTCGGAAAATGTCTGCCAAGACAATTATTGTCACCGGTGCCTCGAGAGGTCAGCAAAACTATATCAGAGCCGTCAATACCGGCGTTATTAACAAAGATCTACTGCAGGCATCGGTCTCGCAATCGCAAAATACCTCCTCACCTCCCCTCAATCGCACAACGTCGTGGTGATCGCTCGTAGTGTCGAGCCACTTCAGCAGCTCAAGGAGCAATATTCCAAGCAGGTGGAGGTGCTCAATGGCGATCTCGCTGATTTGTCCATCGGCCAGAAGGCCGTCGACCTAGCCCTCAAGTCGTTCGGCCGTTTGGACGGAATGGTTTTGAACCATGGTGTGCTGGGACAAGTGGGCAAGATTGCTCAAGCCGATCCTGAGCAGTGGAAGCACGGATTCGACGTAAACTTCATCAGCTTTGTTGCCTTTGTGAGTTCCATAAGTTTCCTGACAAGGTGTCAAGGTGAATGGGCACTAATTGGTCGAGCAGATCAAAGCTGGTCTTCCAGCACTTCGCGAGACGAAGGGCAAGCTTGTCTTCACTTCTTCCGGTGCTGCCGTGTCGGCCTACAGGGGTTGGGGTCTGTATGGTGCAACTAAGGCCGCGATGAACCATCTTGCGCTTAGCTTGGGCGAGGAAGAGCCTGACGTTACGACAATCTCCATTCGGCCCGGTATGGTTGACACCGAGATGCAACGCGAGCTGAGAGAAGACCATGCTACGACGCTGGAACCCCAGGTCCATTCCAAGTTTACTACGGTCCACAAGGAGGGAAAACTCCTCAAACCCGAACAGCCTGGTCATGTCATGGCCAAGTTGGTGCTTGATGGCCCTAAGGAACTGTCCGGCAAATTTCTTTCGTAAGTTTCTACGATCCTTGACCCTACGACAAAGCTGACCCAAACAGGTGGAACGACAAGGCCCTTGATGCCTTCCAGGCGTAAATTACAACCTATCAGCTTTACAGACAGTTAGCATAAACCACCATATGAGAATATGATAGAAATAGAACAGCAAAGTGGTATAGTAATCAGCCGAAAGATGAAAAGCAGGTACATTTTCATAAGCATTAGATGCAGAGCACCTTCATACTTAGCATGGAATGTGTATTTGTTCATCATACAAAGTTGTAGGTATAAGAAAAAAGCTCGAAGCTTACCTTGTCATAACAGGTTCATCATAATGTGGTCCGATTCGTAAGCTATGAGAAAAATTTCTAGATTACTTCAAAACTGTCAGTGAAGGCCACAAAAATCTCTTCATGACAAAGCAAAAGAGTGTAAATAATTTTCAGTAGTCCGTTTGGCTTGGACAGTGTACGTCACCATGAAAGGTATGATAGGGGCGACAACATTGTTCATCATTGTAGGAGAAGGAATGTAGGAAAGAAAATAAACATACCATTCGTGTTAGTGCTGCACACAGCTACCGTTTGAAAAGTTCTGAATTCCTCAACATCATAAGGACATTCTCGCTTCCCATTGTTGTGGGAAAGAGTGTGTGTGGAAGAGAAGAGGAAAAAAAAAAGTTGCAGAGCTAAGAAGTAGTCCCCAAAGCGGTAGGATTCTGCCGCAAGTACCCACTGGTTGTTCCGTGCCGACGCAGTCCGCGTCTGGCATTCGATCGACGCTACTATTTATTGTAAGTATAGTCCCCGCGCATTGGGAAAAAAAGTGATCCTTCACCTTGACGACGTCTTTCCTGTGCGTGTGAGCGTGTTTCTCTTCCAACCATTTCACTTCAACAAGGGACATCATGTCAGATCGCGAGTTCAGTTGTAAGTATTGTGTTCCTGAGTCTTGGCGCAAGCTGGCGGAATAGTGCTGACTGTCGATCTACTACACAGCGAATGATGACCTGTCGCTTCCTAAAGGTATGCATCCGAGTCACTCAGTTTTGATCATCCCAAGCTCCTCGCCCGAGTGTCGTTACGCCAAATGTCTCGCCTACGCGTACCTTGTCGTCTGAAGATGGCGACACGACGTCTCTACGTATCTACTGCCAGCGCACCCCATCCTAACTGATCGCGATTATTTAGCGACGGTCCAAAAAATTATCACCGAAATTCTACCCCCTTCTTCTGGTCAGGCCTTCTCCAAAGACGCTCGCGATCTCCTCATGGAATGCTGCGTCGAGTTCATCACCCTGATCTCCTCCGAAGCCAATGACATCAGCGAGAAAGAGGCCAAGAAAACAATCGCCTGTGAGCACGTAGAGCGGGCTCTGCGTGATCTTGGTTTTGGCGATTATATCCCGGACGTGCTTGCTGTGGCCGAGGAGCACAAGGAGCAGTTGAAGGTTAGTGGAATCACTATGTGCTGTGTTTAGAGGACGGATTTGCTGACGCGTATATTGCATAATAGTCGCGAGAAAAGAAGCAAAGCAAGATGGAGCAGAGTGGACTGTCGGAAGAGGAGCTGTTACGACAGCAGCAGGAGTTGTTCCGCTCTGCTACGGAGAAGTACCACGCTGCCCCGGAATAAATGACTGAGTTGGATATATGAATATGAAATGCGTTTGACTCTTGCTGGTCATAGAGGGAATGGGTTTGGAGTTTTGTCTTTCGGATGAAGAATCTCGGAGTTTAGGTTGTCTGGGATTGAAACCATGGTTTCTGAACGGGTTGGCCGGTCTTTTATTTTATTTTATTTTATTTTTCTTTCTTTTCCATTAGTATAGTTGCATTGATTTCTCGACTTCTTGCTGTTCAGTTCACGAAATACTTGGGCGTATGTAATACTACTTGTGTATGGGCTGTAATTTACGATATCAACATACCTTTCCTATCTACGGTAGATTAAGAAATCCGTGAATAGTGAGGCATAATACTTTTGAGGCTCAAGATACGCAGTTACCGTATCAATAGGCACATTGTATGCATTGTCGACCTTTATGTTATAGCAGTTCTAGTAGATTGGGTTGTCTCTTTTAAGTGGAAGCACAGACGTAACGGCCGCGCTTAACCCAAACGGGAAGCCGCCCAACCTCCCGCGCGCGCAAAGTGTCGCCGGCTGCAAACACCGCGGAGCATCCTGAGGCCGCGAAAGCATTGCGACGATTCCCCAAGCTTCATCGTCCACCATGCCGCCTTTCAAAGATGAGCACATTTTGGTACGTCACCCGCCATTCACTGCGTCCCAGGATCCGGGATCACCCCGTACTAATCCCGTCCCTCTAGATAATTGCGCCAGGCTCGCAGGTGACCCTGGCGCAACTGGGTCTTCCCGAATCATTCACACCCGCTCGCTTTCGCTTTCCCACCCGGATGTTCCCTGCCGAAAAGAAGGGCGAATATGAACCATATAAGATCCGCGAGCGGCGGCAGGAGGAGAAACCTAGCAATGGGACGGACGTGCCCAAGGAGGATGTGGAGATGAAAGATGCGGAACCCTCCGCTTCAGAAGGCACAGGCAACAACGAGGCCGCCCCCAAGCCCGAAAATGGAGAGCAAGAGAGCAAAAAAGAGGCAGCCGAGGGCCAGGAAACCAACGGGGAGACGAAAAAAGAGGCCCAGGAGATCTTCTACGAGGAGGATGTTACATCGGATGAGGGTGCTATTTACCCCATCGAGAACGGGCACATTGTCGACTGGCCGTGTTTCTTTGCTCTCCTAACACATGTTCACAATACCCTCAGCCCCCCATTTCACACGCCGATTATGCTTATCTCCCAACCGGCCTGGTCAGCGCGCGACCGAGAGGCAATCACGCAATTTGTGTTTGAGAAGTTCAAGACGCCCGCCTTCTGCATGATGGATTCCGCGCTCGCCATTTGCTATGGATACGGTACATCGACTGCGGCGGTTGTCGATGTTGGCAAAGGGAAAGTGGATGTCACCGCTGTCACGGATTTCCTTGTTAATGAGCACGGACGAGGGATTGCCCTGAAAGGTTGCGGTGGAGATTACATGACCGACAGACTTCAAGAGCTGTTGGGGTCGAAGGGCTTCACAAGAGAGATGTGTGAGCAGTTGAAGAGGAGTAACATTACCGAAATTCTACCTGCTGGAACGCCCTTGCCTGGCACCGCTGCCACCGCACGACAAAACCCTAACCCTGCCGCTTCGGCTTCTACGGGAGGACAAGAAGGAGGTCCTAAGGATGCCGTTCCCCGCGGTCCTGGTGAAGGCACTCAAACTGGCCCGGAAGGCACCAATGGAGAAGATGAAGATGAGGGCGTGCTGGATGTTGCAGCTATTGTCAGCGGCAATACCAGCGAGTTCCTAGCAAACAGAGAAAAAGAGAAAGCCGAGAAGTCGAGTTCCAAAAAGGGCTCGGTTGACCAAAGTGGGAAGCCCATTCGTCTTCCCAATTCCAAGAAAGAGAAGGCCTCGTTCCAATACGAGGAGTACGCGCGATTGGAGCCGGAAAAGGATGCGCCCAACGCTCCTCCACGTTACATCCGCCAGACACGAGAGATCGAAGTCGGTGTTGAGCGTTTCCTGTCTGCCACTCCGAAGCAACAAACTGGGGAGCGTTTAACCAGCAATATCCTTGAAGATATTGCAACACAGATCCACCATACTATTCTTGCTGTACCCGATGCCAGCAAGCGCAGCGAACTTTGGGATTCGTTGGTCGTTGTTGGTAACGGCAGTAAGATTAAGGGTATGCACCTTGTTTTGGGACCTAATATGGCCAGACTCGCTAATCAACGGATGTAGGATTCACCCAAGCCCTGCTTAACATCATCACACAAAAGTTCGTTCTCTCGCCATCTGCCACCATTTTTACCTCTGAGCTCCCTTCCAATTTCTCCACCCCCATGCCGACGGGAGGAACCAACACTCCCGCACCTGGTCAATCCGGACCGTACAATACCCCTGGCCACGGAGTGAACCCTCTGCTTGTTGCTGCAACACATTCGAACAATCCGGCGGCTGGAAACATGCCGGGAACCCCATCAATGGATCCTTCTATGGCTTCCCACTATCGGTCTACCGGCCATTCTCAGACCCCAACATCCGTCAAGACGCTGAAGCCCCCAGAGTACTTCCCCGAATGGAAGGAGCACAGCAACTCCAACGCTCCTGGGACCAGCGGGTCTGCAGGAATGAACAACGGCCCCAACGCTGGGCCTGGTGGCCCAGGTGCGCCCAGTGGCGGTCATGGCATGGAGGAAGCGGTATTCCTAGGAGCCCAAGTTGCTTCTAAGGTTGTTTTCGTTATTGATCAAGGTCTCAGTAAGGGGTTCATGACCCGTGTGGAGTATAACGAGAATGGGCCCTCTGCAATCCATGAATATTCCATGTGATTGTCCTTAATAGAATTAGTATATCGAATTCGACACTTTGTCTTATGTCAAACAGAGTTGAATTCAACAAGAAAATGTTTCTCCCCCTACGGCCTTGTTTAATGCGTCGGAGCTTTGTTGAACATGACACTTGGTCTTCTCACATATGGTTATTGTATTCTACGTGATGGCGTCCTTGATTAGAAAAGCAACCCTTTGTCAGGATGCGGTAGGATAGGTGGAGTCTGGTTGGTATTCCTAGGTATAGTACTACATATGGTATTCTTTATTTGTAAGTTCGTTGTAATCGAACTGTTCCACCATTGGGTCCATTGTATGTGGTGTCTACATAGTACCTTTTGTCTGCCTGAGGTACAAATTGAACTATATATGAGCTAACCTAATATGGGGTAGCGAGCTTTCTAGAACATCACGTGATTAGGATAAGGATGCTTATCTTATTTCCGCCTCAGCCTGTCTCCGCCGTCGCGACTTTCTCATGATATCAAATATATGACCACGAAAGACTGAAAGAACAGTTGACACCTACGCCTTTTACCTGAGCCGAAGAGCTCCCATCGTACTTCCAACAAGCCTCGCAGTCCACTCACGGGACCTACGCCACACACTATCTCTCAAAATGCCGCGCGCAGAAGCAGGAAGCACAAAGGCCATCAGCAACAAGATCAAATCCGTACGTCCCATCTAACCCACCGCAAGCATCCGAGAACAACAATGAACTGACCAAACACAGAAAGGACTTCAGCGACTCCGATGGTACTGTCAGATGTGCGAGAAGCAATGCCGAGATGAGAACGGTTTCAAATGGTAAGTGAAACATTGCCTCCTCCCGCATAGCCCCCAGTATACTAACCATGGATTCCTCAAACATAGTCACACTCAAAGCGAAAGCCACGTAAGAAACGCGCTTTTGGTTGGCGAGGATCCGAAGAAATATATCGAAGAGTACAGCAAGGACTTTTTGAATAACTTCCTTACTCAGTTGAGGACGTCTCACCAGGAAAAAGCTATACACGCCAACATATTTTACCAGACTATAGTTGCGGATAAGACGGTGAGTTGCCTTTCTTCTTCTTTTCGAATTCGTGGTTCGCGTTGGATAGGGGCTAATGAATGCGTATAGCACGTGCATTTGAACGCTACAAAATGGAAGAGTCTTACGCAGTTTGTGGCTTATCTGGGACGGGAAGGACTTTGTCGCGTTGAGGAGACGGAGAAGGGTCTTTTTATTGCGTATATCGATCGGAGTCCGGAGGCAATGAGGCGGAGAGAGGCACTCTCGAAGAAAGAGCGTCAGGATCGTGGTGATGAGGAGAGGGAGCAACGACAGATTCAGGAGCAGGTTGAGCGCGCGAAGCACAATGCGGACAGGGAGGAGGAGATAGATCCTGAAGCGAGAAATCTGCAGCGGAAGGAGGGTGAGAAAGTCAAGCTTAATATTGGCTTTGGTTCGAAGGCGAGCGACGAGTCGAAAACCGAATCCCCGAAACCACAGTCTCCCGAGGAAAAGGATAAGGCCGCTTCTTCGGCGACGCCGGAACCTGCTGCTACTTCTGCATCTCCAGATTCGGCCCCTGCTCTGGCCCCGGCTCCTGCTCCTGCTCCTGCCCAGGATGCGCCAAAGCCGGCAGTCAAACTGTCGATGTCATTGGGTGACAAGAAACCGAAGAATGTGTTTGCTGCTGCGGCGAAGAAGAACCCCCTTGCCGGGAAGAAGGGCCCCGTGATGGAAGCTCCCAAGAAGATGAGTGAGCAGGAAAGGATCATGAAGCAGGAAATGGAGACAATGGAGAAGAAGCGCATGCGTGGAGGATTTGGAATGCCGAACCCCAAGCGCCCGAAATTGTCGTGAAGTCGACTCATCACTGATATTTCCCCTTTACAAACGTCCAACAGCAATTTGGATTCTTGACCACTATCGCCTAACAGGTCACGCGTCGATTCCATACATCCCCACGGAATCTGATTATGATGGTTAAATGTCACCCGACTTATTCGAACTGCGTGGTTGTGGCTACGGAAAGTAATCACTTCCATATACGTTATACGGTGTGACACTGCTCGGTCTGCGGAAACATCGTTCTCAGCCCAAAAGTTTTGCCTAAGAATACTATATCGCAAACTACTGAACTATGATACCCAAGAAGAAATACAGGTTTACTTACTCTGTTCATGAAGCAAATATATAGTTTGCAGCGACTCTATGAACGGTTGCTCCAGACCCAGAAATGTCTTCAGTAAATAAAAGAAAAAAAATGTATTTTATGCTCTGCATGTTACATACATTCAATTCTCTTAGGATAGTTTTTACTGTTCATATTTCCATGTAGCAAAAGCAACAGACACCTTAGCCACGACAAATAGAACCGAATACTCAGTTCTACCTATAAGTCTTTCTAGTCATGCTCTAAGATCGCCACGAATCGATGAGTGATTCTAGACCAGGTAAACTTACCCACATCACCTTCATTACGTGTGCTTAGGCAACCCTAAGTATCTTACCACTCTTCACTACTACGTACATATTGTATTGAAATCGAGGAACTAAGGTCCTGAAAGGGCTACCGTGGACTGGACAGTGGATCTGTGGCCAAAATAGAGATTTAAATGACTATTTCACTAGAACTAGGTCATGGGCGACGTAGTAAATACTTAGTTGCTAATTAAAACACCAACTAAGAAAACCACACTGCAACATTCCCCCGGAAAAGAAGCTCTGGTTCTACCAGGGCTCGCTTAGCAATCTAAGGTCAGGGATCTGAACGAAGGAAACAGGAACAATAACATAATATAAGTAGGGACTGAATACTTATACTAGGACTCTCATAGCCAATTTAGTGCCCTGCGATCAGTAGACGCAATGTAATAGAAAGAAATTGAGACCGGAGATCTAAACAAGGTCTGTTTTAACAGGGGTTGCTGCTTGATTCGCAGCTAGTGGTAGGCTGATAAGTCGAATGTCGGGCTTGACGGAATGGCCTGTCGGGCGGATGAGGTAGGACATGAAGCCCTGAACTATACGAGAGGTACTCGTGCCAACACGTAAAGTTGAGCGCAGAGTTGTGAGCCCCCGTGCCCTTATTTATAAGCCATGGATACGAGGTTGCTAACTGCTTGCCGAGGAAGGCATAATACCCTATAGATACGACATACCATGCTTGTCCGTGGCTTGACAACATCACTAGTATACCTCGCAGTAGTCGCGTCAATTAAACATTCCTGTTTATATCAAAGTCGTAGCTGTAATTGTCGGTACATATTCAAACTGGTAACCCTAGTACCTCCATAACACACCAGCTATCCATGAGTTTGTTATAGGGGAATGGCTATTAGTTTAGCGCTATCAGATCCCAAACTCAATAGACAAACATCCAGTCAACAAGAGTCTGTCAACATTCGCTCATAGCTGACTCAACCGGGTCAAGCAACCAGAATACTGGTATAAACTGTGTCATCACATCTAATTTAGGCTGGTACAAGACCCATGAATCCAAGGGCAGCAGTTATGATCCGGCGAAGGTCGTTTATGTCCCATGCAAGCACTCTCTGGCTACCTGGGCCAAATAAAATGCGCTGCGGGAGGGAAATCTGGTCAGGGGTATTAGTATTCGGCTGTGAGGGTATGGAAAATATGATCTATACCTGATTAGATACAAAAGAAGAGAGTCCGGTTGGTGAAAGGGATTGACTATAGTACCTTGGACTCCTTCAATATCGATATCAGCAACAGTACCAGTACAAACAAGTTAGATAAAGTAAACTGACTGGTTCCGACCCCGGGCCGAAGGCCTAACAGGTCATTTGTTGTCAGTTGTCTAGTTGAAATCCATTTACATAGCTGATCGTGCCACCACTTTTGACAGTCGTGGATTTCTTCTGGCATCACACGAACCCAGAAGACACGTTTGACTGCATCATAGTGTTTCCTGAAATGAAAATATCAATTTAGACTTCAGAGAACGTAAATGCTAAGTATATGTTCTTATTACCGGCATGGTCGCTCGACGGTGTCGTTAAGATGGTCAACAATCTCCCACCCCCAATCCTTGGGGACGTCCGTATACACAAGCTCCCGATATGATTTAGCTTCTTTTATCAAGTGCAAATCATGAGCCTGAAACTCAACAGCTGTGGGAACTGTGTTGCTGAGCATGATCGATTATATATTTGAAATTACGAAGCCTAAGACGTTCTCGGCAATTCTGAATGCTCTTGCCACAAAAGGGCATATGGGCTTGAAGTATAAGAAAATTAAGTAGGTGGAGAGAGTTGTGAGGGAGCCCCAGCAGCAGAGGGTGGTTGATGAAGAAGTCCCAAGCCTGTTCGTTCTTTACAATCCAGACACTCCTTCCGAGTTGGACAAGTGAGAGCAATACCAATCGTCACTGCATTCGCTATCTACTAGTATTGTCCACAGTAGCCTTGTAGAATCCAGTAGAGAGCATCGTAGATCTGACGTTAGGCGGATATCCATTAAGTCCGATAGTACCGATGCCCATCCCTACCACCGCTATCCCCGGCCTCTCTCAAGATATACTCCACGAAGGTTACTCATAAATCAGGACCTATGTTTCAACGTTTGATATCATACGCATGGTTATCGTCTCTGTTTTCTGTCAGTCGTTTATAATCCCGCCGAATTATTTCACCCCTGTTGAAGAAGCGACCATGCCTCCTAACAACCGCGCATCATGGCTCATGGCCAAACAATCACCCAACAGCGTTGTAGACGTTGCACCATACACCACTCCCTCAGCTAATGAACTCGTCATCAAAACCAAAGCGATAGCCCTGAATCCAGCCGATGTCGGCATCCAGAAACTCGGAATTCTCTTGAATGACTACCCGGCAATTCTAGGCTGCGATTTCGCCGGGGAGGTCGTGGAAGTTCACCCCACCCTGGCTGAAGTGTATACTCCCGGTGATCGTGTCATTGGTGCAGCCGGTCCATTGAACAGGAAGGACGGCAAGTACTGTTATTCGGCCTTCCAAGAATATGTGGTTCTGAAGGTGCCTTCCATTGCCAAAATCCCCCATGGGGTGGCATACGAGGATGCCGTTGTATTGCCACTGGGAATGAATACTGCTGCTAGTTGTTTGTTTGCGGAGCAGAACCTTAGGCTGGGGGTGCCTTCTAATCATGGGACAAGGTCCCCTAGAGGGAAGACGCTTTTAATTTGAAGTGTAAGTAGCAGTGTGGGTGCGTGTGGTGTGCAAATGGCTAGCCAGGCTGGCTATGAGGTTGTCGGGGTGGCGAGTAAGAGGAATCATGAGATTGTTAGAGGACTTGGAGCAAGCATGTGTTTTGATCAGAGCGATTCGACGCTCATTGATGATATTGTGACATATCTGAGGGGTAAAGAGGTGGTTGGGGCTTATGGGGCTGTTGCGAGTGATTCGGATTTGGATGCTATGTGCGAAATCCTCGACAGGTGTGATGGGAGGAAATTGGTGGCATCGGAGATACCAGGTGCAGAGCAAAAGGCAACGAAAGGTGTGCAAATTGTCACTAACTTCGCCACGGATATAGGTCAAAGTGGGGTTGGAAAGGCTATCTGGCAATGGCTGACTATAGCCATGGAAGAGGAATGGATAAAGTATAGGCCGCAGCCAGAGGTTGTCGGGAAAGGGCTAGGGCGTATACAGGAGGCTATTGATCTGTTGGCTGAAGGTGTTAGTGCGAAGAAGTTAGTCGTGTCTGTATAACCTACGGTAGATATAGCTGTTTGGCAATGTGGACACAGAATTGAAGCTAATTTAACTGACAAGAGAAGTGAGACCAGTCTCATGCCTAACTAGATTATGCAATTTCTATATAAGGCCGTAGAATACGCCCCTTCTCCCTTCCCTTCCATATCACGATGCTCAGTCGTAGAGCCAGACGGCTTCACATAGTCAAAAATAGTCATTGCGCCTCCTGATCGTCCACCACAGAGTCAACCCCGTGAAGAAAAGCGAAACAGAAGCAAGCCCTATAAGCGCATGTAACTGCTGGCGCGCAGCTCCATTCCCAACCAGCCTCTCGCGTCCATCAACCTCAACCTCACACCAAAGAATATTAATCCAAAGGCCCACTCCATCGTCCGTCAGGACTTTATCCCATGTATGCGCCTTCGCACACACGAACCACTCCCCCGGATCACCCTCCCGCGGCATGTAAACAACGGCACGATCCCAGTACGAGAGGACCACAATCGCTGCTATCCAGCCCAATACACAAACTCCGTCAAGAACAACACCAAACCAAGGTGTATACGGCAGACAACAGGCGAAAATGGCCCAGGTGATATAAACCTGCACGACCATAGATAGCCCCACGATGCCGATTAGGACGCATTCGGCTGTGACTTTGTACATTTGGTGTGGGGCGACGGCGCCGTAGGCCATTGTTGCAATTAGGGTCGCGAAGAGAAGGATGCGAAAAACTATGGCGCTGGGCCTTTGGCTTTGGCGTTTACGGGGGAGCATGACTGGGATAGTTTATTTTTTGTTCAATTCCGCTATCAGCGGGTACATTATGCAAAATTGATGCAATTAATAGGGTTAAGGTGTGACAGCACCAGGGGAATTTATTCTCTTGTTTTTTCTTGCCAAGGAAAGCCCGAAGCTCTAAGCCTCAATCATGAAATCGTAGAGATTGGACAACGTGCCCTATATCGGCCCCCAGCCAATGGTAGTCTTCTATAAGCGCATGTGGAATCCTTCAAGTTGCCTGACCCTAGAGCCAAATAGGCTAGTGTAGATTCCAGTATAAGCCGAGGCATGTCCGAAATCTGGGGTATGTACAGCTTTTCTAGTAGCTCCATTGGCTGGATGATACAGCCGATTATATAGACGTCATCTCGGAGGAACGTTTCGGACGACCTGCTTCGCCAGGTGTATGTTTCGAGTAGGAGAATGAATGGCACGGCTGTCGAGAGCAACACAAAGCACCAAGCGATAGTTGAAGACGCCCAAGAGTCCCTGAACTCCTCTTCAACTGCTTCGGTGAACCTACGATTATCACAGTCAATAGGTATCACAGTTCCAAGCCCGGCGTCATCGGTGGTGTTGAAACGTGGAGAAAGGCCGATTCTGAAAGTAAATGGCGGTGGGACAATTTTAATAGGTGGGCAAAGCAGTACATTTAATATATTAGAATAGTATGGACATATATGAGCAACATATTCATTCTCCGACTGCCATTTGCCCGCAGATTGTACCGCGACTTATTGACCTGTTCCCGCCGCCCAGGCCGCCAGGTTTCAGGCGGGTATTGCCTATTATTTAGTACTGCCGGGCCATTCTCCTTAGAGGACAGCCTACAAATCCATGTTTTCATAGGCCAAGATAAAACTTAGAGTAAGAATCTTAGACCTTTAGACCTTAGGCTTTTTATACTTAGTGGTACTAATACAAATTTGAATTCTCTCTTCAGATAAAAATGTTATAATAACAGTTTAACTTCAATATAAGTAAAAGTATAAGTAAGCTTTGAAAGGGTATTAAGTAGAGTGGCACGGGTTCCCCGCTAGACCCGACCCGAACCCACCCCAACCCGGTCCAGATATAGGGAATCCGAGCGGGTTTTTCTTAGTATTATAACATCGATTTTCTAGATTTTTTCTAGATTTTTTCTAGATTTTTATATAGATCTAGAATATATATATATATATAATATCAATTCTATATATATAGAATTGGTAGAGATATAGAGCTTAAAAAGATTTTATACTAGGCCTATTTAGATAACATCTGTAATTAATAAGTAGTATCTTACCTAATTAGGTTTAGCCTAGTGTTGGCGGGGAAACCCGCGGGTCGGGGAGGCCTAAACCTAGCGGGTTTTGGGTCGGGTGCAGGGAGATCTATCAAAAACCCGACCCGCGTGCAACTCTTATAAACAATTTCCTTCAGGCCTGCTCTTGCCGCTAAGCAAAGCAAATAATCTCTGTCCACCAGTCGTGATAGATTCAGTTCCGAGTGACTAAATAGTATTTTGGTAATAGCTACACTTTTCTTGGTAATAGCCAGGCTGAGTGGAGTGCTTTGTTTGTAGTCCACTATCTATATATCGCTTTGTCTCTCCAATAGGAGTCGTACTAGGTTCTCATTGCGATAGGTGATGGTATACTATATAGCATTTTGACCCTTGTAGTCTTTGATGTTCATAGCTGGGTTGAAATATTTCAATAAAACCGATACCATAGACAAAAGTCCCCTCTCCAGAGCGTATAGCAGAGGTGTTTGTTTTTTCGTATCTTGCCAGTTAATCGCTGCTGCGTTTTCCAGAAGAAGTATGAAAACAAATTTCTCATTAGTGTAGAAAAGTGACGTGCGAAATTTACGATCCATGGCATTTGCATTTGCCTGGTGGTTCCTTAACAGCTGTTTTGCGAGGTTGGTTTTGCCAGTTCGAGCGGCCCAAAGTAACGCAGAGCTACCCTGCTGATGAACGTTGAAGCTGGATAGATATGGGAGGACTTTGTGGGTGTCGGTTTAGCACTTCCCGTGGTCAACTATGGTTCATATCACCTATGTTAGCTTACTGGATTTAGTCACTTAACCTCTACCTGCTACTAGTGGCCGTGACTAGCCTCACGTTATTAGACATTCGAGTGGCTCATAATTGATGCCTCCGATAGGTATCCTGCTTGAATTCCTGGGAAATGGCGAATAATCAATTTGTTTATGACAATCCGCCACCGTGGACGTCCTACCGAATTGTGTGGGATAGAAGTGCGCAGAACCAGGGAGAGCAACACGGAGTCTACAATATTATATACTTGATCATGTCCTGGTTTATAATTTCTTCATCTCCTCTTCTAGCCTACTGAATCCTTCTATCAGAGCCATCCATCTCGCTTCTGAGCCTTCTAACCTCTTCCCTGCCGTTCGTTTGCCCATAGTGAACCACCCGGTAAATGTATTTGGTACCTGTATCACAGACCAGTACCATACCTTATTCCTCACCCAACATGGCCCTTAGCACATCAGTTGGTGTACGCTTAGGTGCTGCAATCTCCAGAACTTCTTTGCTAGTGGTAGAAGCTCTGCATTTACCTTCCCATAGAGTCTCTAGAGCATGTCTTCCAGTCATAATAACATTCTTTGACTCCCCTGTATTCGCATATACCTTCTCATAGCTCGCCTGAGCTAATGCGAGCAACTCCTCATAGCCAACATCCTTAACCTTAATACCGGTACGCTGCTCGACCATCTCAACGACTTGCGCCCCAGTGAGGTCTTCCGGTCCATTAAGGACATATTTTGCCTTATTGTGCCGTGCAGGATTTTCTTGGGCCAAGAGATGGGCAGCGAAAATCCCGATCTCGTTCGAATCAATAAGACCCATAGGTGTATCCTTCGATATAGTAAAACTCAGTCTTCCCTGCACTCTAGATTCGCGGTACTTCTTGATGAAGTCAACCGCAGGAGCGAGGCCCCACTGCAAGTAGAGGTTTGGCTGAAGTGAGGTCCACATTAGACTGTTAAATTCGGGCGAGCTCAAAAGAGCCTCAATTGCCCAATGGGAGCGTGGATAGTAGGCTTTGCAGTCTGGGCGAACATTTGCGGCAGTGGTTGAGATTCGAACAACATACTCCAGCTGGGCATAAAGGGCGTTCACAAGAAAGGTGCTTTCCTCAGCAAACTGATTCGGATTGTTATGGCATGCGACGTAGGCCCTAACAACCTCGTGTTCCTTCAGCCAGTCGACGGTGATGTCGACCCAATTTTTCTCCATCATCTGAACGCCAGGGACATTTGCGAGATTCTTTGCAACTGGAGAATCCATAGATCGCGTCAGACCGATCACTTGGTGGTTGCATAGTGCTTTGCTTTTCTGAAGCAACCCAGGTAGGGTTTCGGTCAGGCTGCGGCCGGTGTTTCCGGTTGCACCGATAATAAGAATAGTTGGAGCCATAGCGAACGGAAAGCGAATATATTATTGGTGGTTTTTGATAAGAAGAAGTGAATAAGTGCAGATAGATTTAGTCCTCTGCCCGGGAATTTATATTCTGTAGAGCCGCCGAGGGTGACAAATTGCTTATAAACTAATAATGCCTATGATGTATTGACTTCCTACGAAAGGGACGCGGTGCGGGTGTGCGAAGACACGGATAGGGAACGTTATTCTTCCAAAAAGGGGATGCAGCTCGAGGATAAGGCCTCTTGGACGATCAATAAGCGTGAACCAAGGAAAAAGCAAGGCCACATACCACCCACTGGGTAGAATTCGTGACATATGGATACAGGACTTTTTGAACGTCAGATCATGGGAAGCTATATGGGTGGTTCTCATGAGTTAGGTGCAAATTTGGCTATTCCAGAATCGGTATACAGCTCGACAAATAATCAGTTTTAGTGGGGCTGATTACGGAAACAACAGAGAGCTAGTCAGAACTGTGGATCCCTAGTAGATCCTGAGAGGCCATTGCCTTCCGTGTCACTATAGCCGATTGTCGTTTTGCATGGGGGGACTTATTCCACTGAATGTTTCAATGTCGATGAAGCCCACTTAGTCAACATCTCTGTTCAGAAAGCTGGGATCCCAATTGCAATTAACCGACCGGGCTTTGATGGCTCCTCCCAACTACCGCGTACTCCAAACAATTCTATATATATTATCGAGCAGGGTCGGTGGATTCAGGATAAATGCTTCCTATGATATGGAACCAATATCACAAAATTCCCCATATATCATCATTGGCACTTTATGGACACTCCTTCGGTTCGGCCGTGTCAGTTGTGGCCGCTGCCTTATATAGTGAAGCTTCAAAACTATCCACTCCTCGATATTCTCTATCTTCGCTTATTGTTGCTAGCCTCCGTGTGAAACGGAAGTTTTTAAATAAAGATCCCGAGACTCTAGCGCTTGATGGTCATAAAATCATAGTCTCAACTGATTATAAAGACGGATTTCTTACTGGTCCTAGAATTACATGCGAGACAAATATTTTTGAGCACAGTTCCAGAGTCAACACGCATATGTTATTGGAGGAAATGAATGATATCAACACTCTTTGGTCGACTTATTGGACAAAATATGCACAGAAGGTGGCCATCCCACTTCTATATCACAGCACGGCAAGACCAATCATGGATATTATCTGAGGACACTATACACGCCAGTGGGAAGGTTGAATTATTATTTGATAGTGAATTTTAGGAGTATTATTGCTATATTATTGGTTGTACATTAATGGACCCGATTCGTATGATTCTCTAAGTTAATATTGTAGGGAATTTCGCCGTCCTCGAGACTAGATACGGCCTTGAGTATAGAATAGGACAGGGGACCATAGCGGGACTACGGAGCTAATAGCGGGACTATCGATCAGTGTAAAACGTAGCCAAAATTTACTCTGATAATTGCTGTTGACGTCTAGTCCATTCAAAGGGCGCTAATCGATTATATTTTCACTCCCCATATTCAGTTATTGGAACTGGTGGGCAGTCTCGAATAGACTGCGACAGTCGAGGCCGACCAGTAACGACAATCACTACCATTTCCGGAGTAAAAAAAAACCTAGATATAGTAATTAAAATAGTATAAATTAAATTTTAAATATCTATTAAATAAACTATTAAATATATTGTGATCGCAGCTACGCTGAGGTAACGGTACTATAGAGCTACGTGAGGGGGACCTTTCCCCTCAGCTACGGCCCTAGTGACTGCACCACGGGCTTAACCCTACGTTGCTTAACTACCCTATGTATATAAAGGGCGTAGCGACCCCTACCCTTAGTAGGAGGTCGGCAACCCTCTATCTCTCATAGCATACCGCTACTATCAATCACACGAGAAATGGCCAATATTCTGCTTTTAAAATATGATACTACCTCTCCCCTATTACTATAGGGGAGAAATGGGTATACAACTTTATTAAGTGTACACCTGAGCTTAAAACCTGCTTTGTATATCGCTATAAATATTAACATACTAAAGTAGAGGATCCTAAGATTCTAGGTACTTGGTTTGAGCAGGTAAATTAGACTATTTAGAAGTACGGTATAGCTTCAAGCAAAATCTATAATTTTGATAAAACAGGATTTGTAATAGATCTGATAGCTATAGCCAAAGTTATTACTAGATCTGATGTACCAGGCAGGCTATTTTTATTACAGCCAGGGAACTGGGAATGGGTTACTGCTATAGAATATATATATTCTAATAGATAGGCTCTACCTCCCTGTATTATTTTCAAAGGCAAGGTGTATATGGAGGCCTGGTACGAGGATAACAAGGTTCCTTCTAATTGGAGGATTTAGGTTAGTCCTAATAGCTGGATAAGTAATGAGATTGGTCTATGTTGGCTGCAGAATTATTTTATATCTCTTACTACCGGCCGATCTATGGGAAAATACCGTCTTCTTATTTTAGATGGCCACGATAGTTATCTAATATCTCGATTCGATCAGGTCTATGCAGAAAATGATATTATATTAATTTGTATGCCTGCGCACGCTTCTCATAAGCTTTAACCGCTTGATGTTGCTGTTTTCTTGTCTTTGAAACGCGTGTACGGAGACCTAGTTCAATCTAAGATACGCTGCGGGTGTAATTATATCGATAAAATCGATTTTCTGAATGTATATCCTGAGGTCTATACAGAGGCCTTTACTAGTAGTAATATGTATAGTGCTTTTAGAGCTACTGGCCTAGTTCCTCTATCTTCTGAGTTTGTTCTATCTGAGCTGACAGTTCAGCTTAAGACCTCTATATCTTCGGGTAGTAGACCTAGCAGTCAAGGCAGCTTAGTGTTTATAATATCTTATATAGTCAAGCAGCTGAATAAGTCAGAATCTAGCTTTAAAAAGCTGTTTAAAATTCGGTATTGCAGTCCTGATTTGTCTATTAAAGCGGGCCTAAATTAAATAATAAAAGGCGCTGAACAAGCTTTCTATAATGTAACAATATTAAAGCATCAACTTGAGCATAATCAGGCTGAAAACGAAAGGCAGATTAAAAAGCGAAAACGCTCTACTATATAGATTACTTTTGAAGAAGGTATATCAGTATCTGAAGCCCGAATTCTCATAGAGCGCCGAAATCAGGCAGATGAAGTTATATAGGCAGATAGGGTTTAATGTACTAAATCGGGTTCTAGGCGCGCCCTATCTAAATGTTCTGGCTGTGGTGTACAGGGTCATAAAATCACGCACTGCCCGAATCGATAGAACTACTTATATTTTTATAGGAGTCTAAATTCATGGTGTTTTGACTATTTTTATTTTTATATGGGTGTAGGGGTGGCCGCTCGTTTACTGATTACGTTAAGACTGAATACTATATAATAACTAACTACAGTAAGCAAAAGCTACCAACAACGCAGAAGAAAGAGAACCATGACTACAGTAGGCGGAAGCCACCAACAACGCAGAACCATGACACTCGAACAACTTCTGCCGCATGGATGGATTCAGATCCCTCTTTTTTTTTTTTTTTTTCCCTTTCGAAGGGAGATCATGAAGCTGCTGAGCAGCTGATAAAAGCCTTAATTGAGCTTCACAAAGTCAAGTGCGGTTCTTTTAGTGGTTCGAGAGACTTGAGTCTGCCTGTACTATGAAAGGAAATATTATTGAAATTATTGTTGGATTAAGCATGATTGCCACCTGAGGCGGAAACGTTAGTCAGCCGGAGATACGCACGTGATCGAGCTATCCAGAATCTTCAAGGAACAGCTCTCTCCAGACATCTCCGCACGGTACGCGCTCACCTTTCCTGACATAATCGAGTCAGGTCTTGTATCACCTTTACCTTCATTCTTGATCTAAAGTCTCTCTTGAATTTTTACGTTCTTAAATTCCTAACTTAAAGACCGGATCGCGCGCATTACCTTGTAACAATGGCCAACTATCTCGCCTCCATCTTCGGCACGGAACAGGACAAGGTCAACTGTTCGTTCTATTATAAGATCGGCGCATGCAGACACGGCGACAGGTGTTCTCGGAAGCATGTCAAGCCTTCATACTCGCAGACGATCCTGATGCCAAACATGTACCAGAACCCGGCATACGACCCAAAGAATAAGATGAACCCCAGCCAGCTCCAGAACCACTTCGATGCTTTCTACGAAGATGTGTGGTGTGAGATGTGCAAGTACGGAGAGATAGAGGAACTGGTAGTGTGTGACAACAATAATGATCGTAAGTTGGAGTTCTTTCCCGCCCAATACTCGAGCCATGGAGCTGCTACTAACGTTTATTACCCTAGACCTTATCGGCAACGTCTACGCCCGATTCAAGTACGAAGAAGATGCGCAAAAGGCCTGCGACGCTTTGAATTCACGCTGGTATGCAGCGCGACCGATATATTGTGAACTATCGCCGGTCACAGATTTCCGAGAAGCATGTTGTCGATTAAATAGTGGCGAAGGCTGTGTGCGTGGCGGATTCTGCAATTTCATTCACCGGAAGGACCCCAGCAATGAGCTCGACCGTGAACTGCGCCTGAGCACGAAGAAATGGCTGAAGGAGCGCGGCAGGGACGCCCGCAGTGTCAGTCGCAGCCCCAGTCCGGAGCCGACGAGGCGGAGATATTAGGTGTGGATTTGCTTTTTGTGTTCTGCATGTGGCGTTGGGGAATTGACCTCTGTCAACTGTAATTTTTCTTATACTGTTATGATATCAAGCCCTGGTTGCGAGATTTATGGCATTCAAATTGTCTTCGGTTGAAGCTTTTATACCTGTAGAGTACCTTAACAATAACGACTGTCAGTTTAGAGCTTCTCGGCATTACCCCATCTGGAAGTAAATGTTGGTCTTGGCAACCGGCGCGGGAGGCGCGTGGACCGCGTTTAAACATCTCTTTTACACTGCTCTCTCCCCGCAAAACCCCTCGTTACTGATCCCGCTGCCATAACCATATACTCTTCATTCGGTAGACTGCACATAGCGAACATGGCGAGCCGTAATGACGAGGGTGACTATGACGATAGCAACCGCGCATTTCTGCAAGCTTTTATGGCCCGCTCCACCATGACCTTTGCGGAGGCAAGGCTTGTTCTGGCCGCTATTTTCTCTGTGCATGGTATTTATTGAGCCTTTCCAGCGATTTCATGGTGAGACATTGAACTAACATTGTGCGAACAGAAGGGGAGCCGGTCTCAGCAGAAGATGTCACCGAAGACGACCTCGCATCGTACATTGCCGCCGCAAATACCACCATCTCACCATTCGACTTGGAAATCAGAAGTACACTCCGCCAGTCACAGGTAAATCCAGAAGGGTCGGGGAATCAGACACCAGAACGGGTGTATGCCCTTGTCAATATCACCAGTGACGCCTTGACACAGCTGGCGACCACTTACAGCGCGGATGAGATTTCCTTCATCAAGCGCATCCTGGATGCCATGTTCGATACGAATAATACGAGACGGTCCGAGGCGATGGTTGTCAGCGGCATGCAGGCTATACAGTTGGCCAAGGCCTCGTCCGGAGATGCAAGCCGTCGGGAGTCGAGTAACGCGACGCAGAGTCAAGGCGGAGCCGCACACTCGCTAACTATGTCTCAAGCGGAGACGGTGTTGAAGCAACTCGTGGAGGAGGGATGGCTCGAAAAGAGTAGGAAGGGGTTCTACAGTCTAAGTCCGCGAGGGTTAATGGAGCTACGAGGATGGTTAGTGGCGACGTACAATGACGAGAACGAGGATGGCCGGAGGATGGACAAGATCAAATTCTGCGCTGCATGCAGGGATATTATCACGATGGTGAGTTATAAATTCATTATGTATTTGTTGGAAAAAGCTGCTGACTGCTTAGGGCCAACGTTGTGGTAACCGTGACTGTGCGGGCCGACTCCACGACCATTGTATCCGCAACTTTTTCCGCATGCAACAGGCGGAGCAGTGCCCTGTGTGCCAGGCTCCATGGCCAGGTGATAAGTTCGTTGGAGAGCGCGCAATCACCTCGGCAGAACGCCAGATGCAGGGCAGTAGCCGAAGCACGAATACGCAGCGTCAAAGCGATGTCGGATCCAGTTCACAAATTCCTAGCGAGGACGGAGCGGCTGACAGTGACTGAGGCCAACAACTGACCTAAACTTTATGCTGCCCCACAGCGGCTAATGTGAGGGACCAAAACTCGTGGGGTTCACGACGTCGCAAGATATCCTACGGCTGAGCAGCCATCAGCCGTTTCCAGGGATTTCGCTGCACGTGGGTAGCCTGCGCAGCACGATCTGATTGCCACTGGCTCCCTGTTGCTTGCGCACGGTGATGCTCACCCTTTGCCCATGAGGGTCTTCTGGACGCCTGGTCCTGGCTGGGTTTCATGGCTCATATTAGCCCTTTTATCAACAGAGCGAGTTCCTGTACAAAGCCTCCCTGATCGACTGAACTATACTAGTTTCAACTCGCAGTCGACCAGCATCGCTGCAGATGCTCAGTACTCCATACACCGAATTAGGTCTGACCTCATTAAACCCACACAAAGACTCAATCGAATGAAGGAAAGACTAGCTCATGAACAGAACAACAATACAATATTTACAACACATGAAACTCAAAGCATGCACCCATGTATCAATATCCAAACAATATCATCAAACTAATCGCAACAGCCCAGACCTTTACCATCCCACCCTTGACCCTCAGGGTCTTCCCACTGTTCCCACGCACACACTCACCATCTTCACAATGCGCGTCACTAAAACAACATTTGGTCCCACAGCATTGGGTATCCTTGGGACAATGGTAGCCACTCTCCCCGCAGCAGATTTCAGAATCCGTATCGTAGCAAGCAGAACGTCCGCATTTGGCATTTCCGGACCGGCAACAGGTCCCGTCAGACGAATCGACGCATTTACTCGATATGGGGCAGCAGGAATCTCCGCACTAATTGCAAGATTAAAAAATGGACCTTCAAGCCATAGAGATGACAATAAGATAGGGCATACACAGGTAGCGAGGTTGGAGCAACATCCTCGTCCACAGGATTCTAAATATGTTAGGGCGGTTCGACTAATTGTGGCGGTGGTGGTAAACTAGGATCTATACCTTCTCCAATATCACAGTCTCCTGCCCGAGAGAAGAGACTCTTTTCGACAGAGAAGGCAAACTGCGTAATGTCCGCGAAAAGAAGGGAGTCAAGGCTAGCATTGACATACGCTGCGGGTGCTTGGAGGGACTGCATGACTGTCTAAGACTTTTTATATGACCTTTAGAAAAAGCAAATATGAAATAACTGGCAGAGCTCATGTGGAGCGGATACTTTCCCCACCTATATATACATCAAGCACTCCTAGTAACGCTTGGCTTCGCCCCTCCAGGAGCATCTACTCCATTAAAAAACCGCATGAACATAGAATGGCACGGCGAACCTCGGACATTCAAGTCATCGTTCTCATCTCGTATCTGCGCCAAGAATGTCCCGTGCCCCAGGACCCTTCTGGTGTGGCGGAGATCCCTCGTATTTGTCTGCTTAGCGGGGAGTTGGTGCGTTCAGCCTTGTGTTGTATGAATGCTATATGGCTATTTGACTCATTGGCGTCTTGTCGGGTGTCGATCGTTGACTCTGTGCGGGGAGGTCGGTATGTGTAGTATATGTTGCCGTCCTGGCAGGCAACAAAGATCATATGGAAGCCATATAAGCACATGATCGAAATAGCGTTGCTCAATAACTTGAAAACTTTCACTAATGGGTAGTTCTGTGCCATAGTGGTGATTTATATAAGAAAGTTGGTGTAGTAATGGCAGGCACTGGAGTTGATTAGGGTTTCGATTTCTCGTCGCAACTGCGTGTCAACACCCCTGTGAAAACCAAATTGTGAAAATAGAATTATAGTATTCAGAATATTAATAACGTATCTGAGATAATGATATTTAAAATGTAGTAACCAATAAAAGTCCTTGGAGGGTGGTGTGGTACTCATGCGCAAAGCAACCAGGGTACGTTATGAAGAAATGCTTAGGCAGCGACAAGAGAAACCGCCAACTCTGCTTGGACCGTCGTTGTGCCGCCGTGAAATAAGCTTATACAAGATGATCCCTAGGGCCCTTTTCTGGGGCCAAATGCCGCCATACCGGTGACGTTCAACGGCTTCTGATAGTCTATGTTGGGTTGAATGATCTAGTATAATGACTTTATGACAAGGACTGGCCCTTGTACCATTCCTATTTGTACATATGACTGTCTTCTTCTGTACAATGCAACTAAGATTGATAATGAATTCACAAACAAAGTGTCTCGTGTTCAATGGTATTTCTGATAAGGGCCCTTTATGAGATAAAACAAAAGGTGCCTGGTTTTAATCAAACATTATACATTGAGCTCTATGTTCTTTCTAGGTTCTGTACGAGTTCAAATCACTGAAGGTACAAACTATGTAGCTAAGCGGTCATCTCTGCTATATTCTTTTGGGTTACAGCTGATATCAACAAATACCCTCTAATGCTCATGCAAGGTCTACCCGTAGTTAGTATGTATGTCTTACTTACAACAGTACCTCCACTTTCAGACACCACCAGCCTGTTGGCAGATTATTTTGCAATTATCCATGAAAACACTATTCTATCCATAATGGTCTTTTGTCCAGTATCAATATGCCTCACAAGCCTTCCCAATGAGCTTCTTTAGATGATTACCAACGAGTTGGATATCGCATCCGCCATTAAACTTTCAAGACCATGCATGTCGATCCATCAAGTCCTCAAGGAACATATAGAAAGAGAAATGGCGCAGAGAGATGCCCTTCCACCTAAACCATACTACGACATGATACTTCAGAAACTCTCGTCTGGTCAGTTAAACTACAAACAAGAGAGCATCCTCGAAGAAAACATGGCATGGGCTGTCAAACAGGGCCGACCCGATATCTTCCAAATGCACCTCAAAGCAGGTGTGGACCCCAACTCCTACACACGACCTGGAAGGCCCATGTTATCCCATGCGGCGTGCGAGGGACAGATCGAGTCTGCGAGGATCTTGCTACGTTACCGCGCTGACCCGTGCTTACCTAGTTTGTGTGGAGGACAGACACCTCTGAAGTACACTGTTTATGGGACGGCCACTACGTCCAGAAGAAAAGGGGAAGTAGCCAACATGATCGATCTGGTGCTAGGTGCAGGCGCTCCATATCGCAGTGAAGAGGGATCTGAGGAGGGTACAACTTTTGACTGAGAAACTGGCAGCAACATCCTGTGATCGGCGAAGACTCCCTGATGGGAAGCACGATATTCGAGATTGCAAGCATTGTTTCTACGGTCGGTGTCGCTGGCGTCTCGAGATAAATGTCCATGAAGACTTTCTTCCATCGGAGGTCAACCTTGCCGAGAAACGCGCTGTAATCTTCGAGCTAGAGGTGCCCAAATGTTTCGCATCCTATAGGGATACTACCTGGAGGATGATCTATTCCCTTTGTCAGCAGCGTTTCAGTTCACCTTCAGACAAGCCGGAGTTGCTATTGAAAGAATATTCCCAGCTGAAATTGTATAACAATAGCAAGGCAGACCAAAACCTTTCACTGGCGTCTCACATAGAATCCTTCCTGGGGACACACTATAAATCAAAGAGGTTGCCGGCAAAAGAGAAGAATGTTCTGCTTCCACTGGGGCTACAGTTTCATACTATGACAGAGAACGAAACGTGTGGCTAGCGGACTTTCCTAAACGGCTGACATGCGCACATCACTTCGCACTGCGCCTTCCAAAAAGCTTGCCATTTGCAGCCCTGTACTCAACACCTGACTTTGCAGCTGACGCACCAGGCCCGTCATCATATAAGGCCATTGCAAGTATTACCGAATGCCCATCACGGCGAAGTGTGCATGAATATGTGGCACACCAGAATGTTATGGGCGGGAAGAGTCGGCGATGGATGTCGATTTTGAGCGAGCTTGGATCTTTGAACATCAACTTCAGTCTCCAAGATACAGCTATTCTTTTCCGATTACTAGTGTTACAAGCTGGTCCCCAACTGAAGAATGATAGCCTACGGGCTGTTCATTATGTTTTTAGAGACGTGAACTTCTGTCGCAGGCTAATCGAGCAGATCGAACAACACGTGGAAATCATATCTCCCAATTGGCGAGAGTACTACTACATGGAGACTCTACTTACGTTAACAGTTCAACTGTGCGAGATCTCTTGCTCAGAATCACAAAGGCAAGCGCATGATCTCCTGTTGAAAATCCGAGGTATTACTCTCGTCTGGACTACGGCTCTAAGGAGTGAAATGCGCCGTGCGCCGGAAGCAGATACTGCAGAAAGCGCAGCTACATACTGCTTCTTTTCTGCCCTCCTATGTCGCAGGACGTTTGCACTCCAAGCTTGCAGCGGTCAAGGACTTGATGCAGAGAGCTTTAAGGACTTTATTGAAGCAACCGTTACCATGCAAGAAAGCTCGGTGATCGATGTGTCTGCATTTATGACGTTTACACGGAATATGCTTGTTCGCGATATCAAAATGGCCGCTGCATTACGACCTATGCTCCGACAAGCTGTTACTGTGTATTAGACTAGTTTGATATCGGCTATTGATACTTGTTGGCCAGGTGCAGAACACACTTCGAGGGCAGTACACACAATGGAAGTTCCTATCTCGCCCGAATGAATGGTGGCTCATGTCAATAGCTCAGGGTACAAAGACTACTATACCACAAGTGGTCCATTACCACTTGTTGGAGGGCCACTTGCTAGTAGACGGACAAACGATGGGAAAGCTTCCGGCTGATCTCAGAAACTCGGACGTATTGAAAGAACTGTTCGGAAATAAAAGGCTTGTCGCCTATCCTTCAAATATGTCTGGGATGAGTTATGTACTCGCAACAGATCAGGAGAGTCATCAGATACACCTGGGATACCGACGAGAGGCGCTCGTTATTCGCTCTGTGAAGACTGGCAAAACCATGGAGTTAGTTCCGCGCCAGGTCTTCGGTAAGGGTACTGGAATTGATTTCCCAAGTCAGCTAGTTGACAATTGCTTCCATTGGCTTGATCTAAATTCCGGAGATATAGAGGTTCGCGGCAGGAAAGGCTCTGGAAAACGAGCAACTGGAGTATAAGCACCCGAACTTCCCGAGCACAGCGTCGAAATGCCTCTCTCGTTGACCCACACAGTGCTCTGTTCGGATTACATAGTGGCTAAAACCTTCCGCAACTTTGAAGAGCCGCATATGATAACCGTTGTCCAGCCGCTCAAAGGTAATCTCACTGTAGAGTTGAAGCGGTTGGACCTGACGTTCTATGTCAATGGAAAAGGTCTCCTGCAATGTAAGCAGCTGGCTGCTGAGATTGACCCAAATCAAGATGCGGGCACGCTTGTTCGACACAGTGAGGCCATTTTGCGAGGCATACGGCGGCTCCCCAGAAGAGCAAAAGCATAAGGGACCAAAAACTATCGGAGAAACCCGCCAAATTGAGGTGGCCAAAACGGAGCATAACTTGAAGTGTGCGAATGAGTGTCACAAGTTTGCTAAGTTCCTGCTCGATCAATGGCCATGCGCTGAGCCGACTGTTGAGGGTTTTGATCAGAGTTATCTAGAAGTTTCGCTAGCTATGGAGGAGGTGATGCCTGAGTGGTTCAGACTGTACAAGAATTTGCGACTGTGTCATCATATTGAGGAAGTCCAGACAGTACTGGATAGACATTCTGCTGTCACTAATATGGTTGACAAGCCCTTTATATGCCCAAAGCCTGTTTTATTTGAGCGACCAGAGCTTCGTCATTCTATCCCACGCCTTGGGGATGAGCTCCTACAAAAGCCTGGACCGAAGCTCAACACACAACACGACGTACACACCGTCAAGCTATGGGCGAAAAGCCAGATAACTACCCCGTCCCCATCTTTAACATCGAATCGAAGGCACACTCATCCAGAAGTCACAGAACTAGAGAGGCTAGTGAGTGATATCATGGATTCGCGTTGCCCAGTCACAATGAGGTATGGACAAGATTTGAAGGAAAGCATTGATGCGTTAAGGCTGCTTGAGCGTACAAATGAACAAGAGATAAATGTGCATGTCAACTGGGAATTTGCGACTGAAATATTTAACTACGAGATTCAGGAGGCTCGTACGGTAGTAAATCAGTACTTCTCTCAGATACGCAGGTCGCTATCATTGAATGAAGCGAGGTTCAAGTGGCTACAGCAAAGCAATCTTTGGCCATGTGTGACGCCTGTGTCAGTTCTTCAGCAGCTTGCATCGACCTCCCGAAATAGCTTTGGACCGAGCATGAAAGATGCAATCATCCTGTATGGACTTGCCATTGCAAAGCTACAACGACTGAATCGGATGAAAACAGCTTTCGGAAAGGGCGACAAGGAAATGGTGCTTCAAGAATATAAGAACCAGGGTCATACCAATTGGCAGCCTTCTGAGTATCCTGACTGGTTGTTGCTAGAGATTAATGCAAATATCCAAATTCGGGAAGATCAAGTTACAGTCGCTCAGGAAATGATTTCTCCAAGCTCAGGCTGTAACTCTGTTCTTCAAATGAATATGGGTCAAGGGAAAACTTCTGTCATCATGGCTATGGTTGCCTCTGTACTCGCGAATGGGAAGGCGCTTACTAGGATCTTAGTGCCCAAGGCTCTGATGTTGCGATTCTGCTTACTTGCCTCTCGTTTTACCACCGAGGACTTACTGAGGATCAACTCCGACAGAGCTTACAGGAGGTCTTGAGATCCGATGATCCCGATATTGAATATGTTCGGTGGACTCAGACATCGTTTGCTTTACCAGAAACGTTGCGACACTGGAATACGATCAATGTTGATGACCCTGGACAAGTCTCTGAGATATGGCGGCATTTGCGTTTGAAAACTGTTGTAATTAATCATTTTCTGAGAAACTTTGTCTTTCCTGTACACGCCAAGCATTTCAGTACGAAGCTGCAGGCATCAGGCTGGGATCTTCCACTGTATACTAACTCTTTAGGTCAAAGTGCAGATGCTAAGCCTGTGCGATCGGGAATCACGACTGGGTTTAGTGGGACCAACGACAATCGCCGGCTTCTTCCTCTTTTGATAAAGCAGCAAGATCTTCGTGGACTTTCACATACGAACGCAGAGGTACTCGCTTACCTTCTGCAGAAGAGAAACCGAGCCTATAAGATAGCGGCGAATCCAAACAGTACACGTTATTCGGAGCTTGACCTTCTGAAGTACCTCAAGCGACGTAACGTGCGCATTCTTATCGACGCTGGCGCGTTCATATTGGAAATGGGTAATGAGGCACTCGCGTGGGCTTGGCTACAAGAGGATGATCAAGCTCAAGCCGCAGTTTACTTTAAAAAGGATAATCAGCCCTGGCTGCAATACAGGACTGGAAGAGCTGCTCCCCTTCTTTCTACCCCATTTGCGGAAAATATGGAGAATTGCGTGGTCTATATAGACGAGGCACACACCCGGGGTACCGACCTCAAGCTACCGCCTCATGCTCGAGGAGCACTAACTCTAGGCTTGAATCAAACGAAGGACCATATAGTTCAAGGTACACTTTTTTCTTTTTTTCTTTTTTTTTTTTTTGGCCTCTCTCCATTCATTGTGCAAGTGCTAATTATCGGTCCTAGCCGCTATGATATTGCGACAGTTGGGAACGACACAATCCGTCACTTTTGTCTCACCACCAGAGGTGCATCAGAGCATACTAGATGTCCGTCAGAAGAGTATGTATGATAGTATTGATTCATCAGATGTACTTTTCTGGTTGATGAATCAGACAGGCAACAACAATAGAGAATTACAACCGCTGTATCTCTCCCAAGGGTTTGACTTCTGCCACCGCATGCAAGCTTCAATCGACTATAAGAATTTCTTCACCGATCCAGATCATAGGAATGCGTACACGGAGCAATTGAAGTGACTGGAATAACAGACATTGGAGCAGCTCTACCAGCCTCAGCCACACGAACAACGCGATACAATGTCTCTATCAACCAACATTACAGCATCTTTCACGAGTGACATCACTTCTTTCGTAGACCAGCTACGGCAAAGCTATGTTGAGTCCCAGGCTATGGGCTCTATTAAGGATTCCGCATTAGAGGAGGTTGAGCAGGAGCGGGAAGTCGCCTTTGAGATCGAACAGGAAAGGGAGATACAGCGGCCTGTGACTATGAAAGCATACCGGTACCCCGGACTGCAGAACTCCATTAAAAACTTTGTGATGATCGGTCGGCTAAGGGGAAACGAAGGCTACGTGGAGGCGGCCACTGTCCTGGAGTCAACAGATCTGGGGCGCAAACACGGCATTGATGCTTCGACGTTACTGCGTTCCTTGTATGTTTCGACTGAGTTTACCAGGACGGTAGAAACAAAGGAACAGGCCAAGAGTATTGATAACTTTCTGGTAATATATTCCTATCTTCTGACGCATGCGTTGTTCAGTTTGACTAACATACATCATTGGATAGCGTCCCGTGAGTTGGGTGCTTTGGAATTCACAGACAAATGTCGGGCTAGTGATCATTCCAGAGGAAGCCGAGGACCTCATCCCCATAATACGTACAATGCAAAGCTTGACAGTGCATCTGATTCTGTACGCGGCACCGTTCACAAAGCGAATGGTCCACTTTGACACTCTCAATTACTACGCTTTCCCGAGCCCTCCTAAAGGGTGGTCTCCACCACCATGGCTTCCCTTCGAGTTGGGAATTCTGGCAGGGCGACTATATTTCAAATTCTCAGAATACAAGTTTCTGTTGGAGCAGCTGCGAGTAGAACCAGAGAAGCCCATAGCCCACGTTGATTTGGTTGCAACTAGCAGTGCTGCTGCGGCGAGTGATAACTTCTTTGTCAGAAGCCAGCTCAACTTTCTGCAAGACTGGTTGACTCTCCGTCGACAGGGGCAGGACATTTCACATACTCCCATGGGATATGTTTGCCAGGGTACTAGACTTCGCAGTGATCATCCATGTTTCTTGGATAGAAAAGCGGTAGAAGAGATAGAAGGTGTCGATCGCCGTCTATTCTACAGCACAAGGTGCAACGCGAGTGATGAAGTGGAGGTGTATTACGATAGTGACGACGATGATGCTGCTGCTACAGGTGTTGATATGATGGAAGGAGGAGAAGATGATGTATCAGATGGAGATGTTAATATGCAAGAGGAGGATTAACATTGAAATTTGTAACCGGGATGCAGCTTGCTGGAGATATGCGCACTATGATGTTGGTGATATTAGTATTACTCAAATCCATTAGTGATGTCTTTTTCATTGGCTATGTTACATCAGATGTACTCCATGGAGTGATATCCTAACCAATTCTATGTACACCCAATGACAAAGCATCGTGACATTATAGAGAGTCTATAAATAATAAGAAGCAGTTTCTATATGCAAATAACAATCTCCAAGAACATTGAAGAACTCTTCATGGCAAAAACAGCAGACATCCTCTAGGACAACATAGTGTTAACCACACTCGTTTACTTCCATTTTTGGCTTCAATTGTACGGAGTACTATGGTAAATAATGTAGATACTGTACTAAATTTAGAAGGCGTTCTAGTACTGATTGGTTGGCCCGTATTTAATCCGTGCTGAAATACCAAACAAGGCTACAATGTTGATCATCTCCCCATTTGCGTTCCATGGGAATTCCTGACCACCACCAACAACTGCTTACTTTGATAGAGACAGAACCACAGTCAGATCAGTATGTGTTCCTTTAATTCCCAGAAGTCAGACCAGACTGATGTTCCTCCCCCGCCGCCACCGCCCCCATTGATCGGCAAAACAGCCCCCAAGCCCCCAAATGTAGCATCCGAGGGACCCGCCGGGTCTTACCTGGTCGAGTTACTAATTTTCAACGGCTGGCCTTTTAAAGATCACTGGGCGTACTGGGTCCGGTCACATTCCGACCCTAATATCGGTGTGCAGCTTCATGCGACCGGGGATGTAAGGAACGGCTTCGAGTTCCAGATCAAACGCTACTATGACTTCCACGACGAGAACAGTGAATGTCCCTCGACAAGAATCCCCCTCCAATGGATTGATGGGAAATACTTCGATGAACGGGCGATGATGAATAATGGTGTGTTTAAGTTGGACATTGTGCCTGTCTGTGTCTGTGGCTTTGAAGCTTGTGCATACAAGGTCAAGGCTCCAGAAAAGTCTTTGAATACCGTTACCGAGGCTGTAAGTACTTATAACATCTCTATGAGATCTGTAAATTTGAAGATTCTACTAATAGACATTTTTCAGACCATTTCGGAAGGCCAAAGGGGTCAAAAGGTGAACCAAAGGAACTGTCAGACATGGATTGTGGAGTCTGCCGATCAACTCGTCCGGGATGGGATCTTTCGCCAACAGGTTGCGATGTACCTTCATGCTATTGAGCAGTGATACACATGAGTTTTATCATTTACTGGCATCTTGTGAACTAAAAAAATAAGAATTAGTTCGCCCACGAGAGGAAATCGAACGTGACCGTACGAGTTGCGTCTTCTTCGAGGCGAAGTACGGGCTCAGCCTTGCCGATCGGGACCTGAAACTGCCAACCATTGTTCGCAATGCGGGCAGCGGATTTGTCCGAAATCTGAGTGGATATCGTGCCGTAGGGATCCACCGTGGAAACGGGGCCTAAGATGGCACTAACGGGGCACCAGGAGCATTGACGTCTCCCGCCAATTTCCCTAAGCATGCAGTTGGGACACAGTACGTACTCGATCGAGGGATGTCAACATATTAATTCAAGTCAAAATAAGACCAGCGGAGGAGGAACCGGCGGATCTTGGTGGAGCATTACTGTAGAACCGTAAAAGTCTTTGCCTATCAATGCTTAACGACGATGATAAGAATCTTGGTAGGGCCCCACCAGGACGCTCAGACAGCGACTCTGGCGCAATTGGATCAATTCGGTAATCTTACGAACGATGCGAGCGGGGGAAATTATCACAGGGGTCATAAGTTCATCTCCTAAGAGATTAAGAAGCAGGGATCGACGAGAGTCAAGAGTAAGGCTGAGTTGGAATATACCTCGTAAGCCCTAGTCTTTATAGGGTATAGAGCACCTCGTGATCATCCCACTCCTTTTGATTCTCTCCAACATTCTTTGTTTTCGTGAGATTGTCCACATCGCACCAGAATTGTAGTGAGTTTTCACGAGTGGCCATCATGCTCACAATTCAGCTAGAAAATCAATTAGCCTGCTATTCAGGCCATGAACATCTTCGCGGCTGCGTCGTCTATCATTGCCCCAACCCGATCGACATCCAAGAGATTCGGGTGAGCTTTTACGGCCGCGCCAAGGCAAAAGTACAGAAGGTCAAGGGCGCCGCCGCGCCTGCTGCGACCTACCGAAGCAAATGTATTCTCTTCCAAGAGGAAAAGACCCTAGCCGCCCCTAATGGTGGTCAACTAGCCCGGAATACGTACGAATGGCCATTCGAGTTTACATTCCCGTCCCAGGTGGAATCACCCGCAAAATGGCCCGAAAAGGCCCCTTTCCGTAGCGATGAACACCATCCGCTGCCTCCATCTTTTGCGGTGGACGTGGGTGACTCGCAGCGGAAGCTTCACTGTGTTATCGAGTATCGCATCGAGGTTCAAATGTTTAAGCCGCAAAAGAACTTTTTGTCGAAGAAAGCGCCGCTATATACCGAAGCGCTGCGAGTCAACTTTCTGCCATTGGCAGCACAGTGGGAGCCGACTGATCATGCGGATAAATTAAGTCGAAAGCACAAGGATGAGGTGTTCACCGTGCGCAGTCTCCTCCTGCTGCCGGAAAATCGGGGACGAAGTCTCAAAGTTGGAGAGAAGTTCCAGTCGTGGCTATCAAAGAAGCAACTCCCTCAGTTTGACTTCAAGGCGTCTTTTGTATATTCCACCCGGGTACTACAGGGTGCACCAGTTACATGTTTGTTGGATATTATCCCGTGTACCGACGGCTCATCTATGCCATTCCCGGGCATCACGTTACAATCTGTGTCTATCGCAGTAATGAGTCGAACCTCCGCACGAGCTTCTCAGGCGCTGAGGGGCTCGATGACCGGAGAGGTGGATGATCGATTGGAAATCTTATCAAAATCATCACTTGGCATGCCTGTATTGGGCCAGCTCGATCTGAACGAGACATTCGGACCGCTCATATTCAGACATTCAGAAGTATCTTTCAGCACATTCACCATCTCCCGGTCTTACCGGCTATGCGCGTCATTTACCTTTGAGTGTGTGGGAAAGACTTTCGAATTCCATGCGAATGACCTTGAGTTCTTTATCGTCTCCGATGTCGTTAGTCCCACGGTACAAATGACTCCTATGGAGCAAGGCACTGCTATTACCGGGGTTTTTGAGCTTGCGGACACTGCTTCCCGGCGTTCATCGTCGGATGAGTATGATGAACTTCCTCCCCGGTACTCAATGGCTGCTCTCAGTTCTGAGAAACCACCGACCAAAAACTAGTACTCTATCTGTATTACTTTCGGTCCAGTATTTTTGATGTGGTGTTTGGGTAATAGTTATGGATCCGCTGGTTCTGTTGAAGTAACTGTTAGTTCTGGAGACTTGTTAGATTTGTTGCATCTTTACACTCTATAGCACGATAATACAGGAAGCAACCAAGTCCGTTATCACATTCACCAACCTTACATGTCAGAGTAGGCAGTTGCAATGACCTTCAACATTACATGGTAAAGCTGCAGGTTCTAGACTCGGAATGAGGACTTGCACAGTGCTTAGGCTAAACAGCAAATTGACTAACGCCTTTGCCAAGCTTCACATTTGCCGGACAACAGCCGAAGTACCTTACGAGGATCCGTATTCCCCGCATCATGGGATGGGCGGACTGAAATAAGGTTGCAGCCGAGTATGGTTTCTTCAGACTATGGGGATTACCCGGTTGAAGAAGCTTATTCATGGCTGTAATGAGCCAATTTAGCCTATGTGTGAGAGCTGTGAAATGCTACATGAGACGGTTATTAGCAAGTAGGCAGGCCTTAGCGCGGAGGAGCACTCTTGGCAAAGATACTTGACGAGTACCATGAACTACAAGAAATACCGTGATCGAAGATTGCCTGTCTATACCGCGTTGCATATACCATGATTCAGCCGATTGCCTTCAGCAATTGCCGTCAATCTGCAGGCATCGCGGCATGTTCGCCGGATGTTCACAAGTCTAGCAACGGAAATGATCACCGACATGCCTAAACTGAAATCATCCTTCCGGTGATTCTCCACACTCGGCATCCGTGGTTAATACAGCTAGCAGAGGATGTATGCCAGACCCTGCGGGGAAATTTGTATAAATACCGGTCAATTCCACGAGAAGCCAACATTGCATCTCAATCCAGTCAAACACAGCCATAGCAGTCTAGCAAAGCCACGAAAATATGGTGTCCTTCTCCTCCATCCTGCTGGCCTGCTTTGCCGCGATCAGTGCACTAGCAACCCCAATCGAGCCATTCGCTGACCAGGCCAATGAGTCCTTCAACGAAACCTCAGTCCATGACCTTGTCACCCGCTCCACGCCCAGCAGCACAGGCTACCACAATGGCTACTACTACTCTTTCTGGACCGACGGCGGCGGCGACGTAACCTACACAAACGGCAATGGTGGCTCATACGCAGTGCAATGGTCCAACGTCGGTAACTTCGTCGGTGGAAAAGGATGGAACCCCGGAAGCTCCAGGTATACCAAATCCCCTTCTCCGCAACATGTCCACCTCCCACCCCCTTACCCACTCCATAATCAAACACACATAATTAACCCCAAAGCTAATCAACCCACGCACGCAGAGCAATAAGCTATTCGGGGACCTTCAACCCCAGCGGAAACGGCTACCTAGCTGTCTACGGCTGGACCACCGACCCCCTAATCGAATACTACATCGTCGAGTCCTACGGCACATACAACCCCGGCAGCGGCGGCACCTACAAGGGCCAGGTTACCTCCGACGGAGGCACGTATGATATCTATACCTCTGTCCGCTACAATGCGCCATCTATTATCGGGACCGCGACTTTCACGCAGTTCTGGTCTGTGAGGACGTCGAAGCGTGTGGGTGGGACAGTCACTACAGGGAACCATTTTAACGCGTGGGCGAAGTATGGGTTGACCTTGGGGACGCATAATTATCAGATTGTGGCTACTGAGGGGTATCAGAGTAGTGGGTCTTCTGCTATTACTGTTTATTGAGGGGGGTGGGTTTGTAAATTGGATTAGATTGGACTGGAGAGGTGTGGTGTGTATGTATTTGGTTGAGGGGCTTGAGGTGAGTTAGTGGTGTAGATGGTGGTGAGGGATTGGGGTATGGTTAGACTGTTGATTGGGAGCTGTCATCGATACTACTGTTTATCTATGCTTAGTCTGTCATTCTGTCCTGTAGTAGTCAATTGACCGTTGCCAGCCACTTGATATCTCCAACTATCCTTTCTATCAACAATAAACCAAGATGAACTGAAGGAGTACTGGAGACGACAAACAAACCCACCCATCGATATCTACCAGTCGAGCACAATGAGCCCTGGTAAGAAAAGGACTACTATATCCATAACAATCCCAGCCTGAGAACTCTAAGCCTTCGCATAAGTACTCAACCCCCTCAGCCTCTCCCCATAATACCACAGTAACAAAGGCGCCGGAATCCCAATCACAACAGCAACACACGCAAGAAGGGTATTTCCCCATGCAAAACCAAGATTACCATATCTGCAAGATAGCGTTAGTGAAACTGTGCCAGAGAACCCAAAACAACACAAATGAAGACCAAGTAATGAAAGTGTAAGGGTGTTTTACAAAAGGAAACAGAAAGATGAAGAACTTACAAGCTAGGCGCAACAAGCGGCAACCCAAAGCCCAATAAATTCCTGAGCACCATAACACTGGCCATCGCGCTCGCCGCATACACCTGATATGTATCGATCAGGTAACCCTGAACGCAGACGAGCTGTACGATGGTTGCGCCGGAGTAGATTGCTGCGCCGATGTTTCTATGGAGCCATTAAGTTAAATATGCATTGTTCGAGAGTCACATATCTTTGGGAATCAATAAGATACGTACGGCATAATCCAATGAATACTCGTTCTGGCACTCCACCCGTACCAGAATAGACCGATTGGGACGACGACTGCAATCACGCACAGCATCGGGAGACGGAATTCTGGTTTCGGCTGTCCATTATTCTTTGCTCGGAGACGGTGATAGATCTTATCTGCGAAGCGGACGCCGAATTGCGTTGCGATGGCTAATCCTATGGTCATGGAGAGGTAATTGAGGGAGCCGATGGATATGGACTCATGGTATATACCTGTCCAGACGTCCGGGAAGGTGGCGACCATGAGGTAAAGAATTCCATTTAGGTACGCGAGATAGAGACTGAGGACTTGAATAATGGGCTGTGTAGTCAGTAGACGGAACGGGCGGATGAGGTTGGTTTTGAGGCGTGTGGAGGCGCGATCGTGCTCGGTGTGAAGATTGTGGTTTTGAGTGGACTTGCGTAACCGGGCGGCTTTGCGTTTGAGGAGGACGGGGCTGTAGGTTTCGCGGAGGAGGATGAGTCCGACTATTTGGATGGCAGCTATGGCGATAGAGATCACGTAGAAGCACCATCGCCATGACACGTATTGGACGACAAAGCCCCCCGTGATGGGGCCGATGGCTGTTCCGATTAGAGGTGCCAGTGTGAATACTGCTATGGCCTTGCCTCGTTCGTGGGCTTCGAAGAGGTCGCTATTCATTCCGCTTCCGATCTATTTGTCTAGTGTTGAGTAGTGGAGATAGATAGGAGTCACTGTGATAGGGGTACTTACGCCATATGGACCGGCGGCGCCCAAACCAGCGAGAAAGCGGAAGATAATTAACTGGGTTGGCGATTTGGCAGCACCGCATGCTGTATTGAACACGATATAAACTACGTTCATCGTGAGTAGAACTGGTACTCTTCCGATCATCTCCGAGACGGGTGCCGTAAACAGTGGCACGATCGCACTGCCGAGAAAGAAGACTGAGAGACTCAGGATAAGCAGCGTGTTGTTAGGAAACCCGAGATCTTCGCCAATAGTGCTTAAGGCTGGAGCAACTGTAGCTGAGGACATGGAGCTCAACAGGTTATACAGTGACATTGGAACAAACACCATCCATTTCTTTCTAGCCGGCCAGTTTTTAGGGTTCTGAGGATCATCTGGTCCGTTCCAGGTCACGAGATTGGGGTCGGTGGGAGGTATCAAAGGGACGATATTAGCAGGTCCAGCAGTTTCTAGATACTTTTCGGAAGATGATGCATTATTCGCCATGGTGCAAGAAGGCAGGTAGTGGGTCAGTATCACAGGAGGTAGAAAGACGTTGACATCGGACGTAAGCTTGGAGGAGGGAGGTTGGGGTGTGATATATCAGCCATGGGTTCCTTAGTATTGTTGGATATCGCAAGCTTCGCCCGCAATTGGCTGTACGGCGTTATAATTAGTGTGTCTTGTGTCCCCACACGATGCCGTCCATCCGTAGTGCTTATTTTCGATATGCATAGCTTGGGGAAATTATGTTGGGAGTTTGGTTTTTTAGCGTCCGAGTTAACTATCTTGACATTAGATCACTCTATGATATTGACTCTTTATATTCTTGATTAGACGTTGAATATATATACAATACTATAGGAATAATGTCAGATCTCATTTAAGCATCGACCGGCTAAACTGCCCACCTGACAAGCCATCACCATGGTTTGCCGATATACCCCCTGAAGTAGAAGATCTACTACACTCACTTGCCTCCCAACGGACCTCGTACCCGACAGTCTGTATTATAGCACTTCCTCTGAGATCTCGCATGCTCTCACTCGGTTCTATCATTCGTCTATGATTACTGGGGCGCAGCCTTTTCATGTGCTTCTTTCTGCCACCACCTGAGTCAAGTCCGTAGTGCCCGGTCGCATTCGCGCTCTGTCCCCCTGGTTTTGGCATATAACCATCCGTCATCCCGCCATGTGCCCCAGAAACCGAAAGTTCGAACAACTCAGAAACAGTGCCAGCCATCATCCCCGTTTGTAGCTCAGCGAGAGCCCGCTTGAGGCTCGGGATACATGTGCAAATAATAGATGCACCTTGTATAAATTGCAGCCATAGTGTTGGCATGAGAATATGCCACGGTTGGTCGAGGGGTATTGAGTGGAAGACGGGGCGAAGCGACACGATGTGCTGTATAGTCAGGGCAGGAACCCTAACATTGGCCTGCGGGTTAGTTCAGGGCCAACGTCATCAGGGGAGGGAGGTAAAAATCACTCACAGCACACGTAGTCCAAAGAGAGCGCAAATTTGGAGGCGCTTCCACTGCGGCATCTGGACCTTGCACATCAGGACCATAGGTAATGCGACAAGAGCTATATCAAGCAATATGTGGCACACCGCCAGACCCGTGTAAAGTGCCTCCTGATCTATGTGACTGTTGGAGTTGAGGTTCCATAGCTGGGGCTGTGCACATTGGACAGCTAGAGTGATAGCAAATGCCATGGTCCAGGCTCCAATCAGCCCTAGAAGCACTTGACATGCGACAAGGACTGTATTAAACGGTTTTATGGAAATCAAGAGAAGTGCAACGGCAGCCTTCGAACACGCTAACACGATAACCGACAGGATTTGGCTTGCGCAGAGAAACTACAGGTGGTCAGTTTCTCAGTAATCGCTTGCGAACAGATCAGGAACTGACTTTGTTATAAGACTGAAACACCACATCACTTAAAGTATCTCTGTGCTTACCGATACCATTCGAACTGGCAAAATTCACGCAGGTCGTTTGAAGAATGAAAAGGATCTTCCAAGAATGATCAATATATTCCAGCAAAGAACATAGAACATGGTATACCTACCGTTGCCGCAACGAGGAATGTGTCAGTCCAAGTCAATGAGCGAAGAATTCGCACCCGCGAGATAAGCGTCACCGAAGTCGCCAAAGCCGCAACCATCAATAATATAGTACTCATGGTAATCACCCACGCTCCATGGTCCTCAGGTGAAATGGGGAGAAGCGGTGGCAAGATCTCGGTACCATTTGCTGGCATCGCACTTATAAGCCTCTTCAAAAGGTGGGCACCGTTGCAGATTCCGACGGCGTGGACATGTGTGACATGATGATAGCCATTATTTTACCCCTAAACTGACACAACGGACGATGCGAATGTACTGACTGGGTTGACTCTTGGCTAATAAAATACCCTTGTAGGGTTGCAGCACTAGGGAGCTGCTAGAGGTGTTGTCAAAGCCGACTATGCAAGGATGTCCGGGATTAGCGTGTTGAACTGCATGCAGGGAGTTAGGGTTTGAACCGGCTGTTAATTAATCCTTTCCTACTGGTGTTTCTCCTCTTCCCCTCAATATATTTTTGCTAAATTCTCTATCTCTTTGGCTCTAAACTTTCTCTACATCCTAGAACCTATCCTATCACAATATACAAGACGTGGTTACTTTTCCTAAGCAAACACAGCCCAAGGTTGACCCAATTCCGATATGGAACAGCATGAGATGAAACCGGTCACCGAAACAAATATCGAGACCCCTGCAGACAAGTGTATAAGCCCAACGGCTTCGGAAGCTAATCACCAACATGACGATACATCGGGCCAGGCTCAAATAAAAGTGCGATGCTCCACTAATTCACACCAGTTGAACATGATCAGCCTGACATGAAAGATTACAGCGCCTTTTTAACTTCACACAAATGTTCTTCTTCTCGCTCACATTTATGTCGAGCTGGGAGACCCAGGCTTTGTACGTGTTCGCGTTTCCTGCATCGAGTAGCGGTATTAAATAATGCAATAACTAGGAATTTAACCGCGGTACTCACAAACGGAGGACCCGAAGCTCTATCTTGGGGGATTGTGATTGTCGTCTTTGGAGCTTTGGCACAGTGCGCTTCGTTAGCTGAGATGGCATCCATGCAGCCCATTGCCGGTGCACAATATCATTGGACCCATTATCTGGCGCCGGATAGTCAAAAGAGGTTTATCACCTGGATGCAGGGTACTTCACCACACCTCATGAGCATCAATGAGCGAGTATACTAACAGTTAATCTGACATAGGCTGGGTTACTTGGTTTGCCTGGGTCTCACTCCTCGCAGGCGTAGCAAATACCACGGCGACGACGATTCAAGGCCTAGCGATCACAAACTACCCTGATTACGTACCGGAACGATGGCATTTGACTCTGATCATCTTTGCAATACTCATCGTCGAGGGCCTGATGAATATGTATACCTTCCAGCTGATCCCATGGATGGAGCTCTTGGCTGGGGTTCTTCATATTATTCTCTTCATCATTTTCCTAGTCGTCTTTGTTGCATTATCTCCACGCCATACTCCGGAGTATGTATTCTTGACAACCCAAGCCCAGTCCGGCTGGAATAATACATTCGTATCCTGGAACATCGGACTCTTAACACCGACATGGGGGTTCGTTGGTGAGTGAATGCAACCACTAAATAGTGCATATAAAACCAGCTAATGGCCATAGGCTTCGACGGTGCAGTCCATATGAGCGAAGAGGTCCGTCGCGCAAGAGAGGCAGTACCTCGATCGATGGTCTGGTCTGTCGCCACTAATGCTGTTCTTGCGTATGCCATTGTTATATGCATGCTCTTCACGATGGGTTCGGTCGAGGACGCACTGAACGCCAGCTTCCCCATCATTGAGATCTGTCAACATGCAACGGGATCCACCCAGGCAGCTACCGCCATGGTCTGCGGACTCCTAGTACTTGGCCTGTCGGTAACCCTGGCCAGCATAGCATCCGCCTCCCGCTTGACATGGGCCTGGGCCCGGGATGGTGCGTTGCCGAAATGGTTTTCATACGTACGTGCATCAACTCACAGCATCAACCCTTTACTCTCCAAATACATCCTCAACTAACTCCCCAAACAAAGATCGACCGGAGACACAACGTCCCTATCCGCGCGGTATGGCTCCCCGTATTCATAGTCATGGCCCTAGCATGCCTCAACATTGCAAGCACCGCCGCCTTCGGAGCCTTCATAGCTCTCTCATCCATAGGTCTCTTCGTATCCTACTTTATTGCCATCAGCTGCATGGTGCACAACCGTTTCCGGAAAGACCCGGTACCAATGGGAAATTGGAATATGGGTAGATGGGGTCTGCCGGTTAATATCTTTGCCTTGGTTTACACTGCCTATGTTACTGTGTGGTTGACGTTCCCATCTTATCGGCCTGTGACAGGCCAGAACATGAACTATGCATTGCCAATTTTTGCTGCTTCGACTTTGTTCGCTTTTGTCTATTGGTTTCTATATGGTGGGAAACACTGGTCGGGGTTGAATAAGGAGGTTTTACGGCTTGTGGTTGAAAGGGGCGAGTTGCAGCTGAAGTGAATCTTTCTTGTTTTGATGGTTTTCTTACATTGGACACTTGCAATATACGCATAATGAATGCAGGAATTGCTCTGTATTTAGGTGGTTTTTTTTTTTTAGTTGAACAACAGAGGATGAAAGGATTCGACGTAGTTACTCTCTAGTATCTTCCGCCAAAAAAGCAAAACTGGCAGAGTCTTGATCAGTGTAGCGGGAAAATTAAGATTAACTAGATTATATGTGGATATACACTTTCCGGATCTACCAGCCAAGGTTTATTCAATTGTCCAGAGATCCCACAATGTCCATGATGGAAATCCTAAATCGGTTGGCCACGTCCAATGCTTGGTCTTCCGTTAGTAAGTCAGATTTGTAGGTGAGCCCTAACCCAACATCTGTTGGTCCAATCGTAACGGTAGCGATAAGGCCATACTGTTTAGTGCGGTCAGCTGGGCGTTAAGGCAGTCAGATTGTTAGAATCTTACCTCTGTCGGCTCTAGTGTTTCTAAGTCCTTGAAACACAGACTCAAATCAGAGCTATCCATAGACAACGGCTGCTCAACTGAAATGCAAGTATTGAACAAAGGTTGGCCGAAGTATTTTGAGAAACGTAGTATCTCAATGAGGGAGCAATGCTGGTTGAGCAATCGGTTACCTGTTTCTATTTGATTTCTCTGTAGTATATCCAGTAAGGAGTCCTCCATGCCAAAATGAAGTTGACAAACTAAAACATTAAAGAAGGGTCCTACAATCTTATCGACATCGAGAATTCGCGAGTCTCTTCCAGATACGAGGGCGCCGAAGCAGACGTCATCGGATTCACTATACTGCCGCAGCACTAACCCCCAGGCAACTTGTAGCACATTACTCACAGTGAGTCCATGTATAGTGCAGAATGCAATCAATGTAGGGGTATCAGCGAGATGCGCTCTAATGACGAGGGTCTCGCTAGGTGACTTTTGATCGTTGAGCCTTGGAAAAATACAAGGACTGGTGCCTTCCAATTGCCTTCTCCAGTAGTCCATGCGGTCATCAGCATTTGACAGGTTTTGGAGCCAAGCCACTGCTGAGCCATACAATGGCCCAGGAACAGGGGGTAGCTGTCCATCATATGCCTGTGATAGCTCACGCAAAAGAATCAAAACGGAAGCAGCATCAAGAAAGGCATGCCCACCCTCCAGCTTGCAGAACACGCGACCAGAGATCGTCTGACAAATCGTAAATGCATGCGGATAACATATGCTCGCGCTAGTCTGGAGGAACGGCTTCCGCAACTCTGCAAAAACATGTTCATCTGCACAAGAAATTATGGGGGCATCTGTGAAATACTCGCTATGCACAACATGTATCTTCGGGTAGATGCCATCACACAGTGGGCTCTTTATGAGATGTGTCCGTAATGCAGGGTGTCGATGCCCAAGGTTATACCAAGCATTTCGCAGTCTAAGGGGGCACACTGGAGAGACCTTACTCCCAGTAGTGACCTCCCATATGGTATAGGATTGATAATTAAATGGCTGCAGTATTTGCGTTTGTAGTAGCCCCTGATGTGCTTCACTGCAGGGATACGCATCCTCAATAGAATCCATACTTTGGATGCCATATGTAGCCATAACTGCGGATTCAAGTCCTTCCAAATCACCATCAGATCCCAAAGAAAAAAGGGAGAAACGCGTCTCCAGACTGCGGTCACTTCCAGGGGTCGATGGAGGTTTGTACAAAGTGAGGGGCTTCAATTTTGATGCTATGAGCTTGATGGTCTTCCCATCAAATATATCCGATGCTGTCAGGGACAGGTGGTGTTCTCTGCAAAGGGAAACAACCTGCATTGCAGATATTGAGTCCCCACCAAGAGTGAAGAAGTCATCCTCAGGGCTTATATTCTGTGGGTCCATACCAAGAACATGAGCAACAATGGTTCGAAGACGTGCCTCTTCCGGCAATATATGATAGTCAATGTGCTTTTTGTCAGGATCCATCAAAGAGCGTAAGAGGTAAAGGTCCACAGATGAAGCTGCCTCGCATAAATAGGCTCTATCCGGTTGTCCAGATGGGGTTAATGGTATAAAGCTGATTGAAAGGCATAGTGATGGAACCACAAACCAGGGGAGCGATTGTCGTAGGCTACAAATCAATTGCTGAAGCTGCCGTCTGAATTGCTCTGTAGGTCGTATGAATAAGCCCAATATTCCCGTCGATTGACACGTCCGCTTAGGTTCGCAAATGAACAGAACAGTACTCTGATTAAAATCTTCTTTCGGTACTATGGTGTCAACAACGACAGCTGCCTTCCCGCTGAGATATTCATAGGCCTTCTTCTCAATGTATTGACTCCATGACTGGCTTTGGCAGAGTGCATTAGCGTAGATATTTGAGGGAGGTGGGATGATGTTCTGGATTTTCAAGGTTGGAGATTTGGTTATCGTGTCCACCAGATACTCCAACTGATCCAACATCCTCTCCATATCATCAACAACGACAACTGCATTGTTAAACACGGCCTTTATCGACAGCTTCTGCGTCCCAAGTTCACATATTAGAGTTAGCGGACATGTGGTGAACTTCAACTGCTCGTACACATTGGTGGGGCATTCTATAAATATTTTTGGTGGTTGTCGATTTGTGGCAGACTGTATGACCAACAGACTTTGAAATTGACAGGCGCTGGCCGTCTCAGAACCAAATAACTTTATCCGTCGTAACCCTGTCTGCTCAAAGGGGATGAGCCTTGTTATGTGAGTTTGCATGAGTACCAGGGAATCAGCGACATTTAGCCTCCCATGAAGTATTGTACGAAGAGGGAATGTAGCAATAGTCGGACCAGTCGTTTCATGTACACCGGCTACTGGGGCATTGCGTCCGGCAACGGTCAGGCCGAATACAACATCCATGGACCCAGTACGCCAGGCGATTAGCATGGCAAAGGCAAGCTGAATGATCGTCGATGGCGTGTAGCAGCCACTTAGCCACGCGGCTACGTGGATATGGCGATGCGTTGTGGTGATAGGATTGGCCATATGTCCGAGGGTTAAGGGCACAACGGGGAATGGCACTGCCTGCATGTCTCTGAATTCGGAGCACCAGAAGTTCTTAGTAGATTCGTAATTCCAACTCAATATGTGCTTGATGAACGGGGTGAAAGGCCGTTGAACTGCATTCATGTGTTTATACGCCCCCTCAACGGCGCCAAGGATCAGAGGATACGACCATCCATCGAATATAGCGTGGTGCATTGTGAGACAAAATGTCCTGCGCGACTTCCCTTCTGTATCATTCATGACTGCTAGATTAACAAGCGGTACACCATAAGACATCAAAGGCCCAGGAGACTTATTTACGTCGCAGAACAAGTCCCATTGTATTGGCTCTTCAAGGTGCAGGACTACTTGAAGAGCCCCAATATCAGAGTGAATAATGCGAGTTCGCAAAATTGGGTTGGCAGCAATCACTATCTTCCATGCTTCCTTCAGACGAAGCATATCCAGTTTCTGCGGGAGGCGAAAGCGAAATTGGGCCTGGAATGCCCCTGGCCTTTTCGAGGTGTACGCCATTAACGCTTCCTGCAAAGGCGTACACGGGTAGATATCCTCAATCTGTTCCGGAAACACGGAGCATTGCTCACTTGCCTGAGCAATGTATGTGGCTTTGCTTAATAAATCAAGCAATGAAAACGCCGGGATGGATGGATCAATGCTCCCTGATGCCTGGTGAGTGCAATTTTCCAATTTAGAAATAGTTTGTTGTTTAAACAGGGATTCTACCGTCATCTGCAGTCCCTGGTCTCGGGCATCCCCGACAAGTCTGATAGCGCTGACTGAGTCGCCGCCCAGCTGGAAGAAACTATCATTGGGACCGATTTTGCCCTCTGGAAGGCCGAGTGCCGCTGAAAAGAGGCGCCGCAGTTGATCTCGGACGGGAGTACTCGGTGATTTAATCATATCATTGTGTGGTGTTAAATAGTAAGCTCTAAAATCGTTCTCCGATACACGCTTGATGGCTTCCCGCAAAATCTTCCGGTCGACCTTCCCTGTCCGTGAAATAGGGATAGCTAGTAGCGCGATGTACGCCGTGGGTATCATATGCCTGGGGAGGACCTTTTGTAAATGAGCCCTCGTTGTTTGAGCCTGTCGCCGAAATACAGCGCTTGGCGGGCCTAAAAGCATTGTGCAATCCATATGAACGGAGTACTCTTGCCTTGGAGCAATGAAGAGAATCAATGTAGGCTTACGTCCTGCTGGTGCAGCAACTTCAGCAGCAATCACAGCATCACAGAAGTGTTGTCTCGCCTGATGTTCAACTTCGCCGAGCTCAACTCTCTGTCCGTTCAACTTGACTTGGGTATCCTTCCGTCCAATGTAAGCGATTGTTCCATCGAAATTATATCTGACTAGGTCACCAGTCTTGTAGAATCGTTGAGTCTCATTAAGGTGGAATAATGACGCCCACTCTGGGTTTGTGAGGAACGCATTTGCTGTCAGACGTGGTTGCTTTAAATACCCCCGCCCTACAATTGGGCCGCCTATGATGAGCTCTCCGATACAACCAATTGGCATGAGCCGGTGGTGGTTATCTTTTGATGCGATCCAGCAGGTGCCGCCCGGAGAAAGCCCAATATTTCCCAAGTCTTGAACGCATGACTGCACGGTTGACACGATAGTGCACTCTGCCGGTCCGTACGCGCATACGAATCGAAGCTTGCCCTCCCATCGAGAGATATCAGTGGGTAGCATAGGCTCACCACCTATCACAAGGGTTTTGACCGTTGGAACATCTTCCGGCTGGTAGAGCCTAGCCACCGATGGTGTTAGCTCCATCCAATTAACCCTTAGGCTTCTGATAGCTTGTTTCAAGCTATTGACACGCTGTGACTCGGATGGAATACAGACACATCCACCAAGAAGTAATGGGGTCAAACACTCGTGGACACTGACATCGAACGCATATGACGCAAATTGCAAAACTCGAGATGATCGATCAAGGTTCTGAGCCTGGCTACTAGCAATGCTGTTGGTACAAAAGGAGCCATGCTCTATGATGATGCCCTTCGGCGCACCTGTAGACCCTGATGTGTACACCACATATGCCGCATCATGCGAACTCGTCTTCACTGGCTGTACCGCAGAATATGTTGGCCTTTCAATGTTATAGTCCCCGATTACAAGTGTGCGTCCAGGAGCGCCTACATATAGCTCTTCTGAACAAACTATCACATTTGCATCGACATCTTGACATATATCCACCAGCCGTTTTGTCGGGTAAGATGGATCCAACATTGCAAACGCAGCGCCTACTTTGAGCACTCCAAGCATGGCAACGACAGCCCATTTAGACTTCTTGAAGATAATCGGTACGACTGAATCTGAAGTAAGATTGTATGGCTGCAGTAGCTCTTGTACAGCCGAAGACAATCTATCCAGCTCGCGATACGTTATATTTCCATCCCAGGCGCAAATCGCCTGGGCATCTGGTTGCAACATGCATTGTGTGCGAAAGAGGGTATGGATGCAACTATCTAACGGAACAGCCGGCGCATCACTGTTCCATCTTGCTATCTCGTCCTGATGGTGCTTGCTCAATAGGCAACAATCTTCGAGGGGTCGACCTGGGCTATGGGTCAGATAATGTATTATTTGCTCTAGTGTACTAATAATGTTTTCTGCATCGGCACTGTTGAGAGCAGAAGAGACATATCGAAGCGAAAGTTGTTGTGTAGGCCAAAGGGGTCCGACAAAAAGTATAATGTCACTGAGCTGAATCACTCTTTATTTATTAGCTCGTATGATAACAACTGACCACGATATCCATCACCTTTTCAAAGTTCCGCACTGACTTGAACCAGGAGCCATCCTGCGAGTCATTGGGGCTAAATACGATACAAGTGTTGAATACTTCACGGCGCGCGAAATCGTCGAGTAGCCATTGCTGCGTACTTCTGAGAGTCACGGCATCCGAAATTGGCAACTGAGGGTCTATCACCGCTTCCCATTGTTGTATACTAGAGACATCGCTGGCTTCACATGGGAAAGCACCAAAGCAAACGTTATTGGAGTCGGTATATTGCGCTAAAAGGATAGACCAGGCAACAAGTGAGGTGTGATAGAGAGAACTTGTATCCTGTTCAATCCCGAACGCGACACTTCTTTCACTTTGTTCAAAGATGGCACATTCGGCATCTCTGTTCGTGGTTCCGCAGGTAGCCAATCTTGGAAATATACATTGATATGAAGTATGTCTGTCCCTTTCATCTTCTGAATTCAGCATTTTAGTGATGGTATAATATATTCCTAGACTTGAATGTGTTTTAAACAAACACGATAGAGAGAAAACGAGTGTGACCTCTACATGGAATGGACCTAACAAGTGAACGAGTATTTCTTGGTCTCATCAAAGGATTTGAGGAACCATGCCTGGATAGGTCCAATATTTCAATATTGGGAGGTCAGCAAATGAGGTACCATGGCGAATATACTCCTCTGCCTCTATATGATATAGGCACTGTGTATCATTTGATTCCTTCACCACCAGGCCTCGGCTTCCCCGGTGACCAATTGATGTCCATTGGTACAAAGATATGTTGATGCTATGGCATCGAACGCACCAACATTGTACAAATAACAGTAAAAATGGACTATAAAACGTTACACATCATTCTGTCATTACCTGCGCTGGGTGAATGCCGCGTGATCCTGAAATGACACAATGCAAGACAGGCATGATGCAAGCAAGCAGCCTGTTCCCATTCTTATCCAAAAAATAGTCCACCGCTATTAGACCATTAAAAGTCTCATGCACTGTAGTATGTCCCTTTGGGGAGAAGCGGCTTTTTACTTTTAGAATATCTATGAAACATGGCCTTCAAGGAGTGGCTACCAGGAGACATTGTTGTCTATTGTAATAATATGTTGAGAAGTACTGAGCATGCCCCTGAACCTCTAGTGATGGGCTAACTCCGGCTGCTCGCTAGACTTATTCCTCTACAAAAAGACGACTGCTGTAATGTACTACCCAATTCTCGTGGCTAGGCCTCACCTAAGTCACTATTATTATATCGTTTAATTGGAGACCTGTGTGATATTGTCAGTATGCAGTCACCCGTCGTCCGTAGATGATAGTAATGTGGTTCTAACATGGGTAGTAATCGAAAAGATGACCGCCAGGAGACTTTAATCGCCGAGCTGGTACACCGTGTCCGATTAAGAAACAGTGCTTCGTAGCGGTATCTGGCTACAGACATAGATTCTGATGGGCGCATCGAGTCAACTCAATGTAACCATTTGTTCTACTCCCGCTTCTCATGTAACAATTAGTCGTACAACTCATGTCTTTGTGTCATGAACGCCCGTTTTGGAAAAGTAAAAGCAAGTACTCCTGGCATTTATTTAATCATGAAAATAGATTCTGCTGCTACAATGATGTCCATTGGCAACCAGCCTTCTCTTGTTGACTAGCCTGTTCAACTAGTCAATAACAAAAGTCTCTAAAAGGTCTGTCTTCTTTCGCCGACTAAACTAAGTGGCTGATGACAAAATGAGCAGCAAGGCAATCCAAAGCATGATGATATAGATCATATTAAGGAGTAGAGCCTACAATCTTTGAGTTACCTTTATGTTCAGCCGGTATCAAGAGATCGGAGTATTGTTTAGAAAGTCGTACGGTGGAACAATAATAATATGGCCATATACCCTTTCCTGTGCTGAAAAAGTCGCCTATACTTAGAGTAGCTGAAATCATTAACAATGCTGCCTGTGTGCCTGAACCTGTTCTACACCATCAGTGTCCTTGTGTAAGCCTTTCTTTATTACATGCTGTGTCAACCTGTAATGTATCTCCTAAGTGTACATGAAAGCAACCCCACTACGTAGATCACGAAATGTGGGAGAATGACATATAGCTTTACCCGTGATATTGCATAAGAAGAGCCTCTTGTAATTGGGGTATTATGCAAATTTCGAAGGGGTCTAATTAAGGACGAATTACAACAGGTTGGGTTACTACTCGGTAACGAGAATCTCCACAACAGAGCACATACCCTGCAATGACTAGTCACTAAGATGTGACTCGCAAACCGTACGTCAGATATTCATTCCTCGTGCTTGGGGATCCTGTGGCTCTTTCCGAGACCAAACTACCTTCGATGAGGCCTTGGTTGACTTTTCACAGGGCAGGGATTCGATCTCTATGTGCAGCTTCGCATAGTTCATTGACCGAAGTAGCACACTTTCTATCTCCACCTTCAGTCGACCTCCTTTCCTACTCGTATTTCTTTCACCTTGAAGCTTTACAACCACCTTGTCCTTTACAGGCTATGACAGCCTATATACTGCTGAGGGGCGATGGCAAGCGACAAACATCGACTAACAACGATGACCCAAAACCATATGGCCTTCTTAGCAAGTATCTCAGTTTCCCAAACTTTGACCAGCATCAGTGGTGGCACAACACGGCACCGATGCTAGGGAAGCTCTTGTCACAGTGCAAATACAGTGTGCACCAGCAGTATCAATATCTATGTCTCTACGGCCTACACATCATACCCTTTCTAGGTCCATGGCCTGATATCGAGCGTCATAAGCTCTACAAAAGTGTCTTCAGCGGCCTAGGGCCACTGGAGTTCAGCCAGAACTTTAGAAAGATTGGGAAGACTGTTCGAATGGGCTTCGAGCCGACAACCCTCATTACTAGTACCGGTCACGATGTATGCAACCGACATGCTCTCGGCGAAGCTTTGAACCGCTTCAAGCAGCTGGACATGAAACTAGACCTGCAATTATATCATCGACTAGTGAATGAGGTCTCATTGACAGATCAAGAAGAAGAGACACTTCAAATACGGGGTATATTGGATGAAGAGCCTGCCAAATCGCAGAGCCTTCTGGCACTAGATTTCAACAATGATGACGTGACAGTCAAGTTATATTTCTATCCTCAACTGAAATCCCTAGCCACCGGCATTTCTCGTGCCCAGTTAATGTTGAGCGCAGTGCGCAACGTTGATAAAATGGGTGCTTTCACTGAGTCCATGGACATTATCGAGGAATACTTCGCCTCAGTCCCAGCCACTACGGCCCCATACTGGATATCTTGCGACCTTGTCGAGCCTCACAAAACTCGATTCAAATTCTACATTGCACAGTTTCAAGTAAGCATCGAGAATGCCGAAGACCTCTGGACTCTTGGGGGTCGGGTCTCAGATCCCGAAACGATGACAGGCTTTGCCATGGTACGCGATCTCTGGAATCCTTTAGATATTAAGGATGGTTTGCGTGAACAGCAGAACCGACCTGGGAACCGGGGTGATCCATGCAACATTCTCCCAATGTTGTTCAATTTAGAGATATTACCTGGTAAGGCATATCCGCAGCCTAAGATATATTTCCCTACTACTGGGATGAACGATCTGGTTGTCGCAAGGGTCGTGGTCGAGTTCTTCCGACGACATGGGCTCCATGAGCATGCACAATCATACATTGACAATTTGACTTCATATGTGTAGGTCCCTCTTCTAGTCCTGAATATATACCAGTCCTTTTGAGATAAGCTAATGATTTGAGCTCTAGACCACATATGGACCTCAATAATTGCACCGACCTTCAAGCATGGGTGTCCTTCTCCTACTCTGATGCTATTGGACCTTGTATTACTGTCTATTACCACTAGTACTGTGTAGCAAATGCCTCTTCAAGAGTAAATAGCATAAGCAGACTCATAGCTCTTCCAATACATCAGTATCAACTTAACCTCAACATTTGTTTGTATATTGTACAATTGATCTACCCCCCTTGGTTGAACCCCGTTGATATGTCACTTGTCTCACACAACCAAGCACACTAGAAATATTCTTTTAAAAATCACACAAATTTATGACCAAACACCCATCCCAATATACTAATTTATTCCCGTTAATCTTCAGTCCTGACCGCCTCCATATCAGACCAAAGTAGGTTAATAACAAGCATTAAGACCCACTCTAGCCTAGCCACCAATAATAACAACCAAACCGCTGACAGGATCACCTAGGGCTTAGCTTACTTCAGTTACTTACATTCGATAGTCGACTCCAGAATGCTTATGTGCCCAGCGGTATCATTCCGCATTTGCTGACATAGGTACTATACATATAAATGATGGGGACATAATTCCAAATAACGTCCCAACACTGTAATTAATTTGTAAGCATGTGAGTCACAAGAAATCAATTCGAACAGACCAACAATCACCATATGTCAATATATATGGAGGTGTTGATCACAGTTTAGGAGGCTCTGTATCAAGAAAACTGGAAAGACATTCATACGAAGCTGCAAGCAAGAATAGCCTAAACACATCAAGAAAATGGAGTCCATCTTCTTAAGACTCTCCTCTGATATATCCCTTCACGCGCGTATATCTCGCCCTTCACCCGACAGTCAAAAGCCACTTCTGGTTTTCCTCCATTACTGGGGCGGGTCTTCTTCAACATGGCATAAGCTCACATCGCATGATTCACCAACTTCCCTAAGTACTATTTATCCGATTCTTGCTATCGACATTCGGGGCTGGGGCAAGTCTACAGGTCCGTCTGAGGAAAATGGAAACGCATATTCGGCTACAACAATGGCTTCCGATGTTGCTCTCGCACTAGAGAGGTTGAAACAAGACGTCGGAACGAAGGACCTTTTCAATCACGGCTTTCTATTCGTCGGCCACTCGATGGGAGGCAAAGTAGCTCTGGCCACGCTATCTGCCCTCCATGAGAATCTGCTTCGAGAACTTAAAGGCCTAGTCCTAGTAGCACCAGCGCCACCAACAGCCCTCAGCCTCCCACCGGAAATGAAAGAACAACAAAAGCTTGCCTATAAGACCAACGAATCGGTCAGGTGGACGACTGAGAACGTCCTCGCGAACTCTAAGAATTTAAGCGAAAACGATATCGAGTTGGTGATTCATGACAGCTTGAGTGGGAATAAACTTGCTAAGGAAGCCTGGCCTACGTATGGTATGGCGGAAGATGTTTCCGGGGGTGTGAGGAGGGCTCTGGCTTACATTGGTCACGGTGGTATTCGGGCGAGTGTACTTGTTGGGGAATTGGATGTTGTCGAGCCAAGAGAGCGAGTTGAGGCTGAGGTCTGCCGATTTCTTGAAGAAAATGGTGTCAAGACTTCGTTGAGGGTTCTTGAGGATGTGAAGCACTTGATTCCGTTGGAGTGCCCTGAGATGGTCTCTGAAGAGATTGCTCTATATTGAATGACTTCTTCTAGACTTGTTGTATAGAAATTGCTTTGTACGTACATACACACCTACAGAATTATTTTATACGTACATACGAACCTACAGAATTTACTTCAACCCAAGCGGTAAAGGATATCTTTGCAGCATTTCTAAAAGATTAACTGTATACATGTTCCCAGCTCTTGAGTCGTAAGTAGCTTATCAAGATGGTCACTTATGACAGCCACAAGAACCGACTAAAGCAGTATTAAGTTATCTAATAGTGCTAACGCGAGCGGTTCATATCATGCTCCGCAGCAGAAGCATAGCCATGTACTACTTTAACATGAGAATACAATCTTCCGTTATCTTCAGTTAGTACCACGTTGCAACCGCTTTGTCAACCTTGAAAATATTCCGTGCAACTGTAACCGAACTAAACATGCAGGTCTGGATTGCGCAAGCATAAGTCAGGAGTATGTTTCTCCGGCAAGTGATTTGAATTTGAGCAGGTAAATAAGTAGGACACATTAGTTGTAATATCAATATACATGAAGGACACGGAAGTTCTACTGTCATACCTGTTCAACCAGGTTATAGAGTCTAGGCTGTCCAGGCTACTCGGCATATACACCATGTAGTGATCATGGCAGGTTTATGGCCTAGCCAGTCTGGCAGTGACTCAGGAGTGTTGAAATCATGGCATATGATGATACTTTAATTTTTATGTCCGCTGTTATGTTATTCTCATTTGGAGTAACCAAGCCCAACGGGGATTCTTGTTGGTGTCACCTAAGATCCTCAGCAGCTGTAACGGTGGCCTACCAAGTTGTGAAAGGGATTGAAGCGGCAGTCATCATGTGGTTCTCAGTTGAGAATGTGAAAGAGCTGTCTTTGTCAGACATAGCCTGCAATAAAACCGTCTTATTTCCCGTTTATTGAGTCGAGAATATAGATCCATATCCACCAAGGCTTGAGAGAGACACAGAAAAGTTTCATCACATAGCTCTCAAGAAGTTATCAATGCAGATACATGGTGCCCACCCGTTATAAAGTTACTCCGGCTCTGGGACACCTTGGGTAACAAGCGACACAAACAGGAATAGATTTATTCATGCTTTATCGGGGCTGGGGGCTATGGAGGACTTGGCAGTGTCGGCCTAGTACTGGCACTCGACGTAATGAACGGCAAATCCAAACGAGGAACACAAGCTCTACAGCAGTTTCTAGGTGGGTGCCATTGCGAATGACATGGAAAAAAGCCATGCGCACGTTAAGGTGTCGTTTGGCTGAAAAGGCGCTTGGTTCCCGATCTTTAGCAGGCAAAGGTACGGAGACATATGATCACATAGACATTTTGGGAACTTTTTCGGGCACCAATATTGAACTTAGCATATCGCAACCTTCATCAGGTAGAGACTAGTAGCTATTCATTCACGCATGATTGTCACTAAAGCGACAGGACATCTATGTCGATCACAAAGCACTTGCCTTGATAGTTCCTCAATAAAGTACATAAAAATTGATTGCACGCTACTTTATCCGTTGTCTAAGTTCACATAATCTCAATGTCCTACAACAACCGTCTTGCCTTGTATCCTCAACCTCTCCTGGATAATACCCTTGCGCTCTTTGCGCAGATTCCGAGCGTATCTCACCCCAAACCCATGTTTGAACACCTCCTTGATCTCTTCCAGCGACAACCCAGACACCTCCGGATAGAAGAAGTATATCAAAATGTACCCAGCACCGCAAATGCCGGCATAGAACCCGAATGCTCCAGACGGAGTCATACTCTTCATCATAGACAAAAAAGTGCTGGATACGATGACATTGCTTCCCCAGCTAGAGCAGGTGATCCACATGGTGCCCATCGCGCGGACCTCCAATGGGAAGAAATCTGTGCTCATCCATGCTGTGTTGCCGACCGAGACACCATAGAAGATCACGAACCAGATAATGAACACTAGGACGACTATTGCCGGAGGTGATACACTGCTGCTCTTCAGATCGAGGGTGTCGAGGTCGACCGGAATAAAGCAAAATGCTACCGCTATCGCAATAAGACCGACGGACATACCCCAGGCAGTGGATAAGAGTAGTCGGCGACGACCCATTTTGTCGATCACCATCATGTTGACCCAGGTCATGATGAAGTTAGTTCCAGCAACGACGATCCCTACCGCGGTGGGGTTATCGAAGCCTACTAATGCAAACAGGGTGGATGAGTAGTACATGAGCGTATTGAACCCCGAGAGTTGCGAGATGACCATCAAGCCACATGCACTGACCAATGCCCGGAGATTGCTAGGTACAGTATGAAGCTGCTTGATCTTGGTCCACCTCGTCGCGCCCTCGTTGATCTCCCGAGCTTCATCACAGGCGGCGGAGATCGAGGCTAAAACGGAAGCCAGCTGAACATCCGATGGATGCCCGTAGACTCTACGGAGCACGTCCCTGGCCTCCTCTTGGCGATGGTTGTATACCAAGTGACGTGGCGACTCCGGGCAGAAAGGCATAAGAGCTGCCAGGATTAGGGCTGGCAATGCCCCGAGCCCCACCATGTATCGCCAGCCATGGTTGACATTGGCAAAGGCAGCTCCAATAGCATAGGAGATTACCTGACCACCTGTGATTGACATGTTATTCAGGCCAATAAGTCGTCCACGGGCCTTCGCAGGTGCTACCTCAGCAATATACAAAGGCACCACCATGGCAGCTGATCCCACACCAAAGCCAACTACAACCCGACCCACGGCCATTTGGGCAATTGTGTATGCAGCTCCTTGAAGGACGGCTCCGATCGTAAACAATGCGCAACCGAAATAGATGGCTGCTTTGCGTCCCAGCTATTTTTCACGAGACAAATAATTAGCTAACTTTTTCGATTTTTAGGTAGCATATCCATACCTTATCTGCCGTCAGTCCGGCTACAATGGCTCCAAAGAACGCGCCTCCCGAGCAGAGGGACGTGACTAATTCCTTCTCGTTGCTAGTGAGCATGCGGTTGTCTAACCCATCGTGGATGTAGACGAGAACAGCACTAATGATCCCAGTATCGTAACCGAACAACATTCCAGCAATCGAAGCGGTAAAGGCGACAAGCCATACGAACATAGTAACCGGGAGGTCGTCGATGTCAGTTTCCGTGGTTAGACTACCGGCGGCCACTTCAATGTGTGCATTTTCTGGCAAGTTCGCCTTTTTAGGGTCGTCCATTGTAGTCATTGGATATTGGGGTTTTGTCTCATCGTCTGGGGCCATAGTTAGTTGCTATAGTATAGGGCAATTGAATCAAAGAAGACGATGGGTTATGTTTTCAATCCACAGGCAATTGCAGTTATATAGAAAAAGAGTTGCACGACCCTTTTATAAACATGATTATAACGTCGCCCAGCATCTATCTCTGTTGGTATACATCTAGACGAGGCCATACAAACGCAATATGGGTCTCCTTCGACGTATTAACAGGATTCTGATTGGCTGGGACCTGTAGGATTGTTCCCGCGGCCTTGGAAACGCGGGGAGACGATATGATGATCGGTGGACCTCCAATTGGAGAGAATGATTGGCTTTTTCTCTCGGCGCCAAGTTGCCCGATATCCTCCCGTGAGGCAATTCTGTCCCGATGACTGTGTCCTCTCTCTGTTATCATTCGACCGCAGGTACTCTTCTGCCATTCTAGTTACCCTCTGGAATGAAAGGGGTAATCCAGGGACTATTTTCTACATCTTCCCCTTCCCCACGGCCAATAGAAGAATGGCCTCGCCCGAACCCCCACTGCCGCCGTCAGTCTCCCCACGGGGTCGGCCAGTGCCACTTCAAACCCCATGTATCAATTGCCGATCCAAGCATCTTCGGTGTAAGTATTTGGGCTGCGAGGCGGAAGGCTAGACCCAAGCTAAATTTCTTAGGTACGTATGAAACCGACCAATGTGAGCCCTGTAAACGACACGGCTGGACATGCGTCCGCCGCAACCCTCGCAAGAATCATCCGATTCAATTTCGTCCGGGTAGCCGTGCAAAGTATGACCAGGCCTTTGCTCCGGACCAGGTCTGGGTAAAGCTGGGTCGTAGATCGGGTAAGTTCTTTATCGGCCAAGCCGCACGAAAAGAAAACGATTAGAATCTAATAGGTCATTATAGCCCGGCTGAGATTTATCGACGAGACTGTAGACGTCATCTCGGGCTACGACTCGGCGAGTGATTCTGAAAACGGAGGGATTGACGGCGAAGAGGTTTCCTTTCGGGCTGGGGCCGCCGTAGGAACTCAATCAGTGCTTGCGCGATTTCATGCCCTGGGCCAAAACAATTCTACTAAAAATGCTACGCAATGTGGGACCCAAGGACAGACAACAGCTGTATCGGCAATGGCTACGTTGGCAAGCTCGAATACGGCCGCGCGACATGGAGGTGCAAGCAGAGCACCTACTGAGGGCCATAGCGAGATGCACAGACCCGTCGTCTTCGTTGGAGATACTGACATCCGCCTTCAAGCAATCCTCCTACGCTATTTTGCTGAGGTCATTGGCCCTCGGTTTGATTTATGTGACAACGAACGTCATTTCAGCCGTCTGGTGCCGCAACGGGCCCGTTCCTCGCCCACTCTGCTCAATGCCATTCTGACTACCTCAGCCCGCCATCTGACTCGCTTACAAAGGTATCGCAACTCTGCCGGCGTCGTGGAGTGGCAGGGCCATCTACTACCAAACTTGAGCGAGGAATCTGCCGTCTACTATCACAATGAATGCATCAAAGACCTCCTTCGGCTCAGCATGGATCCAGAACAGATTCATAATGAAGCTCTTCTAGCAGCAGCAATCATTCTTCGCACCGACGAAGAAATGGACGCTCCCCTCCACGAAGGCGAGGAGGATACTGAAGTTTTCCTAGGCATGCTAAACATGTTTATTAATGCACAAGTACCACTAGTGGCAACTTTACCGCACAGCTCCCCTCCCGTCTATCCATCACAGGAAGACCTCTATGGCCCAGGCGTCCACTTGGTCCATGCACCACAACCACCGGATTCGCCCTCCCACCCGCTATCCTCTCCCACTCCCCAAACTAACATCTTATGGCCTTATGCCATTCCTCACGTCCCCAGACCAGATGGCCTTCGACAGGCCGCATTCTGGGTCGCCCTGCGTCAAGAGCTCTTTACCTCATTCATGAAACAACGCCCACTCAACTTCCCCATGAACCACTGCGATGCGTTCCGCAACCTATCACCCGCCGAGGACGTTATCTGGGCAGACAGACTCGTCATCTTCTGCGCCGACCTTCTCGAATACTGCTACGGCAGCAGCTACATCCATAATGCGGACCAAACCTCACGTCGCCGTCATGACCCCTCCCGATGGCACGAGCTACGGAATTACGAACGTGATTTAACCCTAGCCCTCCCGAAATCATTCGAGCCCATGTGCTACCGAGAACCTGATACCAACTCCGGACAGATCTTCCCAGAGATCTGGCATCTGGAGAGCTGCCATGTCACAGGGACCACACATTTAGAACTAGCTCGCATCCTGTTAGTTGCCTTCGATCAAAGTCGGCCGAACTTAGGACCCGGGTCTGTCTCTAGCCAAAGACAGCTGGCTAGTACCATTAAGGATATTGTGCGCCGACTGTGTGGCATCGCGATGTGTAATCGTCAATCTCCACCGGCTTTCATTGAAGCCTTAATGGGTATCACGTTGTGTGGGGAGTACTTCAGTGATCGTAGGGAGCAGGAAGCCCTGCTAGGCGTTTTGAGAACCATGCGTCAGGAACATGCCTTTCCGACGGGAAAGGTGGAGAAAATGTTGCTGGAAGCATGGGGATGGGATTGAAAATGAAGATTCTTCTGACATATAAAGCCTTTCATCTCTCATATGATCAGCTTCTCAGATGTAAATAGCATATAGATATAGATAGCTGGTGTGTAACTAGTGTTTCATTATTTGAGTAGTGCGTACCCCATTCATGTTTATTCAGAATCGTTTCACATAGGCCTCTATCTTTGGCTGCAGTCCGGTAAATCTATATGTCGCCTAAAACACGTCTTCCTTCCGTTCTCCTACCATGGCCCCTGCCTAAGTGCCGGCACGAGTTTGTTCCATTATATCAATCTCAGGATCGATCTGTTATTGCAAGTGTTGCCTGGCAAAGGTTATTAGTGAAATGTATCTAGAAGTGGATCCATTGATCTTGTATAATTTCTGCCGAAATCTGTACAACTATTTTAGATCCTTACGTCAGAACTCACGTATCTAAGAGATTCCATGGTAGGGCTTCCTCCTCCGACTGCTAAGCCTTGCTTCTGCCTCGTACTGAGCTTCGTGCTGAGCCTTGTGCTGAGCCTCGATCGCCCCGAACCTGCAGAATTAGCCTCCTCTTGTCAGACCGAGGTACTTGCTTTTCTATGTAAAATCCTAGAGAAAGCACTGGGCGTCTCGGCCACTTCAATCATCAGATCATAATTACCTGTACAATCTACTCGGAAACTTGTCATATAATACAGCTATATAAGTTCAGCCTTTCGACGTATTATCTGCCCGCACGTGTCAGCGGGGTAATGATAGCCCATTTATATTCCTAACATAACTGCCTTGGTCATTTCATTCTTTCCAATAATTTTCCTTTCAACCTCAGCTTTTTTTTTTTTTAACATCAAATTTGGGGAACCCATTTCTATCCTACGCAATCGGGAGTTACGTTGGTATAGGATGAATGGACATCAAAGAAACCGAGAATATCCTTCAAATCGACATGAAATTAAATTACTGGAGGCAATTGCTAAGTCCTTTCTCATCCTCGATCGTGTGGTTTTAAAGACACTCAAATATAAGGGTGATCCCGCAGGTGCTGAAAGGTTTGAGAAGCTCACAAAAGGATATTTTGACCGTATCGAAAACGATCCTCTGAAAGAGTTGAGATTCAAATTGCGGGTTGATCGGTTCGTGAGTGAGCTTAAGTTGAACGATCTTTTAGATCTGATGTCAAGACCCGAGCGAACTACATATTACCGGGACACCATATATTTGCGACTGAACGCTTGTTACAACGCCCAGGATGAAGAAGAGTATCACCTAGCTTCTTCCTCCGACGAGCCCCCATTAGGTGTGGAGGAGCACGCCAAGAAAGGGTTGCGTGCTATAGTGGAGGAAATGTACAATCTAGACGAGCGTGTCAGACGTGCAGACGACAAGAACTATGCCGGGGAAAAGATTCTTCAACTCAAAACCATGCTTGGTAAAATAGATGGCGTCCTCGAGAGAGCTTGTGAATATTTGGGACATGAGTACAAGCCTCTCGCCAACTGGAATAGTACCATTAATCAGCAGTAGGCCCCATTACCCTTCTTTTCATCAGAGGCTTTGTACTAACAGGAGAACAGGACAATAACAATCTCAGCCAAATCTCCAAATAATTCATTGACTTCTAATCCACCAGCCGCCGCTTCAGGACATACAAAAATAACATCTGTAGTTGCTTTCTTCGTTCCGTCTTTTTACATGGCTTTTTTTGTTCTCGCTTGTATGGCTGCTTCTATTTTCGCTTATATGGCTGCGTTTAACGCTGAAGCCATTCCTGGGAGAGCGACGGATTCCGATTTCTACCAACTCATAGCATCTACTATTCTTCAATCCCTTGGAATAGGCACCTCGATATGGCCAATAATCAACGACCTTCGTCCAACACGTTATCTTCTGCTCAAGTGTTGGATATATACCGGCCTAAGTGTCTTCCTTACTATTGCCGCAGTTCCTCTTTACGTTCTTGTACCAGTATCTTGGAGTGGGATATCAAATTTTGTTGGAACTTGTATGCTCTCTTTCGTGCAACTGGAGCTCATGCTTGGTATATCTCATTATAAACCCCACACGGATTGAGGAGTTTGTCGGTCCCCGACTCTCGTGGAAAGGCAGTGGCAGAATGTTCCCAGGATATCTTCAGATGTCAGCTTCAATATTGGAATATTCTGAACCAAATCATTAAGTTTAAACTTCTCTTGCAGAAGTAGTATACTACAGGCCTAATCAAATTCGATATAAAAGAGGATTTCCAGGGACCGATCTCCCATCATTTTATCGACAGGATGGCAGTTCCATCCTTAAATACGAAACGCATCCTCTTCCATTCGACCATGGTGCGCACTCGAGCTATCTCTCCAAACACCTCCACCAGTTGTGTGAGAGCATTTCAAGAAATTGGGACTTTATGAAATATTGGGTGTTTGGCGTGGACGAACGACAATTTGTACTTTTAGGCCCAATATATTCTCTCTGTTAGGAGTTTTTTTTTTTTTTTTTTTTTTTTAATGCAATACTTGTCTTCATTCTCTGTACCTTCTGTCATACAATCAAGGTAGTATCTCCCTGGTATCTTCAAGTCACATTCATAATAGCACGGTCGTCTTCTATAGGACACTAGACTACAGACGCTTGTCAAAGAAGCCTACGGCCTTTCATTCCATAAGACCTGGCGAAGCCACCTCCCGTCTTGCAACTAGCACCTACTATATTTTCACCCTCGGTAGAGTGTATTGAATTGCTGAAAAAAGAACTAGCACCAATGCCATACTTCAGATATCAAGTGTTAGGAAATTCTTGACGGAAATATAGAAGTCAAATAAAGTAACAAAAATGCGCATCACGTGCATTGCATAAAGTCGTCTATTTTAAATTCTATCAAACATAATCTCTATTACCAGAATAGATAATCCCGTAAAATGCTTAATCCCAATTTCCTCACATCCCCCTAGATTCGGTTGCCCTGCTCATCGAACTCAATCTTCTTACCCGAGATCAAACTCTCCTGTAGAGCAGCTCCGATCCGGACAGCGGCGACAGCGCCCTCCAGCTTGACAGGCAGCTCGGTGTTGTCGAGACAGGCCGCGGTGAACTCATTGGCCTCAGTGATGAAGGCCTCCCGGAATCGCCCATAGTAGTGTGGGGGGATCTCGCGACGAATACCGGTCGACTCGTAGATGTTGACTAAGTTGGAGATGGGCTGGGTGTTGACAGCCAGCTTGCCCTGTGTACCGATGATCTCGGTGCCTGTGTGTTTGTTAGTTGTCTTTTCGTTCTTCTGTATAGCAAGATAAAAAAAAAAAAAAAAAGAAAAAAAGAAAAAAGAAAGAAAGAAACATACTGTCTTCCTGTCCAGCAGCCATCATGCGGCTACAGTACAGCTGTGCGATCTTTCCACCGTAAAACTCGACAATACCGAGTGCGTTGTCACGGTCGTTATACTTTCTCAATTCGGGGGAGACGGCAGTGATACCGATAGCAGTGACGGACTTCACAACGGAGTCTGTGCCGTAGAACCACAGTGCAAGGTCAATATCGTGGATAGAGCAGTCGACGAAGATACCGCCGGAGAACTGAGCGTATTCGACGAAGAAACCCGAGGGGTCGAGCTTGTCGCAGGTCTGGGAGCGGAAGACGCTGGGGGTGCCGATTAGGCCGTCGTTCATCTTGTTGAAAGCGTCACGGTAGGAAGCGTCGAAGCGGCGGGAGAAACCGCACATGACTTTTTGGTTGGGGAACTTCTGGATAGACTCATTGTAGGCGTCGACGACGGATTGGGACTGTTGTACGGTTCAAGTTAGTCTTCGTCTTTTTCTCTCTTCTTCTTTTTCTCAGGGGAAGTAGGTCAGAGCAGTGAAGACACACCTCGTCCACATTGATGCTCAGTGGCTTCTCACACAGAACGTGTAATCCACGACGGATAGCCTTGATGGCCTGCTCGGCGTGTACACTGGTAGCGGATGCAATCACCACAGCTTGCAGACCGTTCGCCTGCTCCTTTTCAAGCATCTCATCATAGTCGAGGTAAGTGCGAGCGCCACCAAGGTTTTCCTTGGCCCAGTCCAGCTCATGTTGCACAGGAGAAGAAGCGGCGACAACTTCGGCGCGGGGAGTGAGGGCATAGAAGTGGTGAGCGTGACGAGCACCCATGCGGCCGAGGCCAGCGATGGCGACTTTGAGGGTAGCAGGGGCCATGGTGTCTATGGGATTGTGAGGGAGAATGGATTGATGATTCTGGATCTGTTGGAGGGCTCCAGGGCCCCTTTATGTTGCTGGACCTCCGTTGGAGGCGGGGTATATAACCATTCATGGTGGGATGTTTGTTCTCCATAATTGCAGTTTGGCGGAGTTTCCAGCTCAATGATGGATGTTTTGGTCTGGAGAGGAAAGTGAGGGGATCATCTAAATTGGGCAATTCTGCGGCGAGTTCTTTTTCGCATTGGTCTCCCTGATTACCATTCAGGGTAAATACGGCAAGTTACCGGCGGGTAACTTCTTCTTCGAGTTTGTAGGGTAAGTAATATCCGGTCCGCCATCGATCGGCCAGCCCTAAAAGGCCATTTACCCCGCGGGTTATGAGATCATTCTCGACGAGATGCGACAAACAAATTTCCCCCGCGATGCGGAGAATCTCATCAAATGAAGGAATAAAAAGTCAGAAGCGGGTCGCATTGGTCGTGTGAGTCGCGGTGGAACAAATCCAATCTCAATTGTTCTCTGTTGAGGTGATTGCGCCCGAGATTGTCAAGAGAAGGACTACTATTTGCTTGGAAGTCGTCGCAAGGTTGGATCGCAAGGTGTTTTTCTCCTATCGACTTTTGTATACATACAGAAACAACGCTAGAATCAATTCTCCTTCGAACGCGACTCTATCGGTGCAATCTTAGCTAAAGTTCCTCTCCTCCGTCCCCAAGCCAGGGGCAAAGTCGCAGTGGTTTCCCGCGAATCCCCCCAATCACCTTCCACCACGAGACGGGTTTCTTCAATTCGCCAATTCTCATCCCCAGCCAAACAAATCCGCTTGCCTTCGCGATCGCCACATTGTACTTGAGAAATGTCGCAACACCGTCAGCAAAGGTCGTCACGGGAAGTTGGTATTCGCTGCAACCCTGGCAAGAATACAACTAGTCATGAACAACCCGTCCGGAAGCGAGCGCCGAGTGTGAACCAAAGGTCAATCCAGAGATCAGAGCGCACGACAGATACATGCCACGAATGCTAGTAGCGCAGATTGTTGGTGGGCGGGGATGCGCGCATTTCTCCAGAAGGCGGAAGGGAGCCTGCACGGTGATGGGGAATAGCTTGCCAGATGGCGTTGAAGCAATTGGCGCATGGCGATAGTCTTCGGGAAGAAATTGCCCAAGTTGGGGGACCATAATACCCTGCAATCAGCGCGGGGAGGAAGGTCCCGAGCGCATCTGGTTGGATTTCGGGGAGGAGCTTAGCGACCGGTGGGCGCAGATATTTAATCATAAAGGACAAGGGGATGAGCAACCAAATCCACGGAAATTGCGATGCCCAGCAGCACTGGACTATGGTTATTGCATCATGTCAGCATATCTTGTGCTATCTGTGGGAAATGACATTGTTGACACAGAAACGGTCTTCACTTACAAGATCATGGGTCTTGCGGTAGCGCTCCAGGAGCCTTTCCGGAGAAGTGAAAGAACCATGCGAAGAACCTTCTCAGAAAGGGGACTCATCAAGACAATAACATACGCGAATAACCCGATAAGGGGACACATGACAATGCACACTTCACTATCGAAACGAGTGTATTTTCAGCCTAGTCAGCCCCATCGGACATACGGCATAGTTCCTTGCCCAGGCCTGACGGGAAGCAACGGGAAATCAAGAAACTCGCCCTTGACGAGTATCTGAGACGATAGGTATGTCAGGTAATTGGACAAATAGGGTAGTAGGTGCTGCAAATTATGACATTATGATATCCTTAATAGTTACGCCCGATTCAAGTCGAGTCACTTCGTTTGCCAGCGATGCAGCAGTTTCAACCACACTATTGCCGCCGTGGCCGACATTTGGACTCATGTGTGGTAGATCGGTCAGCATACCCTGACTCCTTGACATAGCTTTCAGTTGAAGGGGCAAGTTGATCCCAGATCCAGGTCCCGTTGTGAGGATCCCAATTGAAGCTCCGACTTGGTGCGCAATGTTATCATTGGCTTCCAGAACGACCAAATCAATTGCGCATCGCTGCAAGCTGTGTGCGAGTGCCCGGTCAGCGCTTGAGCCACCCACGATGATCACGCGAAAGTCTGTTATGTGCACCATGTTGATCCTTGAGAAACTGGTCTTAGACTTTAGTCCGATCGACGTTCAGACAACAGGTGCCCACGCCTCACTAAGTGAACTCAGGGTGCAGACGGCTGACATGGATATCCTGGACCACAGGCTCATGCTGACAATTCATACGGTCGCTCCTAGGAGATCTCACATGCTCCTCAACAACAATATAGGATATAATTTTCTCATCTATTAGCCGTATACATCCAATAAGTAGTTCCTCCTAGATCTGAGTTCCGGTTCAGGCCATAACGATACACACTGGGTAAATAAACAAAAGACAACAGGATTACCAACAGCCTTTACGGAGTCCAACGGATTGGAGTATATATAGAATTTAAAAGGGTCTAAAGACGTGAAGACATAAAGTGGAACGATCGTGATCACTGTAAGTAATGTCATCTAGTAATCGAGTTGCTGGATATTGATTGTTGTGGATTGATGCTCTTCGTGTTGAGCGATCGGACATGTATATATTTCTCTATTCCACGCAGATTCAGGTTGCCATTGCAATGAAATGGTCGAATAGCTGGATACCACTTGTGCGTGAGACAAATCTGGATGTTAATCGGAAGGTACTATATACTAGTATACCAAACTTATGAAAACATATACAAATATAGATTCTTCGTTTCAGATGCTCAAGTCCTGTGAAAGTGCCCCTGATTGATTCCATGCACGTGCCTGGCAGAGATGACGACGCAATAATTCCGTACTAAGTATAGTAGCCGCCCGTGGGTCCTTCATTTAATCACGTGGATCCCCATCGGCACTGGAATCCGCCGTCGTTCGTTAAACCTTAAAAATCCATTTCGAACCTCTCGATGGGCCAATATTAAGTCCCCCCACACGATATTCCTCGGCTTGACTGTGAGACATTGATTAATATCAGAGATCGAGGAATGGTCCCTACGGCTTCTGACTGGATCGGATGCGATGTCACCTAAATTTGGCCATTCCTGATTAATCCAATGCCTCTGGTTCCTTTTCGTTCCGTCGGGAGTAGCGGAACCACCCCCACAATCAGGGGACAAAGCTACGGGGAGGTGCCCTGAGATACCGCCGACAACAGTTCTATTGCGGAACCCGAAAGGCCGCCGGGTGCGATGTGGTGGTGGAAAGATGAGTCTAAACCGGAGAGGTCGGTGACAGGGACAGGATGGCGCCCAAGGACGCTCCGCCCGACTTACCTGCTTTTCCTGGCCTCGGTCATGGGCCTAATGCTGCTAGCTCTCGAGCTGCTTCGACAGTACAGTGACACCAGAGGTGGCCTCTTATTCTACGACGACACGGATGATGTACCAAACCATGTTTTGTTTGCATCCCAATATGTTCCAACCATCCTCGGTTTGTCGTTGGTGATCCTTTGGTCTTTTACGGTCTACGATGTCTTCCGTTTGGAACCCTACTTCCAGCTATCTCAAGAGCAGATCTTTCCTGCTGACGTGCTTTCCGCTAATTATATCTTTGGTCCGTTTATATCAACGCCTTTCTCATCAGCGAGAAGAAAACACTGGGTGGTGCTGGGCGTGTCTATCATTAATATTCTAGTACAGCTAATGCTGCCCGCTACACTGAGCGCTGTGCTGGACCTTGATAGCGTCCCAATGTCTTCTGACGCGACCTTGAGAAGTTGGCCGGAACTGGTGGCGGTCGGAGAGCAAGCCGAATGGATATCTTCGCAACGGAACATGAGTCTTTATTCTCTTACAAGGGGAGATTCTGGAGAGACACCGTCGCGTCTCTCACACTTCGCCATCCCACCAGTGGAACTTCCCTCTGATGATGCACTCTCCACGGCTTTATGGAAACTTAATCTTACGGTGTACTGGACCGACCTTACATGCTCCGATTTGCCAATCAGTAACTCACCCACGGCGAATGTTACTGTGAGCGTCGGGGGGACCCCTGCTGATTATTCCAATTACTCTACCTTAACCTATGCGCTTCATGACATGCGCTTGACATCACTTTCGGATTCTTCCCAGGACTGCACCTTAAATGTGAACTACAGCGGCATCTTCGACCTGACAGCGACTCCACTACAGGCCCGACGCTGGGAGCTTGATACGATCCCGTGTGCGCCACTTGATTTATATGGATTCCTCCTCGACATTGATGCAATAAGTACCGGTCGCTTAGCTGGACAAACACCCAAGGCTCAGTTATTCTCGTGTGGCATGCGGTATTATACGGCCAAGGCGGAGGTTTCCATGCAGGCCAATGGCTCGGTAGTCGCAATTGTTGTCGATAAAGGCTCCATGTCCGCTCTCGATAGTTCGCAATTGGATATAGCTGGATTTAAAGCATATCTCAAAAAAGGCATCTGCCCTACGGGTAATGTTTGCCCCTCTGGCAATGGAACGTTGACAAACCATTCTCTTGACCGATGTGGCCTTGGAATAGCAGGCCATAGTCCCCTATGCTCTACCTCTGCGCAGTACTCACAAGTCCCCATCTCCAGAGACGAGTTCATATCTAAAATTCGTACGGTTATGAAGCTCGGTTTTGCACGTCTGCTGAGCCGCCTCTTTAACACAAATGCAGCGTATACTCCTATTCAAGGCGTTGGCGCAACTGACCAAGTGGCCGTCCTGGTCATTACCTTCCCTGCAATTGCATCAGAGGTAATCCTTCTTCTTGGGGCAGTCACATGTATCTTGCTTGCTCTTTTCTACCCATCGCGTGAGAACATACTCAAGTCTGACCCGGGGTCGATCGCAGCCATGTGCAGCATCGTGGCACACCTATTTAACCCAGCTGGTGTTCAGGCGTTTGCCACGTACACTGATCAATCCACCGCACGGCAACTTAATCGTAAGCTGCGTGGATGGCGATGTTACTGGTATCATGAGCCATCGGGCCGAAAACTGGGGTTTCTTCCCGGAGAAGCCCCGTCAAGAACGCTACGGGAGAAAGTGCTAGCCAACAAACCGGCGAGTAGGAAAGCATCACGTCCAGATGCCAGGCTCCATTTCTTATCAAAACCCATATTCATCGCTGAACTTCTTGCCTTGTTAGCGGTTATCTGTTTCATGGCAGTAATGTTCATATTGTGCTCAAAAGATCACCGACTTCGACGGCTTTCAGATTCTGCGTCAGATCGATTGTCTGTTGCTTTGAACATCCTGCCGTCTCTTATCGCTTCCATGATGCGAGCTTTGTTCAATTCTATCTACATAAACCTTAGTATCCTCGAGCCATGGATTCATCTCCAAAAAGGGGGAGTTGATGCGAAAAATTCCTTGCTGCTAAATCTTTCCTCCCAAACCCCAGTTACCGTGTTCTTCCGCTCTATACGCTCGCGCTCCTTCGTACTCAGTCTGGTCTCACTGTGCTGCATCATTAACACAGGGCTTCCAGCTGTTCTAGGCGCGCTATTTACCCAAAGCCGCACGGGAGCAGCCTGGCCTACCCAGGCTGTCGAGTTACGCTACGATCATTCCACCATTCTCAACTCCAGCACCGTCCCCGCCTTCTTCCAATACGGTCCTATTGAATCGACCCTGTTGAATTCAGTGTCGTTGCTTCCTTGGACCTCGCCGGACTATTCATTTGTGCCGTTCTCTGTCCATACGGATAATATGGAACATAGGTACGAAGCTGTGACGTTGGGTATTGGAGCTGACTTGAATTGTCATCAAGTCCCATTTACTCAAGGTCTCTCGAAAGATGAGTATTATGAGGATTCGAGCAACCCCCACCTCACCGTTAGAGATACTGAGGGCATGGAGGGTACACCATCTGTCAATAACAACGCAAGTGAACCATATTCAATCCAGCTACTAGCACCGAGTGGCGTGACTAAAAACGCCACACTGACCGTTCTTGCAACGAATTCCGCGAGCTCCAACACAGGCTTGCATTCAACACTCGCTTTGCAATGCCAACCGATACCTAGAATACAGAATTTCACAATTGGATTCGACCCCAGTGGAATACTACAGTATTACTACCCCATCGACAGCGCAATCACGACCGGACATCTAGTGGACAACGTGACATCAAACCTAGCAAACTACCACCAACACTTTCTCGCCTCAATCCAAGACAGCTCAGCAAACGGCACCATTGCAAATGAGCCGAAATTATTCCCATCCGACTGGCTCCGTTCCCTAATCAAGCTAGTCTACCAAACCATGAACGCGGAACTAACAACTATCGACCCGGACCGCCTCACCGATGCCACAAAACAGGTCTACCAATGGCTCTTCGCAGCATACTTCACCCTTCAAAAGGACATGTACCTCAAACCCCTCCCGAAACCGATAACAGACAACGATGCCCAAATCATACGCACCACATGGAGTATAGTCCGGTCCCTTCCATCATTCATCGTCGCCCTGATAATGGTATCATGCATGGCCATTGCCCTCGTCCTGGTCTTCATCACACGATATGGAAAGTTCAAGGGACCCAGGGTCCCGCAGTCGCTTGGCTCGGTGCTTGTGTGGCTTGTCGATAGTCCTATTTTACCTAGTTTCTACGGTACCTATGACTGGACTAGTGCTGCTCGCAGGGATTACTTGGTCGGACTCGATAAGAGATATGCTTTCCGGATGGACACTACACCAGCTGGGGAACAGAAATGGGTCATTGACGAGGATCAGGCTGGTAAGGTTGGGTGACTGCATGTATTACATATAACTTAATGTAGGGTTTGTAAAATATTGTATAAATATATCATGAGAACTGTATATAATTCACGTTAATAGACTATTTTGACCATGAAACTTCGTCAAGTGATCTATTCATGCTCGGATAATATCTCGATCTATGGTGTGTATATGATATATCTACAAGGATGAACCCTCTGGACAGGGCATTATGTGTTGTGGCTTGAGAGGCTGAGGACTAACGTCCACAAGGTCACGTCACGCACGACCTTCACGAAGCTAAAATCCAAATTCCCTGCTTTCGATACAGATACTCCTTGATACAACACACAAAGATCAGTCTCTACAACCAGAGAAAATTCTCATGCGGTACGGCACGTAAAATCGAATCCAGATTCGGGTATAGCCAACTACAACAAATCAAACCTAACAGACTACCAAAACTTGTCCAAAGCCACCAAACCCCCCAACCGCAAACCCACACACTACACTACACTACACCTCTCCCACTACTAGTATATCCCTCCCACAAAACTAAACCAACCCTCAATCCCCTTTCACCATCTCCCCAACAACAGACTCCGTATACTGCCACAACAAAGCCGAATAATCCGAAACAAGAGTCAACCCCGTCCAGAACGTGCCCCTTTTTCCCTGCAAGTCATAAACCCTCCGATAAAACCCATCCCGAATATCCTCCACCCCCACCATCAACGACGTCGGATTATGGTTCCCAAACACCGCTATCTCCCAATCTTCCCGGATATCAAACGTGCCCGCCGTTCCCATGCGGTGTAAATCAGCAACAATGAGGTCCCGGGCTTGCGTGTCCGTGAAGTTCATGTCCCCGATGGTCTTGCTCGCGAGGTAGTTGTTGGGACCCATGTCCTGGAGAGCCCATTGAAAGGGGGCTAGTGGGAGATTACCTGGATTCTGGTCCGGGTCGACGTTTTGGACGTTGATATTATTGGGGATTCCTGTGTTCTTGAGGACGGCGACATAGTATGTTTTCCAGAGGAGTTTGGTGGAGAGGGATATTTCTTCCGGGGAGAGGTCGAAACCTTTAAGATTCTCCGGAATAGGGGGGAAGGTGATGAGGAGTTTCTTGGCTTTGATGAGTTTTTTCTTCCCCGAGGTGTCTTGGGTGATTAGTTTGATTTCGGTGTCTGAGCGTATGGTTTTTGTGGCTTTGGTGCTATATAGAACGTCTGTGTCTAGGACCTCGCTGGCTTTGCGGTAGAGTTCGTACATCCCGTTGTTGGGCGTGATGTATCCTCCTTGGAGGAAAATGTCAATATGTGAGATACCGAATAATTGGATAACGTATAGCGTTGGACTGGCTAGCATATCACCTAAAGCATTGGCGAAGGTGTATATCACGCTGAGGGCGCCTTCGAACTTATATTTCTCGACGAACTTGCTAAACGGCCAGAGGAGCTCTTCTGGGACGGGATCCGGAAGGTTATAGATGCCGTCTTTGAGGTAGTCGAATTTCTGGATAGCAGTACGGTATACAAGGAGGGCTGCGACGGTGTCTAGAATGCCGGCGGGAGGAGGGACCTCTTGTCCGGTTTTGAAGTCGACGTATTTATTGATGAGGGAGCCCGGCGTGAGCGGTTTCCATTGTACGCCAAGTCGACTGAAGAAATTCTTCGAGATCTCGTAATTGAAAACGCCTTGCACGCCGTAATCGACATGGCCACCGTTCTCGACGTAGAGGGTTTCTGTATGTCCGCCGAGACGGTCGTTGCGTTCGACGACTACGGTGCTTTTGTTCATATCTTTTAGACGGATCGCTGCGTAGGTGCCTGTTGCGCCTCCGCCGAGAATGCACACATCGCGTGTTATTATGTCCTCCGGAGAGAAGTCTTCTTCTGAGGGTTGTTGGGCATTTACGAGGGCTATTATGAGAAGTATGGCGTGTAGGAGGCGCCAGGGGGCGCTCAACGAGAGGAACATGGTGGAGATAGTCCACGTACAGATGAGCGGGATGCTGCAGGAAGGTGGGCTGTGGGGGGGAATGATGGGTCTTTCTATATGCGAGGTAAACACACGTGTCGGTTCATTTTAGAACTGAGGGCACCAATAGTTAAATTCCTATTTTGTCCGCTGACAGTAGTGCACCAGCCCTATTGTGCAGCAGGGACTGGTGCCGAAAAGGAGTCAGCATGGCCACCTATGGTGCCAGCAGTCATTCCAGTTGTACATGCCAGGGATACCTTGGTCGTCAGAATCTAAATGATTTGTGCCACATATCGACGGAAAAAATCATGTATACCAAGGGTCTCTGTGCTTCGGGTGAACCAGGAAAAGAGGATGCCAGTAAATGAATGTACAGTATGTACGATGGCTTTTTCTGAATCAGTGCTCAATGTAAACATAATTCCTTCTAATGAGCTCCATCCATTCGTCCAAAGGGATAGCCGCTTCTCCGAAAGGCACGCAGCCCACTGGAATCTCCTGGACGATCGACTCCCTTCCAGGAATGTGGAGAAAGTCATGGCTCCTATCACAAACCGTGAACGGAAGGATGCCATCGCAAAGCTTCCGGTGGCATTCCTTGTCAATCTGGAAGTCAATGCAATCCTTACACCAGAGCATTTCTCCCAAATATGACCAGGAATTCCCGCAGTCTCCATCACAGTGGAGGATTTCTGTGTCGGAAGTGTTGAGTGACATCATGGCTAAGCTTGCTAGCATATTCCTGTTATCCTCTAAGGGTAGAAACACAGTCAACAGATTAAAATAGGCGTATTTGTCATTGTCTTCATCATCGTCCGACAGTATTTCAAGAGCCTGCTTCACGATCTCTCGAGTGATTTGTTTAGCTCGCAGCACGTCTCCCTGTGTCTGGTAGTACCGCGCAAGATAAAGCTTCGGCGGGAGGAGTGCGTCGGCCCCAGGCGCTCCGTCAGGAATTAAGGTCTCAAGCTTCTGGAGGTATGAAGAAGCAGCATTTATGTCGTCCCCCGACGTCCGTGCCTTACGGAGATAGAGGGGGCCGAGTTTGCTAACCAATAACGGCAGAATAGTATACAAATGGGATTGGGGAACTTCGACCAACACCTTCTCCCACTCAGCAATTGCCTTAGATTCTCGATCTCGTGGTGAGTATATTGCTGTGGCATAATAATATCGGGTATGACATAATATGGCACGGTCCTGGCGCTCTAGAAGGAGATTGATTGCAAGCTCGTATGTCTCCTCAAGGAGATCGAAGTGCTTTGTCCGTAGCGCTGCTTGTAGGAAAATCTGGTGGAACCGGTCAGCGTTCCAGAGCTCTATTACCATCTCTGGTAGTCCCTGTGAGACGTGTGCTGAATTTTTGACTGCTTTCAGAGATACTATGATGTCTTCCCACCGGCCCTCGGTAGCGAGAGAACTCAGTACCATTGTCACCCGCTCATAGTTCGTAGGGTCAAGTTCCATTGCCATTTTGCAGTATGCAATGGCTTTGCTCGCACATCTGTCTTCCCAGTAAAGTAGCCCAAACATGTATAGGAGCTTGGCAAACCCGATACGCTGGACAGGATCTCGTTGCCACTGGGTGTCGGATGCAAGACGTTCCCCAATAGGCGCAGCTAGAATCTCGATTCCCTCCTTAGTCCCGACTAATTTTGCTAGCAAATATGAAGCTCGCCAGTCTTGCGGATCAAGCATCAAGGCTTGTCGAGCTCTAGCCTCAGCGAGCCTGGGGAGCCCAAGCACCTCCAACAGGTTGCCCATTTGAACGTGCCACAAAGAATTCTTTTTCTTGACATCCAGCGCCGTTTGACACCAATTTTCAACATTCTCTATTTCTTCAACCGAATAAACATAGCTAGGGTCATTCACTTCGTGGTTTACAACACCCTTGCGACGCTCAATCTAAGACTTGGTTAGCATTTCGAGATCCTTCGAGCGAGCGCTACGTACCTTATTTACGAAGGCAGCAATGAAGAGAAACGCGTCCTTTGTAAATGATTCCGAATGCGCCTCCTGCAGAAAATGCGCCGCCATTCTCTTTGCAGCAGGTCTCATTAGATCCTCATCCGGCTCTGCCTCAGACGCGACATTCGCGACCCAAGCCCGTGTCGCCGTGTCGGAAATCTCGGAGGTAACAGCAGAATCCCCAAACCATCTGAGGATGGTATTAACACTGTCATTACTGTAAAGCCAATAACGTCGAATCTTGAATCGAAGAGTAGGATCATCAACAGACTTAGCACAATGTAGTAAGATATCGATTGAACTGCCCTCGGTAAACAGTTTCGCCAAGCGTATACCCACTGCACTCTTGCAACCAATATCTGCCAGAGCTAGATCAACAGTTGACAAATGATCTATGAGGTATTTCCGTGCATAAGTAAGGAGTCGCGTTCGTTTTCGATCAGTCTCTTCTGTCAAGACGTCTAAACAAGTTAAGGCCATCTTTGTCTCACCCGTATGCGGATCATCCTTGTTGATACGGCTACCCTTGGGCTTTAACAGTTGCGCGAGGTAGGCTTCAAACTTCAACTTAGTATAAACCTCCGAAGGACACACCGTGAGAAGGTAGTGCTTGACCATGGCAACTTCTGCGGCTTGTGCCGCTTCTTTACCATACGAATCCTCTAACTCATGGGTGGTTTTTCTCAGCGGAATGTAACGCTCGATCTCAGACGATCGGAAATCAACCTTGCCATTCCTGTCCACTTCGAAAAGCGAGTATTTGATCTTGAACTTTTGCTCAAGAGGCAGCAATGACGGCTCTCCACTTCGTACATATAGAGCTGCAGACATCTGCTTTGGCGTGAGGAGATCCTTGCCGTAAACGATCCAGCGTACAATTTCATTGATTTCCAACAGTTCTTTTTCTGAGCGGCTTTCGTTCATTCTTTCGATTTCCTCAGTTATCTGCTGTGAGCGTTCCTTGCCTGCATCGTCCAGAGCCTGTTTGATGTCTGTTTTATATTCCAGGGAGCTGATATGGTCGAGGGTCCTATCTATCTTGAAGTAGTCGCCCTTAGTTTGTGCACACAGTCTGTCTCGAATATTGTCTCTCAGCTCCGATATTCCCAAGCGGGCGCGATCGGTCAATGCTGGCATCTTATCCATCCGGTTCTCTATAAACTTCTCAACATCCGATCGATTTTCAGTACTGATAGATATGTAATCAAAGGAAACATTCCCAGTTTGGCTTAACTGTTCAAAGCATCTGGGGTCACCGGTTACAAGAACGCGGATGTCGCGACCGGGCATGGGTATGGAAGCTCTCTGTAAAAACCTGGCCATGCCCTCTCCAACTGTGTCACCTAGCCCATCAATGACAATATAAAATGTGATGTCCATGTTGGCCAGATCCCTATTACCGAAGATCAGGTGCTTTGAAATGTCTGCCGGGTCGATCTCTCCATAGCGTTCACAGATTTGGGCGACGGACTTGAGATAGATCCTCTCAGACTGACTGAACTGCCAAACGAGTGACTTTGCGACCGTCTCGAGGTTGGTGACATCTTTTAGCTCATCCCGAGAATTGCCTTCCAGAAAATAATAGCCGGTTGAGATCCTACGGTCGGAGCTCTCTGTAGTCTTCCTCTGATTGAGACGCTTGATGATAGTGGACGTGAGGAAACTCTTTCCAGTTCCTTCACCACCCGCAATAGCCAGGATAGGTCGACCGGACTGTCCTTTCTCCCATGCAACATATTTGTGTTCGTTAAAAATCCATTCACCGGTGCCCCTTACACGTTGCCTAAGATAGTTGCGATAGATCGTCTGCCAGAAAGCTTCTGGCGCCCCGCTTTCTTGATTCATCTTGGTCTCATCAAACGCCAGTGCCTTCAGGACGACCTGCTCCCTGTATTGTTTATCCTTTTCCTTCTTCTGCTCAGCTCTGTCGTCTGCAAACGAATCCACAAGGCCTTGCATGAGAGAGAGATTCGCCTTTGAGTTGGTTGCAGCGTCTGAGGCAAGCGCAAATGTCTGCGCAACCACCAGGCGATTCTCTTTATCTACGAGACTCTCCATTCTGGTTAGCAAATCATTGACCCCATTATCCTGCAGGAACAATATTTTGGCCCCCGCAAGCAGCTTTCTTCTCTTTGAGCGGAGTTTAACAGTTCGATCGCAAATTTCCACGAAGAGGAGCAAGTGCTGACACGCGACTTTACTCAATTTCGTGTCCATACCGCCGTGGACGTGGTACTCTAAGCGGCCTAGATATTCGGTACATTTCTCCAGCAGCCCGGCTATTTCTTCGAAAATGCCTTGATAACCCTGCCATGCTTGGATCGCAAAGGTGAGCGCATTGAAACATAGCTCTGAAGGTCCAAACGCCTTCCCGACTGTTAGCTCGTATTCAACTTAGCCACACTAGAGAAAGCCATACCTGGGACGCAGCGCCCGCTGCTATACTGCCCACCGTCTGGATGAACAGTAAAGTTTTGTTGAATGAGTCTTTAATGGCCTGGAGCTTCCAAGAAGACACGTTGTCTTTCTTCTGCGCCGCGTCAAGCTGCGACAGCACATCGTTCACACCGAGCGGCCTGATCTTGCGCTGGTCCCCATCGGCTAGCGCCAACACTCGACTCTGAACACGAGTCCATATTTCCGACAGCTCCTTGTTTGTAGCGGGGTCGAGTCCTTGCGGTACAAAACGCGATGAGTCTGCGAAGACTGTTGTGACCATGTTTGCTTGTTCGCCCGATGGCAGATGCTCAAGCTGCAGGTGTCAACCTCCCAGAGGTGAAGCGGAGAATGCCTTTGGATCACAACTCCAGCGGCCAATTTCTTTACTTTTTGAAAGTGAGACACCCCATGGAATAATACGCTTGGACGTGCACGCAACTGACGTGTTAGAGGCTCACTAACTATCCGATTTAGGGAGGTTCGGGAGTGAAATCGCGAGATACCTGCAGATCGCCCAGCTAAGTGGCGCCTGAGGAGTCGCTAAGAATGACTATTGGCGAAGACATTGTGGCTGAAGTGGATGGCTTCGAGGCCGGCTTCAAGAGATCCAACCGGCTGGGAAAGAAAGGCAATGATCGCTCCCTCTACCCCGCCAATCGGTCGCTGGACCATGCCATCTGACATCACTTGCAGCATGGTGGATCGATGGATGTTCGTGTATTTCAAGACTCTTCACCTCTTGTAGTTGCAGGTTATGAGACAAGATTTCAAGTTGTTTGGTTGGTTTTGATCTTCTCGATTTATCACGTGGTCCGTGCACTATCTTTTCGACAGGATGAAATCTCTACTTCTACACAGTATGCCGCAGCGCAAGATTCACCGATAGGTGTTTGAAATCACCCGTAGTCGTGACCATGCTTCTTCAACATGCTTGGGAACTTCCACATGAGGAATGAACCCCTTTCCTCTTGGCCCATACCCACTTTCATCATCCCTGAGTCTGGGGATTTCCCCCATTATCAACTCTAAAAATCGATCCAGTGACCACCATGCGTTTCCCAGCGGTAGATCCTGATATTTCAATTCCAAAGCTTCTGTTCTTTGCATATGCGGGACGATTATTGGGCAGCTCATGAAAGAGGGAGGCGACAGCTTGTCCTCGTACGCCCTTTGGAATGAGGCTTTTGTTCGCAGCATCATCGTAGGATCTTGAATGATAATACACGTCTTGAGGTCTTGGAGATCTGCTGCATCGAGCACTTTCCGACTCAGCGAGGCGTTTAGGCCACAGTTGGTGGATTGATCTTCAATTAAGATCATACAACCTCCATCCGTGATGGCGGATCGGTCAAAGAAAGTGTCCAGGATCCCCTCCAAGACACGGGCTTCGGGTAAGCCGTGGATGTCTTGTGCGATCCGTGAGAAGCGAGGGTGTTGCGCAACAGCGTCATACATGAAATGGGTGGAGTGGCCCACGCCACCACATAGAACCAAACATTTGCTTAAGGACGGTCGCTCTTGTAGTACCTGAAACAGATATTCGGCTTGATAGAGAATTGCCGACGCGCAGATGACGATACAGTCCACTGAGGGAGATGACGATAGGTCTTGGATCTGTTGATCGCCGAGATATTCGACCACGACATTGATATCTTTAGCTGACGTCGCTTCGGAAGACATTCTTTATGTAATGAGTGGCGGCCTTTCGGTGTAGGTCTCTATCTTGTTCACTGTTTGTTTTCCTCGATTCTTTTCTCCTCTCGTTTGTTTATCGGTTTGTCTCTGTCTGCAATTGAAAGACCTCAAATGATTTTGCCGCAATATATTGACGGTGATAATCCGGTGGGGTTGTTTTCCATTTATAGCCGATGAATGTGGACTCCACCGGGATGAATTACTTGTTCGGGTAGTCACGCGTCGCGCAGGTGTTTCCCCTATGCCTCAGTTATTCTCCATCAACTTGCTCCTGGCCTCGTTCGATTCAGAATGAATGGTTAAATTAGCATTCTATGTGTTATATTCGATCACTGGAATAAAAGGGCAGTTTTTCTCCCATATATCGGCGTTTTTCGTAAGCATCTATTAAGATATATTCATAATCTTGCCTAGCTGTGCAAACATTCAGCAAGATATGCTTGATGACAACATATTTAGGGCTTAAATCGGATCACCAGTTTAGGGATCGTAGCGAAAACCATTAGTCGACTACTGGCAAATAGATCCTAACTAAGGATTAATAAACCCGTTGTGGTCGTATTCATAGCGTGTCTCTTGATCCTAGTTGAATGTCAGTAATGTGTATATCAATCATCAATGTCCAAACATACCCAGTATCGATTAAACCCAACTCCCTCGCACACCTCCGGGTATCCCAGAATCATAGGTGGTGCCGTACCCTCAACCATGCTCTGTTTCAGCCCTTCCAGCGCATCCCGAATACTCTTCAATCTAGCCGCGACCAGTGTCCACGGATAAGCCACGGCAGCGAAACCCAACTGAGCGAGCTCCTTCGCAGAGAGATTCTCCGTCTTGCCCCCTTCAATAATATTAGCCAGCATGGGCATATCCAACTCCTGAACGCAGCGCTGCATCGACTCCCTGTCCGGCAAGGCTTCAACAAACACCGCATCGGCACCAAGTTTCTTGAACTCCTTCGCTCGTGTCATCGCTTCCTCCCATCCAAGTATCAAGGCATCAGTTCTGGCAAGAATGAAAATATCCCGTCCTTCATTCCGGGCGTCGCAGGCAGCTTGGATCCGAGCGTAGGCTTCACCGCGCGAAACAACTGATTTTCCCTTCGTATGGCCGCATCCTATGCGCGACTCTCATAATCAGTAACTACCTCACATGTAACCATTTGTTGAAGAAAAGTAGGATAGACTCACGCTTAGGCCATGTCTGATCCTCAATCATCACCCCCGCCGCCCCAGCCGCGGCAAACGCCTCCACCGTCCGCCGAACATTCATCGGGCTCCCATACCCCGTATCTCCATCGACCATAACAGGAAGACTAGTCACCCTCACCGTCTCCTGTACCTTCGAACACATCTCTTCCATAGCGATATACCCCGTATCAGGCAGCCCGTATGAACTGGACACAGCGAAGCCGGATAAAAACAGCATCGGGAACCCGGCCTCCTCGATAAGACGCGAGGATAGCCCGTCGTAGCTACACGGGAAGGCCAGGATCTTGGTGGGATCACGGCGCGCTTCGAGCATCATTGTCCGGAGACGGGATGTTTGGAGGGAGGGGATCGTGCCGCGGACATTGGGGATGGTGAGGGGTATAGTTTGGGTTGTTCCATTTGTGGACTGGGTTGGGGTTGGGTGGGTGAATTCGAAGGGGTAGGGAGTATTCGATTGAGGCATTGTGATTTTGACGCTTGGTTTTAGAATGTTGATTGTTCTAATTTGCGATGGTGGTTGACATTTGTGATTTTCTATGGATGAGGGGTTGAGGGGTTATGTCGTCATTGGCATTTGATTGTTGTTCTCTTGCCAAGAGATTTGTACTGATTTATTACATTAGATGCATTCGATTGGCGAATTGGGTTTATGATCTGCGCTGTTCCACTTCAATATAGTATCTGCATTCATTCAAGAGAGTAAGTATTCTTAGGGTTATTATTGTCACCTGCTAGGGTCGACTAATGTAGTATCTTGTGCCTTGTCACGGGAACGAACTCGTAATGGATCTATAAATGTATGATGAGTTTATCTATCTACATTTCCGTCGAAACATGCATTCATACGAGAGCTCATTGCTTTAATGCTGGAGCTGCCACTGGTCACTATACGTGCTTGGCTTGGTTTGTTTAATTTAGTTCGCCGATTTAATGTCCAGTACGTCGAAAACATCAGTAAAAAAAGAAGATTGAAGACGAAGATGTGCTACGTCTGCTCAAAGGGTCTTATGCAGTACATAAGATCAGCAAAATATCTCGTTAATAGCTACATCCATTGGTGCGGTCTAGCAATTATGCTCGAAAGATGGTCATGCCATAATTTTAGTGACATGCATAGATTTGCCGCTGGAGGCTTTCAGCAGATCGCGTCTGAAGGAGGAAATACTATATAACCATCAGGGCTAGCCAAGCAGGTATAAAACTCGCCCGATTATCCCCGGATGGCGACGTACGAGCCGAGTGGAGCCGGTGTCCTTCTAGGTATTCTACATCGCCTCCACCACGGTGAAGAAGATGAGCAATTTTACCGGTGGCAAGTAGAGCAAGGATTGCTTAGATCAATTCTGGCTAGACATATGCAGCATACCATACCGTTGCGAAGACTATTGGAGACATTTGCCTTTCAATGCGCGATTAATGACGATTACTTGAGAAGCTACTGCCTGCACAGGTCCCACAAAGGTATTGTGCGAAGTCCGTCGCTGGATAGAACTCGTTGTGCTTGTTTCGTTCACTAGGTGGGTGATAGTCAAATCGACGAGTCATATCAGTCTTCGACTATGACCAGAACACCTTTCTGTAATGTATTTTAGATTTTTGTTGCGACTTGTATGATGTCCACGATAACATACTATACCTCCCAAAATGAGGCAAGCGGGAATCACTCCGAGTTTTGACCTTCAGGTGTGTGCCGAGAAGTTTGGCCTCCATCATAGAAGTAGCTTGTGGGTATCAGAGGCAGCTTTCAAGACCCTCGAGGCAGACTAACCTCGGCGCTGGTCGCTGTCGTGGTTATTATGTCCTACAGAGGTTGTTGAATATGTGATGTCATGAAGTCGCGCGAAATACGCGGCATCGGAGGCTAAGGGAATCCAGGCGGGTCGTTAAGAACGTGGCGGCTATGGCAGACTACTAACTACCCACTAGCAGGATCCGCTCTGCCTGGCTAGAACGCCTAAAGACTTTGATTTTGTCTAACTCTAGGTTCGCACTGTGGGCAGGGGTCTAGTAAGTCAAAACGGTGTCTATTTTGGCTGACTTACTACAGCTGCTGGGGATAGAGGGTTCAAAGTGGTGACGATTCTATGTCGATAACGCGTTTATGCACATTTAAAATACAATAATAGTAAACTTTTTGCCTCCTGCAGAGGCTTTTGCCATCGATAGCAAGGGTCAGTGTATGGTAGTCTAATCCTTCTCGACAGAATCCGCGGTATGCCACCAGTCGCTCCACCGTGGCTATGAGAGCAGATGGCAATTTTCTATCCAAGATACTCGGAAGTATCTTCTTCCCACAATCAGTGGTAGAAATGCTCATAGGGCAGCTGTCACAAGCAGGGCTTGTTCGGTTCCGGCTTTCCGACTAACCTGAAATATCAATGGGCTGGAGAGTAAAATTGAGTTTTACGGTGAACTCGCCATCTTCACAGGGTTGGTTCCCCGTGGTGAACCTTGGCCAAGAGACTTCGCCGGAAGGTTCGTAGAAGCCCGAAAGAGTATGTGTGGACGTGACGGTGTGAGAAAAACTAGACGAGTGGGACATTGAGTCTTAAGTGGTCCACTCTGGAAGGCATAGCAGTCTGATTCGATATGAATCGTGTCTTGACCTAGCTGCTGAATGTCTAGAATCATGTGGAGAGCGGCCTTAGAAGTTAGCGCGATACTGGGGTGAAAGAACAGTATCTCAATGAATCGAGTGCTTGGCGATGGTAACCCTACTTTCGGGTCCTGAGGTTGCATGAAGAGTCATGTTTCGATTTCTAATTAGAACCAATGAATATTCAGGAGCTATATGAATTGGCCTTGTCTGTAACTTACCCCTTGCCAAGATATTCTTTGTGTTGTGTTGTGTTGCGCCAGAAACGTGGCCCCGGACTAAGTAGACCACAAACCCTAAGACAGACGTAACACACACAACACTCCGGCTTGCCATTTACAGGGCAAACAACCGAATTACCCATGGTTCCGGGGTCATTAGCTTGTTACGAGTACCTATCCAATGCTAGAATTGCAATGGATTGTAATCCCATTGGCTGTTTCGGACTAATAGCGAGCTTAGTCATTCCAAATGAGTGGCCAGCAAACGTCCTGCCCCTGGCCCAGACTTCGTCTCCCATGGGTCAATGTTGATAGTAAATTTAGGTCCTGCTTAAGGGGCTTCACTTATCCCTTTGTCAAACCACGCACAAGACGGGATAAGGCCAGAGAATTGGCAGCAAAAAACTTCCAGTACAGATGGTTCCACGACATGGAGAGCATACATGCAGTAGGGCGACGATAGATTCTAATACGGAACTCTACAACTCAATGACTCAACGACTTAACGACCTAGCTCGATTATCAACAGAAGGATAGCGCCAAGTGTGGAGGCGGCTCCACACACAAGACTGCATTGGACGGTAATCAATGGCCGTGTAGAAGAATTTCCACATTGGCGTCTCAGCTGGCGAGCAACACCTCCGTCTGAATTTCTGTCCTCGGTCCACTTTTGCGGGCTTGGCCGAGATTTGTCAAACTTTTGCCAGTCTTTGTCTGTTACTGTTGCAATTGGCTTTGCCCATCTTGCTGGGAGATGGGTTTAATAGGCTTCAGTCTACTATCATTTAATGGCTACGCCAGAGGCTAATCTTCGCAGCTGTTGGACGGGGAACAATGTGAGCATCTTTGTCCGCGGTCCTATGGGTTTTGCACGTAGAGTGGAAAAGTATTTTCGTGAAGAGATTGCAATGCCAGAACGCCGATCCTTGACCTTGTCTGTAAGCGTCCCACCGGAGCAACTAACATTGACACTGAATACAGTGTGGCCAATGGCATTGACCCGCTTTAACATTCAGGAACAGTATACTGTTCCGTAATTTTAACAGCCACAGTGGGCATTCCAGAATTCTTCAGCGGCCAATCGCGGTACTTTTGAAGGAGGCTAAGCGCTGTCTTCTTGTGCGCCCACCCTTCTGTCCATTCAGCTCTCTTTCGTCCCTTGAAACCCAAGATCCATTTGTGACAGATCCATGGCAAACCCATCAGAGGCAACCTGCTGACGCACTCTGCCTGCCCCATCTGCTGTCGTCAACCTTTGGCAGATCCATCGAACACCATGGATGTTCGAGACCTTGCTCAAGAAGTTGGAACCAGCTGACCCCGCGGTGAAAGTTTTATTCCAGAAAGCTATATAGAGGGGCCCAATTCCCATGTCGAGGACCTGAACTTGATCGTTGTGCCATCACCTTCTTCTGGTTTTTTTTTTTTTTCTTCCAACTACCCACATTCTTTATAAAAGCAGTCTCAGTTACACCAACTGTAACGCCTTTCACTTAGTGACTTCTTCAATCCTTACCAATCGCTTGACGCGAAGTCCATTCTTTCAATAAAATGCAGTTCACAAAGTCCCTTCTGCTGCTGGCAGCCCTCACCACTGGCTCCCTTGCACACCGCGTGCACGGCCACGCAAGACGCCAGTCACCCTCCTCCTCCGCCACTGTGTCTGCTGTTCCCTCCTCCTCCGGCTCTGCCAGCGGTGGATCGTGGACCGCCACCCCTGCCAGCGGATCCTACTCGACTGCCGGATTTGGCTCTTCCACTGCCAACAGCGGCTCTGACATTACCTACCAAGGTAATGTCGGCAACCCCTGGGGTAGCAATATCATTCAGGTGTCGGAGAGCGACGCCTCGAACTACAAGTACGTCGCCGCCATCTCGGGCCAGAATACCGAGCCGTGGACGGTTGTCTTCTGGAACAAGTACGGCCCTGACGGCAAGATGGACGGTTGGTACGGCAACTCCGCCGTAACTTTCACCCTCAACGCTGGCGAGACCAAGTACGTTGCCTTCGACGACGACACAAATGGTGGCTTCGGTGCTGCTCCCGGTAGCCTCCCCACTGACTCCGACGGTGGATACGCCTGCACCTGGGGTGAATTTGATTTCGGTAGCAACGGAAACTCGGGCTGGTCCGGCTTCGATGTCTCCGCTATTATGGCCCAGAACGCTGGTCTCACTGTCCAGGGCATGAAGATGTGCGACGTCCTCGGTGGTACCTGCTCTACTATCACTACCGGTGCCGCATCGGTGGACAATGCTTATACCACGGCCGAGACTGATATTGGTGGTATCGGTGGTAACCTCTCTGGTGACGGCCCGGTCCGTATCGCTGTTACTATCGACTACAGCGGCTAAGCCATGTACTTATGGGATAAAAGTTAGATGCTTGATTAGCTTACATGATGAAACAATTTATGACTTTACCTTATCTTTGTGTCTTGAGTATTGTAGTAATGCATTGTAGTTCCTTTAATCGCGGACTTTGAGGAATCGCCCCTCGGTTTCTGGATGCAGCCGTTATTCACGGCTAGTGCACGAGCCCTATGCCACATGTCAACCTGAGATTTCACCTATAAACTACCCTAAAGAGACGCCTATGGTGTCCGGACATTTTTATGTAGTCGAATGGGATGATTTTTCGTCTGACACTACACATCCGTGACTGAGGCCTTCACCGTACCAACCCCATCCGCTCCTTCTGGCGGCTCCAGCGACGGGGGGGTACTGTGCCTCAGCCTGGTTTAGTATTGGCGGAAACACTTACGGGTCTGTCATCTAACATACTGGTGTAGACTTCTGTGTTGATAGTTGTGGCCCATCCTTTGACGCCTAGTATGAACGGTACCCGGGCTACGCCAACGACTTCAGCGGTATCACCTTCTCTGTCGGCGATACAGCTAAAGTCACTGTCGACATGTCTAGCAAAACGGGTGGAGCTGCCACCATAGAGAATCAGACCACTGGCAAGGCCGTTACACGGACGTTCACCAGCCAAAGCGACAACGCTCTTTGCAAGACTAATGCGGAGTAGCTCATAGAGGACTTCTCCTATTTAGTGTCACTTGTTCCTTTCATTAACTTTGGCACTGTTACTTTCACTGATATTAGCGTCACCAATGATGGTTCCATATTTTGCCCCATCATATCTTTCTTCCTCTCTTTGACTCTCATTTATGTTCTTCTCAGGCTTTGAGCAAAGCCCAGGAATATCGTGAAGAATACGGAGGAATCAACAGAATAAAGCCTGGAAAAGCCTGGACTTTGAGCATTCTGGTACCGAAGAGACTGATACCAGCCTGGATAAACGAGTGGCAGGCAATTGTCAGCATCGGTCAGGCAAAGCTGGAGCTTTTGACAGGCTATGTTTCCTTCTCTAAATACGGCAATCTGACCATCCGTTGCGTCTCAGACCTGGACGCCAACACTATACAGTAAAAAACTTCAAACGTGCACGCATATTATCAATTCGAAGTCGCTAGGGCAAACCACTAGAACAGGTTCCCATCTACAGAACCCTTAGACAATCTATACATTGCTTTCGCCTAGATACAGCTCACATACGGATTGCTATATTATATTGTCCATATTGGGATCTTTCAATAACCACTTCCTCCACTGTTCTGGGTATTACTTGTCGAACCCTCGCCCAGTACTTGGCGCTCGATATCACTACGCTCGTCGTGGCCATTCTGGGTACTACATAGTTGCAAACCTGAAATTAATAAATGAACTTAGAGACGGGCGGCGGTGGATATCCAGACGAATGAGTATCCCAGCGATACAACTTTTAGGAGACGTGGAGGGATTGGTATTTCCAGCAAGCAGGCACCCAAAGAATAAGATCGAGAAACAAGTCAGTGTCAAAGTGGCCACTCTCATCAACCTTAAAAGCAACACTCGACTATTGTTTACCGATACATGTCGGTTTCCGAGATTGAAAGAAAAGAAGTCAAACTCGATATCCGATAAATCAAAGACACTCCCGCCACTTTGGGATAATTCCACGATGTATACTCCCCTCCTAAGCGTGGAAATCTTACCATGTCCTACAGCCGGACCGTTCAGAATCACTGAACGTATTGGTCGACTTGCGTACCGGATAGAATTGCCAAGTAACTGGCGAATGCACAACTTAAGTGTCTGTCGCCCAACTCGAGCCTGCGCCAATTGCCGACCCGTTCGACAGGGAACTGCATAAACCACCTCGTGAGATTGATGATCGTTTCCCTGATGACGATGACCGGTGGGAGGTTGACAAGTTAATAGATCTACGAACCGTTCGAGGTCATACTGAATATCTAGCCCGCTAGGTCGGATACGGACCTGAGGAAAATATCTGGATGCGCCGTGATGCTCTACTAAACGGCTGCAAGGAACTCATAGAGAAATACGAACGAGCAATGAGAAGAATATAGGAACCAACAACTCTCACTTGCATCGATACTCTCACTTACATCTATACTCTTACCTACGTTCCGATTTATCTCACGCCTCAAATTCTTCTTCAATCTATATCTTCACCGTGCATCATCACTTACGTCCACTTATTCATCTTTGCTCTCGTTTTGTTGCCAACTCGGACTGTCCATCCAAGGATGTCGTATGATCACTTAGCCAATATATATAGAAAACTAAGCGCAGCATCAGACTGAGTGACTTGATCAATCGATTGCTCGTGATCAATGGTCTCGATGCTAGTCTCAGAGCCGTTTTCGGAAGGGTCGCTTATCATGATAATGAAGTTAATTTTTTTTTTTTCTTCTTCTCAACTCTATGGCATGTAATCCAGTTTATACGCGCGATGCCAGCTCGGCTTTTCCATTGAACAAATCCATGAGCACTGATAAGTCAATAGATTGCATATGATGGCAAAAGGCTTTCGGAAGGTTACCAATGTAGAAGGAGATGTGCAAAAAGCACAGGATTGGATAACTTGCTTCGAGCCTGCTTATCTCCTGGATAAGTATGGGGCGGGAAAACTAGGTCAACTATGAAAGACATCGGGGGCGACAGATCAGTGCTCCAAAAATCAGTGCAAACCAAATGGGCCACAAGATTCGCGAGTACCGATACTGCAAATTCCCAGCATGGAAACCGCCAGGAGCATCGACCAGCGGCGTCCTTGTCTCTCATCAATGTTTTTGTCAAGTTTTGAGCAAAGTCAGGAATATCGTGAAGGAGATAGGGGCCCAGCAACCTGCTAGCCAATGCTAACCTCTTATGTTCTTTGGCATCTTTCTAGGCCAGTAGCTGTTCGTCCTCGAGGTAATTGTCCATTCGTCGGAAGTCTTCACGAAGACTCCCTTAGATTTCAAGGCGGTTCCAGTTCCAATTGTTTGCGGTACGGTTGACCAGGTGTTGGTGGTAGGGAGTTCGAGTGAATGAAGGGTCTATCGACGGCAGGATATCCTTCATTGAACTAGGTGATTGGGTTTGTGACCAAGGCATGGTATGTAAGACGCTTCAGATCAACGTAGACTTGATCCCAATATGTTTGTGTCAAGTACTTTGAGCTGAAATAAATGCGTGCATTCCTCAAGCATATAAATCCACATATATGTACACATGCAATCATTCAACCATAAAACTGGTATTATATAACAATCATGAAAATCTAAATACTAAAGCAACATCAGCACATGCTCCAACAAAACACCATCTAACCCAGAAACACACCGAACAAATCCAAAAAGCCATACCTCATAAAGACCCATCTATATTCATTCATACATACATACATACACAAGTAAAGAGAGAGTGTGTGTGAGAGAGAGAAAGTAAATCACCAATCAAAACTCCCAGGCATACACCCCCCTCTCCCCTTAAGCCCACCTGCACCCTCCCCATCCTTCCGATTCTCCTCTTTCTTCTTCTCCACAGCACCCTCCCCCCAACGCTCCCGCCAACACGCCAATTCCTCTCTCCACAGATCATTCACGCACGGATCACACGAACTCCCACAGCACTCGCCCAGACCCGGCGGCGGTGGTGGATCATCATGTCCCCGATCCGCAGCGCGGATAAGCTGCTTTGTGCGCGTGCCCGTCAATCTCTTTGCATTTTTGATCCGGGGCACTTCTGCGGGCTTGTAGAGGGGGTCTGGTGTTGGCGTGGGGAGAGAGGATATGGGGGATGTGAAGGAGGCGATTAGGTGGGCGGTGAAACTTGTTTTGGGGGGTTCTTGCTGCTGCGTTGCAGGGTGGGTTGTTGTCGTTGTTGTTGCTGTTGTCATGATGTGAAAGATAGATCTGGGATTGGTTTTGGGGTATTTTTGTGTGCTTTTTTTTTTTTTTTTTTAACTCTTTCTAGGGTGTTTTGGAGGGGTTATAGATGTCTAGATGTCTACTAGATGGAAAGTTGTGCATGCCGAGGATTATCGTGCAGGGAAGAATTATATCCCGCTTTATTTTCGTGGATGCCGAATGTGTAAGGTGTCGGGGGGGAGTTTTGGCATTGCTACAAGGGGATTGCGATGTTCTTTTGTGATGGTGAATATGTCGCTCTACAATTGTTTAACAATTGTCCCACAATGGACCCGTTAATCTTTTCTTTCCCCCACGGAGAAATGGAAGTAGGGTTCAAACAGCGGACTTGGTCGTTGAAGGAATTCCGAGAACGTCACATGAGGACTTCGTCGTCCGATACCGATCACGTGGTCGGGGACTCTGAAAAACCCCCCCCCCCAAAAGGACACGACATCAAAAGGGGGATAAAAATCCAGAATAAAAGCTAATGGAGGTTCTAGATGCCATCACGATTCACCAGTCAAGTAAGCCCCTTACCGCAATTGTCTCTCTCTTTCTCCAAGATACAAACCTCGAAGAAGTGAGAAAGCGATCATCACAGGGATCGAAGAGAAATGACGAGTGGACCTGCGTCAATGGGCAAATACCATGGCCCCCTTGGCGCAGCTCTAGTCCGTCATTAGCTCCTGCGCTTCTACCGAGGATCTTGGAGCTATCACGGATGTGGTCTGAGCTGTCAGGGCCAAAGCATCGTTGAGGGTAACACGAAAAAAAAAATTTTCTTCATGCATGAATGAATGCAATGGTGTGCTGCAGGTGGCTTTTCGTGTGACTTTATTATGACTCTTGGGAGAAAAAAAAAAATTTTTTTCATCGGCACTTGGACCTTTGGTCAACGCCTTTTCCGGTCCGCCTCACTATCTTTTGATGGTTGAGCGGTGACGTTCACGATCCGGATCGAGATCCACAACGGCACGACCAGTTGTTCAACCCTTTGCAATCTCTGAGGCTGATGTTTCAGTGAGGTCAGGGCACGTATTCGCTGGGTGTTGGGCACTGTGTTTTAACCATTTGACTACGCCCTGGCGGAGGCTGTGTGTTTCATACTTATTCTACCTTGTTTTTGAGTTCTTTCTTGGTTTCTTTGTTCTCCTGCCTTTGGTGGTCTTACATTCTTTCGACTGATAAGTTCTTGACGGGTCAAGGGCAATTTCCCCTGCCACCGCCAGTTATGACCAACGTGGCCGGGGAAGCTTCTTTCCCGTTATCCACCAGGAAATAGCATCTGCGAGCGGTGTAGTGTGCTCAATGACCTCTACGGGCTGGAGAGCTCACAAGTAAAGCTTTCTCCAGATTTGTAGCTTCTTAGCTCAAAATAGCTTGTTCGTAGGAAGAAAAAAAGCCACGGGACCGAGTGCTGCTTATGGGAAGGGGACCCAAATTGGGACCCCAATTGCCGCTTTCGTTGACACACGCCCGACGAAAAGAGTCCGGGGTAAACAAGAGATTACACGTGTCTTCGTGGCCAGAAAAAGAGAAAGAGAGAGAAAGCGCGCGCGATATTAATATACAAGGTCGAAATTAAAAGATAGGTTGACGAGTTTATCAAAAGTGGCTCGAAAGTTGGGAGTTTTAGTGGCCATTTTAAACTCTATATGTACAGTGTATTGGGATGATAGATGATGCCGGGAAAGTAGTACATGATATATAAAAAGACCACCACAAGATTACCTCCTAACTGAACGGCGAAATCCGATAAAAAGACTCTCCATTCAATTTGACCAGTTTGAGAAATCAAGGAAATTGCATTTGCCTCATATTGCCCTTTCGGATAATTGGTTGTTGTTCAATAATCCGTTTAAACGTACTTGCACATCATAGCAACCATCAGGTCGAACAGACCAATGGCTTCGACGAAGGCGAAACCCAGAATGGCGTAGGAGAAGAGCTGACCACGGAGGGCAGGGTTGCGGGAGACACCGAGGAGGAGGGCACCGAAGACGAGACCGATACCGATACCGGCACCACCAAGACCAATGGCGGCGGAACCCATACCCATGTTCTGGGAGACCTGGACCATGGCGTCGGCGATCTCAGAGGAGTACTGGCGGCGGGCCTGGACGTTGGCGAAGACCTGGCGAGCGTTGGCCTGGATCATGGAAGGCTGCTGGCGCTTGACGGTCTGGAAGGGGGTCATGGGGATAGCGGTCTTGCGCTGGGTGGTGAAGGTACGCTTGGGGGCAGCGAAACGGGCGGCCGGGCGGGCAACCTTGGTGGTTGCGGCCATCTGGGAGGCCAGGCGAGAGGCAAAGACACGAGAGGAGGCCATTGTGATGGTTTATTTGGGGATGATTTTCTCTGGTGAGAGGAGATGAAAAAGAATGGGAGGTAGACAGAACTTTTTTTGGAGGGAAAAAAGCTGGAGAAGTTGACAACAGAGGCCTTCCGGGACATAAATACTCTCCCGCTAAATTTTCGCTCGTTTTCCCACACACCCGGCCCCCCGTCGGTCTTAGTGCGCTGTTGGGAAAAAGCCCTACTGCGTGTATATCCCTATCTTTCCACGCACATCCTTTGTTGCCCAGGGATGCCTCTGACTGATCGGGTTCGTTCGGGAGGGGGCCAAGGGAGGATTCCTGTGGTACAGCCAATAATTCCTGCTGCTGGGTGGCCGCGCAGGTCCGCGGATGGAGCTGGATGTGCTGTCGACGAGTCTCCGTTGCGATTTTGCGAAACTGGCATCCACTGGAAGCTCCATTCGGACCCATTGGTATCTACGCCAATTGCCATGGCAATTCCTTTAATTGACCCATTTTTTTGTGAACTTGCTTCCTGTCCTACTGAATACAAATACCCTACGGTATATCCTATTTCCCATCCCCCAAGTAACTGTTGCCAGGCTACGAAAAAAAAAAAAAAAAAAAAAGCTATGGTATGCTTCACCAGGAGAGAAGGCCAAAAAAAAAAAAAAGGGCGCGGTCAACCGAAGAGAATTTTCACCTGCAGTGGATCCCTGCATTCACGGATGGGTCCGATGGACCGGTTCGGATCCACATGGCGCACCTCAATCAACCAATGGTAACCTGCATCCGGTAAGCTAATTTCTGGTCTTTTTCTCGGACTCGAATCAACCGGGCCGAATCGGGCATGCGGCTCCACCTGCACCGGAGTTTCCCAAACATGAATAATAATAAAAATAAAATCATCACAAGTGAGGCGTCTCAAGAAAAAAGCAAGATTTTTTGGTGGTGTTGGTTGACCCGAGGGAAGACAGAACCAATGACTTCGGGTGGAAGGAAATTCGTCTCTGCAATGGCTGTCAATTGTCACCCGGGTAGCAAAGTGGTTATAAAAGCAGGTCACTGGCAACCCCAGCTCTTTTTTCCACGGAGAGCAAATTGAACTTGCCGAACTAGGGAAACACTAGTCCGGATCTCTGAGAATAAGATGAGCTCACCGACTCTCCTATTGGGATCCATTCTCCCGTTTTAGGAGAACCCGCCACGCCTTGGTCGGTTCAGGGCCACAAGACATGGAATGCTGACGCTGGCTCCTTTTGCAACCACGCACCCCCAGCCAAACCCCCCATTCTGCTCAGGATGGAGGACTGAGGCCGTCGCATTCCCTTCCGAGGGTAGCGTCCAGGTTATATAGGTTTGGATACATCAGAGAAATCCTTTCTTGGGAGAACCCGACTTGGACGAAAATGACCCGTCGGTGGACGACCCGAAATTATTGTGCTCGTCATCACTAATAAAAATTTTAATCTCACCCTTGGTGCTGCAAAAGCCAAGAATGGAAGACCAAATAAAATAATAAATAAAACCGGGAAAAGCGACAAGTCTCATATAACTGCATCCCCTTGGTCCCCATTATTTCTTTTTTATTTTTTTTTCTCTGTTCCCTATCTCGATAATTGATCTGTCCTCATCCCCTATAAATACTTTTCTCCCAGAAACCCTAGATTCCATCCCTTTTCTCTCATAGTTACTTGAGTACGGAGAGAAAAAAAAAAAGTTGTATTGTTGACGATCTCAGCCTCCCTGCAACATTACGTAACCCTGTATTAATCTATCTGGCATGCCGGATGTAGCAGGGATCGCAGCAGATGAACAGGTTCGAAGCCTGCAGTCGAATCTTGGTCGAACTTAAGCTTGCGCTTAACGTTTGCAGGGAGGTTCCTGTGACTCGCCGAAATTTCCCGCGTTTCCTCCGATTTTCGGTCTTGCTCAGCTTACACTTGAGATTGCGATGACACATGACACATGACACATAGGACGTAGCTGTACGGAATACTTTTACGTGGATTTAATTATCTGGTGGTCATCAAGAGCTTGTGAAAAGAGAGCTGGTTACCTAAGGCTTTCTTTATAGTGTAATGGGGAGTGGGAGACATCTTTCGAGGTGATATCAGGGCCCTACAATTCCCGTGATAGCCGCAGTTGCCGTTGTCGCTGCCTGAGGCACAATGGCATTGTGTTTGTTTTGCCTCGGTTAGATAGCTTGGGAACGACGAGGGTATCACATCTACATTCATATCCAGTGGTCGGGTAGGTAGAGGAATATGAGGCAATTAAAGTAGGACTGTCGAGATAAGCGTAATATGTAGTAGTCGTCGCTGTATGGGGTACAATTGAAGCGATAATAGCTCCTCGTGGTGGTCGTAGATATGATGTCCAGAGCTCTGGAGGTGGAATATATATCTTTGACCTAGACTAGGGCAGATCCTTGGACAATACAAGATGCCATACGTCAGACTCGCTGCCTTCCATTGAGCATGTCTTATGGAACAGTAATTACATATTCTTCATCACATTCTTTACAATTATCTAAAACAAATGAAAAGAACTGGGTCCTTCACTATGAACAAGTGCAAGCTTTTACCCCGGAGTAAGTTTCCACTTTTGCGATGCTATCTTTAGCGCTACTTAAATTACCCGTTTCGATTTACCCACCATTCCCGTTCCATCCGCTACACTAGGCCCGATTGGGATCCGACACGCTTTATAGTCAACAACAATGTCCATGAGGATTATTCTGGGAGAAACTGTTGAAGTATTCCTCAATGGCTTGTATACTGTCACTATACTGTATCACGGATTCAGCATGTCATATGCTCAATATCGTCTATCCAGTGCAATCTTGATTGGACCTTTCATCTCACTCTAACGCGTATCAACTTCCCCATTCCACCAAAACACCACTCAACCCCAACCCCCTAACCGGCTCATAAACTGCGCAATATCGCCTAAAGATATTGCTGGGCGATGTGCCACTCGACCAAAATACCTTAGGCATTTGGTCGTGCCTCGAACCGACCTATCTGGACAACTGATATTAACCCGGGACAAACCTTCTAAGCCCTAAAATCACAGCCGTATCTAGTGGGGATTAGACTTTTGTGGATGTTTTCTAGTTTGCATAAGAGTTGTTGGGAGGGTGGATAGTATAATCGTTGTTGTTTACTGATTTCGGGATCGTTGTAAGAAATTATCTTCTTGTGTTTAGGTCGCATCCATGATTTTACGGGTGTAGCTTGGGGATGGATGCTGTTTTTAATATGGGGTTTCGGCGGTCGTTACTTGGCGATGGGTGTATAGCTTGCGTTGCGTTGTTATTATCAAGTCAATTTGTAGTATAATTGTCCAATGGTCTTCTGGGATGGAATACGGAGTGCATCGACATGGGGATATGATCAATGGGCAAAGTAATTAAATACCATAGCTCTAGACTCATGCAGAGTTCACCTCACTCCCTCTCGGTGCTTTCGTTCCATACTCCAATGCCACCCGCACGTCCTTCCCCGGTTCCAAATGAATCACCCACTTGACCTCTCCCTTCTTCTCCATAATGGCCTTTCCACTTCCATGGCTCGCTTCCATATCCAGCTTCACTTCATTACCCTTCTCCTGCAACCCCTTTGGCTCCAGAATCTCTACCTGGAGCTCCTTATCCTCGCTCACCGGCACCTGATCCAGTACAGTGATATCCACCGCCACACCCTTGGTATTCTTGATCCAGCACGTACGCCGGAACACAGCCCCGGCATGTCCGGTGAAGAACCCGGTATTCAAGCGTCGCACGGTCGGCTTACCATAGGTCACCAGGATCGAGGGATCAACGCCCAAGGAGACGTTAAAGAAATCATCTGGCGCACAGTTGGGGATCGTGGCCGTGCCGAGGAACGTTCCATCAACAGTCAAGCCCACTCTTCCATGAATAATTCTCAAAGAAGAGGTGTTCTTGACCCGTGCGCGGAAAAATGCTTCTGCGCTGTGTTTCGGGACAATGATGTGGGAGAGTGTGACTGACTTGAGGTCCAGATCTGCTAGGTTATGGCGTCTGTTGTTGGTCGAGGGGATAAGCGTCCGTTGGCCCGGAAGGTCGTAGGTCGTTGTGAGGCCGTAGTCTTGTTTGACCGATTCTTGGTATTCGAGAGATGCTGAGGCTATGGTGTCGATGTCGATGTCGTGCTCGTCTTCTCTATCTTCAGCATTATCGTCCTCATGCTCGTGTGTGTACTCAATGGAGCTTGGCTCTTGGGAAGGAGGGTTCCGGGCTGCCTCTGCTGCTGGAGCTCGCCCAAATAAGGCTCTCCCAGATCCAAAAAGACCTCCAGATGACACCTGTTGGGCTTGACTCGATGCTTCCCCTGTATTGCTCGCTTGGTTTGATGCAAATGGAGCTCGAGCCATTCCCCCGAAAAGGCCTCCGGATGAGCTAGGTTGGTTCTGATTTGACGCCGACCCAAAAGCACTAGCTGTAGATGGTTGTGCCTTACCAAAGAGAGGCCCAGACGAGTTCTGATTCTGGGCCGGTGCACCTCCAAAAACACTCAATGAAGGTTTGTTCTGTCCGAGTGCACCAAATCCAGAACTCTGCTGAGGTTGCGCCGCCGTATTTCCAAATAGGCCGGACCCAGACGGTCGAGCTCCAAATAGCCCACTCGTTTTCACTGCCTGTACCTTCCAATCAGCCATTAACTTATTCCACAAAATTCGTACGCTATAGGGGATCAGTCACTTACAGGCCGATTCGCATAACCACCCGACAAAATCTTCTCCCAAGAGGGATGCTCCTGATTCTCCTGAATCGCATCCAACAACTTGATATGCCAAGGATGCAACGACGGAATCCGCCGTTCCAGCCCAGAAAACGAAGCCTGCGACGTCGACAGCGTCACCCGCGCATCCGTCCACGTTTCAGAGCTCGAGTTCCGAAACTCAGCCCGATAAGCCATCCTCGCCGACGACGAAGGCGTGTTAATCCGCAGCTCATAACGCGAGCTCCAGCTCACCCCGGGCACAACATAACTCAGACGCAACTTGACATCAACCGGCTCCGCCGCTGACGACGACGACGACGTCTCACCACCCGATATCCGTTCAACAACAGAACCGCGTCGACTAGAACCCGGCGTGAACCCGGCCTGACTATCCAAATCCACAACCACCTGTCCAACCCGCACCGTCCAGAACTTGAGCCTCTCCTCCCTCTCCATCTTCCGCTGTTCAGTCTTCCTCGCCCGCTCTATAGCCTTCTTCTCCTTCTCCCTCCGTTCTTTCTTCGACGCAACCTCCCTAGCCCTCTTCAACCGCCCCTCAACCTGCTCCCGTCTCTTCACCAACCTCGCAAGCTCCCTCTCCCCCTCCCCAACCGCCACCCCAGCCTCATGATACCTCTGAAGCCCATCCACGCGCTGCCGCGTGTAAAGTCCCAAAAACCCCTCCAACGTCTTCGCGTTCACACTCCCAGGGTCCATCTTCTTCGCATAGTCATCCAGAATCTCCCGAACGGAAATCGCCATCGCCTGTTCATGTTGCGCCTGCGCAAGTCGCACCTCGACTTCCGCTATTGACTTCGAAATAGCCTTTAACTCGGGATCATCATCGCCAAGGTTATCGGAGTCTGAATCTGCTGCCTCGGGTTCTATAGAGTCTGAGTCTGAGTCTGATTCGACCGGATAGACATCCTCGAATTTGTCCCGTCGGGGCACTATCGATGTTTGAATGTCGGTTATTGTGGCGGTGCCTGTTCCTTCGATTAGGATCGAGTCGGTGTCGACTCGCGGGTCGAGACCGGTGATTGTGAGTGTGTGTTGGCCTGTCTTCTTTTATTTCTTGTTAATTTTGTGTTTTTTTTTAATTGATTTATGCGTTTGGGGTTTTGTTGTATGGATGGGGTTAGATGGAGGGTGGTTATGGCTATAGTTATGGTTATGTATGTTATGTACCGTACCTGAATTGAAGTGTGGATTTCGCGAACGATGGTCGCTCGTTGGGGGGTGATTATTACGGATTTGGTGGGGAGGTCAGTGATTTGAATTGTGGAGGTAGAGATTTCGGCCATTTTTCTTTCTATTTCTAAACCTTTTGTTTTTATTGACTTGGGATAGAAGTTTGTGTTGGGTTTTTAAGTAAGGGATCTGGGTAAATACGAGCTTTAAGTAGATTTCTGGGAAGATCTCAGCCTCGTGGCTTAGTTTGTTGTTTTTGGCGCTAGTTAATTGGATCGGCGGGGGATGGTTCTTTTACGCCCAATGAGTGAATGGTGGTTGGGAAACTAATTTATAAATATCAGAGATAGGTCAATTGCTATGTATGCTATGTATGCTATGTGTCGCATGCCAGTCGCTCGAAAATGAATGAATGAATGAATTGATATGGAAGCAGAGTCCCCTGCGACATCTATCTACTCCTCCAAATCCCTCTTAGTCCATTGGTGCATCAACACTTGTGTTTGTCGGTTCTTTTCCTGGTAGAGCTTCCGGGCCAGTTGCTTGTACAGGAACACGCCTCCGCCGTTATAACTGATCCCGTGGTCCGAGTCCGTGAACCATTGGGATTGGAGCTTCTCGGGAGAAACGCCATCGCCCATCAGGAGATCCACCAGTGCAGCCGAGTTCTGGAAGTGGACGTTGTCGTCACCTGTTCCGTGTTGGATCAAGAATCCACCCTCGACGTTCTTGAACCCGTCAGTCTTGCGGACGGCACTGGTCTTGTAGCCCTCCTCGTTGGTCGAGAGGGTCTTCATATAGCGTTCCGTGTACATTGAGTCGTAGAAGCGCCAGTCAGAGACCGGGGCGGTGATGACTCCCAATGTGAAAGCATCGCTGTCCTTCTCCAGGACCTTGCTGGTCAAGTAGCCTCCGAAACTCCAGCCCCAAATGCCGATGTGGTCCGCGTCAATCCAGGGGATGTTGGCCGCCTGCTGCGCCGCGTAGATCTGGTCATCGGCTTCGAGGAGGCCGAGTTGGCGGGTGACGGCGCAGCGGAACTGGCGTCCTTTGAAGCCTGTGCCGCGGTTGTCGACGGTCCAGGTTACGTATTCGAGCTCGCTGTCGGAGGAAACGTAGGCCTTGAAGTTCAGGGCTTGCCATCTCTTGGTCACTTCTTGGGCGCCTGGGCCGCCGTATGGGGTGAAGAGAATGGGGTACTTCTTCTCCGGGGAGAACCCGGGGGGTAAGCGCTGCATGACGTTGAGGGTTTCTCCGGAGGGGAGGGGGAGTTCGAAGTAGGTGATATTGGGCAAGGCGTAGTCCTTGATTTGCTCGAGGACTTTTGCGTTGTCAGTGATTGTGCGGAGTGGCTTGGTACTGTTGGTCGTGTAGAGTTCCTGGTAGGGTACGTCTGGGCCTCCGTATGTGAGGATGTAGTAGCCCGAGTTCGCGGAGAAGGAAGCAGACCAGTATGCGGCAACGGTGTCGTCGACTAGCGGGGTGACCTCAAACGTGGAATAGGAGACGGAATAGAGATGGCGCTCGGTACTGTGGTGTTGAGTCGACAGGTAGTACACCAACTGGCGTTCCTGGTCAATGCTCAAAATAGACGTGACCTCCCATTCGCCTTTGGTTAATGGGATAGGCTTGCCGCCCGAAACGGGGAAGAGATACAGGTGCGCCCATCCCGAATGGTCGGAGATGTCAATGTAGTAGGTCTCCTTGTCGGACGGCTTGATAGGGCCGATATACTTCATCGAGAGCAGGTTATCGAGCCATCCATCGGTTCCATCTCGGTCGCTGATGACGGTAGCCTTGTTCGAGGCAGTCTCGACCGCGACGACCTTCTGCTGGTCCTGAACTCGGTTGAACGCCTTGGCAGCAACGGTGGTATGAGTATCAGTGAGCCAAGCAACCTCGCCAATGATCAAGTCAGTTGACTCAAACGCATCGATGGGCGCCTGCTTCACCTCCTTGCTAGCGATGTTGAGAAGACTCAACGTCACGGTCGGATTCGTCTGCGACACCTTGGGATACCTTATCTTCAGCTCCCACGGATACGCCGGAGCGATCGCTTGGTTATCCATATAATACTGAACAGTATAGGTCGGAACCCCAGTCTCATTGAAGCTCAAATATGCCAGATATTCACCATCTGGCGAGAACCACAAAGCGTAGCGATCGGCCAGGATCTCCTCTTCATAGATCCAGTCCGGCACGCCGTGGAACATGTCGGGGCCACCATCATCAGTAATCCGAGTAACAGTGCCGTTATCCCAGACATACAGGTCATTCTCACGAACGAACGCGATGGTATTGCCTGCCGGGCTCCATTGTGCATATTGAATATCACCTTCCTGATCGGGCATCAGGGGCACGGACTTGAGTGACTCCACATCCTGGACGTAATAATCGGCAAAGAACGAATGCCGATACTGCTTGGTGTGGTTGGACGCCCACAGCACCGATGACAAGTCCGGATGGATCCAGTAGTCGAACGCTTCCTTCCCTGTCGGAATCTTGTCCGCAGGGATGAGCGTGCGCGACTCGTTGGTGACGATGTTCTCGATGGTGAGGCTACCGTCTTCCGCCGCATACACGTAGGACCCATCCTCTGCGCCCGAGAGCCATTGCACCGACCGTGAGGTCGGCGTAATTGCTTGCTTGATCACGGTCTCATTGAAGGTGAGACGCTTGCTGCCTTCTCCTGTGGGCGCGTGTGGCTTCCGAGGCACATCCAGGGCCTGGGCCACGCCGACCAGGAGCAGCAGAAGCTTGGAGTACTGGATTATGAAGGGTTAATTATGATCGATTCAAATCATTTGAATTTATTTAACAAATGATAATTTATCATAGGAATTCCTAACGTACCTTCATGGTTGGAAAAAAATCCCGAGTTCAGCTTGAATCAAGGGATGGCTGGAGGCTCTCGTTCAATTAAATAGCCGCATAAATTGATTGGACTTGTTTGTTTCCCCGCAGAAATGGCGTCTTATCAGTCATCACGTCCACGTCCTGCATTAGCTCCATCATCACCACCACCAACACCAACTTTTCCTACGCTGCCAAGATCCTCATCTAAAAAAAACCGCTGATAGCCGTTGGACAACCTACAGGTTCATTGGTGGCAAAGTTTCTAGCGGTGTAACCCAAGACTCGTACATAATTTAAAGAGGATTCTAGGCTGCCCCAGATAAAACTTGTCCATTGCAACATTAAACCTGCAGATGATGCTATTGGGAGGGAGTTATTCCGTGTCTAACCATTCGAAGCTGGACTACTACTACTACTACTACTACTACTCCTATAGGTTGTGACAGGCGAAAAATATCCAAGGCAGGTGAATAAACAGTATAATTCGAAAACATTCGTATATACAGGATCATCGCTAGCTTCAATCGCAGGAACAAGGACACCGCGACAAAGTAACATACTCCTTTGTTGCTATTTACCAATGGCCTCCAAGGATGAGTGTTGGGTAACCTCATGTTTATGTGGTAAAGCCCTTGCCCTTGCCCTTGCCCTTGCCTTTTGTCCTCGTCCTAGCCATCACGCTTTCCATTGTGCCCATCGTGATCGTCGGAGTGCTCGTAACGAGCCCTACGACCACCTACAAAGCCCTGGACCATATGAAGATCACTGTCGTGACGACGAAGACCGAGAAAACCCCTGCCACCAGTGAGATTGCCAGTAGGATTGACGGGGGGAAAGTTCTTCAGTACGGACTTCAGCAGGGTCGTTGGGGAATGTTTCGTCTATCAAGTCTCTGCGACGCCCAAGGGCCACCACTCTAGGAACCATCAGCAGCAGCACCACCACCACCAGCAGCAGCACCACCATCACCACCAGTAGCACCGGCACCAGCAGCACCATCAGCACCATTAATGCTCTCCCAAAGCTTATCAGCATCAAAGCCGGCAGGGAGGCCCTCAAGAAGATTTGGACCTGGTTGTTCCTCGTAGTAGCGGTCGTCGCCGGGACGAGGCTTGTCTCCAACTGGGTCGACAAGGTAATCAACTAGTCCGCTTGCTGCTTTACCTGCGCCGTCAACTGCTTCGTCGACTGCTCCACCTAATCCGCACGCGAGCCCGCCAATTGATCCGTCGGTTGTTTCGCCAGAAGAAGGGGGTTCGGCGCGGGCGACATTTCCGCCAGCTGCGCCTACTAATCATCAGTCAAGGCTTCTTTCACTTTCGCTCGGGATACGTACCATTGTGAACCGGAGCAGCAGCGACGAGTCCGGCAACGCTCAGAAGAGAGATGATGGTAGCGGCCTTCATTTTGACAGTGGATAGAAAGGGATGGGGGAGGAAATTAGATGCTGGGAGTTTTGATAAGATTATGATTTCAAGGGATAAGACCGCCGGTCGGCGAGGCCTACTTTATACTCTTCTCTCTGCCCAAAGAATCCAGGTCTACTTATGCTGCATCACATCCAAGTGCCTATCAATCGATCTCCCTCAGTTACGTACCAAACATTCAGCTTGGCTTCAATGATGATCACCAAATAGACGGATAATCATGTCCAAAAACGAGGTAATTGTCCCCCATCTATCTATCTTGGAAAAGGTCTTCCTGTTCATCTTATTGGTAGAAGCCGGTATATTACGATTACTGTGTAGCAGCTATTGAAAATAGAACCGAAGTACTGTGGGGCTGCGTGAAGATCGCAATGCCGTAGAACATTTTAGTATTTACCCGAGGGACCTGACAACTATTGAACTTACTTACGGCGCATGGATCCACGTTTAGAGCGGGCAATTAATCTACCAGACCCTATCCTCTTGCGCTAGGAAATATACTCCGTACTCCGGAGTAGTTCCGATAACATGATCGGCCAATTCTTATGAACAGATACTAAATCTATTTTGAACAAGTGCAGCCGGGGGGGGGGGGCACTCCATGTGTTCTCTTACCCCCCTGAATTTAACGCAAGCGATGGGCTGATCGTCCAGCACTGCCGTGGGTGATTGCATTTCCCCATCGACAAATGACCACGTCGACGCTGAGTATAGATTCCCAGTTAGGCTGATTTTAGGGCTTGCCACCGGTACTTGCCGCTTGCGCACCAGGAGATTTGTGGGGATGGTGTTGCAGGCGAGGGTTTATTTAACCTTTAGATCGCGCAACTACCGACCACTTGGGCCCCGGCAGATTCACATATTGTCAATCTTTATATCTCAGGGTAGTAGATGGTTCATGGACGCGTTGATCATTGTATCTACCCTAGCATATGCCATATGCGGATATACACATGGAGAAGCAAAGACAAAAAAAGATACTTACAACATCAAACTCCATATATACAGCCCCACCCCCCTTCTAGAAAAATCATCAACAAAAACCCTCACCATACCTAAACGTCACCAGACTGAGGAAAAGTCAAACACATTAAACACCTCTAACTACCTCCGCAAGGGCTTTCTCAAAAAGTCCGCCCAGATGATTGCATCCTCCCCTTCCAACAAGGGCTCATGATATCTCGGCTCTGACTTCCAGTACACATATCCTTGTCTCTCATACCACTCGACCGCACAAACAGCAGGCCGGACTCGGTCCAGCATGTCCCAAAAATGACTCTGCTCGTAGAAATACCGCCTACTAATGGCGTTCAGCGTGAGATATTTGCACTCCGGACTACCATACGGTTCTTCGCTCGCCATCGCTTCGACGATCTCCATTGCTTTGCGACCGAGTCCACCCCGGTGTGCGGGGTCGATGAAGAAGGTCTGAATGGTGAGATTTGAGCGATCGGCTGTGGCGAGTTCAGGGTCGGGGGGATTGGCGTAGGAGTCTAGAGAGATGTGGCCGGCGCGGATGCTGCGAGGCCCATCGGCATCAGTAGATTGTGAGGGAACGGTGATCCAGAAGAAGGATTTGAGGTTCGCGTCTTGTTTGTCTCGCCAGGCGATGAGGTTGGCGTCTTCGTAGTCCCAGCCGCATTTTCGGCGCTGTTGCTTTAGTTCGGCGAATTCGGCAGGGTTGTGGAGGTTGATTGGGATGAGGGTGCATGGTTCCTCTGGGGTGGATGTGATGATGGTTGTAGTGGTTGTGGTCATGATGAGATTTATAGGATTTGTATGGCTGAGAATTGATATCCAGTGAATTGTACACCAGTGTCAGTATAAGTAGATGAAAAGAGAAGGGTATCTAGGAGTTATTGAGGGGTTTTAGCTATGTGTCAATTAATCATTTTGAGTCATCTTGAATAATACATCCTCCACTGTCCAATGGGAATGCTTCCTGGCGATAAGGTTTTATCTTATCGCCGCTCGCGTGGCTCTTTCGGAGTCTTATATCCGAGGTTATAACTACTCTGAAGTATGTACTATGTGAAAAATTCACATGTTTAATGGTTCTTACTCTGATCGCTAGTCCCGCAGTTGATCCGGTAGTAGTAAGTGTCTGGTCCTACAGTCACTAATGCAACTCCGGAGCTAAGCTGGTTTAGTACCATTGAGAATGACTGCATGTGGTATACGGCTATGGAGGATAAGTTTTGGCTCAGACAGACTTGCATGATCCTGATGATTTCGCTGCAAGAGCGAATGTAGAGTATTGTAATGCTAATCTGGAAGAGTCCGTAGATCAAGTAAAGAGACGAGCGCAAATCAAAATCTTGGTTTGAAGCCATGATTGCCAGAAAACTCTTGGAATTTAGGGTAAACTATGATAGAAACCGTAGGGTTAGACCTGAGGTAACTACATAATATCGACTATCTTATACCGTACCCCCTTGTGTTCCGGCATTTGGGAGCTCTGCTGGCTCCGACATGGGGGGGGGGGCGGGGGTTATTAATTTTAAGCCCGATCAGAAGATCGACTCTCCATTTCACAGGTAGTATATGAATGCACAGAGCATGGTTGTAGACAAAGAACCCCACTTACAAATGATGTTCAGGTGTTACTGCTGTGGCTAAGCACAGGGTTCAGTACAATAGAACCCGATCTAGGATTGGTGCGTCAACACCGCTACTAATTGTATGTGCACATCATGGCCTTGTATTATACCCCGAACAGCATCCATTATAAATTCCCCTCAATAGAAAGATACCAGGGAGTATATTAAGCTAGAGTACCCCATACAACTCTTCGCACAAGCCCCAGGAAGTATTGAAGCTTATCCTTAGAAGCACTAGAGACAATTATAGCACTAGAACTTCTGTATCTCTCAAAAATGGCAAATTACACGAAGCCCGCCGCCAGATCTACATAAGATACGGCCACAGAGCCCTTTTCTGTAGTGAAAATGTGCCCGGATGACCTCTCCTCAACCAGGGCTGGGGTTTGTACAAGGCACAGCTGTAGCAGCTGTGGGTGGGCTTCATAGACAGCTTGTGTTTTGCGAAGATCGCCATACGCATAACCCAAGGCGTGGCTAACCATCCAATGCACCAGCCGTAGATGGGTGGCAGCGATCGTAGGATCCAATGTATCCGGCGAAAGGAAAATTAGGCGAAGCCGACGCCAGTAGAAACTATCCTCTTGGCTCAATACTTGCAGGGCGGATACCTGGTGTTCGCTGCATCTTGTAGCAACTATAATCCGGCGATATTCTCGTTCTCGCCAAGAGCGGAAATGATGGCGTCCGCCCGTGACAAGCATTGCCTCCAGAGTTCAACGTCCGTGATGGATCCTTGAGAGACTTTCTCACCCGCGTAAGATTCTATGCCTTAGAAAAGCGACAAACGTTTTGCTCGGGACTGGACATAGACATGCAGAACCCAGTCGTGCTAGTTCTCTATAAGAAGATTCTGGAGTATACCTCGTCCGGTGCGATCGGTAGCGCCTAACAGGCATATTCAATCTGGCTTGATTTGAGCCGTATTAGTGCAACCTGACCATGCGAGGATGGAGATTGGAACAGAGAGACATTGGAGATTGCTAATAAATCAATCTTCGCTGTCATAGATCGGATAGCGATTCAGCCGGATGACTGTACAGTATACCCTGCCCCTGGTGCATACTAGACAACTCGGCTGCCGAACGGGGACGTGGGAACCCAATAGGTATCCGTTGGCCGTCCAATAGGAATCAGTAGCCTACGTGTCTATCTGATTCTGCACGGAGGATCAAGGCGTTAGCTGATTATAAATTGATGCTGCATTAGTAGTAGAAGTAGGAAATGAAGAATCAGTTTCGTGCCTCAATAGTATTTACTACTTGCCTTAACTTTTCCTGCTACGTATCCTTGCCTAGTTGACAGGCCTTCTACCCTGAATAGTAGAAGCTCTGACACCGGCTCTATAATACTTCACCGACTCGGATATCGCTGCTAAAACATGCCGACCCGACATGGCTGGCACAGTTCACTTAGCTACCCCAGGAAGTGGTTGACAAGCGGTTGTCACTAAGAGTTCGAAATTGCCCCCTTAAGTCTCATTCTAATTAACATCGTGAACGCGCAAAACCCGTTTAGCGTTCCAAAAGCCGACAAAAGCCGAGGTAGACCCACCAAGGATCTGGGCTTGCCGAATCAAGCCAAAATTGCGTAAGGTCTGCGGCGGATGTTCCCTGGAACGCTCGGAGATCAACAAACGTTCCTGATGAAGGTTAGCTGGTGCGTAGCAATGTCGTCATGGATCATTGAGAAGTTAAAACTGAGAACCTTGAATGGAATCATATGATTAGTCACTGTTAGTCACTGTCCAACATACTGGAAGCTATAAAGTCGTTCCCAGCCCCTTCCGGAACAACTCCATTTCAATTTGAAGTCTATTCACCCACAAACTAACATCATGGGCACATATCCAACTGCATTTTGCGCCGCCCAAGTGGTGGGCTTGACTGGCGCCGCCTGGCTTTCTGGTAAGGTCTCCCACGCACCCTCAAATCGAATTCAGTGAATAATCATTCTAATAACTGTCAAAGGCAAAATCCTCTCATTGAGCACAATTACCGTGCCCGCACTTATACAATCGACGCGAGAAGATAAATTACCGCTCGATGCCGCTGTCAAATTATGGCGCAACCTGTATAACAAAGGCAAAAGCCAAGCACCTCCCATCGCCGCTGCCACCTCCGCAGCGTTTCTTTATTGTGCCTGGGCCGTTCGCGCTGGCACGACGCTAGCCCCATTGACCCCGACTCACAGCTCCTCTTTGTATTGTGTTGCAGCGGCCTTGACGTTGGGTATCGTACCCTACACCCTTGGCATGATGCTGGGTACCAACAACAAGTTGATGGACCTAGCCAACTCGGGTCGGGTGGTAGACGAGAAGTCGAGCGTGGAAGTCGAGTCGTTGTTGTCCCGGTGGTTGAAGCTCAATGCCGGTCGGGGATTGTTACCGTTGGTGGGAGGCCTTGTTGCTCTTACTGCAGCTATTCCTTGGCCACTGGAGATGATTTAATTTCGGGCCTTTATTTTGTCTTTGTGCTTCTTGGGGAAATATGCGCTCGTGCTGCACGAAAGCGAAATCGATGTCGGTGGGAATCTTGGCGTTGGTTGCATCCTTTTTTGTTTCATTAGATCAATTGATGATCAATTCAAATCAACGATCAGTTCAATGCTTACCTATCTTTCACTCTTCTTTCCCAGGAAGTATTGAGATGATATTGCACATACTAGAGAGTTAACCTTGCGCAGAGAGCACATGATCTTTTAGTACAGCTGAATCTCTGCACCAAGCGCTTCAGGTACCGATTCGGACTGAAGCACCGTCGCTCTCGAAGAATGTCTATCTTTTACCAAAGCCGGAAGCTGATGTGCAACAAGTGAGTCATGTGGAATGGGTTACACGGAGCAAACAGTGCAAATCGCATAGGATTTAAACGCGGCTGACAACGCCCATCGACTAAGCCCTGCGATAATTGTGTCGATCTTCCTGTCAGTAAGGAAACTAAGGAAGTAATCTACATTGCTGCGCCTTAACTCCAATCTGACGACGCTACTGGCCTTTCAGCGACCTGCTAGAATACGGTGATCCGAAGACGGTTGTAAACAAGGGCAATTGGCTCGACCAGGAGTAAACACTCTACCTCAATGGTGACCCTCACCCCAGACATCAATCAATATTCAATGTTCACCAGTGGAGGGGGGTTACGTTTTGAAATTTAAATACTAACTTATACAGCGGCCTTTATTCCGCATCTGGACTCAACCGAAGACGTTGAGCACACCCAGAACATACCTCCCATCAATACTTCACTGCCCCAACGCGTATTCAAAAGGCAGAATGGCCTCAACAGGCACTCAGCTAAGCCTCAACCCTCGTCATCACGTAGTCAAAATTGAAGGCGCCCGCGAAGACAGCGAAAGCCATGGCGAAGATCTCATCGCCCAGCTGAAGGCCATTCCCTCCGATGTAACAGCGCTCCGGATCGAAGAGGAAACCCCCTCAAACAAGGAATGGGCCATTCTCGGCTCACATTTCACCAACATCCAGTCCTTGGAATTAGACAGCGGATATAACGAGGATCTCAATGACAAAGAATTGCCTCTGCATTGGCCCCTCAAGCGGTGCAAACTCCTCAATGCCTGCGGGGAAGTCACTCGAACTCCGCACATACGGCAAGGCCGCGTGAGCCATCTCATCCTGTTGCTTACCTCCGGTATCCGCTTCGAAGGACCCACGTCGAGCGAGTTGAGCAAAGCACATTCCCAGGCGATTGCCCGGGGTGAAGCGAAAGCCGATTACATCACTGTGGAAGAAGGCACTCCTGAGGAAAGACAGATCCAAATCACAAGGATCCCCGAGCTGGCCGGTAAATGGATGAATAACAAATACGAGGGCAAGAACGGGCACCAGTTAGAAGAAGAGAACCGCCCACCGCCGATGATCAATCTACACACGCTAGAAATTCTAGAAAATGATGCCATCGACACCTTCTGCCGAATGACCCTCGCATTACCTCATCTCATCGAGAACCTGACGTCGCTAAATCTCCGCTCAACGCATTGCCTGGACTTCCAACTCCTACACGAAAGCATGATCCAGCATCTTCTACCACAACTTTCCGGACTGGAGACGCTAAAGTTATCCATCGGCGAGGTCTTCACCGACGAGTCCCGTCTACTTACATTATACCAATGGCTTCCACCAAACATATCGACCCTCCGGTTCCGAGGCCCAGCATCCCTGACCAAATCCCCAGATTGGAACAACTGGGTCCAGGCCTTCGCTGAGAGCGATTTTCTCCCCAATCTCAAGCGACTTTCCTTCGTCCTAGACCTTCACTACGAATCAAGTGATGACTCTTTTGGTCGCAACAAAAAACTGAAAACAATCCCCGAGCACACCCTCCACGAAGCCCGCGCAGCATGCGAGCCCCTCTACGAAGCTGCCCGAAACCGCGGGATCGTCATCGAACGTCTCTACGACGAATGGTCAGACGAGTGCCAGATTCTGAGACAAGTCGACGATCGGTGGCTATGTTGACCCCATGGATACACCTAACAAAAACCCCTGTACAATAGAAAAATCAGTAACCAATGATACCCCCCGGCTCAATATAAACATGATATAGACTAGCAAAAAAAAAAAAAAAAAACAAGGCAACCCCATTCACGATCACGATATACCCACTTACATATTGAATTCCCGTTCTAGAAACCACCTCGTAGTCGTGTTCGAACTTCAAACACACCGTCGTATCCGCATAATCTGCCGAAAAGAGTATAACCTCCTCGGCCAGACGCAAAGTCAGCCCAGTGGATCCCCGCCAAGACAACAAAGGCTCGAAATAACTTAAGCTCGAAAAACCCTCCTTTCCCTGTTTAGGCGGGACTAGGCAGACAGAAATTCCCACTCACGCGAATCAAATGCTGCCTCGGGCGCGGTCTTACGGTGGATACGAATACGAACAGTCCGGTTTTTGCGTCTTGGTGGGAATTTTAACCCTACATGAAAGTAGAATATAAGAGGAAGTGAGATCCTGGAAGGGGGTCGTTTTTATATTACTTTTTCACCTTATCCTTATTCTTATTCTTATTCTACCTGGTGTAGGATCCTTCATTTTCATTTTTTTTTTTTACCAAAGATACATACATATACAAACAGAGACAATATTCATGATTGAGTGTTTTTCATAGAAAATGAGCGATACGGAGAGTACACAGACGTATGTATTGTCACCCAGAGACTCCACATTTCTCTCAGCCTTATCGATACCACTTACCCTTCCCTCTCTATGTATAACTAGTACAAACTACACCACTACTACTAGTAATACATACTACAATTCTCACTCAACAGATACACCCCCATACCAACAAGAATAAAAATAAAAAAAATAAAATAAAATAAAAATAAACCCCTACTAACTCTGACCAAAAAAAACATAGAACATCAACCACCACAACAACACGAACCTCAACTACACAAACAACAACCACCTCCGCCATACAAACAAAACACCAAACCTTCCCTCTCGCCCACCCGCCACCACCCAAACACACACTCCGGCTCACCGCCAATCTCACACTTCAAATCCAACAATTAACGCCGACCTCCCGCCGCCCGATCCCAATCCTCGAAGTCTACCAACCCACGCGCTTCGGCAAGACAGTGGGGGATGCGCCGCGCAAGTTGACCGCGAGGGATATGTACATTGTGCAGAGTGACGGGTATGCGCATCTACCGGGGGAGGAGGAGGAGGAGGAGGAGGAGCAGCAGAAGAACCAGGGTGGTGTTGCTGTCGGGGTGATTTATATGCCGGCCAAGGATGAGAATAATAGGAAGATGGCGTTTCCGGGGGGTGGGGTGTGGTTTCCGATGGGCGAGGGGTGGGAGGTTAGTGTGACTGTGAGGGGGGGTTATCGGTTTATGTACAAGGGGAGGGCGGATGGGGTGAGTCGGGTGGTGGAGTGGGAGAAGAGGGTGGCGAAAGGGAGGTCGTCGTCGTCGGCGTCGGAGGCGAGTGAGATGAAGCCGGATTCGAGATTTACGTTGAATATTGCCGAGTCTGGACTGAGACGACCGTGCTTGGCGACGTTGACGAGGCAGGGGTTGAAGGTTGGGGGGTGGGATCGGGCACAGAGGGAGTATTTGGCTTCGTCGTTACGGTGTGAGAATGAAGTGGAGGAAGATGCAGCGCTGTATACGTCTGTCTTGACGATGGGAGTCTATGTGGCGGCGCAAGAGGGTTGGTTGAATCAATATCTTTAACGAGGCTTGTTATGGTCATTGTTTCTTTCATTGTTTCATTCTGATTTATTTCTACCCGGCTTAAAGAATGTATAGCAAGCTTGATACCCCCACCACCAGTTTACAATTAGTGATTGAGACCCAGTTCCACACCCTTGATCTGCAATGCCAATAGACGTGAGTAGTATCGACACAACGCCAGATTGCCGCCCATGAACCAGAAGCCGGGGTGTCCGCTGCGCTGCCAGATCGTGCGTATCTCGCCTTCTTCGTTGTATCCCCAGACACTCTGGATGCGATCCGCTACCTCGTCGCCGAAGATGATGCGCGCCTGTGTTCTCATGTTCTGGTAGCCCGTTGCGAAAATGATCTCGTCAGCCTCCAGCTGGGAGCCGTCGGCGAAGCGCAATCCCTCCGGAATGATCTCGGCGATCTCCTGTCCCTGTTTCACCTTGATCTTGCCGTCGACAATGAGCTGACTGGCTCCCACGTCGATGTAGTAACCGCCACCGCGCTGGAGGTATTTTATCAGTAGACCTGCATCATCCGGTCCGCGGTCCACTTTGAAGCCCGCCTTCTCTAATCCGTCCAGAATCGCCTTGTCATTCTGGTTTTCGACCGCGGTGACTTTCTTCTGCTGCGCCTTGAACAGTTCCGACGGAATGCTCCACAGGAACAAGTCGGCATCTTCAACCTGGGGGCCACTCTCTTCGTACAGGCCCTTCAGCCCAATATTGGTGATGGATCCGGAAGAGACGACACATGTCGAACTACGCTGAACCATGGTCACGTCGTATCCCTTCTCAAAATAGTCATGGGCAATGTCATGACCCGAGTTACAGGATCCGACCACAACCGCCTTCTTGCCTTTGCTATTGGGGTCCGCACCGGGGAACTCGGAACTGTGACAGATGCGCGTCCCCTGGAAAGTCTCAACGCCCTTAAAATCAGGCAGGTTTTTCTTGCCCGAGTGACCAGTTGCCTGGATGACATGACGCGGATTGAAAGTACGAGTCTCGACTGTACCGTCTTCCTTCTGTCGTTGGAGCTGAATGGTCCATACATTGTTTGCATCGCTCCAGGATGTAGACTGGAGCTTGGTTTTAGTCCACACGTTCAGCTCAAGAAGCTTGGCGTAGCATTCAAAGAAATCTGCGAGTTTGTCCTTGGGCGTGAAGATGGGCCAGTTTGCGGGGAACTGAAGGTAGGGCATGTGGTCGAACCAAACAGGGTCATGCAGAACCAGCTGGTGATACCGCCTACGCCAGTTATCTCCGATGCGATCTTCTTCGTCAATGATCAGAGTATCAATATCGAGCATTTTCAGACGGGCAGCGATTGTCAGTCCAGCTTGGCCAGCACCTGGTAAAGTTTAGCTTATCCAGTGAAAGAAGGGGGTAGGAAAAGTATACATACCAACGATTAATACCGTCGGGCTCTTCCCGTCATAGTTGAAATCGGCGGTGCGCCTATCCTGCCAATTCCGCCTATCATGATGCTCACCATGCGATACGCCCACCGGCCGGTTATGGTTAATCTTCTCCTCACTCCCATTAACCTGCAACAGTGACGTGAAGAATGTGAAAATCTTCCACTCGCCATCCTTCTCGGCCAGTCGGACAACACCTCTTCCATTTCCTGTGTCGGTAGTGACCTTTATGAAAAATTGAATACCGGTTACATCGCCAAAGGCATCGATAGGGAAAACAGCCGGTGCATGAAAGGCGGATGAGCGGTCGATCTCTACTTGTAGCAAACGGGGGTTTTCCTGGATGAACTTGGTGATGTTCTCCTGGCCCTTGATGGTGCGGAAGTCCCATGTCAGGACGAGATGGTCTCGCCAGTAGCCATCTTCAAGGAACAGTTTCGAGATTTCCTGAGGTTGCTTCAGTCCCAAGGCCGTGTTCAGCAGTCGTATCACCTCCGACGCAATCTTGTCGGCGTCAATGCCAGTTGATGAACATGTTGCAGGAAACGTCCCGAGGGGAACGTTGAAGGAGCCGGGCTCGATTCTGTCTCTTGAAGCGAGGGCCATTACGTTGTTCTCTGGTCTGATAGAGATGAAGAAGAACAAAGTAGGGAGAGATGATGGGTGCGGGGAATAAGAGGAACGCGAGGGCGGGGTAAATTAAGAAAGCATGGACTCTCTCTTCTTTATACTCTCTCATCACCCCACTTTGCGTACAGCTGTCCTTGGAGCTTCAGCTGCACGCGGTAGTTCCACAGCGCTTTACTAATGGTAAATCCTATTATAATGCGGTGGGTTCCCTTCAATCACTCGTTCCTTTCGAAATTGCCGTCAAGCCACAGTGTCTCAGTTCCATTGCGAAGGACTTTCATTCCAATCACAATCTTGCTCAATCACCGGCTAGTATTCTTTTCTTCTACTAGTAACAGAAATTAGATAGACTCCCTGGGGCTAGATTCCAATAGCTACCCACGTACCCCTCAGTGACATCTGCACCATTGAGTTGTTGTTGAGCCACTAGCGCTGGTCCCTTACTGAAAGAGGCATAGATAGGCTGTGACACACTATTATGGGACCCATTGCAGGGATTTCTTGCAGAAGATGTGTTCAGGAGGACATCGGAGAATGGTTCTTACTGGCACATAGTGGTTCCCATGTGACCCGCTGCATGAATGCAATCGGAAGCACGCCGGCATCGGCCCAAGTCCGTGAGACGGATGATATCCCGATATCACCCCTAACAACATCCAACTCGATTAACAGCAAAAAAGAGTACAAAGAATAAAAAATGATGCTCATGAGATATGCTCCCACGCGGATTTGAACCGCGGACCTCATGATTACTAGTCATGCGCTCTACCAACTGAGCCATAGGAGCTTCGGATGAGATCTGCTTCCACGCGGATTCGAACCGCGGACCTCATGATTACTAGTCATGCGCTCTACCAACTGAGCCATAGAAGCTGATTGGATGTGCTGCTTCGCACTTTTATGCAATATAAAATTTTGGCCAAGTGAGCTTGAAGGATAAAGGTCGGGCTTGGATGGATCTGTACCGGACAGAGAACATCCTAAGCACCTTCTCCATCTGTTCAGGGACCTACCGAGGTGGTTGTCCCAATTGCTATATTTGAGGGTTCCCGGTATATCTGTGGCTTTTATAGCTGACCTGCTTATGATTCTGCATAAGCATTTATAGAGTTATGAAAGGTTGACTCGGCCTCCTCTTCGGCAACTCAACCGGGACCGTTCATATGTAGATGACCCCGAGCTAATCTTTTTTCAAGACAAGTCCCACTTACTTGTATCGAATCACATATCCCATCTACTTACTAGTATACATAAACCGGATAAGTATCCTAAGCACCCCGCAACCTGCCCCAGTTTCCTCCACAAGCTCACTACCGAACCCCATACCCGAAACCTTAAAACTAAGACTAGTATCAAGCATCATACCGCAATTCCCTCATATCAGTCCTCGATATTGAATATTCTCTATACAAGGAAGAGGGGTTTATCAACTGAAACCCACTCGACGGATTAGAATTGGCCAAATCAGCCAAGCCCGAGGATTCTCCGGTCCCCTCGACGAGACGACGATCACCGGCAGCGTGGTCTACGTATGGTGAATCGTCTATCTGGTGGGAACCATATTCCGCGCTATACTGCATCCTGGGGATGTTTCCTCATTGTCATTTGCTGTGGTGACGATACCACGCCTCCAGAGGGGCTGACGAGTCTAGATTGGGTTGGCTATGAAGGATTGTGCTAAGACCCTAGGCTGTTTTCCCGGAATATTATGCCCCCTATAAGTACCATCGAGGGGAGGGTGAAAAAAAAAAAAAAAAAAGGTTTCCAGAGTTCTCTGGTCAGTCCTCGCAATGTTTCACGGTAGAATACGGTCTGTGGCCTTCACGGCCGCCGTGACGGGCCTTTTCACAGCAACTGTCGCTCAGGCTGGGAATTGCTCGCCATCTGTAATTCCCTATCCATCTATACCTGAAGGACAGGTACTGGATCTCTCTGCCATTCCGGTATCGAATTATGCATACGATGAGTCTACACTAGACTTCTGCAATGTGACGGTCACATACACCCACCCAGGGAAGAATGATACCATCCATGTCACAGTCTGGCTCCCCTTCTCCAACTGGAACAACCGACTCCAAGGCTCCGGCGGAGGCGGATTCGCCATGAGATCGGAGGATGCCGTCCTCGCCGCAGCTGTGGCCCAGAACTATACGGTCCTAGCCACGGACGGCGGCCACGAGGTGAACTCGCAGAGTTCAGCATCATGGTCCCTGGACGCTTCCGGAAATGTGAACATGGATTTACTGGAGGATTTCGCCTACGTCGCTCTCGGCGACGCCGCGACGATCGGTAAACAGATCGCCACCAGTTTCTACGGTCTTGCTCCACGGCACTCGTACTGGAATGGGTGCTCGACAGGCGGCAGACAGGGTCTGATGCTCGCACAACGATATCCAACCGCGTACGACGGTATCATGGCCGCCGCACCGGCAATCAATTGGGCGAGTTTCCTGGTCGCAGAGTTCTGGCCCCAGTTTGTCATGAATCAACTTGGTGCGTTTCCTCCAACTTGTGTCTCGGATGCCATTACTGCTGCGGCGATCAAGGCGTGCGATAATATCGACGGGGTTGTGGACGGAGTGATTTCTGCACCTGACTTGTGTGACTTTGATCCTTTTACTACGGTTGGCACGAGGGTAAACTGTAGCGGAGTCAGTGTGAGCATCTCCGAGAAGGATGCTGAAGTGGCCAACAGTACATGGGAGGGACTCAGGTCTTCTGAGGGCAAGTTCCTATGGTACGGACTTGAGAAGGGCACGCCCCTGTCAATGGGCGCGTCGAGTCTCGCCGGGACCGTATGCTCGACACCCTTCAACTGCACCGGGTCTCCGTTTGCTATCTCTTCAGACTGGATCCGTCGGTTTATCCTGCAAAATCCATCCTTCGACCTCACCACGCTAGACCACGAAGCCCTCGATAAAATATTCACTCTTTCCAAGGAAAGATACAACGACGTAATCAGCGCCGATAATCCAAACCTCTCCGCCTTCAAACAGGCAGGCGGGAAGATGATCACCTGGCATGGACTATCGGACACATTGATCTTCCCCAAGGGTACAGAACAGTACTACAAACGCGTGGAAGAGAAGGACCCATCCGTGCGCGACTTTTACCGCTTCTTCAAAGCCCCAGGCGTACATCATTGTTCTGGTGGTGTGGGACCGGTCCCTGTTGATCCGTTGAGCCAAGTGGTAGATTGGGTGGAGAATGGTGTTGTGCCTGAGACTGTGGATGCTTTGGCTGCTGATGGACGGACGAGGAACTTGTGTCTTTATCCACTTTTTTCGGTGTACAAGGGTGGTGATGTGAAGGATGCGGCGAGTTATCGGTGTGAAGAAGGTTATTAGTGATTGTATTTAGGTAGCCTTGGTACTGAAAGCATTGAATGGAATTTATATAAGGATTATATTTCTGAAGTAGTTCTTGTCGCTTATACGCGAGAGGCATGTTATGGCGAACAAAATCGTGCTATTTTGCATTTAGCCATGGCTGCCACGCACTTTTAGTCTTATGCTCTTGTGTACTCTTAGAATATACTGTTTTATTATATATCCAATATTAAAATTATTACCGAATTTTTAAACTTATAGCTTAACTATAGATCTTGTTAATTAACATAGTTCTGGTGGTGATAGAGTTATCCAGAGCCTAGGCCCTAAGCTTAGGGGTTACAGTGCCTAAAATTAGTGACACTAGTACCTAAACTTAGGGGCCACGGTACCCAACGATAGAAGTTTTTAAATGCGATAAATGTATTCAAAATTGGACTAGCTGATAATTAAATTCTTTATTTATTACTACTATGATATTGGTAGGCATGTCTACTAAGTTCCACCGGAATAGATTTGTGCACAGGTGCGGTCAGAGCCTAGAGGTGATATGTTGGTCACACAGATCGCCTGATCTCCATCCCCTAATGCCAACGCATAGTTGCTGGTGTTGTTCCTGGTTCAAGGGCTGCTCTTGCTGGGCTGAAGGACAGAGATCACATTGTGACTATGTCGCGCGTAGGTCTATGTTATTCATCTCTACCTGCGTACTATAAGCTGCTGATTGAGCGGACTGGTGAGAGAATTCAGATCTCCTACTGGCCGCGCTCATTTACCAAGGCTAGAGTCTGGCAATTGGTGCAGTGATTGGGTGAAAAGGTTCAAGTAAGAAGGTCGCCCCGTTGCACTGTAGTGACCATGGGAAGAGCCTTTAGAAGCAAGAGAATACTTCTTGCTTAAGGTGGAAAGAAAATCTAAGCCGTGACAATACGTTGTGTATGGTGAACCCGAGAGGATCGATATTTCCCTTACTCCCTTACTTTTCTGAAGACTATCTATAATTGTCAAGATGAATGTTCTAAAGTACCATTTACCCGTGACCTGATCTATAATTCAGCCCTACCGAAATAAACACAATATATCTTGATATGCACGCGGTGTTAGCAGCAACAAGGCCCCACCAGCATTCCTGTTTTCCCTTCCTCACGCTTAAAATTCTGAGTAGATAGCACTAATATGATTATGCATTAAATGGCTGTGGCATTATATAGTTGAAGCACTTTCGTAAAAGTAGGTTTATTACTAAATTACCACATATACACACTGTCGGATAGTATATGCTACGGACTGGAAAAGTTCGACGAGCGGGCTCTCCTCCGGAGGATATCTATATCGCCAGCAATTCAAATCCAGAAGTCGGGGTGTTTAGTTTCCAGTTCTAACTTGAAGGTTTGCTTGATGAGCACGGGAAAAATAGATACCTGGGTATTTGTTCGATTGGATATGAATATACTGGTCAAATTACTCTTGGAGTCTTAAAGTATATAACCGGCAAGTGCTATCTTTTTGGCCAAAGGTAATTATTGGGTTATAAACATAGATAAAAATGTATTCTTCAATAACTAGCATCATTGGTCTAGTGGTAGAATTCATCGTTGCCATCGATGAGGCCCGTGTTCGATTCACGGATGATGCACTCATTTTTTTCTTCTTTCTTATTTTTGCTTGGACTTTTGTCAGGTCTATTGTCCCATTGTACTCTGGCCATGTATCTTTCTGTTCTATGCCCCTGGATATCAATGAAGCATCCTATTTGGTCGTTGTATATCTAAATATGTATGTACAAGAAAAGTTAAGTGAGTGTCTAACCCAGCTGAGCACCATATGCACAATGCAAATATTCACAGTACTATATACTATAGACCAAAGCCTCCCGGCGAAAAGGTTGGTGATACAACCCTTTCTCTTTCTCTCAGTTTCACAGCATACCGACTCTTCCATCCCATCCTTCCCAGCGCCAAGGTCTCCAGGGTCTCCGTCTTCCCACCCCAAAGCTTCCCTTTGCCGTCTTGTCGCTGCACAGGCGGGATCCAGAAATGTGTGATCACCGCACCGAGGATCATGCACACACTGAAGACGATTAGAACCCAGCCGTGGCGGATGATGGGCTCGTTACCGAGACCCGAACCGAAGTTAAAGTGTGCGGAGAAGATTTGGACTAGAATTGAGCCGAGTTTGCCAGCGCCGGCACTGATTCCATGGCAGGTGGCACGGTACCGGGTGGGGAAGATCTCGGCGGGGATTATGTAGGTAGTTGCATTGGGGCCTGGTGTATTCTATGTTAGTGTTTGCTTTTCATTCCTTGGCTTTCAAGGAGAATCCATACCAAAGTTGAAGAAAGCCTGGCCGATGATGTATAAGGCCACGGCTACAGCACCTTCTTTGTGGACGGTCAGGAACATAGTACCCAGGGCGATGAAGAGGGCGGCCAGCGCCAGGAACCCATATTTTTGGAGTGCGACACGGTCAAGACGGTGGATAACGAGAATCAAGAGTAAGCCCCCAAGGAAACTACCACTGTTGAGGATGACAAGGGCATGCGTTGAGCTATCGAGAAACATCTTGAAAACATCGGCATTCGGACTATCATCCGTCTGCCAGACAGGTGCTGGACCATGGAGCTTGAGGGAACCCCATGTCTTGGCAAGAAACTGTGGGTTCGAGAGGCCGATGCCGTAGAAGCCAAAGTCGAGCAAAAGCCAGGACAGGGAGGTGGCAGCGAGGGTGCGCCAATTGCCCTCGGTCCAGAAATATTGTGTGATGTCTTTTCTCGTCAAATGCCAGTGAGAGTTGAGAGTGGCGGGCTGGAGAAATTCTGTCTGCGAGTGTGATCGATCAGAGAAGCATTGACTCGTCATGGAGATCGCTGGAAGGGGCAGGTTATGCCAACTTTCTGTTTCTAAGGAGGGAGAGTTGTTCGGCTCGTTAAAGAGGGTAGTTGCATCGAATTCTGCCTGCACGGGGTCGTCTTCGATCTCCAGCAGGAACCGGGGACTTTCTGGGATAATGAACCGGAAGACCGTTGCGATTACACCAGGGACCACTCCGATCCCAATGACCCACCTCCACATGATATCCACAGTGCGGGTCAGGTCCTCGTCTCCTCGACTTCTGCTGGCGGCGACTACAATCAATGACACGATATTTCCGGTGATCTGGCCAAGCGGCTGCATGAAAAAGACCGACGCCATCATTCGCGCTCGATGCTTTGTGGGCGCAAACCTATTGGTAAGTCCGTCAGTTCCTGATCGTGTGAATCAAACCAAGCTGCACTTACTCAGATGTGATGACCGCACTCAATGGGTAATCAGCCCCAACGCCGATGCCAACCACAATTCTCCACCATATCAGCCACGCATACACACTCATACTATGGTGTACGCCATTTGAGGCCATGACCACACCGAGGGTCGAAGTGATCAGGAGCATCAACTCCAGACCGTACATCTTCTTGCGCCCATACTTGTCTGCCAGATACCCAAATAATACCTGCCCCAGCATGGTACCGGCCAAGGTGGCAATGTTGATATTCGTGAGTTTCATGGAAGACGGATCATCCCTCCAGTAGACGTAGGATAGCATCGGGAAGGCCATGTTACTTGCAAATAGCTGCGGAGAGAAAAATCATGTGTTAGTCATGACTGATCCGTCATCGAGTCCAACAGCTTCATCTTCAACTGACTGTATATCCATCGAGGAAGAAGCCCACTCCGGCTACAAACACCACAATCCATTGGTAACCCTGTCGATCGATGGTTTCGTAAACTTGTCGCATGCGGACATGACGGTCCTGGATTCATGACGGTCAGTCTTCAGACGGTAAAGAATTCCTGGATCCGATGAAGACTTCACCTGTTCATGCTCAAAATCCCGAGCTCGATCGGTTTTATATAACCTCGAGCGGAATTTCGTCATTTTGAATCTTATCGCACTGGGGCGTTTCTTATCTCAGGGGGACGGCTCATTTAACAGGACGGGTATCCATAGTATAAGTTATGACAGATGCACCATTGATCGTCAAATATGTTACCTCAGATATCTATAAAGAATGCGGCTCGAACATGGGGCCTGAAGAGAAGGGGTAGGACAGATTGACGTGGAAGAAGAACATTGCAGATGAGGGTGGCATGGTTAAGTGACCCGACGAACAAGGCTGGACAAAGTTCAAAGAAAGAAAGAAGCAAATAACAAGAGAGTGGGGGTTGGGAACAGAATAAAGTTGCGATCCACCGCTGTTAAGTTCCACCATTGGCGTGAATTGAAGCGGATAGCTCAACGTGCTGCATTAGCTTCCGTTTGGACATGAAGCAAGGGCCAATTCTTTTCCCACGTGCGCCCCTGAGGTGCGTACTTCAAGTTCTGACTGCGGTTCTTGCGGTTCCTGCGGTTCTTGCGGTTCCTGCGGCCCACCGATCACGAGCTTCCTGACAAAGGATGTTAATAATAAATTAAATGCGCGTTGTCCCTCAATGCACGCAATTTCCACGAGCAGCCACTAAGAAATCCCTGTGAGACACCGGACGTGTGTGATGCGATGTGATGGGTTCGGTTTTCTCGAGACTAGTTTACTCCTTCGAACCAACGCCAGTGCGTGTGCCACGTGCTTTCATAACTTATGATGGTATTGACTGTACAGGGTATATGTAGAACATTATACTAGGTCTAGGGTAAGATAGAAAAAAAAAAAAAGAAAGAAAGAAAGAAAGAAAAAAAATCTAAAGGTTACCTCCGACAGAATCCGCCCTTGGAGCATGCCAGCGCTCCGACTATTACCGGATTTTAGAATCTCTTTCGTAGTTTCAAAAACCCTGTAGAAAGAATCTCTAATGTATGAGAGAACATGCAATATTCTCGCTCCGAAATCATGTAGAAAAACAGGATCATCGAATGGTAGTTATTTTGCGTGGTCTGCCAGAAATTGACAGAAGGATAAGCTATCTGAGGAGAATCCGTTAATATCCAAGTTTCGGGCCGAGTACCTGAAGTAGACATACCTCCGTGGTCTAAAAAATGGATCTGGAGATTTCTCATCTGGGAGAGGTAATCAAAATTGGGTAGAAGTTGTAACACAACCGGCCGCCCGGCCTTTTTCGGCGGTTGGACACTTTCGATGCAATTTACTAACTCGGTCAGTGGTTGGATTCTCCCCTCTCGAATTCTGCCTACTACCTACCAGGAACCGAGACATAGCGCTTTAGCTCCTTTCGTTGCGAATTAGCGAAAAACAGCATCACTTGTTTGCCGTTATAGCCACGCAGAATGCGTAGATTCTGACTGATGCATTCTTCTCCACGACCTTTGGATTTGGCCTCGGCAATCCCGGCAATGAAAACGAGCTTGGCCGTGAGGATGAGCTCTTGGAACTGCACGCAATCTGGTAGTATGGATCAGTACGTGTTTCCTGAATAGACCCGAACAGTCCTACCATTCCAATCCTCAAAGGTATAAGATAACTGTGATGTGAAAACGGTATGGGCGGTCTGGATGGTCTGTTCCTCCATGAAGGAAATTCTTAGAGAGGGTTCATTGGGCAGTTTGGGGTGTTCTAGATGTGGGACGGGAAGTTTCGTGGTGTTGACTACGGCGTAGGAAGCTCCTAATCAGCCTAATGCCCTCGTAGTTAAAGAATCCTGGTCACTTACAGGTGTGCACAAAGGGCGTCTGCTGGCCAACAGCCCCCCCAAGCTCTAAGGCCCTTAGAGCCCCTGTAGCATCTTTGCGAATATCAATATATGTGTAGCGAAGTTTGAACAGTTTGTGACTTCGGACGAATGAGCTGTAATGGCCCGTTAGATAGGCACACTGGGAATCCGTAGCAAGGGTGATCAACCCACATTGTCACAGCAGGGTTCAGTGGTAATCGGGTTACTTCATCGTACAAAGACTGGCATGACGCCTGCCGCGATCTTCCCGGAGACGATGTTGCGGGGCTGATGGGAGGAAGCGGGAAAAAAGAAGTTGATATGAAACTAGAGGATGAGGACTGGGTCGAAGACGAGACGGTACTTTCTCGTCGGACAGGGGGAAGAGGCCAATCCTCCGCCTCGAAGAGAGTTTGGCTCATGGCCAGAAGATAAAGATCTTAAAGACCTTTTATTAACACCAACGCGGCGTTGATAACTTTGCGTATATGCTGTGGACTCGACGAGCTGGCGATCTTGCGGGTCCCCAAGAATTGATCGACATGCAGGGGGCAAATATGAGAGCTCGACATCATCTTTCCCAGCGCCGCCAAAGTTCTTCAGAATTCAGGAACCATTCTGACAATAGATTCCCAACGTCCGTTGTTTGACGTGACATTTTAAATATGAACTCTGTCCCTCCATGGGAACCGGCATAAGGGCACCGATAAGACGAGGGGTCTAGCACAGCCAGCCCATTGGCGGGAGATCCGCAACAACGTGCCTAAATGGATGGCTGCCATTGAAAGATTTCGGTGGGACCCGGTGGGGGGCCACGCTATGAGTGGTCCATGGGGGGTGATATATAGGCGTACCCGTGCTCAACTCGTGGGAAACTGCCGCGCATCGTTCGAGAACATTTTTTCTTCCATCGTTTGATCCTCGTTCGTATATCTCTGAAGCTGGTGAGCTCAGCTGGTGGTCTCGGAGTAAGAGCTCTTGACTAGTGTAACCAACCATGAGTGGAGATGGTAAAAGGTCTCGTCATCTGCCACTAGTCGAGTCAGGCCGGGCACATGGCATGACTGGGGGTGTAAGATCGGTCAAATCATTGTCCTCCCCCGATTGAACTTGTCTTCTTCTGGGGGAATCCCGTCATTTCTAACTTTCCGAATCATTTATTGTTCCCTGGTATTAATGGCCGAGACATCCTTTAATATGCTTTCATGGTGTCTTTTTTTTGTTTCGCTTTTTTTCCGACTGTAGAATTTTAAATTATCCCCAATCGTTTCGTTTGTTTCTCCTCTTATTTTATTTTATTTTATTTATTTTATTTTCCTCCTGTATTTTAACCGATCTATTTCACTAACGCATAATATCTCTTCTTTTATCCAGACAAGCTTATTTGTGAATTGAAGGTAACATTACTAATCTAAGGTATATGAATATCTAGGTAATGGATGGCCCTTTCTAATTGGGGTATCCGAACAATAGACCAAAAGCCGTATGCAGAATTTAACAAACACCAGCGGGAAAGTAGTGGGGCCAAGCAAACCTTGAAACATGAAGAATCAACAGATCTATGGGCCACTTAGTGACCATGGAAAACCGAAGGCTTCAACCGGAGGAACGCCGACATGGAACGGACAGGGTATATGTACGCTGAGCCATGTTCTCATGAAAATGGAAAAGTTCAGAAGAATTAGGGCAAAGGGGTATACAATATGTTCAAAAATTATCTTAACGCCATGTTAGAGGGTTGCTGTCGAAATTTGTACAATTTCACACGTCGTAGACGAAAGTGGGGAGAACATCACTTACCTGTTGGCACAAGAACGCCATGTGGTAGAACAGTCCCTTGGAGAGAGGTCATTATGATAGTAAAGACGGAAGGCATGGCTAAACGCGACTGTATCAATGCATAGAAAATGTATACCATCAATACTTGGATCAGACTTAGACAGCCGGCTGTGATGCGTGAGACGATGACGAGTCTTGTCCCGCCAGCGGGCATGCGGCTGAACTTCTGTCCCTGTCCGCGGTAACGCTCCCCGTATTCAGTGAGAAAGGGCGGTCGCCAAGAGACATTGGCCCCTTTTTAAGCGGGACTGCCGAGACATTTTCCCGCTTCACTTTCTTCCACCCTCAAAGCCCGTCTCCAGTGGACTGTTCTGAGGCAACACGAACTTAATGGAGGGGCTTCTGTGCAATGATACGATAACTTGTCGTCACCAGTCGCATGTTGTCCATTTTGACGAATGCTTCTCCGTCCAAACATAGACGGTTGATTAGTGTCTTGAAGTGTTTGGGAAGCACGTGAGTCTTGACCAGACCCAGGATAAGCTGTCGCATGGATCGGAAGTAGAGGTCAACCTTCGCGATCAACGGGGCTTGCAGTCCGCCGACACTAGCGTTGTCGGAACGAGTTACTGTGAATCCTGCATCGGTGAGAGCGTTCTCCAGGATCTTTGGAGTAGGTGTGCCCACCGCCCCAATAAGCGGCTTTACTCGGCGCATGAGCTGGACATGCTCAGAGTTCGAGGGGTCATAGTCAGGCAGACTGACCCAGTCCAGCATGGAGAATCTCGCTCCCGGCTTGAGTACACGGAAGATCTCGCGAAACAGAGCGGGCAAATCTTTGCACAGACTGAATGCCTGGATCTGATAGAACGCGTCAAAGGTCTCATCTTCGAACGGGAGAGGAAGGCTGTTGAAGTCCTGGACGATGAAGCGGTTTTCCGTGAACCCAAGCTTCTCGTTGTAGGAACGGGCTTGGGCGATTTGATTAGGGTCGATGTTCAACCCGGTCACATGTGCACCCGAGTATTGGGTCATGTGCGCAGCCACACGGCCGCGACCACAGCCCAGATCCAGTACTTTGTCTCCGGGCTTAAGGCCAATATGCTCGGCAATGGACTCTTCATACAATAATTGGTTTTCCAGCACGGTCGCCTTCTTGCTCATGAATGGTGGAATGTACATCTTCTCGACGTCGCCAAGAGCGCAGAGGTGATTTAAAACCCCATAGTACGACTTGAGGCAATCACCGACCTTTTCTTGATAGTTGGGCCCTAACTCTTCGACCATCTGCTTCTCATTGGACCAGTCTAGATTATATATGACATAAGATGCCATGAAGTCATCGACTTGCTTTGGGGTCAGATGTTGAAGATACCGGAAGGCGGTCCAAAAAGTTTTCCACCGCTTAGGAGAGGCGGAGTTGTGCAAGTCTGGCCGAGTCGATGGGACGCTGTGCACGGCCAGATTTTGCTTCTCAGTTGCAATCACATCCAGCGAGCTACTCTCAGAGCTCCGCCCGGATTGACGTGATGCCAAGACCGTTTGAGTTTCCGTCATAGTGTGGATATTGGGTGTCGCGGTGGAAAAGACCACAGGTCAGGGGAGAAAGAAAGATAGGTATGATAATAGTTTGGGCGACTAAGAAAGGGATAGCTATATTGCTGTCAGATAAGCCATGCCAGATGGGATCTTCAATTAGAAAAAGCGAGGAAGGAGCGGGGCTAGGTCAATTTATAAGCATCTCAAAGAATTTTTCTCCAAGGGCGACGTCGGGGGATCCTCATATTATTGATTTGCCATATGACCTGCCATGGATAGTTAGTGACGGCCACTGTGGATTATTGTCACCAGATCTGGAAGGCATCGGAAGTGTCGGATAAGGCAGGTCGAAGAAAGGAAGCGCGGCAGGGAGCGGCTGGCGACCCGGAAGTTCCTGAGATACGAGGGTGTGGTTGTCCACATCTCATTGCTGGCTAGAACTTCTTACTGGATTGCAACCCCGATTTGATGACGATAGACCGACGATGAGTCAAAAGGATCCAGGGTCTGCAGGCCACATCACAGACTTCGCTTCCCCTCTTGATCGTCAAAGGAAATTGCTTTGGTTAGCAATCGTTATAAATTAGTGTCCCTCACCCATGAGGTAGTACCTGGCCATGTTAGCTAATTGGAAAACGACCATGATGCAGGCTCACCGAAGCAGTATCCCAAGCTCATTTGCTCCCTGTGATTGCCAAGAGCTCCAGTATGGTGCAGCTAGTGAGGTGCGCAAAGACCCATGCAGCCTCCACCGGGATGAGCTGATCAATCATCATACTGCAGTAGTTCTTGGCGGTCAATGCTTGATTGATTGACTAGCACCCTTAGTGCCCTACATAGTAAGGGTTGTGCCGTACTACCACGGCACGAGCAGTCCTTCTTACTAACAATCATTGCCTTATAGGGATACATCGGGTCGGGAACCGGATAATTCTCCCTGACACTGGACTGTTCGTGTCCCTTTTAGGGGCAGAGTTTTTTCATTATCGTTCCCACTTCGACCACTTTGTGCCACATAATATTTCTAAGCAATTCACCATCTTGGCGGTTCTGACGGAGCGGAAGCGCCCGGATCAGGCAATTCTTCCCGGTCTCGGACTTTCATCCGAGTATCCGATTCCGTTCTTGGCCCTTTTTTTCTTTCCTTTTTGTTCCAGTATAGCCGTATATCCGCTGACGTAATTTTCGATCCTTCTGGACAGTTGCGAAAAAGTACGTTGGGACAATCTCGGAGACTTTTTGTTTTTCTGTTCTCTTGAGGAGGGGTGGAAAGGGGAAACCTTGTTCTGCAATCAAATTGGAGGAAACATGAGCAAAAAGTAACACGTCAAACATCCCATGCTCTCCCAACGGTCCAATCCAAAGGTGTCCTGGGTGTGCACCTGCCATTAGGACGATCACGATATCATTTACCGTTTCTAGCGCGCGAGCCGGATGATCAAGTGCGATATTTCCTGGCAGTTGCTTCGTTCGATTTACTAAATTAAGCATAGATTTTCGGCCCAGACGAGGACAGTGCTCGTAAATTGAACGGCCACGTCATTTATCAAAACCGTTTGTAACCGCTAGGGCGTGGTCCGATTCATACCTAGGGCTATTTCGCGCACTGATTAAATGTGTCCGAACTTCGAGCTAGTCTGATTTAACCGTCTTTCGGCTTATCTGATGCCCTGTTCATCGGTCAATTTCCCCTTTAATACCGAACAGGTCTTTTTGGATAGAGACCACGTGATCTGATCTAGGGTTAGCTTGCCTTCATACTCGGTTCTCCTAGTTTCTGCAGGAATTCCGACTACTCCGTAACGTTGTTATGCATTTCTGGAGGTCTTCAATAGCAGAAAACGTCGCATAATTATATTGACGACGTCCAAATAAGCTTATCTTTAAAGCCTGCCTCCGTTGGATCACGTACAGCTTGCTTCCTCCATACAGAATTGAGTGTTCTGGCTCCACTCCAACTAGGCAGCAAGATGAGCGTCTGACGAGAGATGGGCTGCCGAGGTGGCGATGTGAACAGTCTCTCCAATCATGGAGGCTGCTTGCTGCGCGGTGACAAGGGCTTAGTTAATAGTGATGTGACCCGCGAGGGAGGTACCGGTACTTGTCCAGACGTGGCAGATCTGGGCTATGCGGATGTACCCATCGTAGAAGCTTGGCTGAGCTTCCCGTGTGGCCGGGGCGTGTCAGTCTGTCTGTAGAGAAGGGCTTTTGGATTGGTCCGGACTGGTATCCGTCGGTGGATGGTGATACTCTTGACAAATGTGCCGTTTTTAGTAGCTGTGTCAGGCGATGGCCCTTCAACTCCACCTGCAGCATGCTTCTCTGCTGCTGGCTACTTGAGCGCTCGACTGGCCCATATTATATAATCTACAAATTCTGCACACTGCGTGTGGATGTCTTTGTACCTTGCTTCCAGGAGAGATCATCCGCCATTTTAGCTCAACTTTCTCGGAAACAGTAACAAATTCCCTTCTAGGATAATTAACGGTGTAGTAAATTTGCTCTTCTGAGTGATTTGCACTGATTTGCATAGTATCATTAACTAATGCGTTGTTGGGAAAGATGTCGTGGAGGTCGTCTATACATTCAATGCCCACCACCTAAGTAGGTGATTTGCAGTTGTCTTCGTATAAGGAGATGTGAATACTGAATCGTAACTCGGATATAGCTTAGCTCTTATCGTAATAAATGTATGATATGAATAAACGATACAATAGGCATGTTGTATCTCATAACATGTGACCGCATATCATCTGACAAGGAGATTCCATATGGCCCGCCATGTGACCTCCCTGACATTGCACATTAAGCAGTTCAGTCTACTACATGATATCCTCCCATCAAGCTCTATGTACATCGATAAAGCATCACGCCGTGAAAATGCATTATCTTCTCTCCCGGAATCGACAGCATGGTTCCCCACAAAGACATGTCTTGTTCAATTGCTTCCAATAATGATCTGAATAATCAACGGTGATCTCACCCCCAGCCGTCACTCCTCGCGAAACAACAATTACGCGCTCCTTTCCCCGCCAATAGAATCGCTGGAATTGACTGTTTGGACGACAGGAGTGGTTGATAAACCGTGTGAAGTTGCCCATCTGCCCTTGGAAGATCTGGTACGTTCTTGTGCGAGTGCCACCTAGCATCACGTCGACACCCTCGATGCCTTTGGTGATGAGACCCGTGAACTCACCGATAGCAATACCACGGTCGAAGTTCTGTTAATTGTTGATTAAGATAATGATAATCGTGTCTGAGTTCAGAGGGCAAAACTTACACTGCGAGCTATGACCCCGTTGTTCTTCCCGCTGGTTGTATGGAACAACTGTACTGGTACTGGATTTCGCACGCCCCCGAACAGTGTGGGGAAGCATGAACATTGGTTCTTGTCGATTTCATCAGACTGCCTCTCTTTGCATACCAAACACACATCCGGATCTATTTCAGGAACCCGGCGAGGGTCATCTGTGCCAAAAGCAGCAGTGTCAAGCACGCACTCATCGATGAAGCGATAATGGAAGCCGTTGGGGAGCTGAAGATGCTCATATGTTGAAGTCAAGGGGATTGCTGGTCTTCCTGTTACTGTTACCCATTCATGTGGGTGGCCGTGGTACTGCCGCGTCTCTTGTTGCCCGATCACTTGAAGAAGATCCCTCCAGTCCGGATGCAGCGTATCGGCGGCAACCTCTAGGCTAGATCGGATATGTCGAAGGCGCGTAGAGAAACCCTCTCCAAAGCCAGTACGGTATTTGCAGAATCGGTATACCCCGGCACTTGCAAATATCAAACTGGCCCAACCACCAGCATCTTTGATTTCCTTGTATCCGCGCCAGATAGCGCTGAATCGAGGAAGAAGTTAGCCTTACATTCATAGTTCAAGAAGGTATATTGCGTACATTCGGTTTCGCAGATCCTTTTCTTTCCAGTTGAGGACCGCACATGCTTCCCTCAAGCCCATCATTCGGATTTCCATAGCTGATAGGTTGGGATTTTCTAAGCGAAGGACAGCAATACGAGCCTCGTAACATTCAATCCAGTATGCTTGCACTATCATCTCAAGTGCGCGGGAGGACTGACTCTGGTTGTAGTACTTTAGGCACAGGGTGTTGACTGCCCGGAATACCTGGTGTTGGTTAGTCATCTCTAGTCTGCTACACCTACGAAGACTTCGGGAGGCTCGAGTCGAAGTCCCTCCTTTTGCGTAAATGACTGTATGATATAACATACCTCTCCACTAACGCCAGTGCGAATGTCTATGCCGGGTTCTATGACCTAAGTTTGTTAGTTCAGACAACCGTCTTTTCATGCCGGGGAGTCATACAGAATGGAATCGGCTTAGTTGAACAGGTGAGAACACTTGTCGCCAGATACCCGCGATAAGCTTGTCGGTTGACGTTGGCTCTAGGACTGGGGCAGATGTATCTTTGCTTGGGTTTTTACGTTGGGGAAACCTAGTATCACTATGTACCTGGCGAACAGACGACTTTTGAGCATCGTCAGTCGTCCTATTTGAATCCGGTGTAGCGTAGCCGTCGACCTGAGATTCAGTTCCTTTGATGACAGCCTTATGATTATGTGGCGCCAAGCGAAGGCCACTGACGGTCTTTCGTCGCTTAAGGGGACGTGAGCCATGGCCATCTATAATGGGTTCTGGCGCAGCTATGGTATTTTGTTTATCGTACTATATGGAAAGTTAAACCTTACCGGAACAGCCACATATCAAAAGGAGATCTTACGCTTATCTCCGAGACATCTGGAGTCAACTGCGACAACGGTACAACACGCTCATTGTTCAGGTCAACGCAACCCTGACCAGTTAGCACATGATATCGGCAGGCTGCAGCATTAAACTGCTTCAACAAGACTAACCAGAACCCATGAATTATCCTGAGATACACATGGTGCACCAGAAAAAAGCGAAGCTTCAATACGGAGGAAAAGGTCACTATTCTCTTGCTCCTGTTGGGAGGACTCCTTGGAGAGATCCAAGTGATTTCGTTTCGATGCTTCGATCGCAGATGCCAGTTGCGCGGGGAAGTCTGGGTTCTGGAGAAGGCTACACAGCTGAGATACTAAAGAGAGTGAAGATGAGGGCTCCATGCCGACTGTAGACCCACTCTAGATGGAGGACTCAAGAAAACGAATTCCTTATACAGAGTATACTGCCATAATCTCCAGCTGCTAAGATACCGTGTGAAAAGTTCTGCCTGGGCAGAATTGCTGACTCATTAATTATCACTACCGTGACGTCATTTGTATGATGCAGTATGTTCCTTTAGGAAGAGAATGCATATCATGATAAAAGCACAATTATGGGTAGTCCTACTGAATGACGAGTGTATGCATGTATTTATTGACTGCCGTAGTCTGTATAAGCGTTATGGCAAGAACTGAGCCCTTCAAATTTGCTGCCTCATACATTTTCACGTTTATGTATTCGTCCAACGTAACATGCCGGGACAAGTTTTTACTCGGTGGCCAATTCATCGACTAAGGACTATCACAAGTAATAAAAAGGCACAGCCTACATTACCTCATCCAATATGGCTTTGTATGCACAACTGCTCACCATGTCCACTTAGATCTAATGAGAGAAGTGCCTTGCGCACATTGCCTCCCTCCTACTGAACGTACGAGATAGAGAAATCTTGAAACAATGAAAGCAGGGGGACAATAGTTGAAGGTATCGCTTGAAATTCTTCTATGTACAATTATATACACACTGCTGGACTTCGTATAATATAGAGACTTTCTGGCCGTTAAGACATTGATTTGCCGCTGAATCGGAATAGGGGGCGCGTGTTTCTGCTCGCTGTGGTTTACAGTTGGACAGACGTGTCTGCCACCCACGATGAACCATGTCGGTGGTGGTATGGTATGTTGTTAGTCTGTAACTTCGTAGTGCGTTTCGTCGGTATTGTTCCCCTAAGTGAGACGCGTGGTCATCTCGAACCAATCGACGGAGCCATCCGTGGTGTCGGATGTCGCTGGTAAGAATAAGATATCAATACAAGTGTTACACTGAGCCATATTTGGTTTTTATAGCCATTCTGGTGTTTTGCAAGGGTGATCTTCTCGATCTTTCTCAATCTTATCCAAGATCCACCCGGATTTATACCGTCCTTCGTCACCTTCGGGATCTCTCTGGTATCCTAGTCGATAGGAGAAGGAGAATCCGCAGGTCTGATCATGGTAAACGAACTGGAAGCACTTGGAATGCTCCTTACACGCTTTCTGACATTGCTCAAAAGAGCTATACGCTTCCTTCTCGGCCGGGGTCATATCCGAGGGCGACTTCTGTCTCTCCCCTTCAACACCAGGCGCGCGGAACATCAAGTCATCGGAGAGATTATACCAATCATCGCGCCCCGAGGGAAGCGCACGACCCATGAAATAGTCATACAATTCACTAATAAGGAGCGGTTCCTACTCGTCGTTAGCCATCATCACCCACCTACTTCTAACGGGAATGAATAAAACACGTACCTGCGGGTGTTTACGATGTTGCTCATAATTCCACATCGCATTAACATCCACCGGCGTAACTTTATGCATAGTAATCAACGGCTGACATCCATGTCGGGACCCTGAATTGGGACCGGGCCCAAAAGGAAGCGTATTCTGCTTCTCGCCCTGCATCATGGGCCATTTATTACTAAGCCCGACGCCCTTTTCCTTCAGGGCTTTCATAAGCACAAAGTCGCCGTAGATCTCGTCGTGCATGCGCTCGTCATATCGTGCAGCCAGATCGGCACCTCCATCTAAGACGCGCTTCATGGCTTCGCGCGATAGGATCACCCCGCTTCCTCCGTGGGCAAACTTCTCAGTTTGGAAGGTCGCCGCCGAGCCCAGATAGAGTGGCTTGGCAGGGTCCATCCGCGCCAGCCACTGCACTAGGTTTCCCCAGAAGAGGTACGTGTCGGCCTCGACGAACACATACCAGTCGTGTCCGGGACGTCGCTCCCAGGTTTGCACGAGCATGTGGATGAACTTGTACTTGTCCAGGTCCCAGGCGGCCTGGCGCGAGGTCCGGAGTTGCCGGATGTCCCGGCCTGAGGACAAGTACTCTTGGATGGTACGGTAGTAGGCGAAATCGGGATGAGTGGCCTTCAGAGTTTCATTGACGTTCGCGAGCACGTCGTAGACATGGTAGCCACCGAGGTCTTGCTCGGAGTCGGCGAAAATAAGCGGGTCTTGGCAGCATCGCAAGGCTGTGAGGAGTTGCGTCGGGAGCTTATCGTAGATGATGTTTGTGCCGGTCTTGACCACCACCTGGATGTGGGAGGTGTCGGGTAGTTCGCCGCTGCATCGTACATCACTGGGATTCCATGGGGATGACGAATTGTGCTTGGAAGATGTGGTTTGAGGGGACGAACTGTGGAGAATTCGGGTCTGTGGGGGGTTGACAAAGACGATCAAAATAATGATGGTTGACAGCAGGATGGCTGTGCCGCCCAGCATTCGACCGGAACATATGAGACGACTCATGATCGAATTCTCGCAGGGATAAAAGAAAAGTTCTTTGTCCGCATTGACAACGAAACATCCAAAGAAATTAAATACAAAAGTATCGACCAGCGTATATGGTTTTTTTTTGGGGGGGGGGAGAGTGGGCTGAAGAATGAATGGATTTTAGCAGTCAAGCACTAACGTTCTTAATTTAGTATGACGAATGAGACATCGTATTTTAGCGTTCCCACTCGACGTCACGACAACTGAGACAGACCCTGGTGGCCCTGCCAAGACGTTAGACAATTGTGCCCGTCTATGGAAATGTTTTACTTATCGTCTTTCACTAGGCAATTGTAAGTAAGAGTACACTCTATCTCTCTATCCGCCTCGGTAGTTGCCAAATCTGCGGGTGCATTCATGCGCCCTGCCTTTGTTGTTAGTTAGGGTTAATTCTAAACCGCCACTCGTAGTCAGGAAGAAACAACTTTTTTTTACCAGCAACAACATGGGCGCAACAGATCTAAATATCTTTTTATTATCACTAATCCCTCGCTCTGCTCTTCCATCTCAAATCACTATCCTTCATGGGCGGTGTATCGTGTACAACCTCAACAATTCCCAATCTGTCCACAGAGCCCTAATTCCGAAACGACCCCGTGTGACAGTCATGGCCCCCAAGTTACTGTGCCAGTTAGGCGTCCTATGCTTCCTGCTCGTATTGCTCGTCTACTCTCAATTCTACTTCATTGTCCCACCACCTCCGGGTAAGAACAACACTCTCGACTTGAACCCGTGGTACGACATCGGACAAGACCTGAACATCACATGGAACGGCACACCCACCGACTACATATCCATAGCAATCCACCAGCGCCGTCCCGCCAGAGACGAAGCTGAATTCATTCTCAGTGAGTAGTAGTATTCTCTCACATGATTCAAATTCAATTCCATATTACATACACAAATAAAAAAGAAAGAAAAAGAAAAAGAAAAAGAAAAAGCAAAGAGAATCCAGTCTAACCAAGTCGCAGAAAATGTCTCCGGTCCGTCTCACTTCCCATGGACCATCACGACGAAAAAGAACCTACTAAAACGGGTATACCGACGAGACCAGATTCCTCAGGCGTGGGATCAGATTCCCTTGATACCGAGGCGAAAGTAGCCCTAGGCCTTGGTATCCCGCTAGCTGTCTCTGGGGGTGCTCTTGCGGGGTGTTTTGATTGCTCAACGGTTTAGACGGAAGAATGTCATAGAAAAGTCTGTTATAGGGTACCAGGTTCCTATTGATAAAAGTAGTCGTAAAGATGGGAGGACCGTCGGAGCTGGAAAATATAGCTCGTAAGCCGGAGCCGGTGGAAATGCCGACGGACAATAATTGAGTGAAGGGGTTGAAATAGAAGGGTTCAGGTATACTTGCGTTGTATACGATGTATGATGTATGGAGTTCACGGCTTTCAGGGAAGATGAGTATTTTGTATATGTTTTCACGGCCGTATACCCAAATAGCATTCATCGAAGGGTTTTTAGGCTTTGTAGACGTCTGGAAATATAGGCTAGAGTAATTGCTTGGTTTCTGTAGCTTAACTTTTGTTTTTCTCTTAGAGTATGCTATTATTAGTCCAACTCTTGTGCTCTATATTGATATTGCAGCTATCCATATACCTTATTCTTCTAGGTAGATCCCAGAACTACAGCTACTATATGTGTCATGGGCTAGCTTCTAACGGCTTTTCTATTTATCCAAAAAAGGTTAACTTTTGTAGTAGGTGTTTCATAACACTGGTATGAAGACAATGTCAATCTATTTAGTAAAATCAACTAGTCTAAATACCCGGCGAAAGTTAACACCACCTTGTGTCTGTAGGCCCGGAGATACCTGGATATTGTTGACCTGGTAAGCCGGTACCTAAGAACAAGGGCTAGTATTTACATCTGTATAAAATATATGATTGATATTATCGGTAAAAGCAGTGTCTGTTTCCGCCCTGCTAAAGTACAAAGAGATTATGTTATTGACTTGCTATCCCACTCTACATCCTCCCAAGTTGCGCCAAGCCGCGCTGCATAAGTTGGTTGCATTTTGCACAATTCCCCCATATCTCACGACTTTTCCGCTATTCACTGTAAAGCGTAAGTCAAAGTAGGATGGAACTACCTTAGTGGTAGTGGTCGCAACCCCCGAGGTCACGACGAGCTACAAGCTGGCGCGGACCCAACCACGACGAGTCCTCCTGCGCGGCCTTGCGCAGCTTCTCGGTAACGGCATCCATGTCGAGGCCGAGAACCTCTTCAATGTAACGAGGGAGCTCAGTATTATCCCAACCTCCGGCGAGGTCTGCCTTCAGGTCGTGGCGCTTCCGACCGGCGGCATAACCATGCAGGGTGACGTCGACGGAGGTGTGGCCACCAGTGGACCAGTCGACCCCGGCGCGAGAAGACATAAGGGCGGCGATGCCGGCCCCGATACTGTCCGCGTCGAGGATGGATTGGATGTCGGCATCAGCGACGTCCTCGAGCCCGTAAGCCGGGAGAATCTCAGAGACGAGGAAGTCCCGCTCGTCAGCGTCGGCGGGGCGGTCGTTGTCCCAGACAGACTGGAGGTAGGCGCGCGAGTGGGTGGCATTGCGCAGAGGCAGCGGGTCGTAGCCGTTCAGGGTCAGGCCGCCGGTCTCGTGGTCGGCGGCGGACAACATGATGGTGTCTGGGTGCTGGTCGATCCAGTCTCGTACCCAGGCCACCACGTTGTTGTACATGACAGTCTCGGAAGCGTGGTTGGCCGGGTCGTTGTCGTGTCCGGCGTGATCGATTCGTGCTGCCTCGATCATGAGGAAGAAGCCCTTGTTCCGGCGACGGGTGGCGCGGTGGAGTGCATTCACGGCTGTTTCGGCCATCTCAAGCAAGGATGGCTCGTCCTGGATGACCCGACGATCCATCTCGTACCTCATGCTTTCTGCGGATCGGTTAGTTTTGCCCCCTGCCTGCGCTAGGAGGATTCAATCGACTTGCCTTCGCTGAAAAGACCTAGAAAGGGCAGATCCGCCTGGCCCTGGCCCTTCTCAAGAGCGTTGAACTCCTCGCGGTTCGTGGCGACGGTGAAGCCCTGCTCTTCTGCGTAGGTCAATAGGTCGAAGTCGTCTGCACGGCAGGATCCCTCGGTGCTGTTTGGCGAGAAGTTGCAACGGCCGCCACCGAGAAGCAGGTCGACCATGGGGCCGAGTGGGTGGCTGTAGCCGAGCTGTTGCTCTGCGATCAGGGGCATAGAGCCACGGTTGGCGGCGTGAGCCGCATAGACTAAGGTGGATGAGCATCGTTTGGGAACTTAGAGCTGGGTGGGAACAATATCCATCTTACCTGCGGGTGTGGCATCACTGATGTATGTGGTGGAAACGAGACCAGTTTTCATGCCTCCAAGCTTCGCGGCCTCGAGGATGGAACCTACCGGCTGGCCTTCGGGTGTGACAGAGATAGCACCGTTGTAGGACTTGTGGCCGGCAGCATACGCGGTCCCAGAAGCCGCCGAGTCGGTGATCATGTTGTTGGCGGAGTGGGTGCGGACACGTCCGATGGCCTAGGAGAGAATTTAGCACCGAATCATAATCTCGTTATCTCCTGGTCAGGACTAGAACTGGCTCACCAAGTCATCTACTGCAAGCTCATGGATCTTGGGGTTGCTGCCAGTCGTGCCGCTATCAACCAGAGACATAAGGTCACGGGCCATGTTTTGCGATGCAGGCCCGTAGCCATCGGGAACGATATAAATAACGTTCTTTGCCTGGACAGAAGCTGCAACTGCAGTCTGGACCAGGGCCGCGCCCGCGGTGATGGCAGTGCTGATATGCATCTTGAGAGACGTTACTTAAAAGACAGACAATTTCAAGGCGCAGGTTAATCCCCGGTATTTCAGGTGCGCAGGGTGCAGCTTTTATAGATCTTTCCAACAGGTTTCGGGTATGTCGGTCCCTGAATATCTCTAGACTCTAACCCTCCGTCCCCAGCTGTACTTGGTCAATTCAATTCAAAATAGCGCATCCCACTTCACACTCCCCAATTGGGAGCAGCTCTCGAACAACGTGCCGGGAGTGCTGAGATTAGGGCATCTTGGCGTGTCCTGTACAGCCATCTCGGGTCTCATAGTTCCAGTTGAAGCCGGTGTCCACGTTCTCCAGGGAACAGCTGCATAGGAGCCCGCCAAGGCGGCGGAACTGTGCCACTGATATTATCGCTATGGACCAGGCGGAGGTACAATCGGAGCGAGAGGGTAAGCGATCAACCAGCAAATAACCGGGGGGTATCAAAGGATTTCGAGAATTGCAAGCAACTTACCTATAAGTGGATCGTGTCAAATGAGTTCTTGAATCAGAAGATGCCAGTTCCCCACGTTCTCATCGGCCAAGAAATAGCTCATTGCGATGCTCTAACGCTTAGCGACAGCGGCGCTTGGCTTCGTGCGGAGTAATTTCCCATCGTCTTGGCCGCTCATTCAGGCTCAGCTCATATGGATGGTCAAATTTGTGGGTTTGGGAGGAAGCCATCAATTAGAAAAAAGCGAAGTAGACCTGCCTGAAGGAAGTGATTCGTGCATAGGTAGTGAGGATGTCCACCTACTGTTCGCATGCATTTCTTGTTGCGCGAGGGTCCAATTTTCCCTCTTATATTCACCCTAATTTTCATAATCTTCCTGTTTCCCTTATTGTCTCTACTTTCTCTCAACTTCACCATAAGTCTGCGCGCTGAATACAGAGGACAAGTCAACGCTCAATTTCTTGAAATTTATGGATCCAAACAGCTACAGCAAGATCAATGTTGAAAGGATCTAAATATAAATTATCTGGTATTGGACTTGAGATCGCTTTCTTTCTTTTCAGATACTTGCTAGGGGTTCATAAGAATCTTGTAGAGTAGCATAGCAGGGTTTAGTAGAGCACACAACGTTATAGTGTGGCAAATTTTATGCGACTCTCTCCTGTAGAGCATAAATGTTAACCTGGGGAGATCGAGTCACTTCAAGCTCGTTCAATAGTCCAAGTACATCCTTGAGCTTCATGCATAGCCATGGTGTGACTCGAGGATAGAATTTCACCGCAGCGCACATTGAATAACTCTTAAGATATGACTACAGTAGCTTGTCGCAGCCAACAGTGCATATGAATAACCCTATAAGATTCATCAACGTAGCCCCAAGTGCATATCAAACCCAGGTCTGCACCTCCTGTCTCTCATTCTTTTCTTTCTATCTTCCATCAATCAGCTCAATGATGGACATAACAACCTTGGTGTTCTTTGAGCAAATTTAATGTTTAAGAATACGCCAAGGGCTAAATCCGCCTAGACAATATCTCTAGGCAATATATTTTCGGACTGCATGCTCAGATCACAAATTCTTCTCCATCTCCCGTCATTTCTCGTTCTTCGTTAGGCCCTGGGCAGTCTGAGACAATGACTTGTATACGGTAGTACCACTATCCACTGTCTATTTCTAAAAAGTACCTGCTACTGATGGCCCTGGTTGCATTGAGTACTATTTTCTTTTCTCCCCCTGTAGGATTCCAGGTGACTAGCAGCCTTGATGTGGACTTGATGATTGAAGAACACATGTCTCGGCTATTATACAATCCACAGACTACCGGTTACTTTGTCAACGATCTTCCAAAGGCTCATATGTCCTGGATTCCAAAGACAGCTTCCTTGGGCCACGATTCTGTGATAGAAGCGGCCGGGCACAGATGAGTTCACATAGGTTCTATTGGATACCTTAGTATGCAGTATGAACATGACGTACGAAGCTGATGGCTTTGTACAGGCTATGGGTATCTACAAACACACCTGAAGGTTTGAATGCCATATCTCCACTGAAGAGAACCATAAGATTGATCCAAATGAAAACTTAGCAAAAGTTGGAGCTTCGAGAAGCTATAGAACAATGACCATTTCAAAAAGCGAAGGGCACATCTCATGCTCAGCCAATCCATTTGATTTTCCCAAAATCTATGACTGAGATACCAATACTGGAGGAAGTTGAAAGTAATCAGCTTCCGACGTGGCAACTAACTACCCTGGTTATTCGGTGTCAAATGCACTAAGTCCGTAGGGTCCAGTGGAAGAGGTGCACGGTCCCTAATAATTGCAGCGTGCTGCATTACAGGATCGCAAGAGGTGTATTGC